TTATAAGGAAAAAAGATCTTTATAGCCCTTAACCTTAAAGAAGTATATAACCTTATTTATATTAAGAAAGGAGATAAATAGAAAATAGTATTTAGAACTAGATTTAGACTATTTAAATATTTAGTAATGCCTTTTAGTCTTATTAATATACCTATAATATTTTAATAGATAATTAATAATATACTTTAATAATACCTTAATATCTTTATAATATATTACCTTAATAATATCCTAATCTTCTTAAATAATAAAGAAAAATATAAGGAATATATCTATAAGGTCTTAAAAGCATTATAAAATACTAAGCTATTAGTTAAATTAAAGAAAAGTTACTTTTATATTATAAAGGTAGACTTTTTAAGATATACTATTATACCTAGAGAAATCTAAATAAAAAAGAAGAAAATCTTAATAATAGTAAAATAAAAGGCACTTATTAATATTAAAGAAATATAAGCCTTCCTAGGCTTTGCTAATTACTATAAATAATTTATTAAGGATTTTAGCAAAATTATAAATCCCTTAATAGAACTTATTAAGAAAGATAAGACCTTTATATAAAATAATAAGGTTTAATAAGCCTTTAATAACCTTAAATAAGCAATCCTTAGCAAACCTGTATTAGTAATGTTTAATCTAGATAAGGAAATCGAGCTAGAAACGGATTTATTAGATTTTGCCTTAAGAAGATAAATCAGTTAATAAGATAATATAGGAAAATTGCACCCTATTGCCTTTTACTTATATAAGCTGCATAAAGCAGAGCTTAATTACCTAATCTATAATAAGGAATTCTTAGTAATTATTAACTGCTTTAAGGAGTTTAGATATTACTTAATAAGAAGTAAGTACTAGGTTAAGGTTTATACTAACTACTAGAATATTTTATACTTTACTATAACCTATAAACTTAATTAATAATAATTATACTATATAGAATACTTATATAAATTTAATTTTATAATTATTTACTATAAGGGATTTAAGAATAAAAAAGCAGATATAATTAATTAATAACTAGATTATAATACTAGTACTACTAAAGCCAAAGAACAAGTACTAGAAAAAAACAAAAAAGGAGAATATTAGTTTACCTAGAAAATGCAGACCTTAAGATAGATATAAGCAGAAGTAATTAAGGAAATCCTAAGAGAACTACAGGAGTTTATCTAAGAATTCTATATATATCTATTATATAGATATTAAGGAGTTACTAAAACCCTAAAATAACTATTATAATAAGGTTATTAAATAATATAAAAAGTAGTAAAAAAGGTTATTAAATAATATAATATTTATACTAAAATAAAAGTATAATAATATAAACCTTATAAAATACTATAACTAATAGAAGTTATAAAATAACTATAAAGCTTAATTATAATAGATTTTATAACTAAATTACTATTATTAGAAAATCCTTTAATTAGAATTTTCTATAATAGTATTATAGTTATTATAAATAAACTAATAAAGTTCTTAATTTACTTACCTTATAAAGAGGCAATAAATACAGGAGTTATAGCCTATATCTTTTATAATAAGGTAGTAAGGAAATAAGGACTATTAAGAGAAATCCTATTAGATAGAGGATTAATATTTACCTTTAAATTCTAGTAATTGCTTATAGCACTTATAGGAGTTAATTACTAACTTATAATAGCCTTTAAACTATAGGTAAATAGCTAGATAGAATAAATAAATTAAGTACTAGAATAATACCTTTAGTATTATATTAATTATAAATAAGATAATTAGGTTAAGAAGCTAATAAGCGCTTAGCTAGCTTATAACACTGCTTATAATAAAAGTATAAAACTTATACTATTTAATATAAATATTAGATTTATACTTAATATATACTACAATGCTTAGGAACCTAAGAATATAAACCTAGCAGTAATTATTATAAGTAATAAGCTAAGAGAAATATATAATAAACTTAAGACTAAATTAGAATTTATTAAGAAAAGGATATAGAGATACTATAACCCTAAAAGGTTAAAGGGACTAACCTTTAAGGAAGGAAATATAATCTACCTATTTACTAAAAATATTAAAATAAATTAACTAAGTTATAAACTAAACTATAAATACTTAAAACTAGTTAAGATTAAATAAAAGATAAGGGAAAATCGATATAAACTAGATCTACCCTTAAATATTAGATATTACCTAATTTATTATATCTTAATGCTTAAATTAGCTGCAGATATAATATATATAAAAACCGGCAATAAACTATAATAAATTACAAGACTAAAGGTATATAAAGCAGAGGAAATTAGAGATATATAAAGAATTAATAAATAAAAGATATATCTAATTAAATAGAAAAACTACCTAAAAAGCAAAAATATATAAAAACTAATAAAATACCTTACTAATGCCTAGTAACTTCTAAAGAACTTTTACTAATAACCTTAAAGAATAAAGGATTAAAAATCAGGTTTTAGTTAATAATATCAGCACCGCTAAAAGACTAAATATCCAGAACTGCTATATCCTCCTCCTAAATAATAATATTACCTATAGAAGAATTTATATTATTAATAATAAACTAGATACCCTGCTTATATAATAAACACTTCTAATAATAAATATAAGATAATCTTATAATAGCCTTATTAACCTTTTATTAAGCCTTAAGAAGCTTTTCCTTAACTTCCTCTTTTACCTATTCTAGATAATTAGACTTATAATTTAAATAAAGAACTAAAAAAAGAAAATAGTTAGCAAAAGGCAATAATAATAAAGGGAAATAATATATAATAGGCAATTATAATACCAAAAGCATTATAAGATTAACCTTATTAAGTATATTTAAAGTAATAAAAAGAACGCTTAATTATTTTATAATAAAGGCCTTTAGCCTTATAAAAGGAATAAGGTATAATATTAAAACTAAATTTTATAATTAAATCTACTAAATAAATACGCTTTAAAGTCTTATAAGATTTTAACTAAAGATTTTATAATATAATAATTAGTAAGGTATACTAGGAAAATAATAAAGGAAGAGAGTTAGCGCTTACTAAAGCCTGATATAAGAATAGAGAGATATATAGGTCTTAAGGGCAAGACCTAATAGAGAGGAGAGATTATATTATAACCTATATAGCTATATTACATAGCCCTTATAATTTCTACCTATTACAGGAGGATTACTTCTCCTAGTAATAATCCTCTTCTATTAGATTACTTAAATTATAATGCTCTAAGGCTAGATTACCCTAGATTACTAATAATCCCTTAAGATCTAACCTTTAAATTACTATTATTCCTTACTAAGCTATTAAGCTACCTTTAATATATAAAATATATTTATTAGCACTTTTATAGAACTTAGCTTATTAGCTATTAATAAAGCATCTTTATATTAATAAGCCTAGCCTGTATTACTTAATTATTAAGAGATATAATACTTCGCAATGCTTAGTATTATGCCTTATATAATCTGCAAACATAAACCTAGTACGGACTAGTTTACCTGTTTAGAAAACCTAACTATTATAATATTAATAAAGAATATTATAATAACCTTATTATTTTAATTAAAGCAGAAATAGCTTTTAAAGCCATAATTAATAAGCTTATTAATAAGAGTATATATTAAGCTTTAGCTTTTAATAAAGTCTTATTTACTTTATATAATAGTATTATAAATATCTTATTATATAATAAGATAAAAGTTATCTAAAAGTCTAATAAATATCTTTATCTCTTTAGGCTTTATCTTAGCTTTTATAAATAGCTATATAGTTTTCTTTTAATTACTTATAATTTAATAATAAACTAGATATACTTTTAGCCTATAGCTTACTTTATAAGCTAAAAAATAACTTCTAAAAGGAGAATATTATTAAGAAAGACTTTAAGAGCTTAATTTATTATAAATAAGGTAAGTAAAATACTAATTAATAGAGAATTAGGTAAATAAAAATAACTAGATCTAGGATATATAATAAATAGGGTCTTAAGCGGTTAATTGGCATTAATTTGCTTATATAAGGCATTTTTGAACAATCGGGGTTGCTGATGTAATGATATCTTATTTGCACGGGTACCCGTGCGGGTATGGATGGCCACAATTGGCGCCACAGGGATCAGAGATGGCATCAGTAAATTGATGAGAATTATCTAAAGAGCAATTGCACTATACAGAAAAGAAAGACGTTGCTGTCTTATACAGAAGACGAAATCCGTGTTGGACGGAAATCGCAAGTGGTGTTCGGATAAAAATCCGGTGGGCTATGCCGTGCTGCGACAGGCTGATATGCAACACAAAGCCGAGTCACTTGCAACGACATTGTTCCACCTCTTGACGATAGATTATAACGTCATGGCGATAATATTCAAGGTCGCTCTTAAATATTTATTTATTGCCTTGCTTTTTTTTGGCGCTTATTTCTCTATTATCGACTTCGCCGGAGTTTCCAGCAGGGTCGATCATGCAGTCCTACCTTCACGACGTACAAAACAATGGGGTCTTTGATTACCGTATCCACGACGGCTATTTTAGAATGCGGTTTATTCCAGCTCTATATACCTCTAAATAGCCTCCTTCGCTTCCAATATAAATAGCCTTCCTGCGGCGTCTTAGGACTCTTCACGACAAGCCTAACTTCTTGAGATCTAAGTGTGGCCCTACAATCGAAATCTTCTCCTTCCCACACTCCCCTACCGACCTTCTTAAGCTCAATGCTAGATGATCGGCCATCAATACATACCTTAAGGGATATTACCTCCTTAAATTTGGGAGTGGGTCGATTAGTCTCCCACTTCCAAGCCATATTGCCGGGTGAGCTCCTGTTCTCGACCCAGCTAGCGATCTTAGGTCCATCTTTTGAATCAGGTTCGACCGATTGCAGGTGCATGCAAGTGAATTCGCCGTGATTCTGCCTCTGTTTTCGCTTAGGCCTTGCGAGGCTGCTTGGAGCGGGGTGGACGGTTGTCTCCCGAATAGGGGAAACGGCATGAGCCCTTTTTTTTACGTCGATTTAGTTCGACGTTTTCGCGATGACCAGAGCCTTGGTAGCGGAGATGATTTCCGGCGCGATCAGCAGGGACAGGAGCGGCGGAAGTTTGACCTCTTCCGGAATCGTAAAGAGGCGCAGGCGGATGGTAATATGGCTGAGACGCGGCGAAGCGGTGAGGACAGCAAACGGCATGGCCAGACAGAGGCTGGTAACAAAGGGCAGGGCCCACATCTGCGGGATGGTATCCTTGATGGTGAGCAGGCCGGCGATGCCAAAGCCGATCAGAGTTTGCGGCCAAAGGACACGGAAAGTGTCGCGCCAGCTGAGGCCGAGCCGGTCGCGGTTCTGGCTGTCCCAGGTAATGGACTTGCCCATGAGCAGGCCGCAGAGAAAGACCGTTATGGCCACGGCGGTGGCGGGCCCGATGAGTGTCATCAGGATGAGTTCCAGCAAGGCGGAAACGATACAGCGGAAGCCGCCGCCGTAGCGCTCAAAGGAGGTTCCTGCAATATCGATAATACCGGCGATTTTAGGTAATAGGTTGGCGCCGATGATAATCAGCTGTGGGGTGAATCTGAAGTCAACTTCGGTGTTGTTAAACCCGCCCAGTAGCCCCTTAGCGACGCCGGCGAAGGACAGCAGAGCCCAAGAAGCCGGGGCCAGATACGAGATAAGGATCTGGTACACCTGGAAGCGACTGACAGGCTTGAGGCCGGGCTCCTTCAGCATGAACCAGTACTGCATGCTGCCCTGGCACCATCGGTTTTCACGGCGCAGGTAATCGAGGAAGGTTGGCGGGTTGGTCTCGTAGCTTTCGGTCTCGATGGGAATCATTCTGACTTCGAAGCCACCGCGGCGCATGAAAATGCCTTCCATGACGTCGTGGCTGAGGATGTAGCCACCCAGCGGCGGTTTTCCCGGGAGAACCGGCAGCATGCAGTTCTTGTGGAAGGCCTTGGTGCGGATGATAGCGTTGTGGCCCCAGTAAAACGCACAGTCGTTGACCCACCAGCTGCTCCCTATGTTGTATGCACGCAGGCTACAGCGCAGGCCAAACTGGAAGAGGCGAGTAAAGGTGCCGACGGCCGGCATGCCGGCGAACTGGGTTTGCAGCAAGCCGATCTGAGGATGTTTTTCCATACTGGAGACCATACGGACCAGCAGGTCTCCACTCATAGCGCTGTCAGAGTCGAGCACAACGAAGAAGTCGTCGGCTTCGGAGTAGTTATCGAGATAGTCCTTGATATTACCGGCCTTAAAGCCAGTGTTCTTATCGCGGCGGCGGTAGACGGTGGCTTGGGACATGCCCTTGCCGAGGCTGTTTTGAAGGCGGGCGAAGTCTTCATCTTCCATCTGCATCACATCCGGACGGCTGGTGTCGCTGAGCATGACAAACCGGAATTGCTGAAGGCGGCCAGTTTGGCGCAGGCTTTCGCGCATGGCGTGGAGGCGGTCGAAGATCGGGGTGGGGTTTTCATTGCGCATGCAGATGGTGAGGGCCGTTTTGGAGGTGATTTCTGGGAGGGGACCGTTCGCGTCAAAGTAGGGGTAGATGGATTTTTCTGCTTTGCCGAAAGCATTGATGCACAGACCGATGATGTAGTTCCAGGAGGTAACAATGCAAGGGGGGGTGCAGATAGTGGCGCAGAACAAGATGAAGCCCTCGAGGAAGGTGATGCCGCCCGGTTTGAACATGGTGAAGATAGTCCACAGGGTAGAGAGTATCGTGCTAACGTTAAGGACCATGACCAGCAAACGGCGTTGGAATACCGGCATGCCGGCAGTTTGAATGGGTGTAATGTTGCTCATCTCGTGTATATTTCTCGGAAGAACCTGTTGCTGTTTATCAGGGTTGCGCTCGCGTGAACAAGGAATCTCTGTCAGTGTAAGCAGTATGAAGGCGGGAGTGTGCCCTTTTTAAGGTCGAGGCTTCAGGAGAAGAAGATACTGAAGAGCGACGTCGAAGCCAGGGCGGTCAAGTACCTGGAAGACTTATTCGATCTATCCCCCCACGGCTAACCTAGCGGGCGAAGGCATCCAATTGCACACTGACTCTCTCCGACCAGGGTGTGAGCGTTGCTATCGGCGCCGTCCTAAGCAAGTTTTAGTTCTTCCAGGGGAGATACGACGGCAAGGGCGAGAGCGTCGAAGTCCAGGTGAAACTCTCTGCCGACACGTACGCAGCAGCGGCAAACCACTCCTTCGACTAGCCGCTCATCCGCGCTACAGGAGTACCTGGAAGAAATCTACGAAGAAAAGGGTGATTGTTGCCGTTGCAAATGAAGGTGCTACGAGGTGAATCGACGACCAATAAAAGAGCGACCAAGGTGAATGGATTGTCGAAGGTTAAAAGTGAGAGAAGCGGTGAATCACAGGGACGACGAGGAATGGACCGAAACGCGAGCTTGGACGTGGAAGAGTTTCCTTGCCTAACTGGAGGCCGGTCCGACCGGGAGATGGTATACGAAGATTAGCAGATTAGCACACTTTGGGCAGCTAACCACTCTCTGATAGTTAAAGTTTCCCACTAAAGCCTTCTCAACTGGGATGTTTTGAGAGTATTAGGTCGAGGCTGACGTGTACCGCTTCTGGCGGGAAATAACAACTTCGGTACAATCCTTCGTACCGTCAACGACACGCCACTGTTGCCCTAGTGCCCCTTTTTCTGCGGAACATGCTCACCTAGACAGGACGCCATGTTTTAGCGCTGAGTGTGCAAATCGAGAGCCACTGATTTACCGGTGTGCAAGTTTGTGAGTCGAACGAGAAACAAAAGAGGAAGTAGTACATATGGGGACCCTCGCAGTTCGGTTGTCGCAAATTTCGACCTTTGCCGACGCCGCTGTTTTCGGCCGTAGGGTTACCTTTTTGACGTCATAAACTTTAAACATAACCTACTTGATAAGTGCCACGGCCCATGCCGGGAGCAATGACGCCGCACGGCACGGATCAACGTATTACCCCTCACTGCATGACCCATGAGCGGGAACCACTCTCACTCCGCGCAAGTGAGTGTGTGAGGGATTCTCATAATGGACATCGTGAGATGCTCCCCAGACCACGCCCATAAAAGACCACGTAATATTCCTTAGATAGATACTCTAGCTTCCTTAGCTTTTAATATAACTTAATTACTTAAAAATACTTCTTGACATTTTTAGACATAATTCGCCACCCTAGGCTTAGTATTCTACGCCCCGTTATAACTGCTAACATAAACTAATCAGGTTATGGTTTACTACGTCGGGAACCTTAACCGTTATAATAAGCAAGCAACGTAGTAAGAAATACACCTTAAATCGCGATTTTAAAAAAGCTATTAAAAATCCAAACTAAGTCTAAAATAGGTACAGTTTTAAGTATAGCTCCATCGATGAGATAGCTATCCGGGATGCCACCGGCATTTAAACTGGCAGATACCCACTAGTCGCCACCTTGGTTGGGGCTCGAGTGGGGTAGAATCTGTTAAGCCGACCACAGGGCCAAAAACTAGGCGCGCCACTTAGTTAGTGACCTTCTAGGTATTTCGGTATATCTCCGGTTCAACAGAATTAGCTGATAGATGAATAAACACTAGAACTATGCGGCTTCCTAGCCGGCCGCGTCCGGGGCCCTCGACTAGTTAGACGCATCCTTGGGTCTTGCTTCATTTATTATAGATATGGTCAAAGGCATTATTATCTCTAAAGGTATTAGAGAACTTGGCAAGTAAACGTTTTAGTGCGACCCTACTGATCCTTTTAGAGGCTGTCATTTAAGCAATTAACACAGATAGCGGCGTTTTAGCTGAGGTTACAGGGACTTGTTTTCAAGCTGACTCTTGAGACCCTTTCCTATTTAGAATTATTGGAAGTAGATGTCTTCTCGATGCGATTTTCAGGGATTAGTTCTCAAGGTTCCTTGCAGCAAGACTGTCACCGTGAACTACAATATTTTCTTACCTTCTTTACCTTACAGTCATTGCCTGCTTTCAAATCTCTTAAAGACCCCTGTTGGAACCTGTTAAAAATTATCAAGCTCGATGTGTCTGGCTTCTCTTGATACATGTATCTGCATAGTCGGCTCTAAACAGATAACAAAGCCCATGTTGTAGTTGAAACATGCATTGAATCCTATTTCTGATCTAGATAGAGAAAACCACTTTCTAGCCACTACCCCCAAACTTGTTTTCTTAGCGTCTCCTTGCTCCCACGCTTCGGACTGTTAGATTCACCTCCGTGTTATAGACTGGCCAGAATAGTAGGATGAACGCCGATCTTCTTCAACTGTTTCAGAGAGGCAAAGTAAGCAAATGGCCAGCAGTCTAGACATCGTCCCATTAATAATAAGGCAGAACTTACTTCGGCTATAACGTCATATCCATATACAAAATCCTGGGCTCCGGGATCAATCCTAAACCATGTCAGCCACTCAGAATGTCTCTAGATCCGGTGGTTCCTACCAGTAGTAGAATGGGTATCCGGGCTTCTGATCATAGAGCTGAGATACAGCAACTTTATCTCTCGCCTCTTGCTCTAGGCCATCGGACAAGTAATTAATATCTCTCTGATCATCATTTGTTAGTCACTTGTTTCGTTCTTTATGAATCCAATATTCAAACGCACCTGCTTTACGCTCTATTTCTGCAATGCTAAGCTGCAGGGGATTCTTAATCCCTTATACATCTTTAATACCTTTAGTAACTCATCTTAGGTTTTTACTTTAGATAAGAGGATTCCTAGTGCAGCGCTATCTTTAAGAGCAGAGCCAGCTCCCTGGGCCATATATAGCAGTAATAGGTAATAGGCATTACCTAAAAATACTACTATGGCTTTTTTATTATACTACTTCTCTAACTTATCTATTATGCCGGCGTTAAAATAAGGGCTAAGAGCCTTATATAAGGACTTATAGTATATTAATTTCTACTTCTCTACTTGGTTAACCTAGGATAGGAACTTCTACAACCTAGGATTATTAGTTAGTATTATACTAGGTAGTTAATAATTAACTAATAATAGATCCTACTTCTTAAAAATCTCCTTTATTTTAAAGAGATTACCTAGCATCTTAGTTATATTATTAGCCAGATAATTAGGAACTAAAAAGATAATATTTGCCATAGTATTATTTCTGAGCAGATAATAAATAGCATTGCACTCTAGACCGGCCTATAAATATACTTAAGGTTTCTTTATAAACTCAAGCAGTTCTTAGTTATCTATATCTTCTAACCTAAGGATTATCCTATATACCAGATCACTAGTAGTAACAGGAGGGCTTAGTCTACCTAGAATAGTAGACCTAGTCTTAGACCAGAGTCCTAATATATATTAGTTGCGATGACTTAACGGAGATTAAGGAGAAGCGCCTTACTATCCGCGGCTATTACCAGATGTCTAGTAATCTTCTTACCCTTATCCATAGTTAGTTGCAAGATCGCCAGATTTATATTTATTACTAAAGTGCTAAACTAAAACCAGACTCTAAGACCCTTAGCCTGCTTAAATATTACAAGCTGTAGATTAGCATAATTCATATCCTAGTAGTAAGATCCATACTTCTCTAGCATCTTAGCTGCAAAGTTCTAGCGCTCGCCAAGGAGCTTACGGCCATTATACCGGCAGATGAGAAACTCTTCTGGGCTACTAGCCAGCTTCTCCAGGCTAGGTTGCAGGCCCCATCGGACAAGTAACCGCGTGGCATTAGGCGTAAGCTGAAGGCCGGCACTGATCTGATAAACGCATTAACCCTTGGCACTATTACTCAATTATGGAGGAAAACTCACCTCAGCTAAAGAAGGAGCGGATTCAATAACGAGAACATCGTGAATGGGTGATTCCTGCTTGACCAAGAGCGCGGCGGCGAGTCCACCAAGCCCGGCTCCGATGACGACGATGTTGAGAGGCATAGTGGGGGGTGGCAACTGAGTATGTCTTGAATATTGAGCTAACTGTGCTTTGCTGAACCATATAGTAAGGGACCTTGAGGCCTTGTTTTTATGGTTGGGGAGAGAGTTTCTGTAAGTATTAGGAGTTGAGCCGCCTAATAAGCTCCCCACCCAGCACTACGTTTCCCCGCCTTCGTGCTGGCGCGGTGGGGTTGTCCCGTGTGCTCTGTGAGAATCCACGCTGGTGGACAGCACCTCGTCCGTCCGGCAGAGGGATTCGGCAACAAGCAGTTAAGAATCAACCCCGACCGATTCATCGGGAATGGTTCCTATATACCGCGTAGCCAATCTCTTTGTCAGGCTCGGAACAGATTACCCAACAAAGGCTCCCTCTTGTAGCCTTCATTTTTTATGAGCGAAAATCGTACTACGTCAACCGAGCATTGAGAATCATGCCAACCCTCACCGGAAAAGTTGCTTGATCAGCGGGTCTTCCGCTGGGCTGGGAGCCGCCATCGCCAGGGAAATATTTAAGCGCAGAGCCTCCGCCGTCCTCAACTACCCTTATCCCAGCGAGAAAGCCAACGCCGACAAGGTTCTGCAGAGCCTTAGTTCATTTAACAGAGCTATCGCTATTAAGGCCAATTTATTAACCTTAGAAGGCCTGCAGGTACTAGCTAATATAGCTATAAAAGCCTTTAGTAAGATTAATATCCTAGTTAATAGTGCTAGATTTATTTAATTAATATTTCTAGATAACCCTAATAATAAAAAGGTAGAAAAGATATAATATAATATAATTTACCTTAATAAAAGAAGAATTTATTTCCTTATTAGAGCGGTTTTAAAATATCTTTTAAAGGAGAATTTATATATTATTAATATTAGCAGCTTAGCATCATGCACGCCAGCGCCGGAATCGAGCATCTATATGGGCTTATAGGGCTTCGCTAAGGTTTACATGCTGTGCTAGGCGATAGAGCTGCCTTGCAAGTTTAACGCAGTAGCTCCTGGCCCTGTTGGCATAGATGCATTCTATGCTGCTCCTGCTACTATCAGAGAGTTTCTGCAGCTTATTATTAATACGACGCCTATAGCTTCTCGCGTAGGAGCCCCGGAGGAAGTAGCATGGCTAGTCGGAACCTTGGCCGAGGAGCAAGCAGGTTGGATTAATGGTGCTTATATTCCCATCAATGGAGGATCTAGTATCTGGTAGCCTTAGTTAATTTTCGTAGGCAATGGCCACCTACAATTGATTGGTTAGATGTAGCTGTCCAATTCCAAGTGCCAAAGTGTGCTCTGAGCGAGTGGTCAAACTTGTGAGGGACAGGTGGTCTTCAATCTCGGTGGTTTCTATAGTCTGTGACACCTGATAAACAATCATGGATTGGTCTTTCTTCACATTCCTAGTATAAAATCCAGGCCTCTTTTGCGCCGCTTCCAACTACCTGTCATACATCGCTGTTGCTCCATACTCAGCATCATGATTTCCATGCCAGAGCGGGACCAATTCAACCAAGTGTTTAAAAAAGAGCGAGAAACCTGTTTTGATAAAGACATATTGCGTATCTTGAGGCTAAAGACAGATGAAGGCGGCTCAAAAGAACAAAGCGGCTGATCAAACTTTAGATAGGGACGATTTAATGCCTATTCTAATAGCTATTTGCCCTTCGTGCCTCGCTTGCCTCCCTTGCGGCGTTAATATCCTTACTATCCACCTAGCTACTATGCAAGCCGTCTATTAACTTGAAAGGCAGCTTGATCTTATAAGGGGACCCTTAGTAATCTTAGAAGCCTTAAATAGTAAGAGAACGTTCTGGCCCTTATGATATTGGTTAGTAACTATAAGAAGATAGCTATCTTTATTAGGAGCACCCTTATATCTTAGTATAAAAATAGGCTCTTAGAACGTTAAATTATCTCTATGGCAATAGGACTATATCTCTTCTATCCTAAAATTATAATACACCAAGGTATTAAAGCTAATATTACTAATAGCATTCTTATAATTATTAACCTTAATCTGGTATCTAGGATTAATCTTCAAGATCCAGATGCAGGTATATTTCTTGCCGAACAGGCGGTCGTTGATGCGGCCGAACTCATTAATGCCGTCAACAAGAACATCTTCGGGATGGATTATCTTCTCGGTACTTCCGTTGGGGACTCATGCGTTGAGCCTCCGCGCTTTCCGAGCCTAAGCATGCCCGAGTTAACCATCTTGATAGTCATATCGATTCTACTGCACAAGATAATCATCTTGCCGATAATCATAATATTTTAGTGCATAATAAGTATATAAGGTACCGCAATAGTACCAGATAGAGCACCGCTAAGGACAACCCTTCCTTCTGGTTATATAGCATAGGTAGCAGCAGAGAAATATAGTAAGCTATTAGGGTACCTAATACCTAATTATTATATGCTTTAATACCGCATCTATTAAAACTAGCCTCCTTAATAGCAGCCATATTAATATCATTATTGCCGATTATAATAACATAGCTAAAGCACTTATAATTCCCAAGTTATTATATTAAACACTTAAGATTAGCCTTATTATAACTAATTATAATAATATTAGTGCCTAGCGTAAGGGCTAGGTTAGAGGTAATGCCGCCATAGGTGCTAGTAATAGGGCTAAGGGCACCTATCTTGCCTGCCTTTAGCTGCACTGCTTTATATAGCATACTAGCCGAGATACTATAAAGGATATCTCGTAGAGATTAGCAGGGGTATATCCTAGTTGCTTATATAGCTGGTCCTTATCTAAATAAAGATATACTCTAGAGGGACTTTTTAATACTATCAGAGGGCTCTATCTTGCCATTCTCCTTGCATAAGTCTGATACCTTTTGGTTCTTCTCTACTATAGTGCCCCTAGATAATGTAAATATCAGGATCATCTTAGGCAAAGATAGGAGCTGAGAAGAAGACTAAGTCGCCGGGTTTAGTAAGGACGGCATCTAGCCTAATGTTATAAACTTAACTAATATGGCTAGGATAAGGTATAAGAAGAAGGGTAAGGTTAAAGATAGGTAGCCTCCCTTGGTGGATATTTTTAGCATAGGGGAAGACGACGGTATTGAGGACTTTGATAATAACTGAACCGGTAGTTGCCTCAGGGATAGGGAGCTTGATAAGCTCTAAAGGCATGTCAAATGAGGAGAGCCAGAGAGCGCGATTCTTGATTGGGTTGGTGGTCATGTTGAAGGTGACAGAACCCAGGAACTAGAAGGGGATAAGCTGGGAGAACCCTGGCGTTTGGAAAGCTACGGTACCCAAATATCTATGCCCCGACTGATTTGAACAACTGCAAGTCTGACTCATTTCGGCATACTCACCATCCTCTAGGGTTTCGGGCGGGATGTGGAACGAGTGGAGGGCATCCATTCCCCACCGGTGTCAATTCTCTCCGCCATGCCACCCTCCACTTTTCGCTGCACCGTATCCTCGAGAAGACCCTCTGCACGAAAGCCCTATGACCACGGCTGTTAAACCTATGCCAGACTCAGCGAGGCAGTGTCCAAGTAGCTGGAGGCTGAACAGGACAGCAACGCCCTGGAACATTATCATTGGTCTGTTTGCTGGAACCTCTATGAGTTAAATAGAGCCACAAACCTTCATATCCTTACACATACGTCTACTCAAGGCCGGGAATATGATTGGATAACCGTGCTCTATGTTCAGCAAGATGGGTCTGCCACAGGCATGGCTGTATCGTCCCTAGATTGGGCTTGTGTTTAGCGGCTAAGAATTGTATATGCCTCCTCGCATGCGCACCATTGCCTAACGAAGAAGTTCGTAATGCACTTGACAATATTTCAAGCGCAGCTAAACGCTGTAACGTCAGACCCTTCATATTTGACAAAGGACGGGCCGTGTTACTGCTTTGGGTTGCAGAATGGGCCGGGCTGTACAATGATATTAATCTAAAAGACAATCAAAGCCTGCTACGCTTGAAAACTTCAACGATGCTGCAGTTGAGAGTGAGAATACTGTGTCTAACCAACCCATGTTCAAACCAGAAACATCATAAAACAGTATAAGTCAAGCTGTCCATCTTTGGGTAGATTTCAGACATGACCGAAACAGGGCTCGTGCTCACCATTCCATCCCATTCAAGCGATCGAGGTCCCCGTGATAGCTAAAATTTGAAGCACCCGCTTCCCCTACCTCCACGATATCAAACAAGTCCTTCCAAGCTTCCTTCTCATGCTCATGCAATGTGTCGACTATTGAGGAAGAGCATATTTGATCATTATCTAACTGTTGTGAGTCGGGAAAGGGCTCTTCTATTATTGTGAGCGAGGGCCGATCAAAAGCATGCGCAGACTTACCTCCTCCTACCTTACCTGAAGATGACAGGCCAGTAGAAGTCTCTGCATCGTTTCCGCCAACCACGACATACTCAGGGTGCTCTGTCCGAGTTGGCAAGTGATTGGCAGCAGAGTCCGAACTCGACCCTAGAGGATGGTAGTTCCCAGGACGACTAGACTCTGCAGGGTTTGGGTTGAGACTCGGAAAGTTAAGCTTTGTGGGGTTTCTTTCGCAAATGGCCTTGTAACTCGTGAAGATAGCGGGCATGGTAGAAACTCCAAATTTTGTTGCGAATGCCGACACGAGAGATATTGCTGAGGCAGTAAATGAAGCTTGTGAGCCTGGTGTACTTGTACTTGGTGATGATCCATAACGCGGAATCGAACTTTTTTGTGTCTTCAAGAACATCTCAGTACTCATAAAAGCAAGATGGAGGTTTGTTAGTTGCGGTGATAGCCCTTGACCTCGCTTGAGCTGATTCCGGCCAGATGGTGATAGGAAAGCACAGTGCTCTGGAAGTTGATCATACCAACGACCAAGTGCAGATATGCGCTGGATGCAGAGCTCTTCTGATATCGGCTCCGATATCGCATCGTTAAGTATGCGAATTAGGTCAACATAGCGGTTGAAGATGCTCACTGCCCTTAGTGGCTGGTAATCCCAGGTCAAGTTGGTCCGCCGCCAATCCTGAATCTTAAGCCAGCAGGCGGTCTGTGGTTCCCACTCATCCGGGCCGGTCTCAGCCGGCATAGAAAGAAAGCGGATGTCTGCCGTTCTGAGATGAGGGGGCTTGCCCAAGTGGCACAATACCACAGTATCAAGGACAAAGAAGCTGAGGAGTAATTGCGTTTCTTTTTTTTGTCGTCGTTGCCATCACATGATGCGGCACTGCGGCTTTTTTGGTCAAGAGACAGATCCCCCAAGTCAAGAGCAATCCTGGCGGCTTGGCCAATTAGATGCCAAGATGCTGCAAAATCCCCCCGGTCCAACTTGAAAAGGCTTAGTATTAACAAAGCCTGGGCGTAACAGGGGTTCCGGGCGTCTTCGTTTGGTATTTGTTGTCGTGCGTTGGCATAGAGCTGCTCGGGCGTGAACATGTCTCCTTGGCCGTTCGGTGCACCAGCCGGGCTGAAGGGCCCCCTAGACTCTTGGAGAGTTGAGAATGCCAGGATCGCCCAGAAGACACCCAGGCTCCCAGCGTCGACAAGAGCAGCTCGGGACGGCGAATACAATATCTCAAACATCCTATGCTTCTGAACAATAGGTAGCCAGCAATGAGTATGGGCGAAGTAATCTTCAAGCAGGCGCGGAGCATTTTGCGGAAAGCTTATCGATCCCACATCTTCCGATGATGAAGATAGTACTTTGGACAGTCTTGGAAGAGACGGCTTCTCAACTTTGTTGATGAGACAGGGCAGGCCCACCTTTACTGTTGGCTCACCCTGCGCTCACCCCGAGCTCACCCCGAGCTCAGGTTAAAGCAGCATCAACTCAGGATCATGGGTGAGAAGGGAAACCATGGGCATCTAGATTCGTGGCAGAGTTGGGATGTTATATTGACGCGTACGGTGTGGACGTATTCATTGTATTCGCCAGCGGTGGAAATGCCATAGTGAATAAATAAGGAAGTCATGACTGGTTCTTCTTCCATTTCCAGCTCACGGGGTACAAGATGTTGGATTTGTGAGGCTTGAACCCGGTAAGAGATAGAGACAATCGTCATCCCGCTCAAGTAGAATGGTTCTTGGGAAGCGTATGGTGGTGCGAACACGGGAATGGCCCGGTCGTCTTGCACGGAGAGTGATCCATAAACCATGATGAAAGATTAGAGTCGAATGAATTGAGTAATAGGCTAGTTTCTTAGAGTGTTAGCTTGTCAGCTTTCTTTTGAGTCTATCAGAAGATTGGCCATTTTATATCAAGTTCTTGATTTAAATTCGGTCTCACATACAGTACGTATGTGGTAGCGTGCTCGGGCTGGTTCGTGACTCCGAGCTCGGACCCGTGTAAATGCCGTCTCTCATATGTCCGATAACTCCCCGGAAGTTGATGCTCCACAGTCGTTGATCCCTAAGGTGCAAACATGTCCGGTACTCCGCGGATCGTCAATCCACCAAATTGAGACCAATTAGATGTAAGAGAACCAGCTCTCGCATATTACAACCAAGATATTGAGTAAAGATTTATCTCGGAGAGAAATGCTGCAAGAATTATTATTTAAAGCCTCTGTATATCGACTTACTTGACGAACTATATACTAATACTTCCTACCTGTTTCACTCAATACCCTCTTGATCATGAAGGCCTTTTCCTACGAAAATTCCACCGACGGGCTTCAATTGAAAGACCTGCCCGTTCCAGAGCCAAGTGATGAGAGCGTTCTCATCGAGGTCATGGCCACAGGGATCTGCCACTCAGATTGTCACATCGTCAGCGGCCACGGAGATGACTATATCGCCAAAAGACCTATTGTACTCGGCCACGAAGTCGCGGGAGTAATTAGAAAGATCGGAAAAAATATCTCTGGCTTTCAAGTTGGAGACGCTGTCACCCTCGCGCTTCTTATGCACCCAGTCTCAGAGCGCGTCAACGGCGCATACGTTGGGTTAAGCTTTGATGGCGGCTATGGCCAATATGTTGTCGCTCCACAGAAGGTTCTCGTCAAGATCCCTGATGGCATCTCTTTCGCACAAGCTGCTGTTGCGACGGACGCGTTGGCAACTTCTTATCACGCTGTCGTGGGCGAGGGCAGCGCTCGGCCAGGGTTGGTAATGGGCATTGTTGGACTCGGTGGATTGGGCATGCATGGACTGCAATTTGCCTGTCTCAAAGGATCTATCGTCTATGGCTTCGATATCAATGAGACCAAGTTTGCCCAAGCAAAAGGTCACGGGGCGAAGGAATGCTTCACGTTACTTGATGATGCAACCGATACCAGGATTACATTTGATGTTATCGTCGATTTTGTCGGTCATTCCACCACTACATCCACTGCCATCAAGGCCGTGAAGCCAGGTGGTAAAGTCGTGACAGTTGGTCTCGCGTCGTCGGATGTCACGATTCCATCAAATACAGGCTCGGGTTACATCCTCAAGGGCATAACCATCGTTGGCTCCATCGGCGCGTCAATGCAGGACTTGAAGGATGTTCTCACACTTCTGGCCGAGGGAGCTATTAAACCCGAGCTTACAGAGGTTGCCTTTGAGGACATTAGTCATACTATCAAGCAGCTGGCAGAAGGTACTGTGACAGGACGAGTTTGGACGGACCCGAACAAGGCAATAAACTGATTGTGAAACTTGGTAAGATTTACTAGTTTCTAGAGCATCGGAAGTGAACTACTCAATATGAAAAACAATATAGACCAGCTGAGAATGATCAAAGCCCCCTTTCCCACTTATGACCATTGGAATGAGCCTTGTGAAACAAGTATTCTTGGGGGATTGCCTGCGAGGATTTCTCTGGTGTAATAATGGTGAAAGCGAGCCCCGCAGTCGTGCCATTAGTGGCCACCAGGATGGACTCCGCAGTTGTCGTAGTTCTATAGGCCGCATGCGTAGAGAGACGACTTGACTCGTCATATGGTGGAGGTAGTCTCCTCACGAGTGACAGACGTCTCGGTGCTACTTCCTGACTCTGTTAACGCCGACAGGGCATCTTTCGGGCTCAGCTACGCCACTGCATTTAATAGTCACACAAGTGAAATTAGACAGTCCCACTATCAGGCTTAGCAGTCAAGCTACACTAACTATCCAAGTTCTACAAGAGCGAGAAATTCAGTTGTCACGAAGAAAATACCAAGATTTAGGGTTGCAAAAAGAAGGTCTAATTAATAGCGCGTCTAGATGGTCATTATTCTAAAGGGCTCCAGAAGAAGAACAGGAGATGCTAGCATCTAGAGAAGGGCCGCAAAGAGGGCAGCGAAGAGAGTAGCAGCACCAACAACCTGCTTGCCGGCACCGTTGATGACAATGGGGACGGTGGTGGGCTTAGGGCCGCTGCCGTTGGAACCGTGGCAGTCAGCACCGTTGCAGTGAGAACCGCTGCCCTGAGAGCCAGCGGCCTTGGCGCCGGGGCAGTTAGGTCCACTGCAGTGAGAGCCAGAGTTGGAGCCAGGGCAGTTAGGGCCGGTGCAGTGAGGGGCAGAGTTGGAACCACTGTGGGAGGTAGAGTTGGTGTAAGTTCCGTTGTAACTAGCGTGGCCACCGTGAGTGTAACCGTGAGCAGGAACCTTGACAGCAGGGCACTTGGCACCATTGCAGACAGGAACCATCTCAGCCTTGCAGTTATCAGGGGTACCCCACGAGTTCTCCCAAGGCTTATACATAACCTCTCCCTTCTTGCAAACCTCGCAATCTGCAGCGACGTAGAAGGTCTCGTGGTTCCACCAGTCGTGGCACTCCTGTGTCTTATAAACCTTCTCGCCGGCGCAGCTTCCACCGGAGCAGAACTTGGGGACGTATTGGTGACCGCCCTGGCAAGAGCACTCCTCAGTGATGAAAACCCACTCGTTGTCACAGTCGCTGCCGTTGACCTCGATGAAGATGAAGACGGTGTGGTCGGAGGTCTGGGTGTAGCACTTTCCGTTGAAGCAGACCTGGGCGGCGGTGACGGTCTCGGTGGTGGTGGTCTGGGGGCCAGTGACGGCGGTGGTGAAGGTGGTGACGAGAGTGGTCTGGTCGGTGACAGTCTCGGTAACAGAGTCAGTGACAGTGGCGCCGGCACCGACAGCAGAGACGTAGACGGTCAGAAGACGGCCAGCGGCAACAGCTTGACGAGCCTGGAGACGGTTGCGGCGGGTGTCACCACCGCAGAAGTTGTCGCGGTCGCCAGGGCACTCGATGTCACACTGGTCAATATCAACACGGCTGGTGTTATCGGCATCAACCTCATCACCGCAGTAGCATGCACTAGAAATGTTATTAGCGATAATTCACAAGCATAGATGAGGAGGAGACTTACGTGTCGTAAACACCAAAGTAAGCACGGCCAACACAGAGAGAAGCACAGCGCTCAAGGTCCATCTGAGCGTTGGTCTCAGCAAGCTCGAAGGTGGGGAAACCGGCGGAAGAACCGACACAGCCGAAGAGGGTGAAGACACCGACAGAACCAGGGAAACCAGCGGGAGAAGTAGCAGAAGCAGAAGCAGAAGCCTCGGTGCCAGTGGCAGTACCAGTAGGAACAACAGTCTCGCCCTCAGAGTTGGTAGTGGCACCCTCGCTGTTGGTAGCAGCGCCAGTCTGAGTACCAGTAGGGAAAACGGTCTCGCCTTCAGAGTTGGTGGTGAAGCCAGCGCTGTTGGTCTCGATGGCAGTCTCAGTAGGGATGACGGTCTGTCCCTCGGAGTTGGTGGTAGCACCCTCAGAGTTGGTACCGGTAGCGATAGCAGAGCCAGTCTCAGTGCCAGTGGGGATAACAGTCTCACCCTCAGAGTTGGTAGTAGCGCCCTCGGTGTTGGTGCCAGTAGCGACCTCAGTGCCAGTCTCGGTAGCAGTCTCAGTGTTAGCGCCAGTGGGAAGACCAGTAGAGCCACCGTCAGTAGCAGCAGCGACAGCGAGGTTGGAGACATCAAGCTGTACGGGCTCAGAACCACAAGACTGGAGGAACTGGATATCGGGCTTGTCGGAGTTGAGAGCAGTAGGGTTGCTAGCCTGCTCAACGGCAGCGCCGTTGGTGTCGGCAAGAGGCTCGGAGTAGATGGTCTCGCCGTCGAGCTTGACATCGAGAGTGCATCCCTCGAAAGCACGCTTGCGGCCCTCAATCACAGCATTGACGGTGATGTCGAAGCGGATCTGGATCTCGGCTCCGACCTTGATCTCGGTGATTCCGGGAGAAGCGCTGAACTCAGCAACGCCGTTGGCTCCAGCAGACATGCGACTAAAACAGTATCAGATGGTGTCCTATATCAGGCTTTTGAGGTATACATACACGATAGTCTCGCCATTGGGACCAGTGACGAAGCTTGAGCCCTGACCAAGGGTGGCAGAACCAAGATCAACAGACTGAGAACCACCAGGGGCGGTGGTAGAGCTGGGAGCTGCATCGGTAGTAGTGTCGATGTTGGTTGGGAGAGTAGTGCTAGACTCAAGAGCAGAAGTGCTGCTGTTGGTGAACCTCTTGAAGTTCTGGGCGAAAGCGCCCGAGGCACAAGCCACGAGAAGACCTGAAGACAGACGCATAGTGAAACGAGCGACTATGTTAAAGAATGACTAAAGAACGAATGAATGAGCGAGTGAGTTGATGAATTACAACAAGACATGCAAAGTTGATGAGTATATATAGATAATGACATTGGGATCCATTGTATACGACAATAGCATTTGATCTGTTGCTTGGGATGGTGGTAGCAAGTCTAGAACAGCGTACCTTGCATTAGAACATTCCTTTTCGGCTTGTTCGCCGAGTATCCAATAGTAGCAACTAGTAAGTTAAGACATCTTCAGTACCGACATTCCACCTATCATTGCGTCCCCCAATAGAAAACATCCATAAAAAGCGTTCCTGGTTCCAGGCTATTGGAATCTGAAGTATGCAAGGGGATGTCATTGAATAACGGGCACGGTGGCGCTAGATGACTTAGCGTTGCCGTTCAACCATGAGCCCCTGGGACTAATGCTGATTTGCTGGGCTAAGTGGATGGCATTGTTATGTTAATCTGGTATTTTAATCTTGGAATGCAACTATTGAGAGCTAGTCTGCATCTGTCAAAAATGTTTCGCGCGAAAGCTTGACTAAAAGCTTGATCTTCTCCATAAGTGGAGTTGTAGGGAATCGATAGTTCAAGGGAGCCTCAGCTACGCCATATTCGGGGCCTTTGCTTGGCATGTCATTCATTATGTTCAGAAATGAGGCATTTTATGGGTAAACAATTTTATTGTTATGTGGATTGAATGACCCAAAATACGTTCCCGAGGATGTGTTGTTTTTCTAGTCCGGAGCTTTTGTTACAGCTTCTCCATATCATAACATTGAGTGTCATCATACTATGGAGACAATTGCAGACCAGCCTGTCCAGGAAATGTTGATGAGTCATGACTAGGACTTCTGGGACCTCCAAATGCTTCGTGTAACCGCGGCTATCTGGCGACGGCCGTTCCAGATCGGGTAGAAACCGACCATTATGAGGGTCCACCAGAGCCAGATCAGAGACACAACAATCCATGCAGTGAATAACTGTGAGGGTAGCGATCAGCAACACATTAACATGACATAATAGGGATAAGGTAACAGAATAATAAATAACTGCAGGGTAGGAGATGATAATAAACTTACCTCTTTGCTGAAGATAAACTTCGCTGCATACATTGGCAGTGGCCATAATACCCAGTGACCAAGAAATGTAGCAACAGCCCACCATAGAGCATATTTAGTCCATCGGCGTTGATTATTGTCATCAAGAGTCTGATTTGACGCCGTTTCAGCTGTTGTAACTTGCTCTGTCCCTTTACTTTGAGAACTCTCGGATCCACTGGAGTTATCATCAGGTTCAACTGCCAGCCTCTGTTCCTTGAATTGGCTCCAGTCATAGTTATCAGGTTTTAGATAAGTAATCACCACACTGTACAGCAATGGACTGAATAAAGATGCAACGGTGCCGTACATACAGGGTAGGGTCCCTCCCGTAGACGCGACCGTTACTTCTCCGGAAAAGGCATATGCGGAGCCAAGCCATACCCCGAGGCCCGTTGCCATTCCTAGGAATGCGGAGCTAATAGCAGCAAGCTTAGTCTGTTTGCGCCAAATGATTGTGAAGATTAGTGGTATAACGCCGGGACACGTTAGAATTCCTGATAGATACCGTTAGTAAACAATGGGCTTAACGCGACTGTAGGTCTTACCGAGCATATAGAGTGTCCAGCCCATATCCACTCCAATGTAATGAAACATGGCTGTGAAGGCGGCTGCTACAACGCCAAACAGAACAACTCCAATGTGCCCCCATCGGATCACCTGCTTATTGGAAGCTTCTCTGTTGAAGTATACGCGGTATATATCGAACGTAAGGATCGAGGAAACGGCGAGGATCTGTGCAGATAGAGTTGACGTAACGGCCATGAACGTCATTAGTAGGACTGCCACGGCGCCTCCCTTGCCAGCGACAGCAACAGCAACATAGGGCAGAGCAAGACCATTTGTAACCTCGGCACCAGTCATTGGCTATTGCAACATTAGCGCTCAGTAGAAGAATAGCTTTGAGAGGGGTATCGTTTACTCTTGGATACGTAGGGAAGATAGGAAGAGCTTCGAGTCCCAGTGAAGCCATCCCAACAATAGTACCAAGCGACCAGGGTATGCTGAAATAAGAGATACCGCCCAAGACATAACCTGGGACAACAGCACTCGGCGACGCAGCGAAAGCCTTAAGAAAGTACCCCGTATCCATCTGATCATGTTAGGTTTCGGCTAGTGACTGGGAGAGGCTGACATACAACAACAGCCCCGAAGTTCGAGGTCAGAAGGATGATAGCAAAGTAGATGCCCTGTTGAGAGGTCATGGTGAGTAGAGAACCCTCATAGTTGCCTTCAACAACGTGATTTGACTGGGCGTCAACGACCAGATCATAAAGGCGTCCGATTGAGCCGACAGATTCCGATGTGATCACCTTAGCTGTCAACCAACAGCTCAAAATGAGGATGGCGAAGGTATGGATGTAGTCAGTGAGGAACCTAGATCCAGGGTCAGCAACTGCCTTTGACGCGATTCTTGGGTGAATTACGTTGCCTTGATGCCACCAACGAGTGTATAGAGGACGACTCCAAGAGGCAGCAAGAAGGTCGATGCCATGATGTGCATGCCGGTTCTGCGGAGAGTCAGTGGTGCACTCATCAATCACTTATTAGAGGCGAGGAGCTTACAGGAACGAGATGGCTGCCGATGCGCCTAGGATCATGTTGATCGTATTGAGCAGGTTGTTCACAATAGCCAAGAATGTGAAGCTCAGGTGCGCGACAGTTCCTGTAAAGTTCAGTATAACAGAATCCTCTCTTCAAGCCAAGATGACCCACCGTATCTGATACGAATAACCTCGAGAATGGTATGAGCCTCAGGAACGCGCCCCTTGCAAACTGTTCCCAGGTACCCGAAGAAGACAATGACAGTTGAGCACCCAGCACCATACCAGAAGGCGCCGCTGATGCCGTAGCTGTAAGTTACGAGGACGCAGCTTAGCAGCGCCGTGCTCCATAGCCATGACTGGAGTCTCATCAGTATATCATGTCGCTGAATGGGGTAAGTCGCAGTGGCGTACCGAGACAACAGCCGATGCGACAAGGCCGGTTCGTACTGTTCTGTTGGCAACCATGAAGCTGCAATCGAATGGTTAAAATGAGTAGTTCCTCAGAGAGAATAGGAATGGCTTACGTTTCCACTTTAGAATTGTCTTCGTTCAATGTCTTCTTCAAGATGGCCGTCAAGCCCATCATACCTATTACTATAGTCAGCACTGCCGGCTCTTGATCTAACCTCAGCATGGAACTAACCAAAGGCAAAGGCCAAGCCAGCTGCAACCACGACGCCATATCCAACAGATTGGGGTAGAGGTGAGGGCACGACGGAAGTCTCGGTTGATCGATAGTTGAGATCCATTGTGGCGATTGAGATGAAGGAAAGGTCCGTATAGACAGTTCAACCGCTTGAGATCCTCAACTTGGATCTGAAGGGCCTTTTATGTAAATTTACCTTTAGCTCAACATGGCCAATTGCTCAGGATCGTCGGCGATGGCGAAATCGCGCGCTTGTACAACCAATCTGTGAAACCTAGGAAGGGTGACGTTGCACTATCTCCAAGTGTCGTTCAGGCAAGCAATCAACAGCATGAAAGACATCAAACTTATCTATAAAGAATGAAGGACTAGTCAGCCACACAATATTTGGACAGACATGAATGGTCGATATCTTGCCCCGGAATTGGATCGGAACCTGCATTAACAGGGTTCGCGCCCGGACTTCCAGATTCGGTTTAACGTCGATCACCTCATCTTTGTTGAATATGTTCAACAGTTGCATCAGAACCGATTTTGTGAATATGCCTCTGGGGAATTAATCTTGATCAAGATAAGAGAACTCGATGCAAGACCATCATTATGCGCCTAATTCGTGTAAAACCTGCCGGCAGAGGCGGGTCAAGTGTGACAGGGCCCTCCCCAGCTGTCACCGCTGTGCATCCTCACTGCTACCGTGCTCAGGGTATGAGCGAAAGAAAAAGATTGTTTGGACCAACAGCATGGCCAGTAGAGGAAAGATGATGGGCAAGGCCACGTTCGACACGATCAAGGACAATGCTCATGACCATGGAAATATAGTTGTCACTGAGCTTTGCACAAATTTCCCAAGTACTAAATCGTGCTTAGTAGACCCGGGTCTACAGGAGATACCCAGAAGCTGTCGGGAGTACATACGCTACTGTGAGTCACCTCTGGGAGCCTTTTCGTACAGTCACTAATTTGGAATACTGCTAGTTCATCAAGAGCTCTCCAAAGAGTGCGTCGTTTACAACAACTCATCCTTCAACCCCTTCCTTTCTCTCATGCCTTTAATGTCATTCAGCCAGGCTTTATCCCATATAATGATTTCCATCTCAGCCTTCCACATCGCGCACCGACTTGCCATCAGTCAAGCTCAGCTACAATCAGATCATGGTGCGGTGTTACGTATAGCTTTGATGAACAAACAGAAAGCATTGAAATGCTTAAAACTCGAATTACACATCCATCCTGAGATGAATAGTGATGCAGTCATCGCTGCTGTGTTGCTATTCGTCAATCTCGATGTTGTAGAATTCGGCGGTCGAGGTTGGAAGTACCACCTACGGGGGGCGGAAGAACTTATCAGAATTCGGAAAGGGCTTGTGAAAAGTGATTCAGAGAAATGGCTGCAGTACTTTGATACTGCTTGTACAACGTAAGCGTCTCGCTGAGCAGTAGTGAATTCTCTACTGACTGAGGCTCTAGGTTCGGGATATTAGGCAGTACCCTGATTCCATCCCATTCACTCGGTGGAGCACCAATACCTTTGGATTCTGCATTCCTTGATACGCTTCGACGGTCTGAGCATTTGGCATGGATCGGCTGTCCAGCGCACCTCCTCTCGTTGCTACATGTTATGAACACGCTACGTGATGTACCAGATCATACCAACATCTCGGGTGAAACCGTCAGTTCAATTCTTGATGGACTGGGTAGCTTCTCGCCGTCATTTTGGGCAAAGGACTTCCCAGATCCTCGCCATCACGAGTCAAGATATCACCTAGCCTACGCATACAAAGCCGCAGTCAGCGTCTACGCCTCTCACATTATTGAAGAAACATCTAGTCGACCATCACTGCGCCCGCCAGAAGCTTTGCGATTAACAGAGCTTGGTATAACGCATATGTCGCAGATACCAGCAAGCGACTTCCATATCAAAAGTCTGGTATGGCCCGCTTTCGTCCTGGGCGCCGAGGTTCAAGACTTGGGTGCAAGGGAGAAGGTAAAGGACATTATGCACAATATCTGGGTATCTTCATGCTGCTATAATGTTAGGACCGCTGTAGGGATGCTTGGCCGAATTTGGGAACGGGGACAAGATAGTGACAAGTGTAAACGCAGTTGGTTGAGATTTATCTGGGAGCAAGACGAAAGCTGGTTATTTCTTTGAGATATTTATAAAGATTTAGCCAAGATCACGTTCATTTCATCACAACGCAATTTGGGATCTCATTTTGGCAAAGTAATAATTTCTTATAATAGATCCATTTCAGATCCCATAACTCCTTCATACATCGGTCCTTAACGCCAGAGCCCCTTCTAACTATAGCAGCAATGCTCCACCTCAAGCTCTTCCCTAGTTGACTGAAGCCTGGCTGAGGTTCTGAATGATTCGGCCGCCATCAAAAAGACCGTTGGCGGCCTTGGCGCGGCAAAGGTCCTTTCCACGCTCGATGACGTTCGCATCACACTGCAAGTTTGCCTGTGCAACGCAGCTCAGTCGGCCACCACCTATGACTATCGTTAGGGACATACCATACACATTCTCTTGGCTACCACTACTCACAGTTGTTTCCACCGGGAACACAGCGACCGGCTTGGCCGTTGGCAGCCGTGCAAGCGTCCTGCTTCAGGCTAGTGTTGGCGACGCAGCATTCACCGCTGGGGACAGGTCGACCACCGTTCTGGCCATTCTGGCGGGCAATAAGAACAGAACTGCGAGGTGCGTTGCGGACACCTTCAGTGTCGACGGTGCCGGCGGAGGCAAAGGCAGCGAGGCCGAGAACGACGGCGGTGATAGAGAACTGCATTTTGGATTGTTGAAGAGAGGGTTTTTTTTTTTGTTTGTTTTCTGGACGATTGGTTGTGAAGAAGAAGATGTAGGATGTGAAATGGATTAACCGACCAGCGGAAGAGAATCGAAAGTAGTTATTAGATGAGATTGTTGAGTGAGAACTGAAGATACAAAGACCGACGGCCCGAAGCTTGTATTTATACTTTTTTCATGAGGCAAAAGACCTCCTACGATGTCCCTTTAGCGCTTCCATCCAAAACGGGTGCGGCGTAGTATCCCCTTGCCGAGGCATCGTCTCAAGACTCCTACTATCCCATACCGTATATTCTCGTCAAGTTTACTCAGATTGGATGAGACGAACAATGCCTGGTGTTCAGGTTGAGACCAATGAAACGATTGCGAGCAATGAAACGGCTGCATCTCCTGCTAAGTCCAACCCCTGGTCGGGTAATAGCCGCTTTCGGGCTAATCCCGACACCTCGCTTCCTCCGACGTCAGAGAAGTCATAGCTGGCTATATCCACTATTCCTTTTCAAGCATAGACGCAGGGGTCAGCGTTTATCAAAACGGGTAAGGAGCCAGATCTCCAGACAGATCTGAAGTATCTCCTTGCAAGACCATTCAACCTCAGCAATTCTGGCTATTGTCTTGTTTTTAGCCGCTTTGTAAAATGTTTCCAGCCAATCTATTATTGAAAAACTCGAGACTCGATTACTGGAAGTCTTCTAGGTCTAGGCCTGGCACAGCAATGCCTAGGTCTTTCCCGTTCTGATACAGGCCCAAGCTCTTCTCGAGCTTACAAGGATCAACGTTCTTGTTAGAGCTCCAGCCAGGATCAACAATCCTATTAGTGCGCCAGGAGGGAGTCTTGATGCCACGAATAATCTTGAGCACAGAAACAACGCTGTATCCTGAAAATGGTTTCTTGGGCTTCTCCATTGGGAAATTCTTCTCCCGCATTTGTTTCATCAGGTATCCCAGAAGTCTGCAGGAGCATTCTAGAGTGCAGCCAACACGTCCCACGACAAGGTCTTCTTGCAAGCTGTATAGTTGGGAAAACAGCTTGTCAATGAGCCCGCAGCGCCTGTTGTTTATTTCTTCTGCGTTATGTTAGTTATTTGCATCTACGTGGCGATTTCAGCAATGAACTCACCGAGGATTTGGGTTGGTATCGGCAGACATGTTTCAATAAGTCCAAGCGTATTTAGTATTGCGGATCTTGTTAGTCCCTTGAAACATGGTCCATAAGGGAATGTCCTGGCAATGAACAGCACAATTGTCTCATCGTGGCCAAAATCCCCTACGTCCTCGAGAACGTTTTCGTGAAACGGCCAGAGTGAGTATTTCAACCACTTTGTTATCGATGGGCGCCAGGATTCGAAGAATATCTGGACAACCTCCCGGCAGTCATAATAGTCGACGATAACCCCAACCTGAGCTATGGCATCCAATCTCAGGTTGCCTGATACGCTGTAATGATGGCTGTGTATAATATCAAGCACTGTGAGGAAGGCTTCTGCATTCCAGTCTGACGCCGTGATTTCCAAGAGTCCTTCGTTATTAGGTTTTGATTCTTGGAATCCTCCTTGGATCATCTTTCTGAAAACTGGCGATGCTAGACAGAGATGCTTGGCAGAGACGCGAAATTCAATCTGGTTCGGGTGGCCATTTTGCAAGTATGGCTGTAGAGATGTCATTTGATCCTGGGTTTTCGGTGGCTTCATAGTATCGTTCTGTTGTTTTTGAGACGAATTGATCCCGGCGGTCTTGTTTGTCGCTGATATTTCTTGGTCTGTTGGTTCGCGAACCTGTTGCAAATTCGGACACTGTAAAATTAGCAGGGCATCTGCCTGCGGATCAAGTTCAAGCAGAGATTTCTTCATTGTGACCTTGGACATTCAAGTCATCTGAACTAGCATTACAGTTATGGAAGTTTGAAGATCATGGCTTCCCCACCTTAAGTACATTTTTAACCTTTCTTGTATGGAAGGCCTCCCGCATTAATCACGTGCAAGTCTTTCAACTCGTAGAAGCTTTTGGGTAGAAGCTTATATTGTGAAAAGAATATACTGTGTCCCAATCACCTGTGTTAGCAGCCTAAACTTTAACCTTATGGCCAGCAAGTAGCCATAGAGCAAGCCTTTCAGGATGCTACCGGGTAGGAGTTTCTCAAATTCAATAAGGTTGTACGTATAATTGTTAGTTTGCTAGTTATTAGATTCTTTCTCGTGTTGCTGTCATGGCATGGTTAAATAAAAATAATTTCTGCCTCATATCTTTAGTGCTATGCTGAGTTGTACATCCTTTTCTTGTCTTATTATGCTTTGACAGCCTCATCTTTTCTGACGAGATTCACGAAATCTGGACATTAAAGTGGGCGGGCACCAGCTCTTGCTGAAAATATTGCCGCTATACCTTTTATGTAATGGCAACTCTCGTCCCGCTTTTCCATTCAGATTTTTGGTGAATCTCCGCCACACATTAATTCGGGGAATTTATGATCCGGGTCGTCGCGACCGAGCTTATCTTAGCTTGATTTCCCTTATCTGAAGCGAGTTGCTTCAGCCATCTCATTGCAGAATATATCGCCTCTCAAACCTCATTCTTAAGCTCACTTTGGTGCAATTAGCTGGTTGTCACACATTGGCGAGCCTGTCGCCATTTCAACACCAGAATGGAGTGGGCATTTGTGCCTGGGGCACCCACGCAACACTACCCTTTCAGCTATCCACTCGCAAGCTAGTATAAATTCAGAACATTAGCATTTCATTTACCTCGGCATAACGATGTGCAGTTATGTGCCTAGCGGCTCGCAAGCTTAAACCAACAAGGCTGTAAAATTCTTGACCATGTAGATTTAAAAGACAGTTATCGCTCTCCTATGATTTCAGCAGTATTTTCTTACTACCATCAAACCTCATCTCCCGTCGAGTCTTCCCCTTCCCGCCAATTTAGCCGAATCTGCACCCTGGGTCCGTTACCATGTCTAGTCGCACCTCACCAGTACAAATCACCGAATATGAGAGACCACGCGGTTTCACCGCCCTTGTCTTTGGCGGCGCAGTATTCTCTTATATCTGCTTAGCTGGTGTTACCCTAATATCTGAGGAGAACCCGATATGGCAAATACTTGACAACATCTCCCCGGGTAGCGCAGAGACGTTTCGCTGGATTGTCAAGACAGGAGTTCCGCCACTTGTCGTGATACACACCATCGAGGCCGTGGCATTTGACCGTACAAGGTTGATGCCACATGGTGTTCCCAGGTGGGGATTATTGTGGTGGAAATGGGTCCTGAGCTGCTGGATTGAGGGGATTGGATGTTGGAAACGCTTTGCCTCCGTCGTCAACGCGAAGAAGGCGTCAGCAAAGTAACGTCAAGAAGAGGGAAACATACTTTGAGATAAATTTGGGCATGCTTTCAGGACATAGTGAACGCCTCACTGATGAAGAACAAGCCGTCATGGATGTCTTGCGATTGCTATGGAAAGACTGCCAGGCTGCGTAGGCATGATATTGTGAGAAATTGATTATCAGGTATGGAGGTGCTTAGTGGCCATAAGGTTATACTTTGGGCAGCAGTGAGGGTAATGATTGTATTGCCTATATGTGTTGAGATGTGTTCTTTGCCTTTGTGCTGTGGCTCGAAGCTTCTTTTAACCTCTCAACCTTGTACGTACAGTGGGATTATTTTTCATTATCCAAGGTAAATGACAGGTTGATATTGCAGGCGGGCGGCTAAAACACTCTATCGCGGGATTCTAGCGGTTTGAAGACCCAAATTCACTTCTATGAAGCCATGCTCAATCAAAGAATCACCGGTGGAATTGTTGCAATTAATTAAAGTTTTTTCTTGATAACATATGACATACTAGGCTATAGGAAACTGAATGCAATGTGCAACCCAACACTCAAATCTCAACATAAGCGTCCCTAAATCAAGATTGAAACCGCAGTAACCTCTGGCTGAAGAACAGGATACTCAATAGAACCCTTAGTCTGAATCGCTGAGAAATACTCAAACGCCAAACCCGCATTCTTAAGTCGACTATAAAAGACCTCAGCCGCATCCTTGATAGCTTCCGAGTTCAACTCCTTGTTCTCGGTAATAGTGCGGTCCTTGTTCACATTGTACAGAGACTTGGCGTAGGTGATGAGATTATATCGGTCTTCGACTTTGAAGCTCAGTAGCTCGGGCAATTGTGCCGCGAGAAGCCAGTCCTTCCACTTGGCGTCCTTGGTACCGATGGGGAGAGCGTCGGTGAGATGTTGCTCGGTGTAGGCCTGGAGATCGTTGAGGCTCTTGGGAAGAGGTGTGCAGAGCGCGGGTGGCTTTGATGGGACGAAGCTGTAGTAGTAGTCCTGGAGATAATTGACCGCCGTGTGCTGGGGTGATGCAGTGTGGATGCACATGGTGACGGCGTCGATAAGCTGGTCCACGGTGGTGATGGTTGGAAAGGTAGGAATCTGGCCGTTGGTCTGAATCTCCTTGCACCAGTCGGCGATACAGGCTTCCTCAGCGACGATCTTATCCGACGTATACTTTGTCTCCAGAACAGACTTGACAAAGTCTCTGATGATACCCCAGAGAAGATACATATCAGATGCATAGGGATAGTTGCGGTACTTATCACCCATCTCGCCCTCGATGTCAAAGCCTCGCTTCTTGAGATCATTGGGAATGTACTTGTCCTCGAAGTTGAAGTTCTTGTAGGACCAGTTGACGAGTCCAAAAGCACCGACCTTGGGATCCGGCTTGGGCCCAGAGCCAAAGCCAGAGATACGGGCAATGACGAGGGGAACGAGAAGCTTGCGGGCAGCGTCGTTGAGAGCCAGAGTCCTGAACCAATGAGGGCTGAGGATCTCGTAGAGGATGTGACGCTCGGGGATGGTTCGGTTGGTGGCGACGATGATGGCTTCCTCGATCATGTGCGTGTCGACAAGATGGGTAGCAACTTCGTGTCGTGCCCAGTCAGCAGTTTGGGCAACTGTCTTGGCGTATCTCCACGGCCAGTCGTCCTTCTCAGCGATCTTGCCCTTATCATCGGGGGTCAATCTCTGATTGAATATGGTGACGGAGCTATCGAGAGAGCCCTTGTAGTCAAGGGTGATGGCCAGTGGGTGAAGTCGGCCGTCCTCGTGTAGTTGGAAAACCACCACCGAGGCCGCGGCGTACCGATAGCTAGGCTGCCCAGTGGGGTCAGGGTTCTGAATCGTGTTTCGGAACTCTTCATCATTCTTGACGCCAGTGGCCTCACGGAAGTAAGAGTAATCCTGAATCAAAAGATCCTTGCCGTCCTCGAGAACCTTCTTCACCGCGTCAAGACCTTGCTTCTCTGCCTCAGCAATGTAAGCTTTGATCTTATCAGCAGGAGCAGTCTCGATGGTTGATGGATTAACACCGCTGAAGTGCTGTTGGGCAAACTTGGCGTCAGAATACCAATCTTCGTGTTCACCGATGTTTCTGCCCTTCATAATATCTGCGTTCTGACTTTGCTTGACACCAGCGCTAGGAGCACCGTTTGGCTTCTCACTCTGGCCGTCAGCAGATTCGTCCTTTGGCAAGTTATCCTTGTTCCACTTCTCAACGTCGGCAAGGGTCGGTCCGACGTATGGTCCATCGGTTGAAGAGAGCTCCTTGGGAATGATGAAGGAGAACATGGAAGCAATCTTGATAACAAAGTTCCTCTCCGTCTCGTTGAAGATCTGTCCAACGCCATCTTTTCTAGGGCCACCATCCAGGCTCTGTTGCTCATCAGGAGGCAGGGTGTTCAGATGAGGAGGATAGGAATCGCTGGGGTTGCTCCATTGGTAGGTATTCTGCTTGAGGGCTAGATCACGTTTAACGGGAAAAATGGGCTCAAATCCTTGAGTGTCAAAATGAGAGGCGGCACTGGTCAATGATAATCAGTGGACTTGAAAATCGCGAAAGAGGAACGTTTTGCTTACGCTTCTTCGAGGATCTTGTACAGCTCAGTCAAGGCCAAGCGTGTGCCCATATAGGTACCCGTCTCAAGACCACTTCGCGCGACAAGCTTGCCATTGAGAGCGCCAGTCTTGTCAGTGTTGAGGACGATTCCCTGTCTGAGAAGCTCATTCAAGAAGACGCCCTTGTCCCAGACCTCGAGAGGATCGTCTTCAACAGCATAGTTGACTTTGGAGTTGAGAATCTCGTCCAATGTCAACTGAGGAGGACGGGGAGCGACAGGAGGTGCTGCTGCCATAGTGGACAAGAGCTTGCTTGGTAAGGAAGAAGGTTGAATGGTGAGAGTGATGAGAGGTAGAGAGATGTAGATAGTTCTGGTGATGCTTGATCAGCTCCTTTATATAGGTTCCGCACCTTTCCAATTCAGTTACTCTATAGAGATAATGGCAACTCTTCGTAGCAGCAAAGACAATGTGACCGATAACGTAAGACTGCCCCTCAGCCGTTCTCGTGTGGGCGGTTAACATAAACAGTCTAGATCTATCAGCAGCATGTTGGTCAAGAAGAGTCTAGAATGCGTAATGTTTCGAATAACAACCTCAGCTCGCCACAAGAAAAATACATTTCTCAGCCAGCCACATGTCCATCGCTGCACCTGAATAGCATGTTTATTAGGCACCGCGAAGGAATGGAGTCCCCGGGGTGCTAGCTCCGGTTACAGACCAGATGCTTCAAGCATGAAAAAGTAAGCTAGGTTCGTTCCCAATCAGGAGTTGGCCCCATGCCACGCGGCCCGAGCCTGTTTCGAACCAACTACGCAAGTGTCTAGAATTATACGCCCTGTCAGTCAACAATGCCCAGGCGACAGTAGTTATTCAGACTATTAACTGTACGAAATAGGTTTAGGCTTTTAGCGGGTAAGCCGATGACTTGAGAGCGCCAACCAGGGTCAACGGAAAATGATACGGGAAAGCCCCTGTTCTTAGTAAGCGCTGAAGCCATATGCATATTGATAGCTGGTATTATAGGAGCTAGGCGAATTCTCTTACATAAGATGGATATGGGGCGTTGAACATCAGCCACGCATTTAAGCGGTGTGCAGTTGGTCATCACGTTGAAACAGATGTAGATACGATGAGACCACTCGTATCTTGCATCTACTCAGCCCAAGTCTAGGCCTTATCGTGGCGCAAACACTGTCAATTGTTTCAGTTGGTACCATTAGCATCCTACTTGTGCACATTATCCCCTTTAAAACTACTAGATTCACGTTTTGTGGCTGGCTGACCATGCCAGAATTGGCGTTAGACCCATTGTATTGTCGCTGAAATAGGCTACGTGGCCGCTATGCTAGCAACAAAACGGCGAGGACCCGCAGGTGCATTGACAATTAGGTTTAAACCCCAATAACGTACGTTCTCTGCATCGCGGCAATCAATGAACCCAATCATATCTACAGTATAGCTGATTACACCATCGACTAGCCTGTATGTCTCAGATTCCGTCATAAGCCATGTTCTTATCACTATTGCAGTATCTGCACGTTGAATCACGAGCCTGCATGGAGCTGAAACTTAACCTGGGTAGACCTGGATATATAGGCATGTAACATGAAGAGCTGCTATTGGAGGAATTAAGTTCGTGATTAGTTCAGCAGCGTAAATAATCTCTGATAATAACGGGCTACTCCACCTGCAAATACGATATTCGGCAATTCAAGAATATGCTGCATAAATGCTCTACCTCTCCCGTCAGCATGAGTAAGCTTACTATCATTGTGGCTAGCTGAGATACATTTCCCTCACCTACTCGTGATGGGGTTTGCATAAGCCTAGAGCATCATGTCTACTCGATGTCTCGACTACACGACCACTAGTGGTGGACGATAGAGTCCGGAACGCCTCGCTTGACTTGGCAGCGGCCGCTCTAGAACAATATCCCTACTTATGTGATTATATTGTCGGGTTACGTGCTGGCAACTGGCAGATACGGGCAAGTGTTGTGTATTCAAGTGTATCGCACTTGGTCTCTCAAGATCACCTTCATATCAGCCTCAAATATCTGCTCTTCTCGCATTGAACTCACTATCATTCAGTTTTCCTGTCTCTCAAACTATTTGCAAGCTTTTTTCACAATGTCCACTCAAGTCATCTACCCAAACACTGGTGCGAGCAGCACGCCAGACCAGACATCCAAACCTGCCCCAAATGTTTCGTCAACAGAGACTCAGCCGCCTAAAGACCAGCTTCCGCAAGACTTGGTCAATGCTATGCAAGCAATCTTCGGCAAGCACCCTGGCTACCGAACAAGTGAGTTTCTCAAGACAACTGATCCAAGACCAAGGCTCACATTTTATCCCTATAGCTCATGCCAAAGGTCTTCTCGTGGAGGGCACTTTCACGCCAACAGAAGAGGCGAAGTCGCTTTCTACAGCTGCTCACTTCAACAATCCTTCAACCAAGGTGATCGCACGGTTCTCTGTGGGCGGTGGTATTCCTAATGTCAAGGACGTTGCCGACGGTGCTACACCCAAGGGCATCGCCATTCGGTTCCAGATTGACGAGAATACACACACCGATCTGATCAGTCACTCCTTCAATGGTTTTGCCACCCGCAACGGGGAAGACTTCTTGGCCTTCCTCAAGCTCTTTGGGGCTGATGGGTTCGCCGAGAGGGAGCTCAAGAAAGCCAAGGATGGGGGCGGAGACTATTCTAAAGAGCAGAAGCTTTACGATCAGGCTCACGCTGCATTTTTGTCCTTCCTTGGAAACCCTGAGCACAAGTCTGCTGCAGTCTTTGTGGCCTCTGAGAAGCCGAACCCCCATAATTACGGAACCATCACTTATTACGAGCCCAACACCCATGTCCTGACCAACAAGGACGGCGACATCACAAACGTCCGCTATCGTCTTGATCCAGCTGATGGAGAGCATCTCTACCCTAACAAGACTCCTGAAGACAAGGAGGTGCTTGCGAAGCTAGGCAACGACTACTTGGAGGATGACCTCCGACAGCGCTTCCCAGACAAGCCAATCGTGCTTACCATTCAAGCGCATATTGCGGATCCTGACGATGTGCTAGACGATGCTACCAAGCCTTACCAAAGCAAGACGTTCATCCCCGTTGGCAAGTTGGAGATCAACAAGGTTTCGGATGACAATGCTGCTAAACAACAAGAGATCGCATTCCATCCCAACCCGGAGAAGGGCGGGATTCAGGGCATCAAGTCGTCCAACGACCCTTTGATCCAAGCAAGAAAGGGTGTTTACTGGATCAGTTCGGAGCAGCGAAGACATGAGAAGCAAATTGAGTAGGATACTGTTGATACTAAGTCCTAGTAAGGAGGCAAAGGATAGACTCAATTGAGGATTAGTATTAGAAGGATCTAGCCTTTTTATTAAATCTATTTTGCGAAGCAAACGACTTAGTAACACGTCAGCATGTAGGATATGCAATTAAGAGTTTTGAACCAAGAGGCGTTGATTGTGCCTTGCTCAGCCTGATTCTTCAGCCTCACTTTTCATGCAGCCCCGCATCTCCTTTCAGCTGAACTTCTTCTCAAAGAGTTGCTTATCTGACAACTTACAGCTTCTTATTCTTATTCTTGTACAACTGGACACAGCGGGAATTATCATGACTACTACACAACGCGCCTTTGAAGCGGCGATGCTTGATTTTAAGGACAAGCTCAAAGACCAGAGCTTCTATGACCAAATTCTCCAAACGACTAGCATCGAGCAAGTTTACGGCGATATCGAGAAGCTACAAGACAGGCAGGCGAAATCCGGCCGTCTTCGCCACTTGTCTAAGATCGAACCATTTCTAGCTCGACTTCGGGATTACAGTAGTGTCGTTGAGACGTTCGTGCAGGCCAAGCCCGATATCCTAGCGCTCATATGGGGCCCGATCAAGCTTTTATTACTCTGGGCGGACGTTTTGAAGCAATCGTTTGATGCTCTTGTGAATACGCTGGAAGAGATCGGGAACATTCTCCCTGACTTTTGCGAACTGGCCGAAATGTTCGCAGATAACAATCGCTTACAGGAACTGTTGGTGCTGTATTTCCGCGATATACTCGAGTTCTATCTGATTACTACCACCTTCTTCAGTATGCGCCGTAAGTCTACCACACTTCCGATGCTACATCTCGTTCTCACAATGAGAATCAGGCCTCCGAGTTGTCTTTGAGATGTTCTGGCCAAGCCGCAGAGATCAGATACAGGTCGTGGTAAAACACATAGCAAGCCATCGTGACCTCATCAGAAGCGAAGTTCGTATGGAAGAGATACGAAGAGCGAACGAACTGCGAGACCGTGAACTACAACACTTCGTACAGACAGAGGAGAACAATATCGCTCAAGAATATGCTAGTCATCGGGCACACATTTCACCAAAGGGCTACGACGGCGACCTCTATCGCTTCAGCGAAGCTGTTTGTAACGGTACCGGAAAATGGCTCTTCCGAGATCCATCATTCCAAAATTGGCTTGCCGGTAAAGAGAAAGCAAAGCCAATTCTATGGCTGCGAGGTATTCCAGGAGCCGGTAAGAGTATAGTTCTGATCTAATTCAAGAGGCTTTCACTGATTAGCTGCTTGTTTAGGCAAGACACTACTCGCAAGCAGCGTGATCAAACATGCTCAGCAATTGCAGGGTGCCCATACTGTATTCGCATTTCTTACCTACCTTGACAGTAGCATTTCCGCTCTTTCTATCCTCCATTCATTGATATTCCAATTATCCTCCAATTCTCTCACCCTTAAGACACTGTTATGTCAGTCGGACCTGCAACAGTTGGGAAATGATTTCAATGTTGCTGCAACTCTTTTCCAAACGCTCATCCAGAGTGCAGGCGTTGTACGTCTCATCATTGACGGCCTAGATGAGATCGATCCTACACAACGCTCGAGGCTGATAAAGGAACTCGTGAGGCTGAGTGGCGAATGTGAAGAGTGCCACATTTTGTTAACGAGCCGTCATGAAAGTGATATTTCGCGTGATTTGGACGGAAAGGCCATAAACATACAGGTCGACCAAAAGAACGCCGGTAGTATCCAGGTCTTCATCAATCAAACCATGGGGGAGTGGTTCAAGGATAGGGGATTCGTTGAAGACATTCGCGACCAACTCCAAGGTTGGGCTGCACCACTGGCATCTCGAGCAAAAGGTCTCTTCTTACAATCTCAAGGTCTTTCAACCAAGGTTACTATTTACGCAATTCTAACTTTAGTACAGGAATGTTTCTTTATGTAAAAGTTATCTTTAGGATAATATATTACATCAATGATATCGGAGACATTCAAAACCAACTCCAACATCTCCCAATATCTTTGGAGGACGCGTATGCGCTTGCTTCCTATATCTGTTGCCCTACTAACAATCTCCTGTTACGGCAGAGTCTTGCAACAAATCAACGCCTCTACAGACCCCCAAAGAAAGAAACTTGCTCTCTCGATACTTGGCTGGGTCGGATGTTCCCCATCGCCCATGGCAGTGAAAGAAATCGAGCAGGCATTGCTTGTTGACCCAGACCATCTCTTCAAGCAACCTAGAGTTCAAGCGAAGGTCAATGTTATACAGGTCTGCGGCCCAATCGTCGATGTAGTCGAAGGTTATGTGCAATTCGTTCATTTCACTGTCAGAGAGTATGTCATATGGACGCATCCTTCATCAATGACTAACACCAGTCAGATACATCTTCAGCCCCAAGATCGAAAATTACATTCCCCTCTCTGAGATGGCCCTTGACTTGGCTATGCGCTGCGTCGTGTATTTATGTCAGGACCATCACGACCCAGATCTCACCGGGGATGAAATCGATGCCAACATACTTTGGGGAGCATATCGATTGCACCACTTCTCATCGAAATTCTGGCTTGACCTAATAAACCAGTATCTAACCTTATCTGGCTCGACAACCCTGCCTGTCACTCTCATCGAACAGCTGAGGATACTCCTCGAGACACGATCCTCGGAGGGTCACATCAAGATTGATCAAGGCGACAGTTGCTTACACCCAGTCATTCTTGGCCTGGAGTCTCAAGAGCCTGCCTTGGTAGAGATGCTAAAGAGTTGTACTGAGTTTCAGAAATCATCATCCAAGTCAGACTTTCACCTCAATAACCGTTAGTTCATTGAACACAAAGACTATTTGACCATTGCTAACCTGCCCAACAGCGAACCAGTGGCTTCACACCAGTCCACTCTCCCTTCCCCAAGTTTCTATTGCTCTCCATGAGCGGCTCGACGATCTTGTTGAACAGGGATACTCCAGCCTGGAATTAATTTCTTACCACTATGGACCGAAGTACTTAACATGCGGGTTTTTGGGCTGCCATTATCGGCGTTACGGCTTTGAAACGAAGGCAATCCGCCAAGCTCACGAAAAACATCATCAAAAGCCGTGGAACTGCAGTTACCCAGGCTGCCGCTATGAAACCAGAGGGTTTATCTCACGTAAGATGAGAGATCACCATTTGAAAACCGGCCATCCCCATTCTGCAGATCCTGATTTGCCAGACCCGTCTTTCCCTGAGAAATTCGAAGATGAAGAAATCCAACCTCTAATGTTCGACTTGATTGAATCTAATCAGGTTCAGATTATAACGTCATTGACCCCTCGCTTGGACAGTTTGGAACGTTCGGTGCAGAGAGAGCTATCAAACTACGCTGCGAGGATGGGCTCTTCCTCAATCCTGCAACTGTTTCACGACTGTGGGTTACTGACAAGGGCATTTGTTAAGGGCAGTGACTTGGAGTGGGATGCGTTTGGTGATCTGGCCCAGAATGCAGTGCGAAGTGAGAGTGTCAGCCTGTCCAAGGTTTTGCTCCGCTGGTGTGCTATACTAGACTTACGGGTAAAAGCTAAGTTCAGATTTCAACTAGCGACAAAGAATATCCTCTCAACCATCATCGCTGTGCAGTCCCAGGACCTCTTCGACTTATGGAAACCGAGGCTTGGTAATGGGTTCGGAATCCCAGGTACGGCCGCAGACACTGCACATGGGCTCGCGTTCCAGGGTGCTATAGCCACCACTGAGAATATCCCAAACCGCGAACGCATGCTGCTTGAGATTTGGCAGGAATTCAAGGTTCTGGATACAATAGCAGCGCGAGCACGGGATAAGATTCTTGCAAGTATTGCCAGTTCAACCTGTTCTATCAATTTGACAAGGTATGCACTGAACAATGGCTGCAAAGTTGATGCCCAGTCCAGCTACAACAGTTTAACCGCATTGCAAATCGCAGCGAGGAATACTACGGAGCAAGCAGCAAAGCTCATGGAGTTCCTGCTACTCCAAGGAGCAGACCCAGACAAGGGGACGGCAAAAAAGAGGATCGGGGAAGAAAAAGGAGCACGGCAAATTTCAAGATGGTTGGGAGTGACATGGGAACAGTTGGTTGAAAGAACTACAAAGAAACGTCACAGGAACGAGAAAGATGAAAACTAGAATGACAGTTCTTGTGATACTCACGGCTTCAGTAAGAGATTACTCATGTCGCTGAAATCTTCTTGTAGTATATAGGCAGGTTCAAGTTGTCAATTGAATTTTCATTTATATATCCTTGCTCGGAGCAAGAAATCGCTCAAGGCTCTGGATGTAGTTAGCCTGGGGTCTCTTTGCTTTCGCACTTTATGCATACCTTTAAAGTTTCATCGTCCATGCTATTCCCACCAGAGTCATCATTGACGCTCCATGTATTTTGAATGAGTTGAGCCTTCTCAAGTTGGATGCTTTGAACATACTACTCGAGATAATTAGACCTAGCTTATGCCTTGATTCATAGACATAGATGGATACTACAAACCTCCTCAATCGAGTCCAGAGTAATATACTTTGTGGCAGTGACGTGACGTTGCTGACCAATTCGATGAACACGTGCAATCGCTTGCTCTTCGGCCATGGGGTTCCAATGAGGCTCCAGCAGATGCACGTTATTAGCAGATGTTAGATCAATGCTAGAAGTCAGTTATCCTATTAGCACTTTCCTTCCTCTAGGCCTGTGAATACCTACCCTTCACCCCCACTCCCAATAGTAGCCAGCATTATAGTACAACGAGGGTCCTCTGCGAATCTAGACAGCGCCGCCTCTCGTTGCTTGATGGAGTACTGGCCATCGATTCTCTCACATAAGAAGCCAGCCTGTAAAAGAGCATTTTGAACAAGGTCTAGCATCTTAGTCCAATAACTGAACACCACGCTAATCACCATTAGCAATGTCTGTATGTATATGTTGGCTGCTAATACCTTTTCACCGGTGGAACAGCCGACCCTGCTAAGTTGTCGATTTGTTCTGCTTGAATGTTATGTATCAATCTTTGCACTTTAGCAGATGGCTGAGTTTGGGTCGGACCCTCAGATGCGCTCATCGTCCTGGCCGGCAAGCCACAGTATGAATCAACACCATAATTTGTCCCAAGTTGTTGTATAGCACTGCAGTGTATCGCCTGCGAACTTGGCCCTTGAATGATTTTCAACCTCCACGTTTCAATGTCCGACGCTGATAAAAGCTCCTCTCCGTGATCGCAAATTCGGCGAAGATTGTTAATCAGACACAAAACATTCTTCTTTTCCTTACCTATCGCTGAAGGGTTGACAGGATACTTGTTAAAGGCTTCGGCGGCGTTTGTGGCAGCTTCACTTTCGAAGAAATCGTAAAGAGCCCGGTCATGTGGATGCAATTCAGCCTTTTCTATGCGGATTGTCCGAGGAGGGAGTCCTTGTGAAATGCTAGATTTGGTCCGACGGAGACAGGTCGCTTCGACTAGAATACGGAGCTTTCGAAGGCCTTCTTGCACATTGTCCCGAACCAGATTGGATATCCAACGATCGAATGTGGCCTTTTCAGCCAAGGGTTCCATCTCGATGAAGGCCAGCAACGCTCCGTAGTTATCGATGGAATTAACAATAGGGGTTCCTGTAAGACACCAGCGCCTCAAGGACTGGAGTTCACATGCAGCCTGAAAGACTTGAGTTGACCTATTACCAATTCGATGGGCTGCATTCATTAACCTTATGAATGATGTGACAAGATACCACTACTGACCTTCATCGAGCACAACACGAAACCATTGCTCTGTGAATAACGGGCCCTTCGTAGTCCACTCAGACCGCAAAGTCTGATATGTTGTCAAGACAATGTCATTGTTTCGGAACGCCTTGGCAAGACTTTGTCGACCAGCACCATGGTAAAGGGCAACACGGATTTGACCGGGGCTAATGTGCCTCTTGATCTGAGTTTCCCACCCAGGAATCACTACCCACTATTAGTGAAGGCCCTGCTATAACATTGTTGCATGACATACTGCTTTTAGGAATGACAATTAAAGTTGTTGAGAACTCAGAACCATGCACTTGAGCTTCGGGATCCCTCAACAAGTCCAGCGACCAGCAAACGAGGGACAAAACGCAGAGAGTCTTCCCAAGACCCATCTCCTGTAAGACAAAACGTGTCAGTTATATGGTAAGCACAGGGGGGGCATGATGGTCTCCAGACATCAGCAAGGATTCCTCCAGCACAAAAGGGCAGAACATCAACCCTATGCCCCGTTATCCTGTGGCGGTACTCCCTGTTTATTCTTAGACTTCCACGACTAGAAGTATTCCGTAGTGATATCATACCTGTCTCCGCCCGGTGCATCGCGTGCAACCCAGAGCGAAGTACATTGAGGATTCTCAACGTTGGCACACTCTTTTTCGCTCATCACTGTGAGAGCTTTGAGCTGATAGCTACAACTTGTTAGTTTTCAGCGGTATAACGGTACAGGCATCACTATTACTCTTTCAGGCGGGTCTGCAGTCGTGGGCTTGGTTCGGCCGTCGGTCGAATGGAAAGATCAGCTGCGGTGTCAAAAATGCCCATGAGTTGTCCTTTTTTCTGCTCGTCCAACGCAACAGACGCATTTGATGCGCAATCATTGTACTCGATGGCAAGATCTTCCAACTGTGGCATGCGAGATCCCGGATTAACGAGGTAATGGGGGTTGAAGTATTCCGTCTCTAGCTCAAAATATTCGATGTCTCGAGGTAGTGGATGTTGGAGGAAAAGGCTGTTCTTAGACAAGAGATCACCAATCTCTACCGCTTCTTCGATCGGGCTGAATAGAATGATGCGAAGAGATGCTGGAGCAATCAACAGAGCGCTGAGCTTTACCGAATTGCGGGTTAGTAACTCTGATGGAAACAACTCAGTGACGATGCCGGCATATGCACCCGCGTCCGAAGTACAGAGCTTCAAGATACCCCCACATTGCTGTAGGTTGACTGCAGTCTCTGAGTTTCGTCGATTTTTGAAAAATGATGATGTCGCACTCAACGTTATCTGTCCTAAGTCAGCAGCCGTTTCAGAAATTCATTATATCTAGAAGCTCACCACTCCAAGACAGACATCGCGAACTGTCTCTGCGACGAATGATTCGGTTACAATGTCGAGTCTCCCTTCATCATTGCCTTCATCTGTAGGTTGGAAGATGCTGGCCCATGAGTCGTCGTCGCACATGAGCTCAGGAAATAATTCCGGTTCTGACCAGAGAGGGTCACCGATATTATTAGGAAAGTCCGGCTCCGGGGATTGCAGGCGTATCCTCTTGCGGGCTCGTACCGTGCCTTGATCGTCGAAATCCATGTTCAGAGGCCACTAAAGTCAAACTTCGCTTGAATGTAGTGTGGTGAGCTCATATGAGAACAGAATTGTTGGAATGAAGTGTCAAGATGCAGCCTCACTTCCGAGAACGCCTTGAAACAACGGCAGCCCTGTTAAAGCCTCGTTCATGCACAGCCACAAATAAATCTGCCTTGGCGCCAAGTGCCTTGAAACTATTGGCTGCCTACCAATAAGCATAAGGCCCTTTGTATTTTTCACTGTGAACAATAGGTAAATTGTTTTAATAACTAATAAAGATATACTATGATGTACTGAGACTTGTATCTTATAGTTCTCCCCTAGGTATTCAGACTACTACGGCTTTAGATAGCTAAGGGACCAAGGGTAATATATGGAACTAGAAAGAATCATAACTTCAAGGAGGTGCGCCCTAAGCAAACCCCTACATACGTACACAGTGGGATTATGAATCCTGATTAACCAAAACATAGCGAAATCGCGGCTTGCCAGCCTCGAAATCAATAATGGCCTGATTTGCTTCCGACATAGGACGCATTTCAACCCACGGCTTGACCTTCTTATCCGCAACAAGCTGCAGCATCTCTCGAATCTCAGCGGGCGATCCAATGCTTGAGCCGGCAATTCTGCGACGTGCGCCGGTAAGACTACCAGGCCGGAAGGGGAGTTGACCCTCAGGAAGACCGACTTGAACGAGTGTGCCGTCCAATCGTAAAAGACCTATATAATCAGCGAGGGGCATCTGTATAAGACACTTCAGCAGCCGATGGGCTAATATGGAAGAGGAAGCCTACCTTGGGAGATGAGACGGTTGAGATAATGAGGTCAAGTCTCCTAGAGTTCTTGGTTTCCCAGCCCTCCTCATCAGCTGTTGCGATATAATCTGTACATCCAAGATCCATGGCTTCCTGTCTCTTGCCCTCCCTGCGCGAGATACCTACAACCTCATCGGCGCCAAGAGCACGAGCAAAGAGTACAGCAAAGTGACCCAGTCCGCCAACGCCAACGACACCTACCTTCTTACCAGGTCCGGCACCAAATTGCTTCAGAGGCGAATAGACAGTCACGCCACCACAGAGAAGCGGCGCTGCGTGTTCTGGCGCGACACCCTCGGGGATGCGGAAGACGAAGTGCGATGGACAACGGTGGTAGCGAGCATAGCCGCCCTGCGTCTTGTCGCCTGTGGTTAAGAACTTTGAACCGTAGGTAGGGGCCATGCGGGTGCAATAATTCTCTTCGCCAGAGGCGCACTCATTACAGTCATGGTTGTCGTCTCCTATCTTGCGATTGAGACATGCATCAGACTGCGCACCGACACCGACGATGTCACCGACTTGAATGCCGCCTTCAGCTTTGCTACCGACGCGCACAGCGACGCCGACAATCTCGTGGCCTACAACCACTGGGTATGGTGCCTGACGCTATTGTATGCAAGTCTTTGTCAGCGATGTCTGCCGAAGATGACGAGTATCCTCTTTACTTACCCAGCCCGACCGGAGGACGTGAATGTCAGAGCCGCAGACACCACAGTGAGTGATACGGATGTCGATGTCAGTCTCCTTCCACTTCTTTGGCTCGTAGTCTCGCCAAACCATATTCCCTTCTGCTGATCTTTCATCCTCACCCATCCATCCCTCAAATTTATAATCGGTACTCATTTCTATGGCTGTATCTTATGTTACAACTAGGTCGTCTTGATTCTTTGGTACGGCAGGTGAGTTGGCTTGTCAATTTATAACCGAGCTGCTTGCAGTTGTATTATATGCCGAAAACGATTGACGTAATGAGGGAAGTTCCGTCGAGAGCTCAGCTTCGTGTTATTGCGGGGAGACCAAGACACGGCGCAGAGCCTAGATAATTGATTGGCTCGTGAGCTCACCCCTGATTCCGCCGGAACGCTAATGGTATCTCCGACGGAGTTGGTAAGCAAGCCTATCCAATTATGTCCTACCTATAGCTTCCATCCAGAGACTAGACCAAGGTAGCTTACGGCCAAGTCAAACCTTATCGTTCAGTAATATGCAGTACTCCTCACCTTGGAGTCCGCCACGTACGTAGAGCTTCGACATCTATAAGAAGACACTTTCCAGCCGTTCCGACCTGTTTCGCAAGATCTATTCAGCTTCTGCCTTCAACTACATCTCACTCATTTGATCAACCCTTACTACCAATTCTCCAAACAGCTTGGCTCTACACCTCATCACAATGTCCAACCAAAACGACAAGACACCCGTCCGTGACACGGCGGAAGATGACGCTTACTTCCCCTCACCTTTCTCTCTCACTCAGTACGTTACCGCCAAGACAGACTTTGACGGCGCCGATTACCCAAACAAGTACACCGGCGGCAAGTGGAAGATTCTCATGATCGGCACCCAGGAGCGTTATCTCAAGATGGCAGACGGCAAGTTCTTCTCCACGGGCAACCACCCCGTTGAGATGCTTCTGCCTATGTACCATCTTGACGCTGCTGGCTTCGACATCGACGTAGCCACTCTTTCGGGAGATCCTGTTAAGCTGGAAATGTGGGCTTTTCCTCAGGAGGATGAGGCTGTGAAGTCGATTTACAACAAGTACAAGCAGAAGCTTCGCAGTCCTCTTAACCTGTCTGAGGTCTGGAATGGTAAAGATGGCAAAGGTTTCAATCAAGAAACCCCTTACCTGGCAGTCTTCATACCAGGAGGTCACGGCGCCCTCAACGGTATACCCTTCAGCAAGACAGTCGGCGATGTTCTCCGCTGGGCTCACGCCAATGATCGCTTTCTTATTACCCTCTGCCACGGGCCTGCTAGTATTCTGGCCGCGGATGTTGGCAAGCCTGAGGGCTCCAAGTTTATTTATGAGGGCTACAGTATCGATGTGTTCCCTGACTCGCTTGACCAGGGTACTAATATCGACATTGGCTACATCCCGGGCAAGATGGAATGGTTGGTCGGCGAGAGGCTGAAGAAGCTCGGGGTTACGCCTATTAACAAGACGATCTCTGGCGAATGTCATCGAGATCGCCTGTTACTGACTGGCGATTCGCCATTGGCTTCAAATAACTTAGGCAAGCTGGCGGCCAAGACACTGCTGGAGGAGGTCAACAAGTAAGATCTCGCGGCGACGGAGAAAAGTGATGTAATGCAGAAGAGAGTTATTTAGGCTTTTAAACCAAAATTGCAGAGGCAGTCGCCTCACCAATTGCTTTTTGCCCTATTTTGACTCTTATGACTTGTGTTCCATTTAATTTAGCTAGAGCTTGGTGTAGAGAGATAAGTGATTAAACCTACCTTAGACTCAACGTGACTACTAACGCCTGTACTTTCTTCTAGGCACAAGAGAAACTTCACCAGATAGCACGTTCGTAACTTCCCATGACTGTCCGTATGCCAATATTCAAGATGTCTCCTGTAAACAATTCACTGACCTTTTGCTTGTTTTGAGCTCCAGCTGGGTCATACAGTACTCAAACGGCATAGTGAGCTCCACCACCGCCTGGACCCTTGAGGGGAAATGAGGGGTATGGAGCTTCCGACGGACTTCAACCCGACGGAGCCATCGCGTTCAATTCGGTCTTTTGACACAAGGTCTCACGATGTCTGCATCTCTAAGAAAACGACAAAAAGTCTCTTCCGCCTGCGAGCGCTGTCGTAAGCGCAAGCTAGGGGTACGTACCCTCTATGGACCTCATCCGTTCTGTTGCTGACGAACTTCCAGTGTGATGCAGAGAGACCTTGTGTTCATTGCGTCCGTGCCGGCGCCCAGTGTATCCCTCGCGACTTGACATCAGGAGACATGGCGGGATCCTCATCTGACCAGACAAATACCAGGAGTAGACATGTTCAGGATCCAGGGTCGCCTATACTCCCAGAGTCCAGTATCGTTGACCTAAGTACTCTTGTGAGTCCAGAACAGTCGCTAGAATATTGAAGCAAAGATCGGGGCTTATATGATTGCAGATAATCCGCGGAAATGGCTCCAACCATGATTTAGGCCACGATACATCCTCACTGCCTGGTGGAACAAAACTCATCGATGCCAACGCCACGCTCTCTGGGCCCAAGCATTGGCGTAATGTAGCAGGCGTGGAACTACCCGCGGACCATATCCTGGAACACTTGGTAGACAGCTTCTTCTCTTCAGTCAACTGGTTCATGATGGTCTTCCACGAAGAAACCTTCCGCCGCAGATACGCAGAGATGATGCAACAGAACCAAATCAAGTACCAAGATACAACATTCTATTGGACATGGCTCCTCGTCGTAGCGCTCGGTGCGCACTATGCTGCACTCGAGAATCCTGACGACGAAATGAGCCCTCAGCACCGACAGCTTTCTCGAGACCTTATTGCTGTTATAGAGACGCGTTTCCTGCACATCGTTGGGTGCCAGACAGTAGAGACTGTTCAAATATGCATCCTGCTTGGTAGCTTCATATTTTACACGCGACCTACGACCGGCCTGGGTATTTGCGGCATGGGAGTAAGGATTGCTCAGGTCATTGGCTTGCACCGCGAGAGTTTCTGGAAAGAGACGTCACAACTAACGCGGGAAGTGAAGAGGCGCACCTGGTGGACATTGGAGGTTTTTGACAAGTGAGTAAGGCACCAGCTAGTGATGCATTGGAAGCTTATTATGGTCTACATAACAGATACACCGCCGTTGCGTTTGGGCGCCCCTGCATCATCGATGACTCTGACTGTCAGGTCGAGATGATCTCAGATATTGAACTCGATGGCCGGACGCATGTCCCTGCTAGACCACTTATCCTCTATCACCAACACAAATTTCGTCTCTACAGAATCATGGGTGCATTCTTGGGACGGAGAAGGCATCGAAACACGTTTGAGTCGGTTGAAACAATACACCAACGTATGCTGCAGTGGCGCCACAAACTGCCCGACGTCCTAACTCTCAGTGGTCAAGAGAGCTCAATAGACCCCAGTGTAGTGGAACCCACTGAGATCCATGCGCTTAGTTTAAAGCTCACCTATGACAATCTGCAAATCATCTTGCATCGCACAGCTGTCTTCAATAGCAACGAGATCTCTACCATCTCGCCCAGGAGCAGAACGTCTCTCCAGCAAATCTTCACATCAGCCATGGATACATCTGAACTCTCCCGTCATCCTCTCATTTTAGACGCTTGCAGGAGGACCCATGCAGATGTACATGTTGGCATCACCATGTTTACAGCCGGTGTCGTTCTCTGCGCTATCTGTCTGTCACAGCCTCTCACAGAAATGGGGTCGCGTGCGAAGACCGGTGTTATGCACATCACCCGCATGTGTCGTGAGACTACAACTGGTCTGTATAGCGGCCAGCTTATCTCGGAGCAGAGCCTGGGTATTATTGATAGCTTGGTTGAAGTAATGCTGCGGCAGGAGACGGATTTGATTACTGGGAGAACGAGCTATCCGGGTCTCACTACTCCTCAAACAAGGAAAGAGACAGCATTACCGGATCAGGGCTCCTCGTCAGCGAGCAGAGTTATAGCACCCAGTTCAAGCATGAGACCAGCTGGTCCAACTGAGTTCAGAAATGAGCGAGTCTTGGAGCCGATTCAAGGAGGTAAGCCGAATATTGCTCTTTAACATACATAGATTTATTATGGCAAAAGTAAACTAACAATATGATGATAGTCTTTAGGCAGCATATTTCCACGCCGCCCACTGTTGGAAACAGAGAGACAAACAGCGCTGTCTCTGGCAATCATGATGGAGACCAAGGGATGATGAGCACGTTCAATTGGGATGGCGACATGTCCGCCCTCGTAGATTCGGGCCTCGTCGATGCAAGTCAACTCTGGCTGTGGGCGGATAGCCTGGACTTTGACTCATTAAATGATCTGGCTGGAGAACTACCGGAATAAGCCCTTGTTAACCATAGTCACTTCCGGGGTATGTAATTGAATGAGGTATTGGCGCCGGCTTATTGAGTCATTCGCCTGGCTGTACTCGATCAGCAAATTAAAAATAGTTAGTGTCAAGAGGCCATCCATACCCGCACGGGTACCTGTGCAAATAAAGTCACACAGGTACCCGTGCAAATAAGATATTATCACATCAGCAACCCCGATTAATTATATATATATATTATATATTATCTAATTAAGCTTTTTTTGCTTATTTTAATAATATATACTTTATTACTTTAATATATTAAATTCCTATTTTATTAGTAAGTAACTTAATAGTAATAGATATGCCTAATTAATCCTTATAATAATAGGTTATATATATATAATTAGATAGAATATATAAAGCAATATTATATATTCCTTAAAAGCTATAAATAAGGCATTATGCCATTAAATAAGTAATATATAAGTCTCCCCTTTACTGCCTTCTCTGCTAAATCCACTATATATGCCCTTGTAGGTTAATTATCTAAATATATATCCTATTTTACTATATAACCTAAATAGTTAGTATATATATAGTTATTCTAACTGCAGGTATAGGCCATATTATCCTAGGAATAGGAAGACTAGCTTAATATGCCTAATCTTAATATATAAGGCCATTAGCAGTCCAGAAGGGCATAGCATTAAGGACTAGGCAAGCCATATATTCATTAATAGCACTATAAAGCTAGCCTATATGCCAGTTACCCTTAATATAATATCTATAGGTAATAGTAATTATAGCAGCTAGATTACTAGCTAAGATAAATATAGTATTATATACTATATATAGCTATTAAGGCATTAAAAGATATAACTAATAACTTATACCTGCTAGAGTATTTTAAGCTATCTAGCCATTAATATTAAATATATTATATATAGGCTAGGTAACTAAATGGTTTTCTTAATTAATAAGAATAAGGATAGGAATAGGGGTAAAGAACTTAAAAGACTTTCTTATATACTAACTAGTACCTATATAGCCAGGCAAGCTATTAGCACTCTATATAGGCTAGAGGATAAATTAGTTATTTTAGCTAAAGGGAATATAATAAGAGGAGGTAACTATATTATCCTTATAAATCTAAATGGCCTAATTATTATTAGGGTTAAGAGATATAGTATTAAAGGGATAGATAATATAGTAATTATAAGATTTATTAAAATACTTCTTATAATATATTATATTATATTAAGGAAAGAAGGAAGTTAAAAGCAGTATTAATGCTAGCCTTTTATATATATATTATTTTCTTAAATTACCTTTAAGTTACTATATTAATATATATTATAATAATTATTTAAGCTAATATTTCCTAATTTATAATATATACTAACTATTATTTAATATAGTTAAATATATTAAAAATAAGTAATTATTATAACTTAAGCTATAATAATATATTATAATAATACTTCTATAATACCTTTATAGTAGCCTTAATTTAGGGATATAACTTTAATAAAGTATAAGTTTATAACTTAATTAGAAAGTATAATAAATTAGTAAATAAATATTAGTTATATTGCTTAAAGATAGAGCTTTTTTTACTCTTTTTAGTAATATATATATCTATTTAATTAACCGCTAATAAATTATTTTTTTATATAGCTATCTAATTATTATAATATGCCTGCTATATCTAACTATCTTCTTCTATAGTATATATACTATCTTTAATACCTCTTTAGCTAGTATACTAAGCCTAACTAGTAACTATATAATATACCCACTCCTCTTCCTAATTCGAGAAGTTAATATATATATTTATCTCCTCTTTAGTCTAATCCTAAAGCTTCTTATTATTTAAAGCTCTTATATAACTACCTATTTAACTCAAGCTATAGGCCTATTTATAATTCGCCTTTAAGTACTTTAAATAAAGCTTTATAGCCTTTTAATATAGCTTATCAGTATAGTAGCATTAAGGCTGCTATAAATACTATTTATTACAGTCTAATATATATTATCTATAGATAGCAGGAGCATTATTATATACCTTAGGTATAGCTACTATAATGCTTGCAGTTTAAGGGGAAGTTTAAGGAGAGGCACTTAAATAAGAGGTACTTAAAAAGGGTATTATAATTAGTATAGAAGTAATAGTCCTTATATATATTATTATATATATTTCTATCTTAATTACTATAATAATAGTAAGTTAGGCTATAACTAACTATAATTAAGGATCTATATAAGGCTTAACTACTAGTTATAGTATTAGAAGGACTTAATAAGAAGCAGGCAATATATTATTATAATAAAGAGGGCATATCTTAGAGCTTCTTTAATAGCCAATCTACTAGTATATAAAGCATTATAGTTATGCCCTTAGCTATAAGGCCTTTTAAACCTCTTTAAATATATAAGGTTCTTACTATATACTTATTAGCAGCAGTATTAATCTATTAGTAAGGCAATTAAATACCCTTTAAGGTTTAATAAGAAGTAAGGGGGCTCCTAGGCATTATAAATGCTAATAAGAGTAAAAGTAAGATAGTTAGAGATAAAGACTATCCTTTAGTAAAGGCTTAAGGATATAAGCATATAGTAAACTAAAGGAATTACTAAATGCTTATATATATATAGGTATATAGGCTTTTAGGCATTTAGCTTGCTTTTTAACCTTAAGTAAAGCCTTATAAAAGACCTAACTAATAATAATACTAAATAAAGGTTATAATAACTAGATACTTTAAATAATAGGCTTATTAATGTTATTATAAGTAAGGCTATTATAAAGGCTTTATAGCTAATTATTTATAGCTTATTTAATATATTGCTAATACTTAAAGAGATTAGCTTAGTTATTATTTAGGTATTTCTTAATAAGATTATATATCCCCTTTATTAGTAATATTATTATATAACTAAAGTAAAGGGTATTCCTTATCTAAGCCTTTATAAATTTCTCTTTATATAAATTAAGCTAAGTAGTTATAATATAACTTACTTTATTATAATAGCTTAAGGCATAGGTATCTTTAAACTTCTTTAGCTATTCCTTATAAATAGCCTAAGTCTCTAAGCTTATAATTTAATTAAAGCTCTTCTAGAACTTAAGCTATTTACTATGCCCTTAGAGGTTATTTAAGCCTCTTATAAACTTAGGTTAATAATAGGCCAAGATAGCTTAGTTAATATAAAAGATATAAAGTAGATATATTAGCTTAGGAAAGGCAGCTGCATTTATAATTGCATTTATATAAGCAAGATATTAATCTATAAGTATTATAGAAAGAAGAGCTATTACTTATGCTTTATATACCTCCTGGAGGCAAGAGAGAACCTAGAGATAGTCTGCTTTTTCTTTACTACTTATAAATATAAATATAATATAAAAGCTCTTTTTATAAGCATTAATACTAATAATATTAAGAAAAGGCATCTTATACTTATTTATTTTATATATATAGTTAAGTATTATAACTTCTAGATAAGACTTAGTATATATAAGAAAGTCTATATTAGTAAAGAATATTATAATAACTCTATTATCTTAATTAAGGCAGAAATAGCTTTTAAAGCCTAAATTAATAAGCTTATTAATAAGGGCATATATTAAGCTTTAGCCTTTAATAAGGTCTTATTTACTTTATATAATAGCATTATAAATATCTTATTATATTATAAGGCAGAATTTATCTAAAAGCCTAATAAATATCTATATTTCTTTAGGCTTTATGCCAGCTTTTATAAGTAGCTATATAGTCTGCTTTTAATTACTTATAATTTAATAATAAACTAGATATGCCCTTAGCCTATAGCTCGGCTTATAGTTATATATATAAGTATAAGGGTTATAGCAATACTTAACTGCCTATTAAGTCTTATAACTGCTCTCTATAGCATTAATTAAGAAGAGGCAGGCTATATAATATAATAAAGTCTTCTTCTTACTTACCTAGTTAGACCTAGGCCCTTCTCTATAATTATATATATAGGTAACTATAAGAGCTTAACTAAAAGTCTTTACCTTTAAAGATCTCTATATAATAAAGGCATAACTATATATACTTGCCTATTTATTAATTACTATAAGTAGCTTACTTTATAAGCTAAAAACGGCTTCTAGGGGGAAAGCATTATTAAGGAAGACTTTAAGAGCTTAATCTATTATAAATAAGGCAAGTAGAGTGCTAATTAATAGAGAATTAGGTTAATAAAGATAACTAGATCTAGGATATATAAAAAATAGGGTCTTAAGCGGTCAATTAGCTTCAATTTGCTTATATAAGGCATTTTTAAATAATCGGGGTTGCTGATGTAATGATATCTTATTTGCACGGGTACCCGTGCGGGTATGGATGGCCGTGTCAAGAGCGAGATGACTAATCATACCGCCTTGTTTTTACGCTAAAATAAGAACTTCACAACAACCCAAATACTTTCATCTCCCTACAAATGTGTATTGATCCATCATGGAAGGGAACAACGGCCCGAAACACACCATTAGGCAGAGAGCTGTCAGTAATTAATACTACAATATGCCCGACCTGTCATTTGCTGACCAATCTCATGTTTAGTGCGCTAATTGCCGGCTGCGAAAGGTTCATACACTCCCCTACGAAAGAATCGGGAAGCTCATCCTGGAGCCAGAGCTAATCCCTGATCTATAGATTCGCTGCAGCCGCACTGCACCATGCTCGAACTGTGTCACAGCCAGTTTGGTCTGTCCTCTTGACACAGCCTCGCAACGACCCAATAACATCCCAAAAGCTCCTAGGTCAGCCCCTCCAGCTCAGGATCACTTCTGTCCCATGGCTCAGGATATTACAGTTTAGAAGAGTATGCTGCGCTAGTTGAACGGGTAAAAACCCTGGAAAATAAGGTTCAGAGTATCTTAGGGCATCAGTCAAATGCGAACATACAGAATCGACATTCTCCATCAGAACTTACCAGCAGCAGTACCCCGTCGGGTAGGATGTTGGTAAAACGACCACCTCTGGTAGAAGGGGAAACATCATTCAAGATCCAGGCTTTACGTGCAAGTCAGGTTGAAGAGCTTAAATCGCCGGCTGCACAGCAATCGCCTGCAGTTGTCCAGGAACTGGCCAATCTAAGAGATGCGCTCCAGGATCAAGAGACCACAGGGGTAGATAAGGGTAATGTAGAGTCAGACGAGCTTGAACAAACACATGCGCTTGATGTTACGCTTCCACCACCGACATTTGTTATGCAACTGCTACAATTACTGGCTGACGAGAGATGTAAGCAGTGGGCATTGAATACTTAATACGATGCAATGAAGCTGATGTGGCTGTTTAGATATGAATCTCGTTCTCTTTAATTTCTGGGGCGTTGAAAACCTTGCAAGCTTTCGCGATCTGTGCAAGTCCACATATTTCAACACCGAACCATTGACAGTAACACAAAAGACTTCATTCAACGGAATCATCAGCCTCATTCTGAGAGAAATCGGAACTGAGGACAGACCAAATCTGGATAATGGAGTCCTAAGTCGCATGCGGGACCTTTGTGAAAAGAACTTCTGGGCGGGTGTTGAAACCTACAGAGTCGTGTCTATTGCCACAGAAGAGCATGTCAACATCCTGTTCCTTGCGGTAAGCGAAAAAAGCACGGTATCCTTCGATACTTGTAGTCTCTGACTTGAGGTTTAGGTTGTACAAGTTTCGAGTATGGGGACATTGCCTCTTCAATGGAGCCTGACAACAGCTGCTGCTGGACACTGTCTGACTCTAGGCTACCATCGGGAAAAGAGGCTTTTGCAGCTTCCGAGCCCCAAGGCCGAGAGGGCACGCAGAACCTTCTGGCACATCTACATGGCAGACAAGAACCTCTCGCAACGCTTAGGACGTGCCTCCACCATTCATGATTGGGACGTTGATGCAGAGCCGTGCGCGATATCTAGCGACCCCAGACAAGCCCCTTGGGATTTGACATTCAAATCATTTATTGAAATGAGTCGAATACAGGGTCAGATCTACGAGAAACTTTACTCGCCCCTGGCAAAGGCACGCGGCATCAGAGAAAGATTGGTGGAAGCCAACAAACTTGATTCGGAACTCTGTCGGTGGTATAGCGAGTGGGCTCAGATAGATAGCTCCGCTGCCTGTGGTAAAGATCGGCTTGACATGACCTTCTCCCCCGTTGACATCGTGTATCACTCTTTGCTCACCCTCATACACTGGAACACCAGTTCTTCCGGGTCTGCGAGGGATATCTCAGAGGCATGCTATGAAGCAGCACACCGAATGCTGCGGGCCCATCTTACGCACTACCCTGGGTTGACTGCTTCGGGCCACAAGGCCTCAGCAATCTATGCGATCTGGTGAGTTACGTTGCTTTTACCTGCAGGGTCTTGACTGATAAACATACGCAGGGTTCTCCATGCCACGTCTTTCACGCCGTATGTGGCTGTATTTCTGCACTGCGTTGCTAACCTGAATTTTGATGACCTCAGGCTTCTTCAGGAGGTATTATACACACTTGAAAACATCGGGACGGATCTCGAATTCTCCCAGAAGTTATTCAAGCTCTGCAGAGCCCTATGCCGAATTGCTGAAGCCTTTCTGGAGGATGAGGCCCCTATGACAAATGCCGTCCCAGACGCGTCAAACTCAGCCCATTTAACACGGCAAGGCCCATTACCAGATACTTGGGCATGGCTGGGCTCGCAAATCACGGATCCGGATGGTGTCATAGATCTTGACTTGGACAATCTGGATGAAACCTTGTTTAGCCATGGCTTCTAGGCATGTCGGAGATCCATGTACCCCGTAGAGAAGCCATAGCTTCGTCTGGATTCAGGGACGAATTTGTCAGAATCGGATTTCTAAGCAGAAGAAGAAAGAACTCGGGGTCGGAGGGAAACTATAATGCTTGGCACCAAAACCCGTGGACTCCGCGCATCGCGCGGCGAAAATAAACATTGACCCACAATTCGGGATCGTACTAACAAAATATATAAAAGAGAATTGCAAGTATCAACAAATAATCGAGATTAATATACTACAACAATCTATTTACCTCATCGACACCTCAAGAGATGGCTCGACCAAACAAGATCCTCATTGTTGGCGGAACGGGAACGATCGGCGGGTACATCGCGCTTGAGGCTCATTCCCGCGGCTACGCTGTGACTATTGGTGGTCGCAAGTCAGTGAAAGGCGTCCCCGTTCTAGAGGATCTGCCCTTTATCAAAGCCGATTATGTTGCTGGCGAATACACTTCGGAAACACTCTCAGCCTTTGACAGTATTGTCTTCTCAGCTGGCGCCGACATGCGACACGTGCCTGACAAGACCTCGGCGGACGAGTACTACTTACAGTCGGCCGAGAGTGTAATCGAATTTGCTCAACTGGCCCGCGACGCCGGAGTCGAGAGATTTGTGCATATCGGCAGCTTCTATTGGCACATTGCACCTGAACTGGTTGAAAAGACTCCCTACATTCGGTCACGGAAGATGGCTGCCGAGGGCGTTGCTTCACTATCAAGGCCGGGATTCCACGCTTGCAGCCTGGATGCACCATGGGTCGTCGGAACCGTACCAGGCATGCACTCCCCTATGTTTGCCGCCTACGTCCAGTTCGCCGAGGGCAAGCTTGGTATGGGTCCTTCTGTGATTGATGCAAACTCCAACTTTGTTTCTATCCAAGCTCTGGCGACGGCAACTATCGCCGCGCTAGAGAATAGCGAGTCCGTGTCTAGCAGAACAATTCTCATTGGAGGCGAGAACATGACATTCGCCGAGTTTTTCGGCCTCATCTTCTCTGCTGTGGGCAACAATGTACCAGTGTCGACCTCGGACCAGGAACATCCTCTAATACCGGAATCGGCTCTTTGGGCTGGGCGTAAGATTAAAGTTTATGAGCCTGATGCTGAGGAGGAAGCTCTGCTTGGTGGATATCGTCGATTTCGTGTTCAAGATATAGTTAAGCAAGTAGTTGGAGAATATCATTCCTCATAGTTATATAGCAAATTGTATTGCCTAATATAATAATTTTAAGGTTTTTCTTATTTTTAATACATGAAGAAGTATATATATAATTTATTCAAAGCCTTCAAAACCTTGAAATGCGCGGAATTAAAGCTGACAACCAGCGCCAGATAAGTCTACTCCAGAAGCAGTGCAACAAGTTTAAGATGCAGCAACTAGAAGCAGATTGTCTCCGCAACGAAGACCAGCCAAAATGAGAGAGCAGATAAATGAGGCTCTGAGGATGGAGGCGAGAGATAATCCTGCGCATGGTCGCTTAGGGCGCATATTGGTGCAACTTCTTGCTTCTGCAGCCATTGCGGCTGTTAAACCCCTAGCCCATTTCTGTAGCTGTGCCTCGTTAGCTGATGTGATTCATGAGATTTAAAGTCACAAGTCTTGCCCAAGATTTATGGGTTCTTTTTAATACAAATATGATAGCTCTTAATAAAACTCTGGATTATGTCGTAGGACTTAGGGCGCTTGTGACGAACTAGGCCGCTAGACCACTGGCCCAAAAACAGGCAGCCTAACAGAGCTAAGGGCACTAGAACGCGTCGTAACAGCACTTGAAAATTAGATCCTTCCGTAAGCTATGCAAAGTAATATTTGACCTTAATGGGATAAACATAGACTTCTAACCTCGATAGTGTTATTTGCAGTTGAGACCTGTGGCTGAGAGCTTATAATCACCACACAGAACTTAGTTAGAGAGAATTCGACTAATAGTAACTAGATAACACTTGGAATCACCGAGTCCGACTTCATGTAGACTCTGTTCTGACAGTTAAAGCGAGGAATTGACGGCCACACTTATGGCTTTCCAAACGACTGGTTCAAGTAGCGCAGGATCCTTGTGGAAAACTAGAAACAACTCTAAATCAGACAAAAGGAGTTGTGCAATTTCTAGAGACTCATTATAGGCATTTCCCGAGCGTGCCGGCTGTGCAGAATCGCCTGACTTCAGCTGAGGTACCACCAGTCAGCAAACCGAGACCAGCTAATGCTTATTGCATCATTGGGCACCAATGCATTTTCAGGCATTAATTCAGCCTCATTCTTGTGATCATAATCTTCTTTGATATCGCATGTCCTACTCATAGCAGAGAGTATTGTAAAGCTCTGAATATCGGCAATAATGGCTGAGAAAGCTCTTGCTATCGACTATAGCTCCCTCGCGCCAACGACCGAGATCCGCATACTTACCCTCAAGCAAGGAATAGGTAACGATCCGATTGTATGCGCCCTCCGTCCTGTGACACGAGCTGAAGCAGAATACTATGCTCTGTCATATGAATGGGGAGATGAAAGCAAGGATGACCCCGATATTAATGTTACCGATCGCCAGGTTCAAATTCGCAGGAACCTTTTTGATGCTCTGAAGAGCATACGAAAGCCAACTGAAGATGTACGACTCTGGGTTGATGCAATATGCATCAACCAGTCGGATGTCCAAGAGAAGAGCCAGCAAGTCGCCATGATGGGCGAGACATTTACAAAAGCACTCGGTGTTATCTCATGGCTCGGTCCAGCCAAAGACGATAGCGACCTTGCTATGGAATTGATGTCAGACGCCAATGCGCTCGAAGCCAATCTTCCATCCTTCAGCAAAGACTCAACTGAATTGAAGGCCCTTTTTTCGCTTTGTCACCGAAGATACTGGCGCCGAGTCTGGATCATACAAGAGCTATACCTTGCAAAGAGCTACGCCATATGGTGCGGCGCCAAATCTATCCCCGATACCGAGTTTGAGGATTCTCTGGCAGCCCTGAACGGCTCGAGCAGCACGTATAGCGATCATTTCAAGCATAACCCTGCGAACCACCACCGGATGGCTCGGTTATTCCGCTCCACTACTTTCAACAATTTGCGCCGGTGGATATGGGTTTGCCTTCGTGGCGACTTTCAGTGCACGAGGGAACAGGACATTATATATGCTCTTCTTGACATCTCAGACGATTATAAGAATGCAACAGGGAGCTTGAAAGTTGACTACTCAAAGTCGCCGCGTGAGGTCTTTCTGCAGCTTCTTCAGCAGAGGAGTCTTTCTACGTGGCACCCTGGAGACCAAAAGCGTTGGCTAGAACTTGCAGAAAAGATGGACCTGGAGATAGATGAAGGTCTGAGGAGGTTGGTATCTGAGATCTATAGCTGAAGGATGACGAAGCAAAAGTATATTTGATGACTATAGTGATATTCCTTGCAGGCTCAGAAGAGTGAAGATGGGGATAAAGTCAGAGTCCGAGGCATGGGGCTTTGATAGGGTAGAATCCGCAGTGCTAGAAAACGGCTTCTATGGCTTGAGAAGGTTGAAGGACACAGAAGTGGCGGAGATAATGCCAAGGTTGATTCATTAATAGAAGACAATTGGTCCAAACTCCCAACACTTAACAATTCATGAGCAGGAGCGAACGCATTTTGCACTCAAGACTCTTCTTATTCATATCCGAGATCACAATAAAACGGTCTAATCAGACCTCACTCACAGACAGAATTCTTTGGAAATGTGCAATTCTCACTTTGCCTCAGTACATTACTGAGATTACTGCCTACTGAAAATAGCACCATGGCAATTATAAACTCTTCTTAGTTAGGCCCAACCAGAAAGTTGAAGTCGGGACCATTGGGCCCAGGATTATCAAACGCCGCTTTCTTAACCTTTTCCTGCCAAGCCTTGTAACCTTCCTGGTCACCATTCTGAAGTGCCGCTTCGTACGCAGCTCGTGCGGCGCGGTATTGACTGTGGGCTTGAAGGTAGGCAGGCGCCTGTTTTCTGGTTAGGAATTTGTCTCCTTGAAGAAGCTTGTGGAAAGGGCTTACATTTTGAGCGGCCCAATTGTTGAAGTTCTGGCCATCAGCTAGACCAGCGTCTTGCTCTTGCTTGAAATAGGCCTTGGCGCTTTTTTCACTGCTGACCGCGTGATTGTATACAGTCTCGAACTTCTCCTTCGTGTCTTGGATGCGAATTTGGTCGGCCATTGTGATAGAGTTCTTATAAAGTAGGGATTATGGTGATGAGGAGTGAGAAAGGAATATCACAAGAGGGAGTCTGGTGTGCAAATTTATAGGCAAATTATGTCTCTGCCGTGCCTTTCCCGTGCCGTTCGCTGACGTATGTCAAGCTGGCAATTCTGCAGCTAAGGTGATTAATTAGACTTCTTTCTGTTAGAAACGACGATTAATTCCACTTCAATTATCAGATCAACGGGAAAGTTACGACTATGTAAGCTAGTTGATGTATGTCTCAGCTTCAGCTGGAATCTTACTGTCGATCGCACCCCTTTTCAAGATCTAGTGCTGCCCTGCTACCCTATCAGGCCTATCCAAGAAAATCCGCAATATCTCAACAAAATGACGCTGGCAGGAGAACGACTTGTTAGGCGGCGCTGTAAGAGGCGTCAAGCTTAACTGCGATATTAATTGGCTACGAATGGGTGCACGGCAAGTTTCTCTGTCTCAGGCTTGTCAGCGTGGCGTTGGCGCTATCGACGTGTACTGTACTGTGAGGTTAGTACCCCGCCTCAACATCTGTGCTGACCCTGATGATCTATCAAACTCAAACCAAGCTCGCTATGAACCAATTCCAGGCCTTCGATTATGACTTTGTGGGACGGCGGACGGCATCAACCGAGATCCGACTACCAGACCTCTATCCCTCACAGGGTTTGGTTGATAGCTGTCTGATCGGCCGTCTGTACTCAACCTCCATCAAGAACCCACCGCCCTATACCGCTCTCTCGTATGTTTGGGGCGTCGGCAACAAAACTCAATCAATTCGGGTGTCGAGTTTAAATCACGGTGCAGAGGCTTCTATTTCGATAACAGAGTAGCTGGAGACAGCACTACAACATTTCCGCCAGCCAGACAAGATAATAACGCTATGGATCGATCAGATCTGTATCAACCAGGCAGACAACAGAGAAAAAGGCCAGCAAGTAGCACTAATGGGAAGCATCTACTCAGCAGCGAAAGAGGTTCTAGTATGGCTTGGCCCGTCTCAAGATGGCTCAGACGAATTGATGGAGGCCTGACAATTTATTGGCCAGAAGGCCCGCGACTTTGGACTGGAGAGCTACATGAACCCGCAGAGCTACTACCTGATATCAGCATTGGGAAGAAGCAAAGACGCGGCCGATGAGACTGCCGTGTGCTTCCAAGACTTACTTGCACGCACCGTCGATGTCTTCGCTCCTTTGCTCAAAGAAATGGCGTTGAAGAAGTGGTTCGAGAGGCCATACTTTTCACAAGTCTGGATCATCCAGGAGTTTTATTTATGTCCTGATATTATCTTCGTTGCGGTTCCAAGTCAATACCCGTTGACCTTGTCAAACTAACGGTAGTAATGCTTCAGACCGCGATCGGCAACATGCCCCAAGGAGACTTCGAGCAGCTCCAACCGCCAGAGATGCCTTTGGAGCGACTCGCTGAAGTATCTTCTGAGCCAACTGCACGGCTGTTCGCCTGTCGTTCACGAGACCAGAAGCACAGAGACGACGAGTTTTATATGCTGTTGCGCAGACTATTTGTTGAGCTGGAGACAAATGCTACTGTGCATCATGACCGCATCTTTGCCCTTCTCGGCCTCGCTGCGGACGCTGAGAAGCTTGGCATTCAGCCTGATTATGAGGGAAGCACCGAAAGCATCCCGACCAAGACGACGCGTAAACTGCTTGAGAAGAGTGGTCGTGTGGATATGCTGTGTTACTCTCAGTTTCTGAAACCTGATGAGCTTTCACGCCTACCGTCATGGGTTCCTGACTGGCGATCCAACCTACGTCGCTCGTTCTACACCATCAACGAGCGCATGGACTAGCACCTATTTTCCGCGTCAGGCCTGGGTAGTATTGTCGAGGTTGTCCAGGACATCAAGAGCGACCCGGGTATTCTTGGACTTCGAGGCTATACAGTTGATGTAATCGAGGCAGTTGCTAAAGGTCATGGCTGGACAGATATGAGTTGGGACCATGAGAGGTATCTGGGCTAGATGGCCCAGATAGATGAGTTATAGCAGAGATCCATAGAAAAGACCGACTTAATTCACGGCGAAGTAACCCAGCAGCGGAAAGAAGAGGCGCGACGGCGTACGCCCATCGGAGACATCTACTGGACCTGGGAAGGGACCAACAAAGAGCGATATCCGCCGTAGCAGCGTTTCACGAGCAGTTCATGCAAGAACTCAAGCTTTTCGATGACATGACCAGGCTGGCAGCTACAGGAGAAGACACTTCACAGAGGTACTTACAATGGGAGGTGGAGCATCGAACAGCAGATACAAAGCATATCTACCGTGAAAGCATGAGGAAGATGCAGGGCAAGAGGCCATTTCTTACAAAGATGGGATATCTAGGTATAGGTCCTGTAGAAGGAAAGTCTGGTGATGTAGTTGCTATCTTTTGCGGTGGGCGTATTCCCTTCGTATTGCGTCCTTTAAAAGAGACGACCGAGCTTGGCGAGTTCTCTTATATCGGCGAGGCATTCTGCAATGGTGTTATGGATGGTAAAGTCACTGGCAAGGAGAAACAGACTTTCTGGCTTACTTGAGTATTATTCTCTAAATGTAATAACTGCAGGAGATGTATCATATACCAGAAAGTTATTAGATGAGGTTAATGTCTGTATGATCTCACCGCGGCTTTGTTTTCTTCTTGTCTTAGTCCTCCATCGATCAACTGGCTTCTTATCTTTCAGTGCTTAGTCTAAAATGTGTAGCCACGGCAACACGAATCTGTTGCGATATAAGTCACAAGGACCTCATCTATAGACGGTTCACCAATGGTTGTAGCCTCCCAAGCGACCCTATCCGTGAAGCCCCTCATTCTCAGTTGAATAATTCCCCGAGAAGACCTTAGTGGATCAAGCGGCGCTAGCAACTTGCAAACCTGCTACACTTGGTCTAGCTAGACCCTTGACCGCTGAGCGGAAGGCGCCGATATCGGCTAGATGCTGTGAGTCTTTCTGCGCGATATTGGTGATGAGTCAAGTTGAGCAAAGGAAACAGCCAATAAAGACAGCAGTTACTTGAGTTCTAACTTCTATTACTTTAAGCATAAAAGCGTACAAGGTACTTACTACGTCTCTCTTTAGGCTTCGCTTTCTTATAGTGTTTTGCCTCAACCCGGCTCTGTTATTCAAGCTCTAAGGATTGTGCGCGGTACTTCAGTCGCGAAGTCTTGTCAAGATGACAGTAAATCAATCTGTGAAACCAGGGTTTATAAAAATCCGAACCACTCTTACACGACTACCATACCCACCATTGAAGGACTGCCCGACTATAAGAACACAGCGTCTGGTTCTCAGGCCATTCTATGAGGATGCTGCAAAAGACCTTTTTCCCATGCGCGCCCAGCAGGAGGTCATGATGTGGACAGCCCAAGGCGTCCCAGACAAGGACTTTGAGGAAACCCGGAATTGGGCTTCACAGAGACTACCGCCACATGATCAAACCAACTTATATTACGTCATCAGCCTCATCGAAACTGGCGAGGTCATCGGAGCAGGTGGCACCTATAGACGAGAGTGTGAGCTCGGGTGGCCGGCAATTGGATACGCATTTCGCAAAGAGGCTTGGGGAAAAGGATACGCTACCGAGTTTCTTGTCGCGTTTATGCAGATTTGGTGGAAATTGCCGCGAGTCGAATGTTCTATTGCTGTAGATCGTGCGACACTGAGTGAGGAGGAGATAGTAGCCAGTGCGGATGGTACTATTACGGAACGATGCGCTGCGGAGACGATAAAGGAGAACGTGGGTAGTAAACGCGTCTTAGAGAAGGCTGGATATACGTGGGTTAAGGAATGGAGGAATGAGCAGAAGAATTGGTCGATATATGGATGGGTGACAACTGCTGGGCAAGACGCTGCTAGTTAGTCGTCGAATAAGGGCAAGATATGTGTTTTTTACCTGTTGGGTTTAAAGCTTTGTTAAACCTTGGTGATAATATACCTACATCAGAGCAACAAGTCTCGGATCAACCGGAAATACGAAACTACGAGCGAGGACGATTGATTAACAGCTTCCTAAAGGATATTATTATTACTTTTCTTATTTTGTTATAATTGAATGCCAGGTGCCATCAGTCTCTTCAACGTATCGGACATTATTAGTGGAGCAATAAGAATATTATTAAACCACCTTTCGAGTTTCCAGACTATCTTAACCAGTTATCCAAGAGATGGGAAGTACCCCATGCGCTTTGATAACTATTTTAACAACAGACAGTAATCTTGAAAAACAGTTTAACTTTCTAACCGAATCTATTTAGTAATGATTAACGGCTCCAGACGCTCGAAGGGCCAGCAGCTCCGCTCTCATGTGTATCCTCTTGATCTCCGGCTGGGGGCGTCACCAGCGGCTGCTCCTCATCATGATCATCGTGAAATTCCGGTCTGCCATGACAGTGCGGGCAAGGATGAGGCGTGCTAGACACCAAGTCACCCATGAGTTCCCGAACAATATCCTGCATCTTGCGCGTCCTCAACAACACAAGCAGCGCCAGGTAAAAATGGAGGAACATGTTGAACATCAACGGTGTTGACGCATAAGCCACCAGAAAGGTCTCCCCAGTATCCTGCCAGCTGTTGTGCGTCCACGTGAAGCTGAGCGTTAAAAGAGAGAGGACACCCATCGAGATATCGGCAATGAGACAGTTCAGCGGGTCAGTGATGGGCGTGGCGAATGTTGACTTGAGATGCGCGCCTTGACGGTGTAGGCGTTTCATGGTGAAGCCAAAGATGGCTGAGAAGATGAGGAGGATAAAGGTGAAGAAGGCAGCGGGTCGGACCATGATTATGAAGCGGATGAAGTTGAGAGGTAGACCAACGGCTGCTGAGTAAAGTAGGAAATCCCTGGTGGGATGGAAGACTGCCGCTGAGTTGATGGCTGTCATGTTGCGCTGTTTGTAATTGTGTATATAGTGATATGATGTTTGTGTGTTTTGCGATGAATGCAACTACATCAGTAAGATTGGGGGAAGAAGAATACTTATAGCCAGGGACCCTTCAAATGCACTGCCTTGACAATATGTATCATGATGGAGGAAGAAGGGCTGTGGCATGCGTGTCAATCTCTCACCATATTCTTTTTGTCTTTTGACAGATGGGAAATATGAGTATTATCCAGTAAGATTCTAGGGTATTTGGAAGGATCGGCATATTCTAGGCAGTGTTTCTGTCATCAGTTGGAATCCTTCGAGGCAGCAGCGTAAGCACTACAATGCACAAGTGTTTTATGCACCGCGGACCTTTCCCAATTGGGCTGGAATTATGGGTAACTAAAGCTCATAGGGTACCCACAGTCGCGGTGCATTAAGAATTTCCAGGAACTCGGATTGGTCATTGATCGACAATGCTACTTGCATAAAACCGAGTCTGCCTTGAGGCTTGGTTGTGTTGGTGATAAGTCTTGCGACAGGTCGTTGGTTGGGGTCTGCCTGATCTTCAATCTGCATTTGCCTGCCATTGCCAAGCCACGCCGCAATGTCGCATGCTATTTATAGATTACCGCACTGGAAAAGCTTTAAACCTCATCGCAAAGGCAAAGAATACATGACAACGCCGCCGACTTTTAGCTCAGGTAGAATAGATTCACAAAACTGTAGAGTTCGATAGGAATCAAAAAGAGCTCCATGTGTACTTCTATCTCCTGCACGTATGGCCTCCCAGGTCTCGTTGAGCCGTAGACGGGGTCACTCACGCTCTATACCAGCGGTATCAACTGCGGCGTCGCAGCGATTTGGATTGGCTCATAGATTCTCCTCAAACCAATGCGAACCGTACCCCAGCCACTCGCGTATGTGTCCCATCGCGCAGTGGTCGTCATCTGGGTATAAAAGAAGTTCAGAATTAGGAGCCCAAGTTGCAAGGTTGATTGTGCCTTGGGTTGAGATCAGAGTATCCTTCTCACCGTTGATAGCAAGAATAGGACACAGAATTTGCTCTAATATCACCCCGGGAGGGAGTCAGGGCGTGAAGTCTGCTTTACAGGTCTAGCAGTGTTTTGGACCCAACAACAGAGAATAGTGCTCGGATAACGACTTCGGGCATTCAGAATGATCCCAAAGAGGACAGTGACCAACCTAAGGGTGCCCCGCTGATAACTACTACCTTGAGACGCTTGTCTGCTATTGCCATCCGCGTCGCGCAGTTTCCTCCAAAACTAATACCGAGCATGCCGAGACGCGATCTGTCAAAAGATTTATGAGAGGCCATAAAGCTCAATACGTCCTTGTAGATTGACTCGGATGAAGACTTGGACAATGGCTGCTTGTAGGCTTATGTTCCGGGCATGTCCATGAAGAACCAGGCGCTTGACAGTACCGCTTTTGTGCGCAGCGCAGTAGCCATAGTTTCAACATTTGTGCCTTCAAGTCCATTTGTAACACGCACTCTAGGTATGGTACAGTGGTTTCACCACCTGCTGAGTTGGTGTTTGGCAATAGCTCACCGCAGTGAAATTGCTCTTCTCCTCATCTGAGACGTCTTGAGGGAATGTCACCGCGTTGATGGGGGTTCCAGGTGGCGTCTGTGTCATAGCCGTAGCGCCTCGTCCTAAAAAGATCATTATGTTACTCTCTGGCACGGGCCGCACGGTAGCAGAAACAAATGGCTGTAGGTAATAAAAAATAAAGTTCAGTATCTATGGACAACTTGACAGCTCGAGAACAAACGTTACCCTATGTCGTTTTCGGATGGCCCATGCTTCCGTCCCGGTCCGCGGGTGTCCGCTGTCCGTGCGCCATGTACCGGCTACGCTGCGGCTTCAGCACTTGTATTCCGGTGCCCACGGACTCTGCACAGACGCCGCCAAATAGTAACCTACTTCAATGTACACTTGAATGCACAGACATGTTTTGATGGGCCGCACCGAGAGGCTCCTGTATTAGGCGCTGATTAGAAACCTCCAATAGCATTTGGAAGTTGTTTCCCAAACAGGCGCTGACTACTTATGTATCAGGCTTCTAAGTATAGGATTATCTTCAGATCCCGGAGATAGGATATAGTGTAATTAAAGTTACAGTGGCCGCGGTCCGTTGAGTTGAGGACTGAAGGAAAACTTGCATCATTTGTCCATTTCCGTTTCGGCATGAGTGCGACAGGTCCTGTAAAAGAGCGACAACCATGTCATCAGCTGAAAGCCAGCATTCAGACAAGAGACCTTTAATTGATGATTTCATCCATGGAGTAGGGGGAAATGAACGAGGAAGCCAAGACCAAAAACCGAGACATACAATAAAGTCTAGCTGAAATATAAGCCGTTGCTCAAGTTTCAGTATGCTTATTATCACTATCGTATTGCCCATTGAAACTGCATTACTTGACGAACCAATCGCAAGATTCGAGAGACAAAAGTCCCAATTCATCAGAGAGCATTGCATGGATAAATCAGGAACGCATTAGTTGTTCTGCGGCATGGCCCAAAAGAGGCGTCACAATCAGCCGACTGGCGGCCGTTTTAGTGTGTCTCTTCAACTGAAAGATCTGGGCGCATTGGAATGCCCCCGGGCTGATCTCCCCCTCTTCCCCGAGGCACTAGAGCTCTAGTTCGCATGGGGCTTGCTGTGGCTGTTTTGGCCAAGAGTCCGTGTGTTCTGGATGCGGACGGAATGCTTTGAAATAGCTCTTTCGCGGCCGTGCCAGATCTGCCAAATCTTCAACTAAGCCCTATGCATTCTGTCTCCTGACCGTAGATGCAAAGTGTCGACTTAGAAGTGAGTCTACTTTACGCCATGAGAGATAAACTTCTGTTTTACTACGAACCCGGCTCCCAAATCCGACTCTTCCTAAACCCGTTCTCGACCCGGTCTATAGGTCAAGTCCCCTGGAGATAATATAGGTACATCATCTCTCAGTCGCGCTAAGCAGTCCAAAGACCTGGACGGAACTGACGGCATGCATGGGAGATCTTGGTTTGATCTTTTTACGGTACCAAGTGTTACAGACACTGTTTTTGTAATCACTCAAACTGGATATGTTTTATCAAAAGGCTTCCCCATAACTTCTGTACATCTGTTATACAGATGCGAGCCCATAAATTCTTAGTATGTTTTCTTAGTGCTCCTCTGCTCCCGAACCTAGGTCAGCACTAACCACTAAGTGAGGCTAACATCCCGCGTGTTGCTTTTTCAAGTGCCTGTGCGTTGAGCATGGGGTTAAAATTATATCACAATGTGTGATGAACAAGTAACTTTTAATTTTGCTGGCATTGAGCAGATATGACAAGTACCACAATTCTCCCATCCTTGTCCCCGTCAGCACTACCCCATACCTGACTAATGCACCAAGCAATAGGAAGCAAACGCCCAAGTGCCGGGTTTCAAGCCCTCCCCCAAGTATTGGTCGCCTTTACGGAATGTATGGGGCTCCCCTATCTACCCACTGGGCGGATTTATACTTTCATCCTACTGTAAGCCATGAGTCGAAAAGTTTAAATCCCCAGGAGGACTAACGCGCCCGTTCATGAAACGCCCAGCGCACCCTTGTCCTCGACGCTTTCAGTATTAAGATCTGTCGATCGGTATGCCCTTGCCCGTCCGTTGATGCCGCAAAAAGTCTGCCATGTATCCATTAATATTCTTGACTTGATCCTTTCAATCTTCCTGCCCAGTTGTGATCGGTAAAAATGACTGTCGAGAGCCTTCTCGAACAATATCAGGGACAGATTGTCCCAAAGGCGTACAATGCGGGCTACCTCGCGCTTAGCTACCTCATCAGCTTGGTGGGGGCTGCTTCGACTCTCGAATTGATCAATCGACGATCATGGTTTAACGGTATTTCGAATCAGTATGCCCGACGGATACCTTTGCCAAGCGACAAACACTGCCAAGACGGTCTGCTAATACAGATGCATTAGTCTGATACTCTGTTCCTCTGCAATCACCATGGGCGGTATAGCTATTTGGTGCATGGTAAGTTTCAGTTCTATGTCGCCTTCTGTAAGCTGTATAGATACTAAAATCATTTACATTGCAGCATTTTATTGGAAACATAGCACTCACCCTTGCTGAAGGCGAGGCAGAGATGCAGATTGTATACTCTAGTGGCACTACAGTACTCTCTTTCTGCATGCCTGTTCTTGTCCTACTCGCCGCCTTTTACGCGATAGGAATCTCGAATCGAATCGCGTGGTGGAGAGTGATAACTGCCGGCATTCTTTGCGGTTGTGCCATCTGCGGTATGCACTATTTGGGTAATGCTTCCATCAAGAACTATCAGTGCATATACGAACCGGCATATATCGTGGGGGCTGCTATTATTGCTGTTGCTGCCAGTACTGTGGCGTTGGCTATGTTCTTCATCTTCCAGTCGCTCTCGGCGAGTAGTTGGTGGAAGCGAACCATTTCTGCTATTATCCTCGCCGGAGCGGTGTCCAGTATGCACTGGTGTGCCTCTGTTGGTACCCAGTATAGACTGCTTCAACTGAGGAAATTGGAACGAGGATCACGCACTGCGACTGCTGTCGCAGTTATTTGTTTAGTAAGTGCTGACAGGGCTTGCGCAGGCCGACTAACTGACCTCTGATAGTCTTTCAGTGCCTGCATCATCATTGCTGGATCAGCTATTCTTCGAGCCCGCACTTTAAGAGACGCAGCGCTTCGTGCTCAGCAGATTGAGCTAGCTGCTATTGTCTTTGATAAAGATGGATGCCTCCTTGTCGACTCCAACGGAGTTTTTCCCAACACTGTTGTCACTGATTTCTTTATTGGAGAGGTAAGACGCCTTTTTACTTCCCAAGATATCACATCTCACAGTCAATATTACGACTCCGGCAACTAACACTCAAACTTCCTCTTTAGAACACCGAGGAAAAGTTCAACACTGCCCATCCACAGTTTCACTGGATGTTTCAGGCTTCGCGGAATTGGACTGGCATCTCGGGACTAATAAACGGCATGAAACAACATCTAGGACAGCTGCCGCACAAAAGTCGCCATAAAGATCTGACGAAGGGGATTCAGCTTATCGACGACGACGGAGAGCTCATCGAGGGATATCAAGTCATTTTCCGCGAGTTATTCTGCGTGGCCGCCTCTAAGCTCAGCGATCGCCTCGATGAGTCTATCACAACGATGGGTGTTCTATGGGATGAGATCATTCCCAAAAGATCAGTCGCAAACCCTGCTTACCTACAAGCACTTGAAAAGAACAGAGACAACCAAACTGTCGACACGAGCGAGACACTACGTAAGGGATCGACGACGGGAGAAAGCCACCTCGAGAAGGGCGTCGGACTTGAGCTTGAGAATGAAATGGACGGACGAGGAGCACTGATGTTTTTAGTTCGTCGCCTTACCTCGGAAGACGAGGTAAAAAGACTCGAGTTGGCTGGATACCGATTCGTCGATCCTGTTCAAGTATGCAACGATGCGAGGAACCACTTGCAGATGCAGATCCATTCTACCGACTTCGAATTAAAGCTTCGCGACATGAAGACCTTTATTTCCCAGCAAGGTCGAATCAAGCCTGGAGTTCACCTTGGCCTGTTTGCAATTCAGGATCGAGGGCTTAATAATCACCAGGTCCTGGTACAAAAGGATGCCCGTGATTTGTTTCCCTTAATACCTCTACCTACCAACACCATCGACGAAACGCAAATTCGAATTGTACAAGGACTTGGTGGGTTGCCGGTTCCAGAGGTCATCCAACGACTGAGGACCACAGGTGCATCTTCGAGGACTCCTGAGGAAGAATTGTTCGCCTATCATCTTTCCAATGCCATTCACGCACTACGTGAGTGGGTGCAGGAGCCTCTGTTTCATGATGCCGTGCTCAGCCCTACCATTCTACGACTTCCTTACGGAATTGATGGGGGTGACGCGGACGAAACTGTGATAATGGCATTGAGGCTCAAGATATCTCATCCCGTCTTCTCGTCCGGTCATAACTGTCAATGGGTTCCTCTCAACTTCTTCGGGATGCGACAGGTCTTGGAACAGTCTCGACAGGAGTTTGTACGGGTTCTTCATCAGGAGTTTGATCCTTCGACATTGCCCGCAAGTAGGGCTAATAATGAGCTCACTTCTGGACCTTTATCAACCCTCCGCCGACTAAAAGGTTCCGAAGCATCGGCCAATAAGGGAAAGAAACCTCGGGTGCCAATAATGAGACTAAGAGCTTCCTCAAAGGATTCTACACGCTCATCCTCAACGATCAACTTGTGTCCATCAGGAGATAGCGAAGCTCACAATGAGCGCCTTCCATCGACAGACACAGTGGACATTTACCCTCCTGAACGTCATTATACCTCACATCAGCAGTCATTCCTAAACGGTGGCATTGTTGTATTCCAAGAAGTAACCGTTCAAGTCGAAAAGAAGAAGTCTGAGCCTAGAAGTGACTTGGAACTATCATGGAGTCATGACACGGTGACCGAGCCACCTCGTGCGCATCAAAGACACCACAAAAAGAATGAAATGCCAGTTATACAAAGCATTGAACTGCAGCCATCGGGGAGGGGGACAACAGAGGTTTCTGTTGAGTCTCGTTGGCTACACAGCATTGGCCAAGCAGATAATAGCATGACGACAATGGCCTCCTTTATAGATACATTGATTATAGAGTCTAGTCACTCTACTACATAGCTAAACTTATACTATCTTTATATTCAAGCCATTTATCATTCATTTAATAAAGCTTTATTTAACTAAAAACCTAGTTCCTAATTACTACTAAAACTCTAATAAATTAACCTTTCTACTAAATGCCACTAGCCTATCTAACTTTTCCCTCTTATAACTACTTAAATAATATAATTATCTCTTGCCCAATAACTTATCCTTATGCCAGAATTTTATAATTGACCTTCCTTTATAGGCATAATATAATATATACCTAGGCCAGGTTTTCCTTTATTATCTTAATTGCCTTATCTGTATTATTTTATAATTCCTTTCTCTTATTATAAGTAACTTTTTTCTAAGGGCTAAGTAATTAATATATATAAATATAAGTATTATAACTAAAATAAATAATATTTATAAGAACTATATCTTTTATATTACCTTCTTAAATAGCTTTATAAAAGCTTTTAAAGTTATTATTATTATAAAGCTTTAGTTTTCTCTTCTATGCGTCTTATCAGAGCCATCGTATTATAGCAAAAGGCAGGTAGATAAAGGCTTAAATTATTATTCACTATTTAGAAATAAAATAAACAATTATAAGCTTCCCCTATACAATTTGGGCCTTTATCTTGCGCTCCAAAACATCTTCTCCCTTCTCCCTATGTGAGACTGAACCAAACAGGATATCAATTTCTTCAAGAGGAATGCCCTTTGTCTCAGGAAGGAAGCTAAAGGGAAGAAATAATATCAGCTTAAGACATCCAAGTGACTGATGGGGGAATGACTTACAAGAAAACGCCGACCAATAAAAGTGCATTAACCCCAACAAAGAAGAAGAATGTGTAAAAACCACAATTCTTTAAGAACGTGGGGAAGAACTGGTTGAGGATGGTTGAAGCCACAGACTGTGACTGGGCGCCAATGGCGACACCGTGAGCTCGCACATCTGTTGAGAAGATCTCTGAAGTATAAATCCATACAGTAGCTCCCCAAGACGGTTTATAAAAGAAGATGAACAGGAAGAACATGGCGGCCACAGCCACGCCCATACTGTAAGGTCGGGTTCCGTCCGCACTCTCCGGGACCTTCATGCCAAGAATGGCAACGACCAGGAGTGAGATACACATACCGGCTGCACCACCCATGAGGATGAAGCGGCGGCCTACCCGGTCAACGAGCAGGGTGCAACTAAGGGTGAAGATGATAGAGCAGGATCCCGACAAGGCGTTGATGAGGGCGATCGTTTCTGTACTCTTGAAAACAGACTTGTATATCAGAGTCGTATAGGCATTAAGCGAAGAGCTACCGGAGATCTGCTGGCCGACGTTGATAAATATAACAACAAAGGTGCGACGTAGAAGGGAGGGTTCCCGAACCAAAGTCCAATCTAGACAGAAAAGGACGAGTCAGATCAAAATGGGGCTGATTACAACAATTGTTATGCAAAGAAGTAGGGTGTCAACGTACAAGGCGCCCACCACTTGTCCCAATGCTTGGTCGTTGCCTTTTCGTAAGCAATGGCTGTCACGATACTGGCGACCTCCTCATCGACTTGGTCGTTGCGGACGCGGGCCAAGGCCGAACGGGCATCCTCGACTCGATCGTTCTCTATCAGCCATCGTGGTGACTCTGGGCAGAAGAAGATGGCCACAATAATGAAGACAGGAATGGGTATTTGAACAAACAGCGGAATGCGCCATTGCCAGATCCCCATGTCGAGCGTGGTCCTCTGAGCTCCGTAGGCTGCCCAGTACACAATAAAGGCGCCGATAGTATACCAGACTGCGCCAGTTCGTCAGCAGAGAATCTTTATAACGATAGGGTAGAATCGGTGTAAATTTACGCTGCCAAAGGGAAAGCATGATCCCACGAATCTTGGCCGGGGCGATTTCGGCGATGTAAGTCGGGCCATTGTTCATGCTTATACCCTTGCCCAGACCCATAAGCACTCGACCGGCGATGAAGCACACGATGTTTGGTGCAAAGGTCTGAATCATGACCGAGATCAAGACAATGGAGGTACCAAGCTGGATCGGTATTTTGCGGCCAAACTTCTTGGAGATGGTGGGAGAAATCAAGAGTCCAGAGACAATGGCACCTACGTGGTAGGCTATTATATAGTTGTTAGTCCCGGGCGAGTTGGAAGAAGGCGGAGGAGAGATGAGAGCGGTTCTCATTTTTCCGCCATCGCGGACAGACCTGTGTTGATACCACCTAGGATATTAGGTTGTATTTCGTCGTCTCCGGGCTCTTTGAAGTGGTTGATAAAGGTTTCAAAACCCTGGATCGAATTAAACGTCGATGCGTCGTATCCCGCAAGAGCCTGTACGCAAGGGAGTATTAGCGAATTCTGACTCAAGGTCGCTTGATTAAGAGACGAGGCTCAAATCACCATGACCATGGCTGCAGCCGTAGCGGCGAACCATGCTGTGCGTTCCTGGGGGGTCATGCTGGTAGTGTGAGGGCTTCCTTTGTTGTTAAAAATGCTGGGTCAAGGTCGTTGAGATGAGTTAGATGAAGACTGGCATCAACAGAAGACAGCCAGCGGTGTCGATTAATATATCTCGGGCAAACTGTTGGCCAGATACAAGCTTCGATTCCCCACAAAACAGACAACCGTTAGCACGTAAATCCGGGGTAATCATCAGAGCAGGACGAACAGCACCAACTCCACATTCCCCGCGTTTCAGTCTAGCGATACACACGCTGTTTAGCGAACAACTCCTCTGGTGGTCCAGTGTTCGGGCACACTAACCTCTGTCCGGCCCGGTTGTGGGTTGTGTATTTTGGCTACGGCCATCTATTTGCCGTGATACCCGGTGTCGCCAAGTGATGGGACCATCGGCCGTCGGAAACAAATCGGACGTGTCTGGACCCATGTTAATTAGTAACATCCGCGTATGGGAATTTGTACATACCCGTTCTCGGGCCGTAACTATTGTCTTGGCAGTCTTGGTCATCAGGACTCACTCCCCAGGGGTAATTAGAATTGATCAACATATCGTCATGCTAAAGTGGGCTTACCGTCATGTTCGGTAGGGAGATGGAGTTTTCGGCTTCGCGACAGTACGGAGCTCAAATGGAGCCGTTACGTAGACTGAGTTACAACATTCTGCCGTTGACTTGTTTGCTGTATTCTATTATACGCGGATACTGCTTGGCCGCGCCAGGATAAGAGACTGAACAGGGTAGTAGTATGATAATATAATACGACTTGAACGCCCTGGAAATTTATAGTAGATTCCATCAATTTGTGTTTCCGACATAACCAATCAAGCCCTGATCATGCGTTTTGTCACTTCCTGCGCTGTACTACTTGCCGTTGCCCACCCTAGAGCTTTGGTCGAAGGGAAACCCATCGTTATTAACGTCCCGAAGACTGCTTCTGACGACGCCGCTCTACTAGACCCATCACCTATATCGTTCTCGTATGCCAACACATCCGTCTAGACGGGGATTTAGAAAAAGGAACTAATTAAATCATTGTTAGGCTGCCTTTCGCTGGACTACCGGGTTACTTCCCTGGTATACCTCTAACTCTGAAATGTCTTCGCACTTTCAAGGATGCGACCAGCCAATGGCCCCCTGTTCGCATAGGAGGAACTTCTGAGTGAATACAGTTTTATACTTACTTGGCTGATGGCTACTGATTACTTATCCAGGGACTATTCCACCTTTGACCCTAACCTGACTGTTCCTAATGTGATTACGGGAACTGCGCCAACAGGCCAAGGCATCAGCACCTATGGACCTTTACTTATGCAACTTGTTGCAGATTATCAAGGACCAATTGTTTGGGGTAAGCCCGTGACTTTCTCTTTCTTGAATCTACAGACGTTGACCTTGTATGTGTACAAAAAGGTCTCAATCGAGGTGGCAACAACATCACCAACACCATCGCAGCTGCCAAGGCAGCTATCAAGAAATTGCCATCCTTGTATGCGCTAGAGCTTGGGAATGAACCTGTAAGTTATTTTGGCAATCCTTTGTGTTGAAGTTCATAGGGAGGACTGACCTAGCTACAGGACGGTAAGATGACAGCCATAGGCGAAATACAATACTTCAGAACCATGTCTTTGGCTGATAACTAACCACTTGTGCATTTTGTTTAGTTTTCGGCGCTACCAAACAGCCAATTGCTTCGACTGGAGACGAATGGACGCCGCAAGCAGACGCAGAGTCTGAATCGGAATGGCAAACGGCCATTGGCCATGCAATCAACCGCAATCATATCTTTCAAGCTGCAAGCTACTACCAGAAGACTACCCAGGGATGGTCGGCGGCCAACTATTTCAAATACGCTAATGTTTCCGCCGATAAGTATATCAGGGTCTTCTCTCATCACAACTATCCACAATCTGCTGTTTCCGACAAGGAGGATCCGCCAAATGTTGAGGCGCTGATGAGCCACATCAATGTCACCAAGAATGTCGGTCTTTACAAGGACGACGTCAAAGCAGCTCGAGCCAGGGGGTTTGATTACGTTTTCGGCGAGACCAACTCTGGTAAGCTGCATATTGAGAACAATCCCCTTATGTAATTGCGATATCAACTAACATGTGTAAACTCTTTAGTCTCTGGTAATGGAAGCCCTGGACAAGGTGAAACGTTTGCAACAGGTCTTTGGGCGCTTGACTATGCTCTCCAGGCCGCTAGTGTTGGCATCAAGCGTCTCTACTTCCACCAAGGCACCGCTGGCAAGTCTTACTACGTTTGGTTCAACGAAAAAGGTGTCCTGTCACCTCTCTATGGCGGCTACGTCGCCGCTCAGGCCATGGCTGGTGGATCTCGAATCAAATCGCTCGACGATGGAAGCACAAACTACGCCGGGTACTCTATCTACGGTGCCGATGCCAAGGTCAAGAAAGTCGTCTTGATCAATACCGACTTTTTCGATGGGAACGGGACGCGCTCAGCCCAAGAGTTCGTGCTTGAGGGTTTGGCAGGCAAACAGGTGAGCGCTCTGCGTCTGACGGCAAAGAGCTCTCTTTCTCGACAGGATGACGGAGAAGCGCCCACATTTGGTACAGTCTCGGTCGATGATAATACTTGCCAACCTTCGGGAAAGTTTGTGGTCGAGAAGGTAGTTATCAAGGGAGGCAGTGCGTCATTCCGCTTGGCCGCGTCAGAGGCTCTGTTGATTACCCTGTAAGTGGTTGGTCACGAGAATGAGGCTGAAGAATACAGGGTTAAATCTGTTTACCCAAGGGTTTAGTTGAAAGTGTTCGCCTTTTTGTCTTATCTGCCCTACTCGAGATCAATAGTATATATAAGAAAAAAGGTTAGGAATTAGAAGAAGTATCAATACCCCAGAGTAATTAGAACTTCAAATTCTTTAAAAACCTTTTTATTAGTTCTTTACTAGGATCCTATTTAAATGTCATCACAGTTTTTGATCAACAGGGTATTGTTATGAGCTAGCTGATTGCGGAGAGTGAATGACTTATTATACGCGTATAGATGCTACGTACTCCAACACTGGTGGACGCCTAATATGGAGCAGAAGCTATTGATAAACCTAGCCGGTATTGGACTGGGCTATTTGTAATTACATGGATTGAGACCCACGAGTCAAAATAGGCAAGGCAAGCAGGCAGATCGAATAGCGGCCAGGTCTCGCAGGGTATCCGATATTCGGGGATATCCCCTTGTCGTACTGGTCCGCGGCCTGTATGTCCTGTGCTGCTGCTGTCGGTCAACCATCCGAGAGCCGTTTCTAATCCGTCTGTGCGCAACCCCGCACTTTCTTTCTATCAGCTGAGTTCGCCTCTAAAAACATCAATACTAATAGTGCATCATTGTCCAACCACTGCCAAGCCTCCTGTATAATCAAGACACACAAAATGCCTGGGTCGAATATGGCATCGAAACCTTTAAAGAGGGCTCGACAAGAGGACACCGATGAGCAAGAAAGAATCGTCAGAAGCCGCTCGAGCGTGGCTTGCCAAGCGTATGTACATTACATTACACTAGACCCGGAATGGAGACTTGAGATGAATGCCTTTGACTAACTTGACGACTTTGGATGATAGGTGTCGGTTGGTGAGTCCGTCTCCAACGCCGTGCCTACACCCAAATAAGTGTATGAGCTCACAGTGCTTCTGTCTTTTTTTAGGCCAAGACGAGGTGCGACGTTAACCCGTTCGCGCCTCCGTGTACGCGTTGTGCCGCTGCATCAATTCCCTGTTGCGTCCCGGAAAGTCGAAGAGGACGCATGAAGGGGAGCAAGAAGTGAGTGCACTATATCGACCTCCCATGTCACCTTCAAGCCTGTGATAACTGAAGTCGCATAAATTATAATAGTTTCCGAACCTGGCAGCAAATGTTGGACGTCGAACCACCAGCAACATCCGAACCCTCACACCAGCGATCTGATTACCATTCACACTCGGGGCCCGATAATGTGGGACAAGATGGCCGCGATAGTCCACAGCCTCAGGAATCGGGGACAATCACACCACTGGATCCACATAACTTGATGAAAAGCCTCGATCAGGATTTATACAGCGACTCGAGCCGTTTCACAAGACGGTTGCTGCGATACCTTGGGGAACAATTCCCTGTGGGCACCAAAAGTGAATCACAAAATACAAACGAAGTTTCAGGAGGTTTTGAAGACTTGTTACCATCCATCACCAAGATCGCCAAGCAAGGCTGGGTGCTCGGTGGGCCAGGGCTGGCCAAGAGAATTCGACATGCGGTTTCACTGCCTATTGCCGAGCTACCACCAGAGGATGCGCAGCTGCTGAAACAATGGACGCCGCAGGCTCTGCAGCAGGTCGTGGGTGAGACGACAAAGTATTTTGAATATGGCCTGAGAGGCTCCAAGCGCGACGTGGCGATGAAAATTGACCCTTTGCAGAGAGGCATGATAACCGAAGCCAGGGCTCCGACATTATTTGAAGCGTGAGTAAATCCTGAATCAACATATTGCGGATGGATGGCTTCTCACCCCAGCTCAGATACTTCAAAATGGTCCATCCTCAATGGTCAATGCTCGATCCTAACTTACACACGGTCGACTTTGTCCGCCACCAGTCTGCCCTTCTAACCACCACTATCTTGGCGCTAGGCTCGATTGCCCTGGCAACTCTGCCAGATAGCGATGATGCCCAGGTTGCTGAGGCCTTGAAGCTACGTGCTCACGCCGAGAAGCTGAGTCTGGTTGTCTACTCGACAGGTGCACGCTCCTTGGAGATAGTGCAGGCTCAAGTGGTGAGACGAGACAGCACCCGTCAGACTCTGCTTACACCTCGGCTAATGATTGATTGATGACAGTTACTATCTCGGTTTGGGGGATCCTCAAAGACACGACTAGATGAACAGAGATGGCTTCGTTCTGCTATGATTCCACGCATGGCGGCCGAGGTAGGACTTGGCGGATCTGGTCCACGTGGCCACACCGGAAACTCACTTGATAAAGCGACCGACGATGATCACTGGAACGAGTTGCGCACTCGAGCATTCATGATACTGAATGAGTACCGGTAGGATGTTTCTTGTCCTATCCTGTCGCCACCATTGATACAAGACAGCTGATGTCACTTTCCAAAGATTTTCCACCTTTTCTGGCCGTGCGCCCTTGGACATGTCTTACTTTGAACTCCCAGAAGCCGATATCAAAGTCATGTCTGCCCTTGGTGCCGATCATCTGTCTTCTAGCCTGCCAGCATTGTATCACCTCTACCTCTTTCAGGTAAGCTTTATTTCAGATCACCGTGCATGTGTATCCTCCTTTACTGAGTTCTCCCTTTAGAGAGAAGTTGGACGAAGACTTGAGATAGCCACCACGACGGCCTCTTCCGCCGTTTCACAGCTCGAGGCTGATTTGGGCTGGGTTGTGCATTATACCGAGAAATGGATCACAAAGTGGTCCGCTGGCAATTCCAATCCTGGGACCAGCTGGCATCTTCTTCACGACGCATTGAGCTGCCAGCTTCTCATGTCATCTCGAATTATTGGCCGAATACCTCAAACTGAGGGACAGGCGGCCCATAAGAAATATCTGCTCGATATAGCCATCCGCATCTTTCAAGAAGCCCTCGACGCTCCCCAAGGAACGCACATGACGCATCGAGCTAGTATATTTCCCTTCGCTGGTGCCCTGATCCTTCAGTGCAGCGACAGGCGTGATCTGGTGCTTCGACTTGCCCTTCGGATGGCCGGTCGCCCCAATAAGCAGTATGTGCCTACATTTATACGAAGTGCGGGTAACCAGCTGCTAGCCATGCTTTGGTAGGTATTTGCCCATGCATATCTTTGCGAATATGAAGATAGCAACTCCGTATTCACTCGATATACTATACTTACAAGAAAGGTAGTTCAAATCATGGTCAATATCAGCCACGGACGCAATTTGCGAAGAAACCGACAGAGACACCCAAAGATGAAGAGAGCTGCCTAGACGAGGCACGCCAAACGGAACATCATGCAATTCCTTGTGCGGCTAATCAGCAGACTTCCCGACATTTAGAGTCCGTGTGGAACTCAGAGCCCGAGTGTGACTTAGATCTGGCTCCCTCTTCGCAGGGTCATGGCTTTGACGTCGGCCGAGAGGATGCGCTTTCATCAGAGAGCAGCCGTAGATCGACACTAAGGACTACTGAGCATGGCATACAGGGCACTGGGCTACAACAACAAGCAGAAAGACCAGCGTCCGAAGACTTCGAAATAACTATGGCAGTCCCAGTCTCCCAAGAGCATGCAGCCACTCCCCAGAAGGACATCTACTCCACCACGGCTCAGGCTTATGCTGGGGATTTTCTCAGCCTTGATCCTTCGTGGGAATTTCCATGTGTACCTACCATGTTAAGCCCGCAAGCACCTCTCTTCCCTCAGCATGAGCCCATTACGGATCTTGACATGTTGATGAGTGGAGGCCAAGTTTGGTCTTTCAGGGATGGGAGCCAGCAGCAAGATGAATTCGCTTACATGAACCCAGCTGAAACAAGTCCACCGATACAGCACTACTTGGGCGTCTTCTCAGACCCTCTGGGAGATCCTTTACCCAACAGAGATGACAACTTGGTGCCAGGTGATGGTGAGGTTGGAGCGATGCTGCCCGGATGGGACACCTGTTTCTCTGCGAACACCACTTCCGCTATTGATGGTGATGGGCAGCAGACACTAAAGGAGAGGCAGGATTATCGACAGACTCTTTTTCAGACCATCAGCCGGCTTCTGGAAATGGCCTCAGCATCTTGATTGGTTGAATGAACCAAGTCTAATCATGGGCACTGTTGGGTATACATATGCCAGAACTTGAACATGATTTACAGAGTTGATGTATTTTTGCATTATATTCAGCCTCAACCAAGTTCACAGACCCTTAGTATATATATCGTCCAGTTCTAATACGTTGACTAACGGCTGGTTGTTTTTGAACCGTTGGATATTGTCACAGATGATCTCTATTGACCGAGCCGTGCGATCTGGCATTCCTGGTGTCGAGTGAGGTGTGATAATCACATTTGGTAACTTCCATAGAGGTGACTGCATGGGCAATGGCTCAATCTCGAAGACATCAAGCCCAGCACCTGCAATTTCGCCAGCCTCCAAGGCGGCTACTAAAGCAGTTTCATCAATCAAAGATCCTCTCCCCATATTGATGATAACAGAGGATGGCTTCATCTGCTTGAACTGATCCGCTCCAAACAGATGATGTGTCTGGTCAGTAAGGCTAGCTGCGAGCATGACGACATCGCATCCAAGAAGCTTTCCAATACTGTCTCCATTTTCGGTACTCAGCATAACGTCGACGTTATCAGGTAATTTGGAGCCAACACTGAGCTTTCTTCGCCTCATAGCCGTAACGTGCATTCCAAAAGCCTTACCTAACAGGGCCATCTCTTTACCTGTATTCCCAAAGCCCAGGATTCCCAAGCTCTGGCCCCAGAGGGCACCCCGCAGACGCAGCTCTTCACGTCTATCATGCCATTGACACGACATCTGGCGCTGAAGTAAGCCCCTAGAGTCGTATCTCAATGAGAGAGCGAAGAAAAAGGCATGCTGAGCCAGTGCAGGTGCTGAGCGGCCCGCTGAGCTGGTGATGACCAGACCGCGCTCAAAAAACTCGGGACGGGCCGATTTGTTGAGACCAGCGTGATCACAATGAATCCAAATCAGATTTGGCGCACCGGAGAGCATTTCCGGGGTGACGTCACTGGCTAATATGGCGATATGGGCGCGCTTTATGGCCTGGTGGAATATGTGCTGCTCGCCGTTGGGGATATGAACAAACTCAGCAGGCTCAAATGCCTTTTGAAGGATGTTGATCTCTTCTGTGGTCCACTGGACAGTGGCGACGACCACATGCTCTTGTGTCAGCCTTGACATGGCGAATAGGGAGGGAGGGACGAGTAAACAATCCTAGAATCGGTTGCAAATACAAAGGGCCCTCTCTGGATGACCGTTTTGGGCTGGAGGGAACAGAAGGGTTAGAGTTGTCAAATGATAAGAACAAGGTGTTTTGTTGCATGCAAGGCCTTTCCTTGTAAGTAAGCTAATGGAATTGTGGGGTAGGCAAGTTTTTGAGTGGTTTCCTATTGACATGCCATCTATTTGCCGTACGGGCCGAGAGCCGTTAAACGCGTATGGACGTGTAAAATGCCCCCCCACACTCGCACAGTCAGCTGTGCGTACAGAGAAAGGTTATGTGAAGAACATTCATATGTCACATATAGGCCGGCGCCGGTACAAATGAGATCGATCCATTGTGTAAGCCGCTTAATGTGTGTGTGTGTCTGCCCCAGTAATGAAGGTGGCGGCTGCAGCCATCGATTTGCGAGACGACGGCAATACAATCTACCGTACTGGTAAGTCCGGCAACTATGCAGGCAGCTTCCCGATACCCAAGTTCTGTGTGGTGATTATACGCTCTCAGCCATAGGTCTCAACGGCAAATAACACATCTAGATCACTATTTAGACATTATACCATAACGCCTAACCGCTTCCCAATACCAAGAAATTTCTGTAGCATCATGTAGGCTCGCAGAGCTGGCCGAGGAAGCTGCGACTAAAGACAGGTTGGAGATGAGCATTACATTCACTGCCTTCTCTTGGGAAGGTTGATTTGTAAATATAAGCTGTAACTAATAAAATGATATTTTATGTAGATATAATAGTCAAGAATGTACTATTTAATAAGTATATTTTAATTACCTAATGATTCTATTATTATAAGCTTTTATGCATAACTGTTGCAGCAGCCTGATATATTTTAGTTAGTACTTCTGTAATAAGTTTATATGTTTATACAAGAAAACATAAATAAAATAAACAACAATGTTTACCTGGTGGTTTGGGAAGATTAGAGAGTCGGCTAGAACCACATTCTCTTTTCTACTAGCAGCAAATACAATAACCTCTGCAACATCGTCGGGTGTAAGGGGAACGCAACCCCTATAGAAGCAGTCAGTCTCACCTTGAAACAAAATTGTTAAAACAAATTACCCACGCATACACTGCATCCGCCTTAGCCTTGTCTCCATAGAACCTGACGACAGAGAATTCCTGGTTGTATTTCAGTCAGACTTGTTACTTTACTGGCTCCCCAGCCATGTAGTCTGAATGAACTCACAGTCTCGACTTGACCAGGGTCAATTCCAATCACTCGGATGCGGGTGTTGATAAGCTCACGCCGCAAGGCGTCCGTGAATGATCGTACGGCTGACTTTGTCGCGCAGTAGATACTGCCACCTTGATAAGGCTCTCGGCCGGCAATACTGCCAATATTGATAATATCTCCGCAGCCGCCTCTGGGTCTCTCTTTGAAGATGGCCAACACTGTCTGAGTCATGTTGATCAAGCCGGCAACATTGGTCGCGAACATGGTCTGGATATCTTGCAAAGCAATATCTGGAGCCTGGGCTACGCCCTTGACAAGACCGCTGGGCAAAGAATATCGTCAATAAGATAGGTAGGGGACAACCAGGGCTGCAAGGGACATACGCGTTGTTGACAAGAATGTCAATATCCTTGAACTCATCCGGTAGTTTACCAATAAAGCTTGAGGTATCTTCGAACTTGCTGACGTCTAGTTTGATAGGGAAGACCCGGACTCCATCACCGACCTCGCTGCGTATCTCATTCGTCAAGGTCTGCAGCGAGTCGAATCTGCGCGCAGCGAGGATGAGCTTCAGATTGCTTGGACATGTCCTTGCAAATTCTTTGGCCGTACTTCGCCCGATACCAGACGATGCACCTGTTATAAGAATTGTTTTTCCGGCGAGACGATAACCCATCGATGACGCCATGATTATACCGGTTGGGTCGTTTGTATGCGCCGCTAGCTGGTGTCAAGTAGGATCGTGTTTATATCCAGGGATAACACACTGATGTGATGGTATTGGATCTAGCCTGCTTAACTGATTACCTAGGCTTCCCATTTATTATTTCTACATACACTGCTTTCCCATGGTACAAATACCATCTAGATTTCTTTGTATCTCTAATGCGAGTCAGGCAGACCCGCCGACCATCCACGTCGGCACTGGCCGTGGCGGGCCGGCTATTTCGGCAATTAGATGGATCAATGCTTACGGCCCGAACGAAGTCGGATTACCAACAATTTCGGCAGCTTGTATACGCGGAAACCTCCTTTTGTCGTTTTGCTACAGAGATCTTCCATCAAATAATCCATTCCGGCGTGGATGGTAGAAGGATCTCTTGCACACAATTGGGTCATTGCTAATTATATAGGTCCTCACTGACCTATACTTCTTATCAAAAGATTGACATCGGACCACGTCCAAATACAGTTCTTTCATTCAATTAAGTGTATTATATACTACACCAGAATTCATAAGCGTATCGACAAGAATCATGACTGTCCCTGCACCAACAGCGCGCCGGTGGTGGCACGAGCCATTCTCGGTCGTCCAAACGAATCTCCGCGAGATTGACGCGGAAATGGACGTCGAGGCCGTGGCCAACTGGATCAAAGGCTTCGGTGCAACGGCTTGGCTTTGTGGAGTGGGCGGTATACAGGCCCAATACCCATCTGAACTGTCTTTTCAGATGCGCAATCCACACTTGGCCGAGAGGACCAGTGGTGACCTTGTCGGCGATGCTCTCGCCGCAGCCCATACCAGTGGGCTTAAGTTCCTTGCCCGCATGGATTTCTCCAAGATTGCCCCCCACGTGGCTGCCGAGCATCCGGAGTGGTGCTATGTCTCCCCGCTGGGTAATATTCAGGAACATACAGCCGGACTCGTCTCGGTTTGCCCTTCTGGTGGTTACTATCAAGAACGGATTTTCGATATCCTCCAAGAAGTAACGGAACGCTACAACATTGATGGGTTGTTCTTCAACTGGGCCACCATGAACGAGGAAGACTATCACAAGGTGTACCATGGTGTCTGCCATTGCGTGAACTGCCAGTCGTTATGGCTCGATTTTGCACAAGGCCTTGAACTTCCAAAAGGACCCCAAGACACCAACTACGGGATCTGGCTTATCTTCAGTCGCAAGATCATAGATGGTATCACCGCAAAGATACGCACTTTCATTGCTGAAAGGCTCCCGCAAACGGCCCTGATCAGGGGGGAAACAGCTGATATTATCTACCAAGAGTCAAACAACGAGATTGGCCGAGACTTCTGGCATCATTCAACCTCTGAATGGATCAGTTCTTGGATATCTTACCGACCAAACGTACCTGTATTAGCGAACTCGACGTGTTTTCTTGATATGAGGTACCGCATGGCTGGAGAAGAGCCTGCCCAATTTGCCCAGTACTTGCTTCAGTGTATTTCTCGTGGGGGTACGCCCTCTACTTACATGATGGGAACGCCAGGAAAGATTCCATACCCCTGCTTGGACATCGCGAGAGATATCACGCAGTTCCATTCTCGACATCATGATACATACCGCAACTTCATACCTTGCGCCCTCACTGGGCTTGTCCGGCCAAGCCGCGGATGGATGACAGGGAAGACCTACCAGCAATCCGTATCCGAGTTCAGGGGAATATACTCGGCCTTGCAAGAGATGCATATTCCTTTCGATGTAGTAGCACTCGAGCATCTATCTGGATTGGAGGCAAATTCGAGTCTTTCCCGGTATCGAAACCTGATACTACCCGATCTCGGTCACGTTCCCATGGAATACGCCAGTATTTTCGATCGCTGGGTCGATCAAACATGCGGTACTTTGATTTGTACAGGATCTTCGGGTCAAGAGGAAGCAGGCTCAATTCAAATCAAGTGCCTTCCCGTCCGTCGACGCCGCGCTGTTGTTGCCGAGGGCAAGCTATTGTGGTCTTCATACGTAGCGCCACCTCAGAAGAAGAAGGGGATTCACTACTACAATGGTCCTACAATCCCTCTCTTTGGGGCTGCTAGCTATTTCGAGTGGAAGGAAGAGAGTGTGAAGTATTATAAGATACTCTCCCGCGCACCGTTCGCCCCCCCTGAAAAGGCCTACGGTAATATCGAGATCGACCAGCCAGGCTACGGTATGGCACCATATGGTTCTGGCAAATGCTGCTTGATTCCTTTTACCGTTGGAAGGGGATATCGAGAGACCGGACTTAGTTGTCAGCGTGACTTCTTCCTGCAAGTGTTCAGACAGCACGCCACACCCGAGAGGCTCACTTTTCACCTTGCTGAACAGGTTGAAATCACTATGCATCGCAGCGGTGACAGGATTGTCCTTCACTTGGTTAATATGTCTGGCGCTCGGAAGCTTAACTTTGGTGCTCATATTCCGATTACGCAGGGCTCGATTCAGATAACAGGTGATTCTCATAACGTATCGGCAGAAGCCTTGAGGAGAGGTCAGAAGCTAGAGATAAATGATGGAACGATTACCTTGCCAGAACTAGATTTGTTTGAAGTAGTAGTTATTGAGGGTCTTTTGTAAAAGTTATTATTATTACTATTATTTAAATAAATCTTTTAATTAAGTTAGTTTTATATTATAATAACTATATTTAAAAGTCTGTTTTTAATAAATAGAATTCAAGTTACTAAGTGTTTATATTAAATTTAATAACCTGCAACGTTTTACTCTAGCCTTGAAAAATATTTACAAAATACTCAGGTTAAAGGCTATGATATCTCTTTGCCTTACAAGAGGGGCTCTTTGGCAGCGCAATAGCAGTTTTGGTATCGGCCTCAACAGTCTTGATAGCCTTCACAGCAGTTTCAAGAGTAGAATGTTCTTGAGGGAAGAAGCTGTTGAGCGCGTCGACGGAAGTGGCCGGAGTGGCAACAGGTGTAACCTCGTCGGCAGCAGCAGAGGTACCAGAGGGAGCAGGATTGTTGATGGGGTCAGTTACATCAGCTACAGCAGAAGTATTAGCCGCGGTCTCAGCCTCAGCAGGGACGGGAGTCTCAACAGGAGCGGTAGCTTGAGCCTTTGACTCTCCGGCGGAGTCGGCCATGCGGGGCCTGATAGCGGCGACACCGGGGAAGAAGGAGGCTCGGATGGTAGGGATCGCAATGGATACAGTGAGACCAAGGCCATTCTCAATCTCTCCATCCATGGTCTGAGTGGCAGCACTGGCAGCATCAACAGTCTGGGTAGTTGTGTAAGCACCGCCATCGCCCTCTTTGAGACAGGCTCCGGAGCCGTAAGCGTTCTTGCACACGTGCTCGACGGTATCGCCCTTGTTGCTTCCAACAGTGAAGTCATCGACCTGCATGTCAGTGCAGGGGACATCAGCGGGGCAGTTGAACTTGATAGGGCCTCTCTGGTGGCCGTCGGCGCAGGTTCCGGACCAGCCGGAGAAGGTCATGTTGGTGTAGAGAATACCGTCACCAGCGATGGGCTTCATGGAGCTCCACTCGGCATCGAGGTCGAGCGTGTAGGCGTTGGAGTGGCCAGCGAAGTTCTTTAGGGCAACATTGTTGACAGTGCCGCTGCCGCCGTAAGACTTGAACATGTACATCTGGTTGGAACGCTGGGTGTAGATGTTGTTGTACTCGATATCATGAATATCTAGTCTAGATTAGCATTGATCGGGCAAGCGAGATGGGAGTAACAATCACCAGTGTCGGTGGCCAGGGAGCCCATGGCACAACCTCCAGACCAGTTGCAGAAGATGTTCTCGATCAAGAGGTGGTCAGAGGGGTTCTTGACGGTGACACACTCGTCCTTGTTGCTGACTTCAACATCGTGGATACTAAGAGAACGTTAGCATAGCTCAACACCTAAGAAGTGTGAAGAGGTATTACTGGATGTTTGTTCCCCAAACGTCGATACCATCGAGACCACCTCGAGCACCTCCGTGAATGGCCATGTTGTACACTTCACCATCGGAGCAGGTGTCTATAGAAAAGTGGAATGCGGGCGCTTGCTTCTGTCAATAGCATTACTGATTGGGGGGCGGGAATACTCACAGTCGACCAGAGCAACGTCATGGATAGAGAAGCTCTTGACGTCGGCGAATCGAAGGATACGGGGGCCATATTCATCCTCTGCTTTACGTCAGTGTCTTGAATAAGAACCATGCGCACATTTTGAACATACTCTGGTGGAACTCATATCCATAACCCTGGATAGCTCCCTTGGAGGTGCTGCTGTAGAACTCGAAGTCCTCCAGATGCTTGAACATTAACATGTTGCCTCCATCAGTGCTTTTCAATATTAGCAGGAGTTTAGTTTTGTCTCTAGCACGAGACAAACTTACCCAATTCGGTAAATAATTCCGTCAAGACGGAATGACATGGGAGTCGAAGAAGTCAGTGTCAACCAGGTACCTAGACCGTAGTCGCCCTCTGGGACGTAGACTTCTCCACCACCAGTTCTGCAATCATTCCAAGCCTTCTGAATCGCTGGACCGTTATCAGTCTTGGCATCCGCCTTCGCACCGTAGTCGGCAATGTTGCAAGTCTTGACCGCGGCCTTGGCCGAAGGAGTAGTGAGAGGTCCAACCTTTCCGCTCAGCTGTGCAACAGCCTGAACGGCGGAACCAACGGCAATCAATGCCGAAACAAATGAGTGATGCATAGTGAAAGAAAAAGAAAAAGAGTGTGGACAAAAATACGTGCAAGTAAACGACAGTAATGGGACCCAAGGAAACAGAAGCGACAGAAACACAAAAAGATCTACAATGTGCTTCCGGGGTCCCGTTTACAGGTATTTAAACCACCGCATACTATATTTGTTGGGGCTGCGCAAGCTACAGGGAAACCGTTCGTAATTCTGCAAGCTAGAGTATGATATTAATGAGAAATGATCCGATATTAATGAGGGTCATTTTACTGTGGGTTGCGTCTCCTGATGACAGGGTTCGTGAAACAACCCAAGTTTTGGTCGATCAAATTGGGAAAACCCACCAATAAGCGCTTAGAATAATCGGGTAAAAGATGCCGTAGTGCGTGGTTGCTCAAACATGACATCTAGATAGCCTTGACTCATCTAAATGAGGGCCATCATTGACTCTGGATAGTGGCGTAGCATACAATTTGATCGGAAATCGGATCGGAAAAGGCACAGGATAACGCACGTTTTAGCTGTGAGCCGCAGGCTGGTCAGGTGCCTCGTTGTGATTTTCACCATGGAACTAAGGTATGTAGAGACTGAGGGAGTGAACATAGACACAAACAAAAAAATACTGCCTTTTCAAGACTGAGGCTTGGAATGGTTTAGATGGCTTTCCTTATCTAGCTTAATTACTTTTTAAGATCTAGCTAATGTTAGTAGATATAATAGCATAGCACCAGAGAGAGTATTTCAGTGTATATAGATTTTAAATTTAATATTATTAAGGTTAATAAAGAGGGCTAACTATAATATAATATTCTCTGTTTTTCAATCTATTATCTATGCACCCAGACTGCCTATAGCAGGAGTCCCAGAAGCCCAACAAATGGGCCATTGCGATTGGCGAAAGAGCCTTACTCTACAATCTAAATATAACCTTACTTCAGCCACAATGATCTGCAGGTTTCTAAGCTGCTCTGTTCAAACTCTGTGCATCACACATCTGCTTATATATACCGTTCTGGCTGACGAGTTCTTCATGCGTGCCAGCTTCCACGATTCTTCCCTGATAGAAGACACAGATCTTATCAGCATCACGAATTGTTGACAGACGATGGGCAACTGCGATAGTGATGCGATCTCCACTGGCAGCAACGCTCATCAAGGCCTTCTGCACGACTCTCTCAGACTCGGTATCAAGTGCTGAAGTCGCTTCGTCTAGCAAGATGATACTAGGGTTACGGATAAGAGCGCGCGCGATGGCAATTCTTTGTCTCTGTCCTCCTGAAAGCTGGCTACCTCCCTGGCCACATAGGGTGTTGAGACCCTCAGGAAGAGAGCTCACGAAGTCCCACGCGTTGGCGGCACGGCAAGCTGCTTCCAGAGCATCATCCTTGACAAGGGCCTGTTCGTCGGGACCAATGTCGAGTCCAGCTGCAATGTTCTCGCGAATACTCTCAGGAAACAGGGCGGGTTCCTGTTGGACGAGAGCTACCCTGTTGCGGTAAAGACGAGGACTGATATCAGTGAGAGCAGCTGAGCCGTCGATGTTGATCGCGCCACTTGTGGGGTCGTAGAAGCGCTCGAGAAGAGATACCATGGTACTCTTTCCACAGCCAGATGACCCAACAAAGGCTACAAATTGACCACGGTCAATCTGAGAAAGGTTAACATGGTTCTATTTGTTTCTAGTTGAGTACTCACAGTGAGAGACAAGCCTTTGATGACTCGTTTTTCAGGAGCGAGGGGGTAAGAGAACTGAATATTTTGAAAGTCAATTGAACTTCCGCCATTGGCAGGGCCCTTGTCATTATTGTCATCAGTTTCTCGGATGATTGGCTGCAGACCAGTGAGCCAAAAGTAGTAATTGGCGGCGGAGTTGGCCTTGGTGAAACCTGACTCATTGTATTAGAGATGCTGGGGCGTCCAGGACAGGATATACTAACTGCTTGAAAAGCTGAAGATTGTACCGGCGGCTTGACCGGAAAAGAAGACACCCAAGAATGATATGATGAACTGGGGAAAGGTAATTTCTCCTTGAGAGACGAGCTTTGACCCAAACCTGAGACAGTCAGTCACACTCTGCTTTATGAGAGATACCTAGGAACTTACCAGAATCCCAGCGCGAGAATGAAGAACTCAACGGACTGAGTCAAAGAGAACCAAATCATCATGTGAAACAGGGGCTTTGTCGAACCCCAAACCGCGCTATCAAGCTCCGCAGTATACTTAGTCAGAATGCTCTTCTCAATAGCAAGCGACGAGACCGTGCGGATGGCATTGACACTCTCAGATGCTATCGAAGCGCTCGTTGAGAATCTCCCATCAATACCAGCATTTAACTTTGTCTCAAGGCGAATGCGGGCAAAACCAGCGAGCAAAAGAGGAGGCATGCCAGCGAAAACACCAACGAGGCCAAGCTTCCAAGCGTAAGCAAGAGCAAGAATGCTGCTTGCAATGATGTTAATGATACATTGGAAGGCCAATGCCACGTTGAACCCCATGAGTTCTAATACAGCCTGTGACTGAGAATCGATGCGGCTGACAAGGGCGCCAATGGTGTTCTCTGGTCTGTCGAAAAACCGAAGATCTTGTCTCAGCATACTGCGGAAAAGCCCTTCTCTGACATTATGGCTGAGAGTCTACTTCAAGTTAGCGAGGTATTTATTTGGCATGTTGCGCCAGACTTACCTGAGCAATAATGCTCGAAATCCAACCCATAACGAAAAACACAATCAAGCTCCCCAGACCAATGACAAAGTACATCAAAGACACAAAGTCGCCACCCTTGGTTAAGTTAGAGGATGTAAAGACATCCATAACTTTAGAAAGTAGTAAGGTTTGTCCAGGGTAGACAGCAGCTACATCGTTTGGTTAGATATTTCATGACTGAAAGCGGTTATGGCTGTCGAAACTTACCTCCAGCAGCACAGGCAATGGATATAATCACGAAGCAAGTCCTGAGCTCAGGAGCTGACTTGATCATCTTCCAAATGGTATGTAAAAGCCCTGTGGATTTATAGAGACTGAAATCTTCCCTCTCGATCTGAGAGGTGATGTCCTCGTTGACCGCAGAATTGTATTTGGCGAGTGACTGAACTGGCTCTATTACCTCAGTAGATGCTGTTGACTCCTCGTCCGAGGTCTCGATACCCAAGTTCTGTTTGTTAGTAGACAAATCCTGGGCCTGCACGAGCTTGGCGTAGGTGCCGTCGAGGGCTACAAGGTCGTCATGCTTTCCCTGCTCAACAATTTTGCCCTTGGACATAACCACAATGTTATCGGCGTCTCGGATAGTGGCAAGCTTATGGGCAATCACCAGTGTGGTTCTGTTTCTAGAGGCACTGTTGAGTGCCTTTTGGACAATACCTTCAGAGTGCGGATCGAGGGCTGAGGTAGCTTCGTCTAGTAAGAGGATGGAAGGGTCGGAAACTATACTTCGAGCGATGGCAATTCTTTGCTTCTGTCCTCCTGAGAGGAGTCCACCTCTCTCGCCGATGCGTGTTTCGTATTGCTCTGGAAGGTTTTGGATGAATTCGTCTGCGAAGGCAAGCTTGGCCGCAAATTTCACCCGTTCTTCTTGGTTTTGTCTTGTCTCGTTCTCCCAAGGAGTACCAACGAGGCCATTGACGATGTTCTCAAAAACGGTTCCGTTGAACAGAACAGGTTCCTAGGTAATGTTGGCGTTAGCCCCAAGGCATCACTTTTAGGGTCATCGAACACACCTGTTGGACAAGTCGCATTGTAGTACGAAGCCAGGTGACACTTAGATCTTTCAGGCTGGTTCCGTCAAGCATAATGTCACCAGAGGCGGGGTTGTACCATCTTTCCAGAAGGCCAATGATTGTACTTTTTCCTGAGCCACTAGCACCCTATCGAAATGTTAACTCTCCTTCTGGTACTGTATTCAGTAAGAAATAAAGGGGAAAAGGTATGCCATACCACTAAAGCTGTAACCTTTCCAGCCGGGATGTTGAGAGAAAAGTCATCGAGGACCCAAGTGTCTGGCCGTGTTGGGTAACTGAAGGAAACTGATTTGATGTCGATGACACCAGAAACTTTGGTGGGCTTCTGGCCTGACTCGTCGAGCGGGTTGATATTCGAGGCCCTGTCGATTAAAGCGAAAAGCTCTGCAGCACCGGTACCGGCACGAACAAAGGAAGAGATGTTTGGAGCGATGCCATTGATCGATGTAGATCCAATAACAACGGAGAAGAGGACACTTTTGACGGTCAGCAAACAGCAAAGTTAAAAGCATGGACAGATCCGGGGAAAAGACTTACGTGAAAACGGTGCCGATACCATCCACTTCCCCACGGGCAATCATCCTAATTCCCTGCCAAAATGCAAGACCCATACCAGCATAAATTACAAAATACTGCCAGGCGAACATGACGCCGTATACACCAGACTTCTTGCGGCATAGCTGTCGGGAGGTATCGAGGAGGGATGTGTATTTGTGCGTAATTCTCGGCTCAAGGTTGAAGGCTTTGATGGTGCGGATACCCGCGAATGATGTTTCGGCGTATTGAGCGGCTTGGGAGAGTAGCTTCAAGTTCTTGCCGTCAATACCAGCGTCGATCGTAGCCATGGTGCCAATCACCAGCATGATCGCCGGCATGATGCAGATAAGAATGAGGGTGAGCTTCCAATAACTGATGAAAGCAATGATAAAAGACGCGATAAAAGTAGTCAAAGACACAAAGAAGAGCCCCAGCTTGTCTGCGATGCCGGACTGGATCAACTTTCCATTGGAAGTGCCTTGCATGGCGATAGACCCCGAGGTTCCATGATCGAAATAGCTGATTTCTTGACTAAGGGCTGCTCGCAGGTATGATTGGCGGATGTTGTTCGTGACGCGCAAGGAAACAAAGGTGAATAGCGTCGAGTAAATATATGTACATCCTAGCCGAGCGATACCGATATAAACAAAGTAGAGTCTGGGACCACGTTAGATGGGTGCAGGGAGTACGTGTGGCGCGGATAGTTACGATCTCTTGCTGATATCGGCCATGAAGCCGTCAGGATCAGTGGCGATACGCGCGGGATTGCCCATGACATCCATCAGCTCTCCTATAACGAGGTTCATCATCGCCATGGCCACGCCAGAGCCGATAGCGGCGAGGACGGCAATGATTTCGAGGACGCAATCGAGGGGCTGACAGTAGGTGAAGATGCGCTGTGATTATTACAATCAGTATTCTCGTTGACTCAAATTGTGTCGAGAAGGGCATTCATTCTTACCAGAAATGCAGCAAATCCAGACGTTGGCTTCTTATCAGACTGATCAGAGTTGTCTAGCTGATCTGCCGCAGTCGCATCCGCGACTTTATCGGTTTTCTCCATACTGATAGGGATACAAGATCAAGAAGGTAATTTGCTGTGGGCTCAAAGACTTAAACACGTATTGGACAGAAGGAAAAAGAAAGATACAAGGAAAAGGCGGATGTCGCTGTGTGGCTTAGAACAGTGGAAGAAAGGAGCGTAAGGAACAACAAACAGCTTGAAATGCCTGTCGCCAATAAGGAAAGAGGCAAACAAATACATGCGAATGTGCTCGGTTTTAGCCATCAGCCAAGATTCATCCATAGTCGTATACCTTTTCTGTGGCCTCTGTAGTGCGGTGCGGCATGCCAAGAGGCCGTCACCGCGATAGCAGTATCTCAGTTACCATCTCGGAGAGCGGACTGCCAAGATTCCATGTACCGTCCTTTCGCCTCACTCTAGCCCTATCCTGGTATAGACTCAGTTGAATTGGAAAGATGATTGGTCCAGTGAACAAGACCCATAACTCGTAGCTTAGCGTTGGTCTTAAGCTTTGACTGCTGTATCCGTAATGCTCAAGGTCTTCGGCTTGCGGACCTCTTAACTTCCCTCCTCCGCCATCATCTTGAACCAATTTGGAGCATTTCTGGAAGCCTATCCTACCAGAATGGCTGCTGAAATGGATGATTCCTCCCCCTTATCGAGTCAGGGAGCAAATCATATCCCTCAGGACGAACAGCATGACGGCATCAGTGGCGTCCCTTTGTCCACAATCTCAGCAAGTCCCCTGCAAATCAAACACTGCTTCTTCTGCTGACCAAATCAGTGTGATCGATGCCGCCGCAGAAAGGTACGCATCCATCCGCCTTTCAATACAGTCAATTGTAGGTTTTTTTGGTTAATTTAGAACGTCGTTCTAGGTGCGCTGCGACCGGAGACATCCGTGTGCCTACTGCGTCCGCACAGATAACCTCTGTACGTATCCGCTTAGGCACAAGCCCAAGGAAAGGCGACAACGGTTTTTTATTTCAGAAATATAGTAAGTACACACACAAAACTCATCCGTGTTTTTCCCTCACTTAAATCTCTTAGCGAGAGAAAGATTGATGATATCGCGCAAAAACTCGCAGAGCTTGGCAATGCCTTGGGAGCTGGTCAAAACTCAACCCAACATGTTGTACCCGCAGCTACCTCATCAAAGATACCATCGCACCCAACATCGACTGCATGTCTCGCACCAATAGCCCAAGCAACGTCTCCATCACCTAACCATGGCGTTGGGAGCCAGCTTCTCACTCCAAGGTTGGAACATCAGGGAGAATCTTCTCTTTCAGCTCAAGCCGCTTTTGCCAATGAATTTCTTGAAGATGCTATCATCAACAAGCCGAATGGCATCGATATCGCTGCTGAGATGTCATCCGTTCTGCAGTCTTTGAGGCAGGCTTTGGGGAGGAATTCTAACCAACAGGAACACGACTACCTGTATCCTCATGCTAGAGCACTTGAATCGGGACATGATCTGCGCAACCTCCCTATGCCACCTGTCGACAAAGCTTTCATCTGCCTCAGAATGGCCAAAGGTATTAGCCGTGCCTTTGGAATTTTATTTCCTTGCTCAATGCTTACAATTTTGTGATAGAAAACCCCAGAGTTCGGTTTTTTTGGGACAGCGAAGCTACTTCTTTCACTGACGTTTTCCTCAAGGTGTACTCGCCGGGAGAAGTTACTCATGCTGACCTCATCTCTGTCAATGCGGGACTCTATTGGCTTTTTAGACAATGCAAACAAATCGCCACAGATTCATGCCAAAAGGCTGACCTCGAGGTGCAAGCTGTCATCTGCCGAGACAATCTCGAGACTATACTATCTAACCTGCCTTTCCATCAACCTTGCAATATCGAGACTGCCAGTTCAATGATGATAGCTGTAGGTAGGACTGATGATTTGTTCTGATATCATGCTAAATCATCCCAGAGCATATACTGCCTCGAAACCTGCAAGCCATCTGCGGCATGGGACTTTATTGCAACTGCGTCACACCTGAGCCAGACGCTAGGCTTACATAGCAAGATTGCAATGGCTAGCGATCCTCCAAACCTCCGAATGACCAAGATCAGGATATTTTGGCTAGTTTACGTGCAAGAAAAGGGTCTTTCCCTCCGACTTGGTCGATCGTCAACTATTCACGACGGCGATATCACTATTCCGGTTCCCAGCATAGAGTCGAGACCAGAGATAGGCTATTTTGGTCAACTAGACAAGATGAAAGAATTAGCATATTTACAAGGCAAGATTTACGACCAACTCTACAGTTCTGCTGCCTTGGCACAGCCTCAGAATGTTAGAACCACTAGGGCAAGAGGTCTTGCATCAGAGCTTGAAGTGCACACAAATAGAATGCTGCCTAGCGATGTATGTATGCGCAAAGCCCGATTACCGCTTCTAAGAGGGGCGAGTCGATATTCCTGGCGATATCTTGCTGATAAGTCTACAGAAGCTCTACCTAGATGCGCTGCGCCAGGCTACTAGCAACGAATTTCTCAAGGCTTTCCTCTGCACTACCAAGGTGCTTCACTTATCCCTCTTTTGCCTTATCTTCAGAGCCATACCTGCCGAGGCAAACCAGGGTACTATGCTTGGAAGGGAGTGCATTGATAGTGCTCACAAGGCCCTTGAAGCACACAAGGAATGGATGTCTGTCGTGGCTGAACTACAAGATGACTTCCTAGAGAGTTATGTAAACTTGCATGTATCCCCAAGTCTGGCTTAATACTTCTATCACTGACCGTTATTCTTTACAGGGCTCTCATACATTCACCCTTCGTTCCATTCATTGTCGTATTTTGTCACATTATCGAGACTTGCGACAAGAACGGCCTCAATCTGCTCGAAAGTGTCATCAAGACATTAGAACCTGCCACAGGCTCTGCTTTCTCATCTGGAGCAAGGAAAGAGTTTCATCTGTTTAAAGCTTTGTACGACGCCGCTCGTAACTACCTTGAAGCTAGGTTGAGCAAGGTGAATATTGGCTTCGGCTCGTGGGAAAATGCGTCTTCCTCCGCACACGTACCATCACCATCTCATCAACAGCTTGCCCTGCTTACACCAACGTCCAACTTGCCAAGCTCACAGACTTCCGTAGGCAGATCATTAGATGGGACAGCTGAGTGGATGACTCAGCACTTCGAGGTGCCTGGTGGCATGGATACCGAGATCGACCAGTATGGCGCACAGCTTGGAAATTGGCTGCATATGAATAATCAGATGACGAAGGCTCTAGAAGATAGCTACTTTTGGGATAACTTAGCGTAAGAGAAATAGAGGAACTTCAAAAGGGATTATAAACAAAATATTCTTTTTAACGATTAATAGTTTAACTTCCTATATTCCCAAGTATGTATAAATTCATACATTAATAGTTAAACTTTCAGTAAGAATAGTAAATCCAGCAAGCAAAAATATAAATATCTAAATGAAGAATACTGCCGCTTCAATGCCCTGTTGTCAGTTCAACTTTGCCTGTTGGAAATAGCCATCTCTTGCGCTGAGTGACACTAAGAGAAGGCGTCTCGAAGAGAATGACATATTCTGGACCAACATTCCTCGTAGATGATCTGCGCCCCCGAAGTCCTCTCCTTCGGTTTGTTTGAAAATCCATGAGTACCGCCTTGGAATTCGTGGAAAATAACTTCCTTGCCGCTTTTCGCAAGGTTTTGGGCGTAACTGAAGCCCTCCTCTTTGAGGCAATCGAGGCTACCGGTGAACAGTACAGCAGGTGGAACATCTAGTTCACGGAGCAGGTCTACACCAGCAGCGACGGGAGATACAAAGATGTCGTCCTTGCAGACTTTTGGCGGCAAATACGACCGCTCCATTGCCATGGCCATCCAAGCGGGTAGGCTTTCCTTCTGGGCACCAATTGTGGACCGGGCGAGCCTAAGATCGTACGGCAAGCACAGTTCAAGGCTGGGATAAAGCATGAAATGTAAAACCTGCTTAAAAGCCAGTGGTAAGCCCTTTCTAAAGATGGAGCAAGGGCCACTTCGAAAGGATACTAATAGAGATAAAGCTGCTGTCAAATTGCCACCGGCAGAATTTCCTCCAATCGCGACCCGGCGGGGATCAATATGGATGCCTTCATGGGCAGCCGAGCACGTCAGGGCCCACTGCAGCGCTCCATATGCTTGCAACAAAGCGTGAGGGTAAGGGTATCTGGGCGCTTTGGCGTAATCGACCGACATGACAATGGCTCCGGTCTGTGCTGGTTTTAGGTCTGAGTGATCTCTGGGCGTATTGTAGGCTACACACCTGTTCAACAATTCGACGGTTATTTAACCGTCCATCCTTAGGATGTCCTAGGACAAAGCCACCGCCTTCCAGAACTAACACCAGTGGATGTTTTGTTTGGATTTCGTCCACAGGTCGGGGTAGCCACACGTTACAGATCACATACCCCGCTCCCAATCCCGGGGTGCTGATTTTAACTTCCAGATCATGACCTTCGTTTGGACCGGTCAGATATGCTATGAGCTTGCGAAGAGTCCAGGTGACGCAGCTGAGGTAGATTCGAAAGAGAAAGGGCCATTCTTGCCCATCTTTTACGGTAGGTATGCTAACACGGCCCTGCTCAGTTATCATAATGTGAGGAAGGTGTTGAAGAGATCTGAGCTGAAATATAAGTAAACAAGTGGGAATCAAGCGCAGTAATTCCACTTAATAAGTTCGGTTGGGATTGGCACTAACTTACGTCAGTGTGCTGACACGGTAGACCAGTGTTATGTGTACCCGGGGGAGTATATATAAGATGCACAAAATCAACATGAATGGTTGAACTCCCTGTAAGAATAGCAATTATAGCAAGCAAAAATATATATATCTAGATAAAGAATACCGCCGCTTCAATGTCCTGGTCAATTGACTCCCATTGCCTCCCGGATTCGCGCACAAAGAGCAGATGCAATTGGCTCCCTCATCATCGTGAAGTGGTTGGCGTTTTCAATCGCCAGTGTGCTGATGTTGCTGGGACCAATGAACTCATCCCAACCATTAGGTCCAAAGTCCTCCCTGTTATTCAAAAGCCAATTCATACCACGAGGATCGTCAGGCTGTGCCTCTGGACGGGGGTCATCAGGGTTCTTGCACACGCCGTCCGCGGCCCAGATGATGGTCGTCTTGGGCGCCATGCCATGCTCGAATGGTTCAGGCACGTACCTATCCAAGGCCTCGATGAAGACACAGAAGTGCTGGAAGAGCCAGTCAGGCGGTGCTTGAGCTTCCTCGCCCATCTCAAAAGCACCGAAAATACCTGACTTTTCGAGGAAGTCATACATACGCTTTGGCAGCTTACCGAGACCAACAGGGTTGGGGGAGTCAATCAGGATGAGGCTCTCAACTACCTCTCCCTCGGAGACAAGCTGTCGAGCGGCGTCAAAGGCTGAGACACCTCCTGCTGACCAACCGGCAAGATGGTAAGGGCCTTGAGGTTGGCGTCGACGCACTTCGTTCAAGTAAGAGCCTGTGATGTCCTGGAGGGCACAATTGAACTCATGGGGCTTGGTGAGGTATGGGCTGTTCAGTCCAATCACTCTCATGTCTGGCGAAATGGACGGGAGAGTGACATAAGAGGTTGCTGAGCCGGCTCCATCGGGGAACAGAAAGAGTGTTCGGGAACAGTGCTTGGTGCCCTGCAGGATTGTAGAGGTTGAGCGAGGTATCTCGGCCACGACAGGCTTGACGTCCTCGTCGAGAGCAACAATATCATCACCGTGATCACTGGGGGATGTTGAAGCGGCTGTAGATGCGGAACTCTCTGCCTCTGAGTTTGAGCTTGAGAAGTCTTGGTCGTTGGCTCCAAGGAAGGATTTGAGATCCAGGACTGTTGAGAACTCGTAGAACTGCGCCGCGGGTATGTCCAAGTCGAGTTCCTCACGGAAGTTGCCCAGAATGGTCAATGACATGAGTGAGTCTACTCCTAGATCAGCCAAGAGGGTAGAATCAGTGAGCTGAGAGATGTCTACGCCAATCTCATCGGCAATGATCTCAAGGGCCTTCTGAACAAGACCGGAAGCAGAACCAGCAGGCGAGTCTGTTGGCTCGGGTGGCGATACAGTGCCAACACTATGGTTAGTAGTAGATGGAGGAGTTAGAACAGCGTGTCTAACCGGCTCGGGAGCAACGTGCTTGACAGTAGCGGACTTGGACTTCGAACCAGACGGCTTGGGAAGAAGCATCTCCAGTACCTTACGAGCGACCTTCTTGAAGGTGACGCCGCCACAGATACCGATGATCTTACCATCACGAAGCACATGAACATCGCCACTGTAAGTTGAGTCGTCAGAGCCAGCTGCCTGCATCTTGACGTATGTCTGGTAGTTCACGTCGCACTGGTAGGGCTCGACCAAACGAAGGGAGCGCCAGCCATGATTGATGTAGACGTGATCATCAAGGTCCAAGCTATCGCTGCAGTTCATGATGAAGCCTGTGATGTGACCCAAACTGTCGCAGCAGTACGGGTTGAGGGCAAAGGTATCCTTGCCAGATGGCATCAAGACCTTGCCAGTTCCTTCGAGACCTTCACTATCAAACCAGACCTGCTCGATGCCTTGGAAAGCAGACCCGTACTGGACCGAGTTGGAGAAAATCTTGTATAAGAGACCACGGCGCATCATGTGAGCAGTTCCATCACCAGCGCCTTGAACAAGCTGTTTGATACCTCTCTGAATGAGGTAAGCATTACTCTGCCAGCTTTCGCGGTGAGACTGTGGATTCTCGACCGCTACATCGCAGACTGCGTGGAGAGTGGTCTGCTTTCCGCTTGCATTGACGCTAAAGATACGGACTGAACCATGCATGGTAGTCCAGTCCAGATCAAGCGATGCTCGGAACAGCTGAGGGCCGGTCTCTCCCACGATGAGAGCCTTCTCGACAGCCATGTTGTTGATGGAGGGTAGGTTAGTCTGCGGGTCAAGCCCGCGGTTCTGGATCAGGTGCTTCGCCAAGGTAAATGCTATGTCGGCAAAGAGGGTCTGCAAATTGTAAATTCAGTGATGCAATCCAACAGAAGTATGTAAAAGAGGGGGCTTACCGAAGGGGCCATAGTCAAACCGTTGACACGATGGTTTTGCGCAATAGTGAGGAGAGACGTGTCATGCATATCAGACTCGATCGTGATAGAGCTTCTCTTGTCGCCATGAACCTGCTCAATGACATTGTGCACAGAATCGCTGAGCCTCAGTGCCCTCGCCTGTACAGGTGCACCAACTTGAGAGTTCTCAACGGGAGCATCACCCTTGGTAAGACACCAGCTGTACTTGTACTGCATCCAATAATTCGCAAGCTGCCAACTATACTTCGGAAGCTGAAGGACATTTTGAGATGAAGCAAAGTCACGATGATACTCGTCCCAGTTGATAGAAAAGCCAGCTAAATGCAAAGCGCAGAGAGAGTCCGCAAGGGTCTTGAAGTGGTCCTCCTTGCGGCGGAGAGAAGCAAGGCATCGAAATTCTTGTCCGATGATCGACTTGACCATTCTCGTGAGGATGGGGTGCGCTCCAATCTCTATACACATGCCACTTCGGTCCATGATACCTTGCGCCTCAGCCATCTGAACAGCACCCAAGAAGTCAACTGTCTCACGACAATGGCGTCTGATGTACTGTGGACCGAGTGTATCGCCGGTGAGGAGCGTGCGCAACAGAGGCGAAACGATGGGGAGCTTGGGCTCGTGGAACTCGACCTGAGATGCCAATTCTTCGAGATCGTCAAGAATGGGATCAACCTGAGACGAATGGAAGGCAAAGGGAATTTCCAGCTTGTGAAGCTTGTAGCCAGCCTGGGTCAGCTTTCCACAGAGGGCCTCGATATCCGCGTTGGGACCGCTCAGTACGGTGTCTTCGGTGCCGTTGACACAAGCAATCTCAACCTTCACGTCAGGGGAAATCTGCTGCCTCAGGTCATCTGCTGCCGCTTTGACAGCGACCATGCCGTGGGTGTAAGCAGTGCACTTCTTGTCAAGAAGCGCTGCCCTATGACCACAGAGGAAGATAGCATCGTTGACACTGAGGACTCCTGAAATCTGGAGAGCAGCGTATTCACCCAGACTGTGTCCAACGACATACTGCGGAATGATGCCGAGGCTGATCCAGAAACGGGCCAATGCGATCTGGATGATGCAAGTTCCCAACTGCACAACAACTGCAGAAAGGTCCTCAACAGGAGTCGTGCCATGGATGAGTGGAAGAACAGATGGGAGACCCTGGAGAGTTGCGATGGAGTCAAGTTGATGAATGTCTGAGCGGAAAGATGAGAAGCTCTTGTAGTATCCATTGGCCATGGCGGTCTCTTGTGCCCCCTGTCCAGTGAAGAGGAAGCCGACCTTTGGTGACACTGCGGGAATGCCCTTGACTTGCCCGGCTGTGGCGGCAGCGTTAAGAAGAGACTTCCTCAAGTCATCGAGACTGTTGGTGACAAAGGCAACTCGTCGACTGTGGTGCACACGTCGTGCTGTAGTGGTATACGAGAGCTGAGAAAGGAGCTCGCCTTCCGGAGCCCAAGAGTTTGCGATGAAAGCTTCAAGAGTCTTCAAGTTCTCCTCCAGAGCTTTGGGAGACCGTGCCGAAACAGCCACGACATGCTCAGTCCGAGGGTCTCCATCTTGATGATGTAGGGTTGGATGAACAGCAGGGCCATCTTCGATCAGCAAGGACGTGTTTCCACCAGCAGCAGAGAAGTTGTTGATCAACACTCTCCGCTTACCGTTCTCAGGTCGAGACCAGTCCACGCTGTCCTTCTGAGCGATACGAACACCACGATGGTCAAGGTCTTTGGGAAACCCTTGGTTGATCTTGGTCTTGATGCCGCAATGAGGAGGAATCGTGTTCTTCTGCATCATGAGCAACACCTTGATGATGGCAAGAACTCCAGAGGCAGATTCAGCGTGTCCGACATTTGCTTTGACTGAGCCGAGATACAAGCTCTTGTCTCGTGGACGACTGTGATCGAAAGCAAAAGAGTTAAGGACTGAACGCATCTCAACAGCATCGCCAGCTTGAGTACCTGTGCCGTGCATCTCGACGTAACTAACATCGTGAGGGTGGATTCCGGTCTCGTTCAAGAGCTTCTTGAACAGATACTCCTGAGCATCTGCGAGAGGTCTAGTGATAGAGACAGACTCTGCTGAGTGATTGGTGTGCGCTCCCAAGATGACTCCAAAAATGGGATCGCTATCGGCGATAGCGTCTGGCAGACGCTTGAGAATCAAGGTGCCGATTCCATCAGCTCGGCAGTAACCATCCGCACCATCGTCAAAGGCCTTGCAGTTGCCCGTACGGGAAAGGAAATGGCCGCGATCGAGGCCTGCAAAATTGTCGGGGTTCGTCATCACATTAGTTCCGCCAGCAATTGCAGTATCGCAGTCCCTGTTCTTCAACGACGTAATCGCGAGATTGATGGCGGCGAGACTAGAAGAGCAAGCGGTGTCAACAGCGATACTAGGGCCCGTGAACTTGAAGAAGTAGTTGACCCTGCCAGGAATAAAGGCACGATTGGCTCCGGGAATGTAGTAGGTATCGACATCCTGCGAAGAGTTCACCTCGCCCCAATCGTTACTCGTCGTGCCGTAGTAGACGCCCACGCGGTTTCGCTGGGTTGACGGAGTTCGGTCAGGCACAACTCCAGCCATCTCGAGAGCTTCATAAGCTGTGAGAAGGGCAAGGCGCTGTGCTGGATCAGTCTGCATGGCTTCCTTTGGCGACATGTGGAAGAACTGAGTGTCAAAGTAGCCTGCGGACTTCAACCAACACCCGTACTGGACTTGACTGGTGTTCTTGCGCTGGCCGGTTGGATCGTAGTGGTCGCGAGCAAAGCGTTCCTCGGGGACTGGTTTGTGGACGTCGAGACCGCGTATCAGCAGATCCCAAAACTCGTCGAGGTTATCAGCCTCTGGGAACCGCCCGCTGAAGCCGATTATGGCGATCTTGTTCTCATCACCGGGAGCAAGCCGTGGTTCAGCTCGATCTTTGACCAGGCTCTCCAAGGTTGGCCCAATGTGTGTCGTGGCGCCTCTCTTGGCCAGCCAGTCAACTAGGCTGCAAACAGTTGTCTGCGCATTGACCGGTATGAAAGTGGCGTCGGTACCAGGAACGATTTCGAGTAGAGCATCGGTGACGAGATCCATGCGGATTTGTTGAGAAAGAGCACTTCTCAAAACATCCTCGAGGAGACTTCCAAAGGACAACTGGTCTAAGCGAGACCCCGAGGCGCAGGAGATGATGGGAATGAGCATCTTGTTCTCTCCACATGCAATGTCTTCGAGAATTGATGCGAGAACATGCTCCAGACTGGACGCTGAGTATGCCAAAGAGTTATGGTAGGGGCCGTAGATGGGAGCCGGATACAACCTCTTTCCAGAGAAAGTATCAAGAGCCTTCAGCGAGTCGAGGATAGCTGGAGGGCCACTGATCGTTGTGAAGCCAGGACCGATAGCGCTGATGTAGGGACGCGTGCTGAAAGTAAGATTCTGGGGCAATAGATGAGTACTACTCAAATCTCGAAGCGCTAGGGCTCTCGAACTCACTTTTTCCTTGGAGAATTCTTGTAGAGCTTCTGAGATAAGCTCTTCCTGATTCGAAGACAGGATCATAGACCAGCTTGAAGGTGTCGAGTAACCAAGGTTTTCGGCTCTTCTGCGAACGTGCATTCCCAGTCTGAAAGCAACAGTAGCAGCCTCAACACCTAGCTTTGAGATTTCGAAAACATCCTTCGCGCAGCTGACAGCAGTGGCTGCAAGGCCACCTGTGCAGATACCGAGTAGAAGGGACGGGGATGCTGATGGGTGTTGTTTATCCGAACGGGCCAGATAGCTTCAATTCAGTCAGCAAAACTTGGACTTTAGCGTTCTCATTTCTCTGACTTACTCAATGTAGTATCCGATTTCGTAGATGCACACGAAAGCACTGTCCAGAGCCGCATGAGGTTCGCTCCTCCGAACGCCCTCCAAGAGCAAGCTGAGACTCTCAGCCTCGGGAATCGATTTTCTCTCTATAGATGAAAGTGAAACAATCTCGCGTCGGACTGCCAGGAACGCCTCGCCAAGGAAAGAGGTAAGAAGTGCATTATCTTTCACGCGTAAAAGAGCTTGCAGTTTATCAAGAACGGGAGAACTTTGATCGCCAAAGACATACACATCTGCTGAGGACGCCATCGTGAAGGATGGCAAGAAAGTAGCTGTTGAAAGCAGTAACAAAGGAGCAATGTCTGATGTGTTCACGCTTTTCTTGCCAAGACGTGTCTGGCTTATACCATAGAGAATCAAACCTGCATAATCCTTTCTGGCAATTCGTAAGCATCTAGCTGACAGGCTAATGCAGCCCGAGATTTGCCAGTATTGGTTCCGCGCTTCTGCGAAAATATCCGTATTGGTTGGCATGGGTGCGCCAAAGTCAGTATAGCGCCTAATTACGCCACGCAGGGTCAGATCAGACGTGAGCTCCGAAGAGGTCCGAATTGTTTATTTTACAGGGGCAGCTGAAACGCAGGGTGGCGTAGCAGATGCCGTCAACCGAGAACCAATGAGGTCAAGAGCAGAGTGATGCAGAAATACACGACTCTCTGAAGGCGGATTGGATTCTGATCTGAAGCTGGTAGGTGACTCGAAACTCGATATTCCTATAGAATCACTATCCATGTTTTCTCATTGACATCAATACTGTAACAGCTTGATATTCTATAATTCTACAGCTGAATGTTAAACTTGACCTGGTACAGAAGCTGATAATCATAAGTGACCTAGACGGTCATGTTCGAGTTTGTAGTCACAGGGAAGCAGGTAACCAAGTATTGTGAAAAATGCGCAATAGCGGCTATACACATGCGAACTGAATGTTTCGAGTAGTTATGCGTTATCACTGACCTACAGGAAGCGCTTGAGAGACATGGGTGTAACGAGTAACAGTTGGTTTGGGTTTGATATCGAACAATACTTCTGAGAGCCATTCTAAGAACCAACTTCAACGACTCCAGTGGCTGCCTGCACTGGATTTCGAAGGCTCGCAAAATCATTTCGCTGATCAGAGCCTTGGATACTCGCAGCCGGCTTACTCTCCTCCTTTTCTTCCGCCTCCTTGACCCCCTTCGCTACCTTTTGACGCCTTACCATCTCTTCCTGTGCCTCCTTGACAGCCCTGTTGTAAAGATGTCCTCTAGCCGTGAGCTCGACATCCTCCAGGTACGGCGCAGCGGAAAGTGCCATGAATGCACGTAGAAGCCAATCTTCGTTACTGAGCTTCAGCATGTCCTTGACCAGAGTAGTTGCAGGTCCTGGGGTGCACAAGAGCGCCTTGCCAACCATCTGAGATCTCTCGAGGGCTGTAGTAGCTGGCTGAGCTCGCTCTTGAGCATAGCTTGCCAGCACAGACTTGACAGCCTCTTTGGACAGCTTCTCACCAGACTGGCATGCCTTTCGGGCTTCCATGAGGTTGTTGACGAAGACGGCACATGACTCTATGGCTTGGTTGGCGCCTTGTCCACCAGCTGGTGTTGTCTTACAAGCTGCATCGCCAACAATGACAGCGCGATCGGTGTGCCATCCTTTCGCGACACCTTCCTCAACACCAATCTTGACCGCCACTACGCGGTTCTTGTAGATCTCTCCAAACTTCAACTTTGGAGTGACCTGTGTATGAGCAACACTTTGACATAGAGCCTCGGCTTCAGCTTCAGTGTATCGTGGGGCCTGAGACAGTGGGACGTTCTCGCCGAGGTTCTCAAAGACAAACCAGAATACAATACCGTCTTTACCGGTGAAGCCGATGACTGTTTGTTTCTCTCGGTAGACAGCAAATCGTTCACCGGGAGCGATGCCTTCAGTAGGTGCTGACATTCCATACACGGTAGAGCAGGCAACGCTGATGTCTAGACATATTTTAGTGAGAGTTCACGGGAATCAACTCGACACAAAACTCACAATCATCCGCAGTTAATCCTTCAGGCAATTTAGAGTCAATGTGTGTACGGACAGCGCTTCGCACGCCATCGGCACCAACAACAATGTCTGCTGTAAGAGACAAGCCGTCGGTTGTTGTCACAGTGACATGGTCATCGCTCTCCTCGATTGAAGCCACGCGTGCTGAAGTTTTGACACATTCTGTCCGCTGAATATGTCGTACCATGATGGGTAGTAACTTGCGGCGTTCAATAAAGGCAACAGGATATCCGATTCTTAATACAAATTAGACAACAGTCAAGGTGAACAGAAAGTCAATTATACGAACCTCTCACGGTATTGACCCATGGCATTAGAATCAGACATCAAGTTACCCTCACTGTCATAAGAGAACCACTTCTCAAGGGGTATAGTCGCCTTCTCGATGTCCTCAACGAGGCCCAGTTGGTCTAGGATACGCAGTCCATTTGGCTGCAGACCAATACCAGCGCCTCTATCAGACTCAAGAGTATCGCGTCCCTCGAGGAGGAAATAGCTTATACCGAGTTTCTCGAACATCAGCGCGAGAGTGACTCCGGCTATTCCTCCTCCAGCGATGATGACTTCATAATGTGGCGTGGGTTTGGCCATGGTGAGCTGGCGATCAATATAGATAGTGAGATGGAGTAGAATATTCTCTGAGTCAGAATTATCTCAGGTTACAAGCTTTCAGAGGAGAATAATCAAGTTGTCGTGTCCTCTAGGGTGATGTTGATTATTTGAGTAGGACGCGCTTCACTAATTTAGGCAATACATAAGCACTGGCCGAAGATATCCGAATTTTAGAAGTCGCCTCATCCACGCATTATAACACGCGCATTCATCGGAGGACTTCGGACTTCCAAAACGGGTAGGACGCTGAATCTACTTACTTATCCACTATTACAGTTGTATTCAAATGGCACCACTTTATAGACTTGATAAGCCTCTATTGATTTCCATGTTCTGGACATCTCAGCAACAGCAATTCAACATTATCTTTCTTGTCTTGACATTTACCAATTACATCGTCCAACATGGTTTCAAACGGCATTTCCAATGGTACCAATGGTATCAATGGTATCAATGGTATCAATGGTATCAATGGTATCAATGGTATCAATGGTATCAATGGTATCAATGGTATCAATGGTGCCAACGGTACTAAAGGTACTAATGGCGTCAATGGGCATGCCGCTTTGTCCCCCCTAGAGGTCTTAGTCCAGGACCTCAACAAGCAGACCACCACCTTGAACGGATACCTCCGAGCCAACAAACTTCCCGAGCCTAGCTTCGAGCGGGATGCACCCATTATCAACTTATCCCCAGACGCTCCTGAAGAGGCGCAGGTTGCCAAAGAGAAGCTCCTCGATAGTGCATTGCAAATCTTCCAGCTTGTCTCTGGCCCTGGCGAGTACTTGCAAAATGTCATCACAGGTGTAAGCATACCATGGTACACAATTCCTGTAACTTTTAATGACCATTATAGTATCACTACATGGAAATCCTCCGATGGATGAGCCACTTCAAGATCTTTGAGCTTGTACCCTTGGAGGGTAAGATCTCATACACAGAATTGGCTTCCAAAGCTGGCGTATCTGAGCTACGGCTCAAGACACTCGCCCGCATGGGCATGACGAACCGCCTCTTTGCTGAGCCTGAGCCAGGCTTCATCGCTCACTCGGCTACGTCAGCCGCTTTGGTGACCAACACCAGATTCTCTGACCAGAGAGTCTGGATGACAAGCATCATTGCCCCAGTCATTGCGTCGATGGTAACCGCCCATGAGAGATGGCCTGACAGTACAGCTCCTAATAAGGCAGCTTTCAATGCCGCTTTTAACACTGATCTTCGCATGTATGAGTACATCGCCAAGCAGCCTGAGGTCTACAAGCTCTTTGGCCGTGTTATGGATGCGATTGCCACTAGCCCCAAGAGCGACTTGAAGCATCTCGTTAGCGGCTTTGACTGGGCAGGACTTGGCAAGGCTAACGTTGTTGATGTAAGTCTCCTCCACTTCTCGATCTGTTACAGAAGGCTAACTATCTCGGGAAAGATTGGAGGCAATATTGGGCATAGCTGCGTGAAGCTGGCCGAGGCGTTCCCTGATCTTAGCTTCATCATCCAAGACATTCCTCACGTTGTCGAGGAGGGCGCCAAGGTCATCAAGGAGAACAACGAGGCCAGCATTGCCGAGCGTATCCAATTCCAAGAATACGACTTCTTCCAGAAGCAGCCAGTAGTAGGTGCTGATGTCTACCTCTTGCGCCAGATCTTTCACAACTGGGACTTTGAGAACTCTGTCAAGATCCTCAAGAACACAGTTGAGTCCATGGGTCATAACTCGCATGTGTTGATCATGGACTTTGTTGTCCCTGAGCCTGGCACCGTCTCGTCTGTGAATGAGCGTGTTCTTCGGTCTCGCGATGTGGGTATGATGCAGCTGTTTAACTCTCTTGAACGAGACCTTGAGGGCTGGAAGGCGATTTTGGAAGCAGTGGACTCAAGGCTCAAGATTAATGCTGTCAACACACCTTATGGTAGCTTCATGTCGGTGATTGATGTTGTTCTAGTGTAGGGGGGTACCAGATTTGGTTACAAGACTTTAGTTATTTGATCAAGATTAGAATTACAACAAAATTGATCCAGGTTGCTTATTGCTATTGCTTCTCACTTTTTATTTCATCTGTTTCTGTTGGCTCTTGTATCTACTCTAAACCGTTACTTAAAAGCAGTTTCCAACAGCAGTACAATTGAAGGAAGCTTTATTAAACAGATAACACAGGCGTTTTCCTGTAATCGGGTTTTGTAATTGGCATTTGCGCTACTATAGTATTAGTAAAATTCAGGTGCATTAGTACACTAAACAAGTGTGAGTGTCTTGTCATCTGAAGTCAATTAACTTGACAGCGTGTCAGATAATCGCAGGAAGTACGGAGTAACGGTTGGTGAGAACCAGGGATTACCTTGTTGAGATCGCCAAGATGGTTTGTTGCCAAATCCGGACATGAGAGACTCCAGGGGTAGATTGAGTCGACCAATCGCGAGCTGTTCTTATGCGATTATGCGAGATGGCGAGACTCCACATCCGCGTCTTCGGCCTGGTTATCCGAGACCTGAGCGATACGCACCAACAGCAATGATGGCTGAGGATGACGCTGAAGTTCGGAATTCTTAGCGATTACAGGCGGACATCTTCGGACCTTGGATGTGAGTACATAAATGCTGATACGTCAACACAGTCTAGGACACCGAAACAAGCTTCAGCTGCCCTACCATTCTATACCACCTTCAGAGACACCCTCGTCCTTGCTTATCGCCCCTCCCTTCACTACCATGTCATCCCCATATTTCTCCAAAGTCCTTGTCTTTGGTGCCACTGGCGAAGTTGGCTCCGCTGTCGCACTCGAGGCCCACGCTCTTGGTGCCCGCGTTTTCATTGCCCTGCGCGACACGTCCAAGCACAATGAGTGGATCTCCCCCGACCAAGAGCGTGCCGCAGACCTGCAGCGCATCAGTGCCGACTTAACCGACCTGGACTCTGTAAAGCGGGCCGTGCAGGAGACAGGCGCACAGGCTGCTTTCATCTACGCCGTACGCTCCAAGGACACGTTGCGTGGTGCCATTACTGCCCTGCGTGATGCTGGCATCCAGTACGTCGTGTTTTTGTCGACCAGTCAGGTCAGGACCGCGGGCACCACCAAGGGTGATATTCGATCCATCAAGCCAGACCACTTCATCCCATGGCAACACGCACAGGTTGAGATTGCGCTCGAAGAACTCGAGGTGCCACATGCAGCGGTACGGGCCGGGTTCTTTGCCAGCAACCCGCTACGAATTTACCTTGATCGATCTTCGGAGCCTAAACAAGTCAATTTGTTAGCCCCAGAAGTGCCGCACGATCCCATTGATCCAGCGGATATTGGGCGTGCGGCTGCTGCCGTCTTAGTCAACCCGCGACTGTACGCGAGCGGTTATCAGGGACCGCCCAAGAAGGATGTCGTTTATCTTAGCGGGCCCGCCTTGCTCTCCCAGACTGAGCAGTGGGAGATCATCAACCGAGAGCTCGTCGCTGCTGGTAAGCCTCAGGTCAAGGTTAATCACATTACGGTTGAGCAGTACCTCGAGAATCTGGCCAAGCTTCACGTTCCTGACGTGGTAGCCAAGTCTCTTGCCAAGTCCATGGTGGAGACGAGGGCACTGTATACTCCTGAGGACTATGAGAAGCAACGGGGTAATGTCGAGCTCTTGACGGGCCGCAAGGCTACAGTTTTTGAGGACTTTGTTAAGAGAGAGATACCAAGATACTTCAACTGAGTTGTTGGGCGTCAGGTTATATGGGCTGCGACCAGCAAGATATAGCATTTTATATAGATCAGCACTTGTCATTCGACTCAATAGACATATATTATTTATGTGCTCTTATATTGTAGTAGATTGCCCATGAAGGGATTTTTTATATTTGTGTAATAAAAGCGAGACTGTAAGATTTGTAGCTGCTAGATGATTCAATCATTCATTAATTAAATCTTGGTGGCCCGAGATCGAAACCCGCCCGCGATGAGGCGCCATGTTCAGCATCGACCCAGGGCCATTCCGGAATCATGTCCATAAAAGGGCCCAGAGTTTCGGTACCAAGTACTCTTTGCAAAGCATCTGACTGGCTACTGTTATCAAGAGGCACTGCTGCCAATCCAGGCAATGATGCTTCAGACGTTGGTATAGAAGGTGGTGTCTGCTGCAGCGTTCCATACCAATTGTTGGGATAAGTAGGTGTCGGATACTGGGAGAAAAGTCCCGGTGAAGGAGAGTATAGTACGGGATCTCGCCTCTGAACCCTACGGCCGGCGTTCGACGACCGTCCCGGAGTTGTCTGCTGCATCTCTTTGACATAGCGAGCTTTGGCCATGAGCCGCTTTATAGGTCGCCACAAGGCAAGTCGTGTTTCATCTTGTCTGCTCTCATCGACTTTCCACCCCTCGTATACTGTTGTTACGCAGTCCCATGCCTGATCGCATTGGGGAGATTGAGGTCGAGCGCACAGCTCAGAAAGAACAAATGCCATGGCGCCCCATTGGATGTGAGTTTTTGAGTACCATGTGAATTGTATAATTTCCTTGCTTGTGAGAAGCATGCCTGACACTTCCAATATTTTGATTGAAGTTTGAAAGAGCTCATCACGTACTTTGTTCTCCAGCTGGCCTGCGGTGTTGGGAGTGGGGGGGAATTGGTTACTGGTGTTTTTACCGCCGACTTCCTTCTCCCGTGACACCACTGAGTACTGGGTTATAAGCCAGAATCGTCCAAGAATGATTTGTGCCACTGCTGAGGAAAGAAGTTGGAATGGCACTGATGCATCGCAGATGGGTAGATACTTGTCCCGCAACCGAGTTTCCAACTCTTGAATTAGAGACTTCGTGTCATCTACCCTTGGGGTGCCTCCATCTTCTGTTGTTTTGTTCTGCTTGTGTCTCATGCGACCCATTTTCAGGCCTGTTTGTATAGCCTCACACCTGACCAAGGTGAGCGTCATGTCGGTCGCATGGTCCCATCTTTCAGCTGGAGGCCCCACCATCTCAGGCGACAAGTCAACATCGTTGATGTGCAATGGGGGCTTGGTATCTGTAACGAAACCCTGCGCAATGGGCTCATTGCAGTGATATTCTGATGAACGACTATCAATAATGCAGATCTGCCACCATAATCGGCGGCGCAGCTCAGTCTCGAAAGGTTTTAGCCCAAATATTGTCCCATCACGATGGAGACCCATGGTCCTTGCGATATGGAAGACCAGCGATGTAAGAGCCCATGCAGCACGCGAGTCGTCTTCATTTGGTAGAGCGGATAAGAAGAGCACTGCGGCCTGCAACATGGTCATGCTCTGAGTGCTCAGTAGGTTGCCTTGGGCGAGAGCCTGTTCCACTGCAAACCGATATCTTTCCAGGGCAGCCTCACGAGTCTCGTCCAAAATATTTAGACATTGTTCTGGATTGAGACTGATGACAGCGGAGTAATGAATGGTGAATAAAAGGGTCTCGGTATGCTTGTCTACTGTGCCAAGAGATGCGATGGCATCCCAGTAGATTCTTGTCAATGTCGGCATGTGAAATATGCGGACCAACGGCGCAACATTCTCGCTGAATGCGGCAAAAAGCGTGACAGCCTGCTGTAACGAGGGATGGTAATGGTACAGAGGTGAAGCAATAGCGCGATAGCCAAAAATGGCAGCGTTCAGTCCCAGCTGGGGAGATGACGGTGAAGTAGCAGCAGTGGTGGCGGATGAAGATATAGAAGGCTCGTAGCCGGCATCTTCACTAGCAGGCTCAAAAAGAAGATCACGAAGTTCCTCAACCTAGAACAATGTGTCAGTCATGGGAGAAATACCAACAGGAGAGAAGCAACAACGGAGGCATTTACCTCATTTGATAAAGTGACCCATAATGCATTGTTCACATAGTAACTCTTTGATTCATCGACTTTGAGACGACTGAAGTCCTGCTCAAACGACTGGCTCTCACTGTCTTGCGCAGTTGGAGGGGTGTCCTGATTCTCTCTGGCTGATATAATTGTTAGGGAGGATCTGAACCGATTGAATGATTGCTTTTCACCTACCAGCAGCACCGAACTGTCCAATTATGCTCTCAAGACGAGACAAACGCTCTGATAGTTGGGGTGCAAGGCTGCGTTTTGGCCTCTTGGGCGCCCTGCCTCTACCGGGTGGATAGATGCAATTGACTTCGGACCTTATACAATTGGAACATTGGGGAAACTGACGGTCGCATTTGACTCGACGTTGGCGACAATGGATGCAGGTACGCACTTGGACGTGTGACTGTGCCAAGCCTGACATGGAGAGACCTCCCAAAGTAGAGTCCATCTTGCTATTACTGATAAGAGCTGGCGGAGAATAATGGTTACCCTATAGAACTCGAGAACTTCGTGGCTTGGCAATCTCAATCAAAAATTGAACGGACGTAACTGAGCGATGCCGTGCAGAACGTCGCAGAGGACTCAAGATCGGGCGAGTGAGGGAGCGGACAATTGTGCGAAGGGATGCCCCGCAAATGGCGTTCTATGCTGCTGTTGGTCCGGCAGTCGCATAACTTATGCGAGATGCGCGAGTGAGCGAGAAAGCGAAAGCTGTCGGCAAATTGGCCATTACGAGCGTCAGGAAAAACACATGATACTAGCGCTGAGAGAAAACATGATAAAGGCCTGTAAAGAAATCCGCAAAAGGATCTCTCCCACGAAACAATCAACGCAAGCCCATTGAACAAGGACTTTGCCTTATCTTGACGCCTTACAGAGTACATGTACATGCTCTGATCTAGAACTGCATCCATACCCCGCCAAATCACGGAAGATAGGCCCCACCGAATGGTCTGACAGGATGAACGAGGAATCATCAAGAAACGAAGAGTCCAACATGGGGATGGGGGCCAAAGAAGCAGCCCAATTGGGTGACATTATCGATTTCGAGGGAGATTCCGACACACTCAACCCCCAGAACTGGCCCATGGGGAAAAAGGTCTACACGACAGCCCTGTGGGCCCTGACAACATGCTGGATCACCTTCGCCTCCGCCATCTACTCGGCCGGCACAGCAGAGATTAGCCAGGAATTCCATGTGTCATACGAGGTAGCCAACGCGGGCACCAGTCTGCTCATTTTCGGCTTCGCCCTTGGACCCATGCTCTGGGCTCCTCTATGCGAGGTTTACGGCCGAAAATGGCCTGCTCTGGCTGTAAGACTCCATTGTTGTTGTTACCGTTACCTGCCCACCAGCGAATCTTACATTGCCTTGCCTTTATGAACCCTCGCTAACCTGTACTTCGCTAGCCCTATTTCATTAGCGCTGCTTTTGCTTTCGGCACTGCGACTGCCAAGGATATCCAGACAATCCTTATTACAAGGTTCTTCGCTGGCGTCTTCGGCAGCTCCCCCATCTCCATTACAGGGGGTTCCATCGTTGACATCTGGACCCCGCGTCAGAGGGGAACGCCTATGGTGTGCTATGGCATCACGATTGCTGCGGCTCCTACCCTGGGGCCTATCATAGGCGGTGCCTTTATCGCCAGCGGGTGCGGTTGGCGCTGGACCGAGTATTTGACTGGTATTGTCATGATGGTCCAGTTCGTCCTAGACGCCTTCTGGCTAGACGAGAGCCACGCTGACGTGCTTTTGACACGGAAGGCAAGCCGGCTCCGTCGGTCTACGGGGAATTTCAGTCTCCACGCTAAGGTATGTGAGATCGGTCCGCAATCTTCCCGCTTTTGGTGGTGCGTGTGCACTGGCTGATATCTTGGCTGAAACAAAAAAACAGTGGGAGGAGACTAGCCCAACGTTCAAGAGTCTACTCAGTACCTACCTTGTCCGCCCGTTTCAGATGCTTCTGGATCCCATTTGCCTGCTGCTTACGATCTATACCTCATTCGTCTATGGTAAGCGCTACAGATGCCCCCAGTCATTTTTTCACCTGCTCAATATTACCTTCCCTGAATGCTGACTTATGGGACTTTTACTAGCAATCCTTTACGCGAGCTTAGAGAGTTTCGCCCTAGAATACGGCCGGTTCCGAGGATGGGGCCCCGTTGTGAGCCAGCTGCCCTTTCTGTCCCTCTTAATTGGCTGTCTCTTTGCCGCCGCCGCCAACATCTTCAATAACATCTATTATGGAAAGAAGCTCGTCGCCAACAACTTCAAGCCTGTTCCTGAAGCGAGACTTCCACCAATGATGGTGGGCGGATTTGCCTTCTCTGCAGGTCTTTTCCTTTTTGGCTGTAAGTCGCAATATTTAGCGGAACCGCCCCGAACCCGCATGATAAAATTGTGGAGATGACTTGCATAGACGACTGACCGTTATTATCATCTTCAGGGACCTCGGTCGAGCATGTCTCAAGCCCTTGGCCATCCATCATCGGTGTCTTCCTTACAGGGGTTGGCTTCACCACCATCTTCCAATCGTCCCTTCAGTATCTCGTCGATACTTTCACCCGCTACAGTGCCAGCGCTATTGCGGCTAACACTTTTGTCCGATCCATGGCTGCAGGTGCTTTTCCTCTTTTTGTTTGGCCCATGTATGAAAAGATCGGCATCGATTGGGGCAGCACTATCTTTGCCTGCATTAGCGTGCTTTTACTGCCAGCCCCATTCCTCTTTTTCAAATGGGGTTATCGGATCAGGGCCCGTGGCGAATTTAGCAAACTCTCTACCTATTAAGGCTACACAAGCTAGACAAGTACCCTGTGGTGGCTGTTTCAATCGATCAAGCATATTCCAACCGCGGAACCGAGGAGATGGTGAGCTGATCTTGGGCATTGTCTATTTCGTCATTTATCAGATACCTACATGCATGAAATGATCATATCAACATGTGTCCCCAACATGGCTGAGCGCCACTCATTAACTGCGAGTTAACTTCGTTTGAATCAGTTCTTCACAGGTAGGCAATGGAATCAGATTGAGTTAGAATAGATCTTGGTAATTTCCACTTAATTACCACTCTGCCTTTCGGCAAGACCTTCTATCCAATGTGACGTTACCGTACCATGACTCTGACTCGCTATCAAACGCCAGACCGGAGATGATAACATATCGCATTACGTGTTCTGATCCTGAATACGATATACCCTGTTTATCGTACTCTGAACCGCACTGACTAACCTGCCATGTCAAGCCTAGCCGAAACCTTACGGGTATAGATGGTTGCATCCAGTATAAGCAAGCTGAAGCTGCATATACGCGGCGTGTCAGAAAACCACAACGCTTAGAAACCACTCAGCACAGCGGCATGGATGCTGACTAGTGGCGCAGTGATGAAAGACGCAAGGCGACGGCAACTCGGCAGTGAACAAGACCCAGCTTTGTGTCCTGCCTGGCAGGTAATCTGATTATAAGACTCGCAAGCCTTAGTTGGGGCCATGTCCCGATTCATCTGATCTGCTGCCTCGGTACAGTATCGAGTCAGCGAACTGCACTGGCTCCCAATCCAAGCCTTGGCAATCTACCTTAATTCTCACCAAGGACACACCCTTCTTTTACTGCCCAGTCACTAGGTCAACCCTTGTTTGCTCCCCTAAAACAACATGCCTCCGTATAACTTCCCCTCTGTACGAGCTTCATGTGATCGCTGTCGATTCCACAAGCTCAAATGCATCGTCAATGCACAAGACAAATCAGTTCAGCAAAAGTGCGCCCGATGTATCAGGGCCAAGGTTGAATGCGTGTATAGCCAACGAGCTCGTCCAAAACGCCAGAAGAACCTCGAGTCGGAGGGCAGCTCTGGTGAAGGAGAAATGGGGCCTCTGACTCCACCAACTGGTTCTAATAGTGCTGGCGAAGAACAGAGCTTTGACAATTTCGACTCGTCTTATACAGGCTCATCAGATATTTGGGCCATGCTGAACACTTCGGACTTCGGAGTCCGTCTGGAAGAGTCTACAATGACCTTTGGCAACTTCGCACAGACACCGCCAGGCATAGCGTCTGCGAGCGCGAGTGGGCTGCATGTTGGTTCCATGCTCGACGTAGTACCGAACCAGATTCTTGGTAACGGACTTATCACTGAGCCCACTACACCCAAATTTGAACAAAACACCGCCTTCATGCACGATTGCACGCAGTCCCAGACCAACGGGAGCCTCGAAATTGATGGGGCTTCGCCAATCACTCGACTATCAAATCTCATGGCCGATATTTACCGGACGTTGGCTATTCTCACGGGCAGCTCGCATGCCACTAAATATCCCAGCTTCAACTTTTGCGAATATCCTATTGGTACCGTCTTGCACCTTGCTCGGACTCTGATAGAGATTATCCCGCAAGTCACAGGCTCATTTCACACGGCCTCGGCATTTACTCAAGACATGACTGGTGTATCAAGGCGTGACTCGATATCCTCGATCTCTCCCTTCAACAGTTACAGCTACTATGCAGACCTCCAATCCATCACACCTCCATCCTCCACAGCATCGTACAGCGCCAAGGATTCAATGGATCCACCAACAAAAATGTTGGCCATGAGTTGTTACTCCTCCCTGCGCCGTCTGTACTGTCTGGTGTTGACCCATTTTGAGACCTACTTGAGAACGACACTCCCTGCCTTTACCAGCAAACTTCTGTCGCATAATGCAGCTGGGGTAAAGACGCTGCAGCTCGGTGAGCTGCCTCTTACGGATGAGGTGTGCAGTAGGATCGGTACAGCGGTGAAACTGATGCTGGATGCTCTCCGCTCCGCGGAGGATATGCTCGGCCTTTCAGATTATGCGAGCACTACGCGAAGATGCCGGAAAGCGGATCCATGCGGGTGCCCGTTCTCAGCAGGACCTACAGAGAGGGGTCAAGATGTAACGCCATTGGCATATGAGGAGCTTTCAGAGGCATTTAAAGACAATGCCATGATGGGATATGAGGGTGCGCACATGGATAATTTGGCAAGCAAAGTCGAGTCTGTTAAGACAATGTTAAAGAATAGAATAGACCTCCGGATCTGAGTTATTTAGACTTTATACACATGTAGATGATTTAATTTTCTTTCACCCTACTGTGCAATTTAATATGCATTCCAATCATATATTGGTCCCTGACTATAAAGCCCGTTAAAGCTTGTATTTAAAAAGGACTGACGTCCCTTAAAACTACGAGGTTGAGCATGAGAATGTCCAGTCTAGGGGAGTCTCAAAATGCCAATGCCCCTCAATCTTATACACGTTTGATCTCGAAGAATACTAGCCTAGGAGATCGAATAATCTGTCTGCGAAACTGTCTTGTCACAAAGCTAGTACTCAATATTACCGGTCTGCGCGCAACCCTGATCGCCGACCCCTCTATTTACTATTTGCCACCAGCATTATAAGCAACACGTTGAGGACTACCCATAGGGAATCCAACACCACTAGTATCAGCAGCGGCGATGATGCGATTAGTAACAGCAGTAGAACCCCGAAGTCCCTCCTTCGCCATAAAATACGCCGCAAGACCAGCAACATGCGGCGCAGCCATACTTGTGCCTGACTTGTACAAACTGCTCGAGTCGCTAAGATGCCCCGCGCTGAGAATATCACTACCAGGCGCAAAGATATCTACCAAGGCGCCATAGTTAGACCATATACTGCGATAACTGGCAGAATCGATAGAGCCGACAGTGATGGCCGATGGAGCAGAAGCAGGTGAGAAATTGGCAGCGTCAGTCGCGCTATTGCCAGCTGAAACAACGATAGTAATCCCAAGATCAGTGGCAGCCTTAACAGCATCATTACCAATCTTGGTATAGGGGCCGCCAAGCGATGCATTAATAACGCTCTTCTTGGTGATACCGCGGACTTGGCGTGATTGACAGCCCACTGTAGGCCCTGAATGATACCGGACATAGTGCCAGAGCCATTCTTATCAATCACCTTAACAGCATACATGCTGCAACCTTTAGCCACGCCGTAGGTCTTGCCACCAACAGTACCAGCAACATGTGTCCCATGGCCAAACTCGTCTGTATTTGGGGAGCCGCTGATGAAATTAGCTCCCCAGAAGGCACGGCCCCCAAACTCCTTATGCGTAGTTCGAATACCCGAATCAAGGATATAAACAGTTGTGCCAGCGCCAGCGGTGGTGTCATAATAGTAGCGAGTGTCTACACCTTCAACAGTATAGACGTGCGAGATACGGGCGAGACCCCAAGGGGCAGATAGCTGGCTGGTATATCCGCGTTTCGTAATTGGGCCTAAGCTAGGGGCAGCAACAGCAGAGACATTCACAATAGTATCCTTCTCAACATAATCGACCTGAATACTTAAGTTAGCACCTAATCCGCCAAGGCTCAAGGTTAGAACGACTGACCAGGTCAGAGTTAATGACTTCCTTAAGCTCTGAGGAGGGAATTTCGGCGACATAGCCTTTGAAACCATCGAGGTCGATATTATCCACAATACCCTCTTTTCCCTTGCTTTTAGCCTTCTTATCAATGGCTTCCTCATGCTTTTTTTTACTGCCAGAGGAAGCGTCAGATTTATATTTAATAATATAGCTGTTTGGGATGACAAGTTCGGGTTCGATATTGGCATTCTGAACTTTTGCCTGGGCAAGGGTCAAACCGACAAGTTCGGTAAGAAGGAACAAAGAGATAACAAGCTTCATAGTTATGGCGGTTGGAAAAAGGAAGAAAGAAGTAAAGCAGTTAGGGGGTCTATGCTGTGTTATGGATTGTGACGAACCTGTGTCTCATGAGGGGGATTGTAGCAGTCTTATTATACTATTCTAATTCCCTATTATCTTAAAGTCCTTCTTTAGCACGCTTAACGGTTGAATCCGTAAGGGGCAAGTGGAAAAGACTTTAGGACGCAAAAGCATGATCTAGACTGAGAGAACAAGGGTGTCTTACTGAAAACAGCGTCTAGGTTTATGCCTCAATAGCTGAACTCGGGCCCCACTGCCATCAGCTTTCCCAGGCGTTTGGCATGCTAGGGGGCTAGATCTGTCTATAAGCCATGATTAAAGCCTTCATAACTGAAACGGGTTTCTGCTACTGTTTAGTGACCGATAAATAAGGTTTAAATTCCAGCTATCTAGGGCGCTGGCTTATTATAACTAATACCATTGGCTCTAAAATGTAGATCATTAAGCCTAGTTCCCAATTCAGTAGTCTCGAACCAGTTTCCAGCCTTAATTCCAGGCCAGGGGCGAGATTCCTACTCAAGAATTCTAGTCAGGAATGGGGCCCATTTCAGGGTGCTACGATTAGGAGCATGGTAGATCTCTCGACGATGTGATTCTAGATAGGAAATTCGGACAATCGTCGACGCCGAGACTGAGCAGGTCGTTTATGTAGCCGGATATGGCCCTCCGGGGGTACTCCTCATGGGTGTCCAGATCGGCCAGGCCGAGAAGTTTGCAGTGCTGGGCGTTCCAATGGTCAGAGTAGTCCCTGATGCCGGAGGTGTAGTCGTCGAAGTCGAAAAAGGAGTAGAGGCCAGGGTAGTTATACTTGGAGTATGACGAGCCGTCGGTGCTGATCCCACTGAGGGCCGACATGTGGTTAAAGACGGTGTCTATGATGACCTTAATGCCGGCTCTGTGGCAAATATCAGTTATGTTCCGGAAGGACCTGCGGTTGTCGAGGCGGCCGGCAATCCGGTACGACATGGGCTGGTATGAGGTCTACCACTCGGGGCCTCGGATATGTTCGGCGGGCGGAGAGACCTGGATGTATCTGTAGCCGGCGGGACTGATGGTGTTGTTGCACTCGCTGGTGACGGAGTCGAAATTCTACTCGAAAAGGACAGCAGTGACGTCCTTGGTCCCAGGAGGGGAGACATTGACTACAGGAGGGGCCAGGCCAGGGGTCATCAGCACTACGAATGCAACGAGGTCGGTCTTGCGTGCCATGGTAGAGATTCGGGAGGCTTCTCAGCTTCTTTTGTACTAATAATCTATATCGATTGTTGCATTTCGAAGATGAGGTAGAGGAGATATATTATATCTACTCGTTCGTACGAGACATCTGTTCAATAGGAACTCCTGAGCATGAACCTGCTACCTAGTAGTCTGATCATCACTCACATACCTCCCTCATCGCCTAGTCTCGGTCCTTTAAAATGCCTCATCAACGAACATTTCAATATCTTGCAGAAACATGCCTCGGCCTGGGTGGCTTGCTCTTGGAAGGCACATCGGGGACATTCGAACTCGACAGCAGAATGATTCAGAGCGTGCCGCGCGAGATGGGATGGCCGACTGAATGATTTCCCGCACCCCGGCTTAGGGCATTGATGACGCTTTGCTGCGCCCTTACGACTCCGGCCTTCATCATGCCGAGGCACTCTGGCTCTGCAGTGACCGATATGCATCCTTTCACTGGCAGTTTCTCTCATGACAGACAATTGGGTCAAGACGTGAGAGTGTTGATGCGTCAGATAAACGTAGCAGCGAGGTGAGGTGCGTTACCCGCTTGATCTAGCCGCTGACCGTTTAGCCGCTGTCGGGCAGTACTACAGTGTTGGACTACCGCGATATCGATAAAGACCATAGTCAAGGAAAAGAAAGATGTAGAAGCCTTCCAGATACGCAAGGCGAGACATAATACAGTCATACAGACACTCGATACCACCCTGAACAACCTACGAGGAGAGGAGATCGAAAGGGATATTACACTCGTGGAAATAAACAGAGCTTTTGCTGTGATGCTTCCTGTAGCTGATACGAGAGTGATGGAACTGATGCTGAACGAGACCCAAAAGTGAATGGATATTGAGCAAAAGTAATGCACTATTTCATTAAAAACCTTTTTCACATCAACCATAGAGTAATACCTACGAAGGGCCCAGGCGGTAGTCTTCTAATTCAAGAGAAATTATGCTCCTTTTAAGGTTTTAATTTCATCTCGTCAATATAATGATGTAAATTAAAGCTTTATTGAGCTTGAATTGATCGAGAAGTTAAACAGACATATTTCTGAAGATTCTTATGGTGTACTATCTTTGATCTTGTTTATCGCATCCATCACAACACCAATATACTCTCACAGTATAAGTGTCGAGGGAAATTCAACCAGGTCCTCATTTCTTTCGCCGTTGCATACCAAGCTGTCTGTTGTTATTAGCATAGGTAATGCGACTCGGTTCCTATACATACCGATTATTTGAAGTAGCAGATAAGCCCACAGCTCTGACCGCCATTGTAGTTGCTGGCATGGGCGAATTTGTGTCCCTCATTCATACCAGCGCGAGCGCAAGCCAAACCACAGTCATTATCTGTGTAGGGTTCTTTGCCATCCACAAAGCAATTATGCCAAAGGGCAACAGCTGACTTTTTGTAGTTGCACTGTACATCTCTGTATAAGTCCCAGGCACCTTCGACGCCTAAGATGCCGGCTCCAAAGAGCAGAGTAATAGTAGTGATTTTCATGATGAATAGTAAATTGTGTAAAAAGAGTAAGTATAAAGATGGAGTGATGGAGAAAATCGAGATGTGGAATGGGAGTCTTGTTGGATTTTATATAGAATATGTTACTGCTGTCTGTTTCTATCTGCCGCGAACCAATGGGCAGTAATTCAATTCTGTAATAATGATTATATGTTACAATAACAAGCGATCCAATAAGACATAATAAAGTAAATGAAGAAAGTATAAATCAGTAGATTAGTGATATAAAAACTACAGTCTGATAATAAAGTTTCGTATGGGAGGGGCAGTTTATTGCAAATAACCAGTTTAGGACGGGGCGGTATGAATATAAGAGCTTGTCAGAGGATTCAACTAAATTAGAGTTTTATTAAGGGCCCAATTAACTGGAAATTCCTCTGGAGCTTTATGTAAATCTTAACTCCCAATTTGTGTATTGTGAGCGTAAGTACCGCCCATCTTATGGTCTTGAACCGGAATGTGCGGGATTGCATGCTGGACTGCGGTTGGAGCTAACGTTAATAAGCGCGTCTTGAGTTCGTTGAGAACGCAGAAAATTCGGTTTAAATGATTGCGCGACATTTCCGAGTCGAATAATGCAAATAGAAATAGTAGTGCGGTCGGCAAAAGTGATGGTTTAGCCTATTAAAGAAGTTAAGAAGTGCGTAGCGGAAAGGGGGTAAGTCATATTATATTGTAGTTAAATTTGGCAGCATATTATCTTGCCAATTGCTGGAGTGTAACCCTTGTAGCTGTTACTTTGCAGAGCTGTCTGGCTGCTATCAGATAAATGTCAGATTGCCGATGCAGATAAACACCTCTAATTCAATGATATAAAATATGACTATTCCACTTGTATGTCGTGATGAAGTATTTGGCCAACAATTCAAGGTCAGCAATCACTTTAAACTTATGAGACACTGTCTAGGGGTACTAGGTTCTCCCTATTGGTTTGATTACGCCTGAGCTCCCTGCCAAGCAAAGGCTCAGTTAATGTGTGCCGAGGTTGATTCTCTCTTCAATCACCATGATAATTATCTCGACCTAGAAGCAGTAGTACACATGATGGATAATATGTCCCCTTGATCGCCAATTCCTTGATACTAATGGTGATATCTTGGCTATTGGCGGTTTCATCTGCTGATCGCTTCCTTGTTGCGCAAGTAAGATGACCAGAGAACTCGAAGACGAAACTCAAGCACGCCAAAATCCATTTGCGTTTCTAGAACTGAGCTCACGCCGCTCTAAGCTGAGGCGGGCTGAGGTGCCTGAGCAGGCCCATTTTTGGGATCGCATAACCCTATAAGGGTCCCCTGCCGGGACCAGATCTGGGACCACATCCCTGTTTTGGGCCTCGATTCCTGCAAGTATCTATCCATTCTCGTCCAACACTCCAAAGCTCAATCGAGAAGGACGCCACGCTTCGTATGCGTCAGCTGAAACCAACTCATCGACTCTGCGAGCCCAGCTTGTGTCTCCATTATTGGATCGCCGTCTCAGGGGCGGCCGTTCCCGTGCCTGCCACTTCGTGATGATGCAGCTGCGCCGGATAGATGATTCCCTCCTTGTCTCGTCATCTCGCACGCCATCGGGGATCTGGCCCCTCTCGCTGGTAAGGCAGATTTCTTAGAGATGCCAAGTCAGGCAAGTCTTGACGGTTGCTGGTTATTCGTCAGAGGGCCCCGGGATATGGAGCTCCGGCAGCCTTCGGAGTACTGGCCGTATCAATTGGCGCCAGCAAGGCATGACTCAATAGATCATGACCATATCTCACATCTCGCCGACCTGCTTGTTGGCCTTAAAGCCATCATCGGCGCCAATCTTCGCCCCTCTCAAGGATCATCGACAGTGTCAAGTACACCGACAAGGCGTCTTTCAGTGCAAGGCCCCTTTTCATCAAAATCAAAGTGGCAGTTTACGCTGGGCCGAGCTGTGCCGCCGGCTTACTGCTATGACATGTGCAGTCACAGGAGACGCATGAATGATGTCTCGAGAGGAACATCTTGGTGGACTCCGGAAGGCAAAGGAGTGACGGCAGCCAGCATCAGTTTCGGGGTGACCGATGAGGGGAAGGAACGTATGATGCTTGAACATGGCCCTTTCGAACTAAGAAGGCATAAATATGCCTTAGAACTAGATCAGTAATATTAATCACGCCAACCCTTACTAGCTAAGCAATCAAGTTCTCATCCTTATGTCCTTAATTCGCTTCTAATGTCGTCATAACCTTAACCCCTTTCCTTTCTCCTGTGATGCATATGTGCGGGCCCTTGCACCGGTTATCCACCATCGCGATGTCTCCTGTACATAAACTCAAATTTAATCCATTATAAAATCCCTATATCTAGGAAGTATTACCGGGCATTCCTATTTAAGATATTTACGGTAAGTCAGTTTCACCTGGCATACAAAGGGCCAAGTGGCCTATCTTCAAGTACGCGAGGAGCGTTTGCCGTATGGCAACAAGTATAGAATGGGTCGCTTTGAGGTTGGCCAAAGCCTACGGCCTCGTCCATGCGATCTGCCCCTGGCCAGCTGGCCACGTTGGTGCCTGTGCTGGAACCGTTTGATCTCTTACAGAATGAAGGACTCATGAAACAGTTCCGGAGTAGGATCAGGTCTCTATCAAGCGGAAAACTGACCAGCTGGGCGGTCTCGATTCAAGTTGATACCTACAACCTAGTCTTGGGTCGCTTTTTTCTCTCATTGTTATGACCGCAGCTCCCACGTCTCCCTGCATCGGCTTCCCCAAAGTCTGCCTCGCCTGTGCGTGACGTATGAGCTCATGATTCATGCATCCTTTCCATGCTGGAGGAAGCAATGAGGCATTCGAAGGGAGTTTATGCCAGCGAGATGGCTTCAGTCGGGTTCAACGGACAACAGAAAATAGTAAGAAAGTAGTATTAAAATACATATATTATTATTATTAATTTAATTATATAAACATAAGTTATAGTTAAAGAGAGAAAACCGGCAATGCTTGCTATTATTATTAACATTACCTGATAGAAGCACTGCGGATTAATGTTAATTCGGCATGCTCCGGCTATTCGCCGGACCTCGTTAACTATGCATAGCTGTCTAGATAACTAAAACGTCAAACTTAACTCACTACTATTTCAATCTCACCCCGCTGTCTCCTATACTTTCCCCCATTTTACGACCTTAGTCACAATTAATCATCACGTCATTATTGGGCATGACTTCAAGTGTAGACGAAGATGTTGTTACAGGAAAAGCCAATTCCGGCCGCACTGCCTGTACAGAGTGTGCGCGTCGTAAGCAAAAGGCAAGTACCTAACAGTCCAGCCTCTATCAATTGGCCGCGTGGCTAATTTCAACACCAGTGCGACCGTAATTGGCCCTGTAATAACTGCCAAAAACGGAGTGTAGCGAACAAATGTCAGTTCAGGTCCCTTGAACGCCAGAGTCCAGGTCAAAAGAAGCGCCCGATTGATACTGGAATTCACAAGGAAACGATGGAAGACGAGTCTGGTGATGAAATAGATGAGGCACAAGTGCTTCAAGTTTTGGGGTATGCTTCAGAATCTTTTTTCTCTAGGATCTGTATTCAAGCGAAGGTATGCTAGATGAAAGGAAAAAAGAGAGCGACTAATACTAGATCAGAAAGAGAGGATTCCGCCGAGTCAACTTCGCATCGATCCTAATTCATGCCCACAATTACGACACGTTCTCGATGTACTTCCTACCCGATCATTCATGGGTAAGTTTCTGGAGACTGCCCGAATATCATCTGACGGCTTTTAAATCTCACGTTCAGACTCCCTTGTCAAAAACTTTTTCGACAACGTCAACTTTCACTATTACATCATCTACCCCTCGTCCTTCCTGGATGATTACCGGGACTGGTGGACCGATCGAATCTCAGGAGACCCCATTAAGTTACAATGGACATGTCTTCTCACTGTCATTTGTGCGTGCTCTGCTCAATATCTAAGTACCGAGTTACAAGGAAAGCTTGAGCATGAACTGGGTGAGAAGACGCAAACACTCACCGAACGGTACCACCGAGTTTCTCGCGAGCTTTACAGCATCATTCCACCTGGAAGGAGTCATTTACATAGTGTGCAATACTTGCTACACTCATGTTACTGGTACAAGTCGGAAGCTCGGTTCACGGAGTGTTGGTATAGCTTATCCGCCGCTATTCGGGAAGCCCAGGAGATTGGTAGGGTTCAAATTCACGCAACCACCTGACAGCTCTAATGTATTTTCGCAGGCATCCATCAAGAAGCATCCACGCTCGACATCTCTGACTTCGAACGCGAAATGTACCGACGAGTTTGGTGTGTGCTTGACACATGGGATTGGTGGGTACTCTGTTGGTTATATAGTCAACATATTTAACAAGTAATAGGCAAATGTCTGCACTGCTTTCGAGACCTCTGATGATAGATCGAACCTGTTGCAAAGTCGGTCTGCCCGAGCTGACCCTCGAAGGCACCACTCCATCACCACTGCTACACCTGAAATTACAGTCCGAGCTTATTCGAAAGCTTTTTAACCGGTTTGGGCCTACCAGAAATGTTGTTGAGTCTGTCGACATTCAAGAGTATCAGAAAATGTTGGAAGACTGGATGATGAAGTTTCCACCGATATTTGACCTCGATAATCCGGATTATAGCCAGGACACTCTTTGCCCATGGATTCCGCTCCACCGCCATTACATTCACACTATGGGATATTCCATGATTCTGGATCCATTCCGTGTTCGTTTAGCCACATCCATCGATACGAAAACCGCATCCAAAACTGAGGTCCAAATAAGAACAGACGGCATCGACTACGCTTTGAAATTGATGGCTGTTCTTCGCGGGTTCTTCAACCACGTTTGGCCTCGTGATGCTAAGTTCCACTTCGTCATATTTTCTATTTTTGACACATCTGCTTTATATTCGAGCATTCTAGCCCACGACGAAGATGGCTCAGTCCCCAAGCGTCAAGAAATGCTCGACTCATTTGACATGGCTGTGGACATGATTAAGCATTTAAGGACAATTGCTCCAAACTTTCAACTTTACTATAAAATCCTCCATCGACTACGCCTCAAGGTTCGGGGGAAGGTCTCTATGAATCCAGAAGTCACTGAACCACCACGCAAGTGCCTGAAATACACTGTTTCTAAATCCACATCGCTGCTTCCGGATATATGTGCCGCACCAAGCACCATCCCCACCTGCTACAGCCAAAGCCCTGCTGTTGGCTCTCACAATGAAGATTATACAGCCTCAGTCGCTCGACTATCAAATGTCGGTCCTGGACCTGATCCACTAGCTCAACCGAATCATGGCTCTCAACGCTACCACCCCTCTCATGGCACACATTCAGTTCATGAAGCATCTATAGTCGGTCAACCACCCATGGTCCAGTCCAGTATGAGTAAGAACATTCAGTCATTATCGGACCTTGATGATGGGAGTGTAGAGCAAGCTATGTTTGCATCTATATCTGAGGAGGAACTCGGAAATCTGGCCGAATTATGGAGATGGCAAGATCTGGATTTAGGCCTTATCGACCACTCAAACCCATGATATTTGGTGAAGAATTCAGGTTCAAGTAGTGGTTAAAATACGCATAGTAATATAATTCGTTTGGTAAATTTGACTTAATGCGAACCTAAGATATGCCAAGATAACTTAAGGCCGATAGGCATTTAGAACTGTGAACCTTGAAAAGGTTAAAGGGCTTCGGCAACGTAAGTAGGTTAGAGACTTTAGCAGGATTTGTCGCATCATGCAGAGGATGTATGTAATATTTATATGATTTCTTTCTTTACTATTTTTAAGGATAAAATAACAGCTGAAAGATACCTGTAAGCCTAATGCAGCTTCTTAAATAGTACAATAGCATAAAGCTAAATAGTAAAGCGTCGATCTTTGCACCAAGGTATTTATTATTTATAATTGAAGCCTAGTAAGAATTGAATAGCGCCTAGATATACAGCTTAAACCAGTTAAGCATCTCAATTGGCTCCTTTGCAAAATAATTATAACCATCAAAGCGCCTGTCAGTATCCTCAATCCAGACCATTTTCTTTTCCTTACTTCCAAGTGCATCGAAGATTTGTTGGCTATCAGAGGTATCGATCAAAGTATCTCTGCGAACCTGAGCGAAAAGGGTCGGAACTGTTACATTCTTTGCCAAAGGCAGCGGAGTCAGTTCCGCCAACCAGAAACCAGTAAGTTCATGGATGCGCTTATCAAATGCGGCGACAGTGGCCTCCTTATCGAGGCCGGAGTTGATAGCACCCTTCTCGACAAAGGCGTGCCCAGAGACAGCTTGGAGAAGAATCATGGCCTTGATGGTCTTGAAGTACTCAGGGAAGTGCGTCATTGCGTGGATGGTGGCGTTTCCGCCCAAGCAGCGGCTGAGAAGACCAATACTGTTGTTTTTGGTTTCAGGGCGAGACAGGGCATATTTTATAGACCCAACAACATCGCGGGCTTCATAATATCCCAAAGCGCCGCACAAGCCGCCGGAACCACTAGCACTGATGCCATGGTTGCGAAGGTCGTAACAAATGATGTTGTAACCGGCATCATGTAAGTTCTTATAGTCAGGAAGAAAATTGACCTCAAAACCGCCAAAACCACCATATCCCTCCAGATGGCCAGGAAACCCATATCGGTTGCAAGTCATTGGGTGGTTGGCGATAATGAGCTTCTGTGAATTTAATGCAGGGATGAACCATCCTTGTATAACGGTTCCATCGAGAGACGGAAAGAAAATGTCCTCGTATTCCATACCGTACTCGTCCGGGCGGCGGAGAATAGGGGAGCGCTGCCCAGTTTTGAAGAGCTGGGCGTAGCCCTCGACGAATTTGTTTAAAGCTTCGGTCGACGACATCTTCAAAAAGAATTAGAACACAAAATTGTTTGTTTAGAGTCTGTTGCACTGTATAGTTGAGATTTCATAGAGTTACGGGATTACTTGAAACTGGTTAGTAGTATCCCTTTTATACTCTTCTAAGAGACGTTTTCGGCCGACTCTTGTCGGTATCTACCTGAGTGATCGGGATGGAGAACAACGCTAAGCACTTAAAGTATAATATCATAATAACCGTTTTCGGCAAGTGCGGAGATAAGCAACACCACCCGAAAATTCTGTAAAGTAAAATTAATGGCCAAAAGTCTGGAATCACCCCGCTCCACCAACAACACCACCAATTTCAACATATTACTTCACTCTGCAATTGAACAGGAATTAATTATCAGAATAGCTTCATTTAGATATCATTAAATAGCCCTAAGTCTGTAGATTAATATTTTGTATACCAACCCTGCGCCCGCTTATAAGCTCGAAGTCTGTTAGCAGCTGAAGTCGTTAGCTTCAAAATCAGTCGGTCAGGTAACGCTTCCCACGCTTCTTGGATCCATTTAATCAGCAACTTCCTGTGAGCTTCGCTTTTGCCTAGTCTGATAAATTCAGGATGAATTCTTTGTAATTTGGCCTTTAAAGCCTTCCAGATGTGTTTAATTGGATTTAAATCAGGGGAATGCGCAGGCCATTTAATTGGAATAAGCCCGTGTAAAAGCAACCAATCCCTTGTAGCTTTGGCGATGTGTATACGAGCGTTATCTTGTTGAAAATCGCCAAATTCATTGAGAAAAGGAAGAAGACCTTCCGTTAGGGCTTTGCGATAAGACCAGCTAGAATAACCTCCTTTTTCAGACGTCTTATCCCTCATTATAGGGATAATATATGTCCTTTTCCTTCCAGAGATTCCTGCCTAGAACATAATCGACTGACGAGCTTTTCTATGAGACTGAACATTAATAAGGTCATTACGGTATTTCTTATCAGGCCGGCAAAAGACCCAGCCGTTGGGGTTGTTCGGGGCGTTCTGTACAGTGACTTCGTTACTATAGCAAATCTATATAGAAAGGTCAGTTGGAATAGCTTCATTTTTGACCGACTTATACGTATGTAATCGTCGAGATGACGGAGCCAAAATGTACAGTGTTCAAGCCGCTCTTTTGCGTCTTCTTCTGATAGTCTAATTCGTCTTTTTGACTGCCATTTGCGATGCCAATGGCTCTGTAAACGTCTCTTGAGAGTGCGTATAGAGACATCTAATTCCAGTTTATATAGAATGTCATTCCAGCTGATTTCGCGATGCCGATTAATATACGAATTAATCCTGATAATCTGCAGAGGCGTGAGTTTCTTTGGACGCCCTTTTCGTGGCTGTGAGGCCAAGCTGTGGTGTTGTTCCCATCGTCTTTTGGTCTTTGAGATAGTCCCTTGGGTCGTTGAGAAGTTATCTGCAACTTCCCTCTGAGATTTACCGGCGCGTAGCTCTGCCATTATAGCTGCTCTTTGCTCCGGAGTAAATTCATGATTAAATTCACGATTTCTGCTTATCTCAGTACCAAAAGACCGATTTCCTGAAGTCATTTTTCATTATTTAATTGCTGATTGAAGAAGTCGTAATAGTTCTGTTACGCTGTGTTGAAAGCGGGGTAGCATCGGGGTGATTCCAGACTTTTGGCACGTGATTGTAGTTAGACTTTCTGGTTTGCGATTGGATTTACATAACTAGTCTCTGCGGCATTCGTTAAGTGGCGTCTGCATCCTTGGCTGTATTAGTAAAAAATGGGTTCCAAGGGCCGAAAAGATGCCAAAAGTCCGCCGAATCTCGGATTTGTCACAAGTTACACTGCTGCTGCGATATATTTTAAAATAAATATAAAAATAATAATACTCTAGATAGTGATTAAAAGATAGGTACTGCTAACTAAGCTAAACCTTTGTATCTATGATGAGGAATAATTAGTTATTGGGGTTGGGGTTGTAAGCCAGGCGTTGTATCTAAGGTTCTTTTCAATATCGTAGGGGTAATGGCCGTATAGGCAGATGGGCTTTCGCGCAGACAGGATTTTTCAAAGAATACCAATCAAAAAGTATTAACATAGCCGATAGGCAGAGCAGTATGAGCACATGATCAATCTGTGAAGTGAGACCAACATAAGCTTGCCACCATGCAATGATCTGGCCAAGGGAACTACCGGCTGTTTGCGGACAAGCTCTGTCAAATGCACAGATAATCACATCAGCTTCGGCATGAGAGCATCATGGTGGCGGCAAAGTTAGTGAAGCTACTGATGGTACTCTACCGATTGGTACGCTTGGTAATCTTTAAATGGGGATACGAGCCTGGAGGGTCTCTCTCGTCGGGACCCAACCAAGTTGTGTGCCCGCTGGGCAAAGGCAGAGGCCATGATCTCGATTACGACTACGGATGCACCGATGGCTAGTGCTGGAGGAACTGCGGTGGTCCGTTAAACTATTTGCTGAGAGAAAGCCGTGGTGCTGGCTTAAGTATGAATCAGGAAATGGAGGATAGACCCCTTGTAGAAGGCGGCAAGATTGTAAATGGTCGTATAACAACAACCAGGCGTATTGCTCTAAGAAGAAGAAGGGCTGCGGAGAGTGCGGCTGCGGCTGAGAAGCACCTACAGCTACATTCCAACCTCGGCTCGTGAAGCCTTCCTCGACTCATTCCACGCATATTGAGTTACCGTTTGGCATAATCTATATACGCTTCAGAGTTGTCTCTACTTTGAATACAGTCTATTCGGCTAGTATCAAATCTATTATTTCCTCTTTATTTCAGGCTCATGGTAATTTGCCACATGATGAATGTGGAACTGTAACGACGTGATGGAGGCATGTGGCTATAGGATGTAAAGCTGCTATAGATTAGTAATGCTTAAGAGCCCCAGTGGCTGAGAAGTAGGATTTAGGTCTTCTATGTGTAAAGCATATCCTAACAGTCATTTCCAGTATAGTGTTAAATATATTCGCTAATCTGAATATTAATAGTTATTTTATATCAGTACCATTGACCCCTTCTACGACCTTCGGCTTAGATTCCATGGAAGATCAGGATTCGGTGGCAGAACAAAGCTAACCCGACCTGTCAGTGCAATTCTCACATACTCATGCGTAGACTTACCTGTTCTGTCTGTTTGCCAGACCTTCATACATAAGATACCACGCCGTGAATGAAACCAACAAGCCAGTCACACCGCCGCACTTGAGGAGCACGTTATTAGGAGCTCCCGACTCTTCAGTGCAGAGGTTAGCCACCCCGAGGAAGAGCCAGGTGCAATTGACAAGAAGGCAAAGCGCCAGAGAAAAGACATTCGACTTCATAGAGCACAGAGTTATGGCCACTGAGAAGATGAAGAATCCCTACAGAATGTGAGTTTTGGATTGCTCTGGGAGTAGGTAAATGTAGCGGTGACCTACCATAAGAAATAGTCCGTTGGCGTGGTTGTAGTCGGCAAGGCTGGGGTAAGCATCCCTGACGTGGAAGCTGGGGATCATACTAATGGCAAAAGAGATCCAGAAACAGCCATACGAGCAGGCAATAGTGGCGCTGACTGTATTGCCATTGGCGATATCCCTAATCAAAGCATGAGCATCCACCTGTAAACATGCTGAATTAAATGAACAACCACTCACCACATGCCAGAAAGTAATTGAGCGAGGCCTCCATAAGCCAGAGCTGGTCCAATGACAATATTGGGAACAGTCACGCCGTGAACATTGAGATTGACCAAGGCTGTTAAAAACGTCGCGAAGGCAAATCCAGAGAGACCAAGGGGACCAGCATCACCAAATTTCTGGCGAAATTCAATATCCTTTTGTCGAGCAGCTTCTTGTTGGGCTGTGGCTGCGCCATAAGGCTTTGTCTCAGAGCCATCCTCCTGTGCGGACCAGAAAGCTGCCTCTTTGTCTCCACTCGATCGGTCCACTTCGGTTCGTGCGGGCGACATTTTTCGTGTTTTCTCAGACAACGAGACTAAGATTTTGTCGTAAAGAAATAAAAAGAGATTCAGAGATCGCAGTAAAGATAAAAGTTAAGGTAAGAAGAAAGGGGATCTCGCCGAAGCTTGTTTCTCTTTTCAGTGGAGGTAGTGGATGCAGTGGGTCTCCGGAGTAAAGAAAAAATTTACGTCTTAGTTTTTGATGTCTAGGCCAATAGAAGGCAAGGGCGAGGTTCGAAATTAACTGCAATCTGCCCACTATTTGTGTTTCTGAGCTTAATCGGATTGCCAAGCATATCGCCATCGCCAAGAGCATGCATATCTATAGAAAGTCCCCGCTAGGCAAATCGATATTGTAGCTAGTGTAGCTTTTTTAGTACGTAACGCGAACATCAACGGTGTGACTTGCGGAGAGTCGAAGTTTTGATCTCAAAAACAAAGCAAATCTATCAATTAAAGGTTTTATTTACTGACCTAGTCATACCACGGATTTTAAGAAATTCTGCCCTGTATACTCTCAACGCTTGCACGGTCTACCTTTATTACTTGAATTGGGCTTCCTTCTACGGTGTAGCTGTCTATTCGTTTTGGACACCCTACGAATCTGAGCTAACTAGTTGAGGAAGTGCAGCCCGTAGTACCTGGCAAAATCCAGCCAAAAGCGCCGCAGCCCGCCGCTCGCCGATGCACTAACATCGTTAAATAGCTAGAATACCCTAGAGTTGTGATTTAAGATCTATCTCACGTCACGCATCTAACACTGAGGCCTCTATATGTAGTATTAATTGCTTTAATTACGGAAATTCAAACTAAGTTACTTCTTTAAAGCTTTATGCTAAATATCCAAGTTCAATAAATAACTATAAGGCGATGAGTATTGCCCATATAAGATTATGGCATTACATTGCCGATACGGAAAATTTAACTTTTAATACTACCTAGGTCATCAATACTAGGTCGGTATTCCTAGGCTGCAAATATGCCATCCGATAATCTCTTTGCCAGATACTATGGTCGATAGGAGAACGGGGATGGATTATTAATATCGCGTTTATCTATAGCTTAAAGCCAGAAGTTAAGCATAGTCAGTCTAACAATTTGGCAAAGTGCTACCGTGCTGACTAACGGCATTACTTTATAGTTTCCTACTGCGCTACTTAAGCTGTAGTTATTTAAATAATAAAGTATATTACTTGTGAGGATGCTCCCTCTAAGATCTACGTCAATACTATCTTTCCCGGCTTTAAGTTTTAAGACCACCTCCTTACACTATTATTCCTATATCCATGACCTTACTCCACTAATTTGCAATTCCTTTTCAAGTCATTCAGACTAAGATAGGTCGAGTAATTCTCGAAGGGGCGCCGCTACTGTTGCTTAACATCCTTAGGGGACGCTAGGCATGACCGCAGATGTTGCTAAAGCTGCCATTTTTCTCGCAAACGAACAGTCGAGGTGGGTCACCGGTGTTACATTGCCAGTTAATGGCGGCTACATGGTGGCTTAATGATTTAACAAGTATGCTTTTGGATTGCTGGCGAAGCAGCAACTAAGAAGATATTGAGCAACCTTTGAGATCAGTTTTGATGTTTCTTCACTAGTAGACTAAATAATATACCACTCACTCTAATAGCCAATAGGATCTGAGCGTAAATGAGGGGTAATCTTTATTTTGTGTCAGACGATACTGGGATTTGACTTTCATCCCTCGCAAACCCATGTTGGTAGTGTTCCTCAAGCATACCACCACATAGAAAAAGTTCTCCCCCAGCGAGTCACACCTACTTCCGTTACCCCTACTCTTACCATGAGCTCACAGGGACCCTATGGCCATTATTCTATGCGCGATGATATTACGCTTAACTACTCTAGTGATCTCGTCCATGCTCTAGCAACTCCACAGGGGACATTCCTCCGAGGCTTAAATAAGGGCCTGGAACCCCTAGAGGAATACCAAGAAGGTGGCTATTATCCAGTCTATATTAGAGATATACTTAGTTAATTAGATTAATATTAAATTATTTATAAGCTTGGTTATAGTGGTTATAGCACTATCTGGCTTAGTCAGGACTTGCTAGAGGGTTATTATATTATACTTAAGGTTATAGTAAGTGATTTAAAATTAGATAAAAGTCTTAACTTTAGCTTAGTAGAGCTTGACTAATTTATACCTAGTGCCTAGTATATTATATTACTACTTAACTTATTCTTTATTAAAGGATTAAATAAAACCTATTAATACCTGGCACTTCCTATTCTTAGCCCTTATATATTGCTATATTTATAGATATAATTAGAAAGAGACCTTGCTTCTATCTTATAAAAGTTTATATATTTAATTATAAATAAGTTTACCTATTTAAAACTTATTTTATTATAACTAAGCTTACTTAGTTAGGCATAAAAAGTATTATTATAATTTAGTTTATTATAAGCTCTTATAAGTAGTTATATATACTAATATAATTATTATAATAATAGTTATTAGCTAATCTTTTACCTTATAGTATAATAGTTAGATATAGCTTTTATAAATATAAAATAATATAAAGATATAAGATAACCCTACTTTACTAGTTATTGTAAATTTTAATAATTTTATATATAATTTTATAGAAGTTTAAATGCCAATTAGTAAAAAGAAAGAATTTCATTCAAGATAAAGTTATTATAATAAATATACATTATTAATATAATATATTCTATCTTATATTATATTAAAGTTAAAAACCCTTATATTATTTTATCTTTATTATACAGCCTTGCCCTCACTTTATATACTACTATGGGCATACACTATTTTAAAATAATATTTATATTATAATAAAAATCTATCTTTCTTATTTATGAATCAGACGAATGATTGCCTGGCCCTCCTCGCCTCTTGATTGTTCCCTACCACTCTCCTGACTGTCGGGATCAGAAGAAACAAGCCACACCGTTGTATCACCACTCGCTCTGCCTCCTCCCGCCGATACGCCTTTTAGGTTTCCGGCTACAATGCGCCTATCTAGGCCACTTGCCAACAAAAGCCACTGCCCAGGCCACTCGCCCAAGAGAGGTAGTGGTTTCCAGAGCAGAATAAACATGCTGATACAACAAACCAGCATTACGAATGCCTGTAATGCAATTCCTGACCCTGTCATTCCGGTCCCTGCACCTTGAATCAATCCCACCACGACAATCTGCCCATCCCAAAACTTACTATCATCTGCAGGCATCATCTCCTTGACTCCATTTATCCCAAACCCAGTCTCAACGAGTTTGAATTTCGGGTCATCATAGAAAACCTGCAATCTGGATGTACAGGGCTATTATGGACATTAGGCCACTCATCCTGAAGCTGAGGGAACGTGATGTCCGTGGTTGGTAGAATAGTATTTCTTGTCAGTTCCCATAGCTTGTCCACGTTGGTGAAGTTCTTAAAGTCATCGAATATAGAGGCGTTGATAGTTGCAAGGGCGAAGTTTCCAATCGACGTGGTGCGCCAGTGACCAATGTCGAAGGGCTGCGGCAGACAGCGGACATCAGTTAGCAGTTCAATAGTGTAGTCTCGGTATCCGAGGGAATTGTTCCAGGACAAGTATCCGGCACAGGCCTGCTGTTCAATCACATAGACACTAGTGTACCTTTCTTTGGTTGGCTTCGATGATTCGTTATCATGATAGTAGCCCGCTATGGCAATCATAGTGTGATTATCCGTATATAACTACAATTATTAGAGTTTGGTCTATACGATGCCTGCTGAATTTGAGGGCGCCCCTGAGATTATCATTGAGTTCGAATGAGACGTAAACCTGGTTCGAGACCAATAAGAGGCTTTTGCGTCAAACATCAGACAAATAATCAGAACGTAGAACCCTATTGTATACACATGTTTAATCTAATTCAGCCATTATCAATTTGCAATTCAAGAAAACCCTTCGCTTAGAAGTATCACGCAAGTAAGCCTCCTATAATCAAAGCGGCAAGAGTTATAATGAAAGCAGCCGATCCAGGCTGTAGAGAGGCGGAATCGTTATCATCATCGTCATTGCCAGCGCCGGATTCAGATCCATTCCCTCCACTCGAACCTGATCCGCTCTCCTGGCTCAACACAAAGACCTCGCCCGTCTTGTCGGAACTGAACCACAGCCGGCCTTTAGAGTCCCATGCCAGACCAACGGGGCGGAAGCAGTCATCCGGACATTTTGAGAGATCTTTGTTATAGATGATGGGTGTAGTGGCGTTTGTACTTCGTGAAGAAGATGCAGGGCGGCCGTTTTGGAAATCTACGTACGAGACTTTGTAGCCCACTGGCGGATTACGGTTCCCTAAGGGTTTCAGAAGTGGACTGGGTCAGGGGTCAGGCAAGGGGAGCTTACAGCTTCCGTGGAAAGATATATAGGCTCTTGTGCCATTCTCGTTGAACTTCAGGTCTAGAGGCGCGGTATGGGCTTGGAATGCAAGTACTGGGGCAATATAGTCGGATTTGCATTCCGCGTCAGTAAGGGCGGTAGCTTTATCACCGTCAGCCTGACGATCAGCTGGGAATTGATCGCCTATTTTGAGGTCGCCGAGACTAGGGAAGTCATTTGTAGACCAGAGTGTATAGCAAAGAGGGTAGCCGTAGTTACCACCCTGATCATCAGAGCCGTTAAGATAGCCGTGGAAGTTCATCTCCTCGCCTGGGTTGTCCTCGTGGATATCTTTGCCGTCACGATGTAGATTATCAGCGGAATTCTCAACGCTGAAAATGCCGCCTGTCTCAGGATGCTCTGCTACGCCGACAGAATTGCGCAGACCCCAACCGATAATCACGCCATCGAGGTAATCGTAAGGTTTTCTATCGGAATTGCTGCTGAAAGACGAGATGTTAAAGGCGCGAATCTGAGAGCGCCCAGAGTCACGATCTTCAGCCCCTGCGTCATCATTCCCATCGCTGCCGCGGGACACGAGCAGCATATCTGGATGTTTCTGCGAGATAAGCAGGGTTCGTGAGGTGTGACCGCCATTAGTCATATTGGAGACTAGAGTCTGGACGGAAGAGTTTCTGAGGGTCACTTTAGACGGGTCATAGGGCCAGGCAAAGACCTCATCGGATGTAGAAGCGTAGAGTGTACGTCCATCTTTGGAGAGGGCGATGCCATGGTTTAGCTAGTACAGTATATTACTTAGTTGAGGTCAAGAGATGGAAGGTCCAGGATCTGAGTAGCTTACATTATCCTTCTTTAGCAGAGTGGTCTTCTTTCTGACTTGCAAGCAGGTTCCTCCTTCATCATCGAGTTCGAAATGGATTATACCATTTCCAGGGTCTATAACAATGAGAGCACCCTCGCTATCGAATAAAATACCTCGAGGTCGTCTGAGCTCATTGGCAATAATACCGTAGCTCCAGTTGTCTTCGGTAACGGGTGCAGGATAAGAGGTTTTGAGGGTCTTGAAGTTACATTGTTGGCCTGAAGCGATGACGATAAGGAGCGTTATGGTGACGAGGAGGAGGATGGACGCCATCGCAAAACGCGGGGTATGAACGACGTCGGGATCAAAAGGTGGATTAGACCAGGGTTGATGGATGTAACCGAACTATGGGGATGTTGATAGGACTATATATATACCCCGGGTATGGGTATTGAAAAGCGTGAAGTATAAATGAGGATTAAACAGGATGATGGAGGAAATAGTTGGAACAAATGACTAAAGTCGGAAGCGGTCATTAACGACCTTGGCCAAGAAAGTTGCATGACTTCATCATCCAATGAGACAGAAGACAGGGGCCCAGAAATTTTAGGCTAAAGCAGGCCGATCCTGGCAACTGCTGCCAACTAACTTACCCTAGATCCTCTACATCAAATAGTTGGGGGAAGCCAACGGCAAGTCCCCTCTGGAAGGCATCATCTGGGGATGCGGCCATGAAAACATGCGCTATGCCGAAAAGACTTTCTGTTTAACATATCTATAGTATAAGTACTAATTTTGCAGACTCTTAATTTAACATGCATGATTGTACCAGAACCCCTCAGCATACATACGTTACAAGTAGTCCGAAAGTGCGGTATAATGTCTTGGATGTAAGTTGACATTTGTGGCTGCAAGTACATAAATAAATCACTTGCAGGTTAAAGATACTTCCTTGAAGTGTTTAAACAGATGAAGGCTAGGGGACAAAACTAGGCCATTTAAGATGGCTATAACTTATCTCTTGATAGTCCGTCTAATTTTAAACTGGTTTGCCGGTGTCAGGAATGCACCAATGAGCGGAATGTGGTCACTACGTTACAAAAAAAGTCGAATCTCCCTCTTCCCTCCAGCAGGCTCAAGAAATTATGCCAAGAAAATCATGAGTGCAGGCGTCTGTAGCCTCGCCTGAACCCGCTTCCATACTGGCGGCTTCTGGAGACGTTCAGGCAATCCATTACAGCAACAAGTAATTGAAATCAAGAGGGGGGGGGGGGTGTAAACCCTACAATCCCGAGCTCGAGGAATAATGAGATTGTGATCTTCTCAGAACTTTCGAGAAAGGTAGGGCCTACAGATCTGTGCTTTACATATCAGCTTATCGAGTTCTGGTTCGCAAACGCCCTGGAATTGGAGAGTTTACGATGCCCTGCAAACGAGGGGGGGCTAATAGATAATGTATAAACAGAATGATTAAGTAACGCTGATGGGTTTAAGCTAGGCATATTACATCTACAGACTAGCTGGTTTTTGTAAATTGATCTGACAGGTTTCTAGTCAGTTGATACAGTACTCCAGGGTGATTCTAGACTTTGGCGGCCATCTCCGCCATTTGACCCTTAGTCTCGAATAACTCAAATTGCTGGCCGAACTGGCCATAAACAAAATAATACGGAAGTTTGTTTCAGCTTCCAGGTGGAGTGAAACCATCCCGCATCAGGAAGCAGGAAAAAAAGTCCCTTGTCTGGTTCCCCACGGCACCTATTCCGATGCCGTGGTAGCCGGATTCTGGGCGGGTCATTGATAAGTAGCCCCATCGGGCGATGGATCTGGCAGGCACTGAGTGGCTGCAGCCAATGCCGACGTTCCTGAGTTATAGCGTGTACAGCATCTCGCACATACTGCGCACACAATACTCGCGCGTTGCACGCGCATCGCACACAACATCCTGGTATAGCACTGATAAGTAACGCTTATCGTCGCTTGGAGGTCTGACAACGACCAATAACAGGCACGATGTGACAGCAAAATGGGAATGGAAACAAGGCCAGTGGTATCGTACCCCACAAACGAGTGCGATAACTAGGTGGGCACGGGAGAAGCGGCAACTGCTATCAGTCAAATCTTCAATTATGCGAACCAATGTGGGGTTCCCAGGATCTAGAAATACAGTATTAGAGCCTGTTCGCTTTGCGTCTCTCGATGTCCATTTTACCTTGTGGCCTGTGTCCTTTCACCTCATCCACGTCTCCAGCTGTCGCCCATCTCTGGTCAATCCGGATTCCTACAAAGCCAAGGACTCAGGCAGACATGGCAGCTTACAATGAGAAGCTCAAGGGCGGGGACCACGAGCTGTCCCTCGAGTCAGGCAGCGGCGACATTCCGGCGGTCGAAGACTTCACTTCATCATCTGACTACAAACCCGGCGTCTTAGCAAGCCTCCGCCGCTTCGAGGCTCGCATGGACAAGGCTCTAGGGGTCGAGTCTGAGGCCATCGTACGCAAAACAGAAAAGGACAAACGACCTGTACCATGGCACGAGGAGCTCAACATGGCCCTGATTTGGGCCTCGGGTACTATGGGCATAAGCTGTTTCGCCACTGGGTTCCTGGGTTGGGAGTTCGGCCTGAGCTTGAAGCAGAGTCTGCTCATTTACGTCTTTGCCTCTATCCTTGGTGGTTCGGTGTCCTCGTACTGCGCTACCTTTGGTGCGGCAACCGGCCTACGTCAGGTTTCCGTCTCCCGTTACAGCTTCGGTTGGTATCCCAACAAGATCATTGCGTTCCTCAACGGTATTGAACAGCTGGGTTGGGCTTCTGTTGCCACCATCAGTGGTGGCCTGGCCCTTACCGCTGTCGCGGACGGCCACATATCTCTCGTTGTCGGCGTTATCATCATCGCCCTGGTTTCGCTCGCCATCAGCTTTTTGGGTCTCAAATACATCCTGATCTACGAGCGCTATGCCTGGTGCATTTACTTCATCGTGTTCATGATCATCTTCGGCATGGTGGGACCGTACGCTGATAGCAAGACCCCTGCCTCTAGTTCAGGCATAGATCTCTCGGGCAACGTGCTTTCTCTGATTGCCATCGTTTACGGCAGCTCCGCATCGTGGGCGACTATGGCTTCAGACTACTATGCGCACTACCCAGCCAACACATCAAGGCTGAAAGTTTGGCTCTTGACTACTGCCGGTATTGGTATCCCTACAGCGATCGGCATGACTGCAGGAGCTACGGTTGCCAGTGCGCTCAACAATGTCGACGCCTGGAAGGCCGCATACATAGACCCTCACCAGGGTCTTGGCTTCCTCATCAGAGACATGCTGCATCCTCGAGGCTTCGCCAAGTTGCTTCTCGTTCTGCTATCCTTCAGCGGCATCAACACCAACATCATGTCCCTCTACTCATCGGCCATTTCATTCCAACAGATGGCCACCCCGTGTGCCAAAGTTCCTCGGTTTGTCTGGACACTTGGTAATTTCGTAATTGTCATAGTTCTGGCTATCGTTGGTCGTCAAAAACTCAACACATATTTGCAGGACTTCCTGAGCCTCCTGGGTTATTGGTGCACCAGCTACTTCGTCATCCTTTTCGAGGAACACACCATCTTCCGCAAGCGTGACTTCGCCAACTACGATCTTGAGGGCTGGAACGAACGGAAGAGGCTGCCACATGGCATCGCTGCCTCCGTTGCCTTTCTTTTGGGTGTTGTTGCGTGGTGCATGGGAATGGTTGAGACCTGGTTCACCGGACCACTTGGCAAGTTGATTGGAACATACGGAGGCGATGTTGCAAATGAGTTAACCTTTGTGGTCACCGCGATCGTGTACCCAGTTGCTCGGTATTTGGAACTAAAGTACTTCGGCAAGTAGATTAAAGTTCTCACCTTAAAAGGGACTGACATGTGTCCTCTCTGCTTGACTTGCTATTGATTTGCGCAAAGATACTGGTCTTGATGAGATGTTACCCCCTGGATCATTATCGCGATACTCGGTGCTAGAGATGTCAGCCTTGTTCAAAGTCAACAACCCAATCTCCGTAGCGTGGTTAGCTGATATAACCCATTCCGCTGGGACCAGCCAATTGGAGGTCGCGCCTAATTGGTAGTTTAGCCCCAACCCAACTACCAGAGTCCAATAATTTGCGATCGCGGGGTTTTATTCTCTCCCTGCATGCCTGACTTGATTCTATTGGAGCGCAGTTAAAGGAAGATGATATGAGAGTGTAGCTAGGTGTAAAGTGACCTTGCATAAGCCATTCGTCCTACCTCTGTGCTATAAATACAAATAGATGTTCCATCGCTGTTCTGATCAAAGTCAATTTCCTTTACCTTGTACGAAGGCACCTCGCTCTCTGAGTACCACTTCAGGAAACTCCTTGATTTTTAAATCTCATCAGCATGTTTTACCGAGCCAAATTCCAACCTGGAGACAAGTTTATCCACGGGATATATGGCATTCAATAACATGACCAAAGCCCAAGCGGCCGGCAGCTGGATCTCATTCAAAAGTTCGACAAGCTCATCACTGGACAGGTTCACCTTGATCGCATCACAGTCCCAGGTGCTAATGAGATGAGCACCCAGATCTGGCTCTCTTATTGGTGGCCAGAATCCCATGCAAAGTGGTGGTCATCGCCTGTTGTGAAAGAGTTTTGGGATGAATTCCCAGCAGACGCAGGCATGTGGAGAGAGATCCTTACAGCTACTGCCAATCGAGTGCAAAACATGTGCACTGCTGAGTTGAAAAACGGAATGAATGGTGTTGGAGAGATGGAGCCATTTGGTGACAAGATCGGATATTGGGGCTGCGTTCGGCATCGTATACCGGACATGAGTTTGGGTGACACGTTGGCGGCGGCGGCACTCGCTCGCTTCGAAAAGCAAAAGACAGAACCTGAGCCCATTAAAGATGATGATGAGATAGATTCCGGGAGTGGCAGCGAATTTGAGGATAAGCCTGGGGAAGATTCTAAGGATGCTATTAATATTAATGGTAAGAAACTGCTTAATAGGCAAGGCTGCGGCATAGTTAAAGTCTGTGAAGACGAGGATGCAGATAATCCTGAATCTAGAGATAAGAGTCAGGAACTTTAAAGAATAATTAGGGGCATTAAGAGGGAGTTACCTAAGCTACAGGTTATAGAACTACCTTAAGAACCTAGGTATTAATTTCTTAATATCTAGCCATTGCCATCAGCACCACCTGCCAGTACTATCAAGGCAGAACCTACCAAAGAATCTAAACAGCCTAAGGTACTAACGACATTAAGACCTATCAACCCGGCAAACAATGCAAAAGCCATAAACGAATCCCAAGTCTCACCCCCTCAAGGTCCAGTTCAGCCAGTCACCTCGACGAGCTATCAGGCCTCTTCGTTGGAGGAGATGCCTCCACGAGTGCCAGAGACAACAACTATTCGTCCTGGTAGAACAACTGTCACCAACCTACCGGACAACATCTGCTTTCTAGTCGAAGGCCAAGACCATGCGGGCATGTCTGCTGAAGAGAAGGCCTTGTGGTTCGAAGAGTTCGACGCGCTAGTTACTGGCTGGATGCGCTACCTAGTAGAGGATACCACTGCCAACGGACTCTTCGATGTGCGGATGGGTCATGTCTCAGACTATGGAACGTTCAAAACTGGGACCCCAATCAACTTGAACCATAACAGGAAGATCGAGATGTTTTACTGGCAGGACATGAGCAAGTTTGACCGGGTCGGCAGAATTCACAAAGGCCACGTCAAGCTTGGAAAGCGGTGGATGGAGATTTATGGGCCTGGTGGAGAGATGGGTGATAGTAAAGGCCAAAATAATAGTAGGTAATTAGGGATAAAGGTAGATATTAGAAATAAGCCTAATATACTTAATTAAGATAATAAAGTGCTTTTTTGGAGATTTTTTATTTAATTAGATATTTGTAAAAAGGCATAAATAATAGTAGATAATTAGAAATAAAGGCAAGATACTAGATCAGCTTTACATAAGAATAAATATCTGCTGGACTGGGGTGGAACGTCCTAGGATATCAAACAGCCTGAAATAGAATAAGTTAGGATGGAGCATACACTAGGAGATCACGTACTAGCCCAGATTTTAGGCTAGTACCTATCTCATATGAGGTGCGACGTATTTAAAGGTCCTAAAATCCCGACACGAATCTGGAGCGGTTTTGGGGACCCCAAACATGTCCCAAGCTCCGACCTCCCTAGCCTAAGCTCAGCGGTAGCTCGCGGTTTGTGCAAATGGCTAAGCCGACGTACATGTATGAGAGGGCTTTAGGCCCAAGCCAACCAGAGGTGCGGATTGTGTCAATTTTGCCAGGTCCGCAGTCAAGCACGGTCAAATTCCGCCTTGAGACGGTCTCTTTAGCCCATGAGCCAACATTTACGTGTCTTTCTTAGACGTGGGGAGATCCATGCAATCTTTCGACGATCGAATTAAACGAGCATCCCTTCTCCGTCACCAAAAATCTTGCGATTGCTTTGCGTCACTTGCGAGACGAATGTCAGGTTGTCGTAATCTGGGCCGATGCAATATGCATAAACCAGCAGGACCTTGACGAGAAAGCTACCCAAGTACCCCGGATGACAGAAATCTACAACAAATCGAAGAAGGTTATTATTTGGCTTGGAGAGGAAGCCGAGGACAGCTGTTACGCGATGAACTTTATCCATGGTATCGATCGCCGCTTGGCTTCTAGGGCTCCTCGGCTACGAGAAGACTATCTTGCGATGGCGCAAGCTTTTGACGATAGAGCCTTGCGAGCGATAAATCGGCTACTCCAACGACCTTGGTGGAGCCGAGCCTGGATCATCCAAGAAGCAACATGCGACAATGAAACCTTTGTTAGGTGTGGCAGAGATGTAACCGATTTCACAGCATTTGTGGCGACCATCAATTGCCTGGTATATTACGTCGTACGACTCTCTTTGCGAGGTCATGGTATTCTAGACACTCGGTAGCTGCAAAGGGTCATAGCGTTAGACCAGCTCAGGGAGCAGCGAGGGCAGTCAAAATATCGCCCATGCCTGCTGGACATGCTGGACACTTTCCGTACGTGTGAAGCATCTGACCCGCGCGACAAAATCTTCGCTCTATCAGCGTTAGTTACCGGGAGGGGAAAAGAAGCAGCGACTCCAGATTATTCGATCTCCGTTGATCAGGCTTACAGCAAATTTGCGTATCTCTTCATTCTGTCAGAACGAACTCTAGGCATTCTAGGACACTGCCAAGTCGCGGTTCGAACTATTCACTCTTGGTCATCGTTCAAACTCATCACCCCTGATCTTATCCCCAAAAGCGTCCTGCCTTCTTGGGTTCCTGATTGGACCATGATGCTGGAAACAACGCCGTTTGAAAATTACCAAAAGCCAGGCGTCGACCAATCTGAAAGGGTGTATAACGCAACTGGGTCATTCCCTCCATCGGTTCACTTTACTGGGGGTCTTGGCACATTATTTGTCCGTGGCTTTACTTTTGATAGGATATTATTTATCAGCCCCGAAGCTTCTTCGGCACAGCTTACGACAATCAAGTCTTGGTACCTCTGGGTCGAAACCAAGTTTGGAAGCACCTATTTTACAGGCGAGTCGATTCGGGAAGCTTTCCTTCGCACTATCGTAGCAGACGTTAGCGTGTCGGAGGGGCGCTGTGTTAGAGGGGGTCAAGCAAAATGGCCGGTTCAAGATGAAGCGGGAAGCTTAGAAGGGTCGTTCGATTCGTAGTCACTCATTCGGATAGCAATTCATAGTCGGCGGTTTTTTGTTTCGGAAAAAGGCTATATGGGACTCGCTAGGTTTGATGCAATTATAGGAGACCAGATCTGCCTCCTTCACGGTAGATATGTACCGTTTATTCTGCGGCAAAAAGGAGAGATGCACCACCTTTTCAGGGGCGAATGCTATGTTCACGTCTTAATGGACGGAGAAGGAATAAGGTACCCAAGCATCTGGAAATATTTTGCTCTTTATTGATATAGTAGTTAATCATTTATCTTACTACTACAGCTAGAGCAGTTTAAATAACTCTATTAATATAAAATAATATAGTAAAATAATAATAAAAAAGACTTAACCGCTGTCCCCTAGCTTAATCATTAGTATAGGACGTAATGTCATAGACTAAACTCTAGGATAGCATATGATGTCCTGTTAAAAATATTAGTATAGTATGTAGTGTTCTAGAACATATAGTATTCTAGCACATTTTATACCTTAGCATATACGATATCCCAGTACACGACTCCTAAAAGACTCCAGGTTAAAAGACGATACATTTAGGAGACACTAAAAACGTAAATGTCTAGGTGCCGTTATGATATATTCGCCGTTAAGGGAGAGGTCGTTTAGGCAGAAAAGAACTCAGTTATATACTCGTCCAAGGACTGGCGCTCGGGAAGGCTAAAGTTTAGAGCCCCGACCCTAAAAGGAGGCCTCGGGATGTCTCCCATTTGAGGTTACTATGATTTCCTGGAAGAGCAGAGGGGAGCTGATGAAAGACTGAGCCGAAGCTGAGCAGGGGGGTGATGAGGGCCATAAAAGCGGCCACCCAGGATGACTAAGACCACATCTGAGTTTCGTCTCAGGATACCGAGGTATAATCTTGGTGTTTTAATGCTTTCGCAAGATAATCTCAGACTGGATTAGCGTCATCTTATAAAATAACCCGCCATTCAAAAGACACTGACAGAGAGAGCTAGTGAGTTTATTCGGTTGAGTTCCGCATCGCGAGATTGACGCCGAAAAGGCTAAAACAACAACACGTTGTCAGAATTTCCTAAAACGATGCAGAGTAACGAGCTCCGAGAAATCATACTCTAGCGCAATAGTTCCTGAGACAATAGCTCAGTGTGATTCGCTGGAAAGTCAGATAGTGGTGTTGTGAAGTGCGGGGTCCTGGTCTTATGATAACTGAAGGTAAGATGTTTGTGTGTATGAGCTTCCCCTCCTTGTAAAGTCGAGCCGAGGTTTGGACAAGGCTCAATAGTTTAGCTGCTAAGATGTAGAAATTCTTAGACGATGAGAAAGAATTGAGCATAGATGCAGAGGATTGTATTAAAGGGGAGGCAACTTGATAAATTATGATAAATAGATGCGATTGTCCCTTCAAAGTGAGTTCTTCATCTCACAAGCCTTTCAATCATTCCAACAACCCCGAGCAAGTCACAAGTACACCTCATTCCAATCATTGCCTCATTACAATCATGAAGTTCAACGCCATCCTCTCATTCTTCGCTGCAGCGTCAGTCGCTCTGCCCACTTCCAACCCTTCTTCTGAGCTTGAAGTCCGTCAAGCTGGAAGCATCACTCGCGATGATCTTTCCAACGGCGCTTCATCCGCTTGTCCCCCCGTCATTTTCATCTATGCTCGTGGCTCCACTGAGCTTGGGAACCTGGTAAGTTTTGTCTTTAATGATTTGGATCAAGTTGACTGATTTGATAGGGAACACTTGGTCCCCGGGTTGCCTCTGTGCTTGAGAGTTACTATGGAAACAACAAAGTCTGGATTCAGGGCGTGAGTAAATTCCCCTGGCAATAACAAAGTTCAACTCTGACTTCTCTGTTTACAGGTTGGTGGAGCATATCGTGCAACACTTGGAGATAATGCCCTTCCTCGAGGAACCTCTGCAGCAGCTATACGAGAGATGATTGGGCTTTTCAACCTTGCAAGCACAAAGTGCCCTTCTGCCAAGATTGTTGCTGGAGGGTACAGTCAAGGCGCTGCTCTTGCTGCAGCCAGTATCGAGGATCTCAGTACTACTGTCCGCAACAAGGTCGTCGGTACTGTGCTGTTCGGATACACCAAGAACCTACAGAATCTTGGTCGCATTCCAAACTACCCACGAGAGCGAACCCTTGTTTTCTGCAACGTTGGGGACTTGGTTTGCACTGGCTCCCTGATTGTTGCTGCTCCTCATCTGGCTTATCAATCTGATGCCTCCGGGCCTGCTCCTCAATTCCTCATCCAGCGCGTTGCTGCTACCTCTATCTAGTTGTGTTGGGCTTTGGTATGGAGCGAAGAAACAGTGCTTAGGATGGGGTACTTGGGCTCCCTGCGCAGTGACGGAAACTTTCGCTCTTTATTATGGTTTGTTTACTGTGTTATTGTTGCTGTTGTCGCTCTTTTGTTCTTCATTCTTTACTCCTTCAAGCAGTTAGTCTCTCTGGATTTTGGAAGCCAAAAACTCTTTTTGTTCCTCTCGATATGCGCTGTACTTTCTAGCTGAGTGACACGAGTAAGACGTCTCTAGATCTATGGCATGTGTAGCTACATGCATGACATTTCTTCATGTACCAAGCGTTCCTCGACTATTCATAATCCACGCCGTTCTTGAGAGTGCCGATATGAGTAATCTTGACTTCCATCTTCGTTCCAGGTACAAGGTATTTCGGTGGCTTCAATCCAGCACCAACACCTACACATTCAAGAGTCAGTTCATGTTCAGATTGTGATCCAGCATTAGAATGACTCACCTCCCGGAGTACCGGTCATGATAACACTCCCTTTCTGCAGCGTAGTTCCGGAGGAGAGATGTGCAATTAAACGAGGAATAGAAAAGACAAGATCGTCGAGTCTTGCGTCCTGTCGAACATCACTGTCGACGATTGTCTGTAAGTGAAGTAACTCAGGTGATGTTATCACAGAGCTTGAAACCAGCACGGGGCCTAGAGGCGCAAACGTATCGAAGCCCTTGGAAAATCCCCATTGCGGTACGCCACCAGCGAGGTTCGGGTCTCTCTGCCATTTTCGAGAGGAAATGTCGTTGCCTGCTGTATAAGCGGCGACGTAGTCGAGAGCCTCAGTCTCACCAACGTTCTTGGCATCCTTCCCAATGATTATGACCTAGTTGTCTTAGTATTGGTCTGTAACAGTTGGGTCTTTGGCATACCAGTTCTCCTTCGTAGTCGGCTTGGTCATCCTGCGCGATTTTGGGAATTATGACGTTAATTCCGTGGTCATGTATTGTTGTTGAAGGCTTGAAGAAGATGGATGGAAATGGCGGGGTCTTTCGTCCGGCTTCACGAACTATAGGTCAAATCGTCAATACGCTCATCGCAGTAACCCTTGTGTTTGCTGTTGTTTGAGAAGATGGTTCCTGGCATAATGATTACTCACTGTGTGTAGCATAGTTGAGTCCCACGCATCTGAGAATGGGTACATCGCTAGCTACCAGCGGGCCTAGCAAGGTCTTGACCGTAACCACTTCATCTGTAACACGCGTGACACCAGTTGTGTCATAAATGTCATCTCCCTCGATAACTCGAGCTTGAAGTTTCGTCTCCTCAGTCGTGTTTCCAAGATCAAAGTCGGGAGTCGGGAGGATGGGCTCTCCGCGCAGAAGACGCCCGTCAGTTGAGACGAATCGAATCAATCGTTGCCAAGCTACCTTCATTTCGAGTCTGAATGAAATTAATTACTTCTCGCTATAACTTTTCGACAACTGAACCTCACCGTACCAAGTATATGTCTGGCGTCGGTCCTGAGGGTTCGGCATCTTGGACCGCCCGTCCCGATGGTTCCCCGAAACTGAAGCTAGCATGCTCAAGTGGATACTGCGAAGCTGATCGAACCAATTGAGAGAGTTGCTTTTGAAGTAACGGATTGAAGTGCGTAACCTCGAACCCTGCAATCGTCAGAAGCGAGATGGAGACGGAGGAAACAGCGTCTTCCCAATTGGCTAGACAGACACAGCCCAAACCGAAGATGGAATTAAGTTTGGAAGAGCCGTGATCCCTAGTTTCCTCAATCAATATTTCTGGGGTAATGCGGAGACAATCGTTATCAACCTGGGTACAAAAATCGGCCCATCCCAATGTTGCCCCGATCAAGCTCCTTGTGCACCTCCAATCGTACCATTGACGAAACCACCATGTCTCCCCGAGAAGACTCTCCACCAGCCTCGGCCAAAAGCGGAACTTCTCAGCCACAAAGGGCAAACGCGTCGGAGCCCGCACCAAAGAGACGCCGAGTCGCTTTAGCTTGTTCGGCGTGCAGAATCCGCAAATCACGCGTAAGATTAATATCTAGCATCTTATTGGACAACTGGCTCATAATCTTCAGTGTAATGGGTTACGACCAAGATGTGACACGTGCGAGAAGCTTGGATTCGATTGTTCATATGAACAGCAAGAAACCTCAGCTAATCTTCTAGTCCCAAAAGAGTAAGGCGTCTCTATCCTCACCTCTCCACTACCCTAGACTCTCATGAATGTTCTATCTGACTTGAAGATATCCTCAGTATCTTTGCTGCATTGGAGGCCAAAGTCAAGCTTTTAGAAACAAATATCGAACAGCATAATGGTAGACTGAATTTGGTTGAGAGTACACTAAAAAACTCGGGAAGCTCACGTCAAGATGTTGTGCTTCCGCTTCATCATCAACCAGGTGACGTGGTGGTCAACATTGATGAGATGCGGGAGAGTAGTGTTGGCCAAAGTATGACTGATGGCATGGCTGTCTCTTTTGTAGACGAGCAAGACTGTGGTTTCTTCGGTAGGCCAAAACGGGTTGTCCCAGTCGACGTCCCTCTAACACTTGCACTTTACTAGGCCCGTCGTCCAACATCGCGCTCATGCGGCACATACTGCGAGCCGTCGATACAAAAAGGACACAGCACTGCAACCAAACTTCATTAACGCCAGCTTCAGAGTACAGTGCCTATGAAGGTGGTCTAGTGAGCAATTCGAACGCGTTCACGGCAGCCTCAAGTGAGTCCCATAAGGCGGGCGCCAATCTCCTACCACCAGATGAGGTCATGCAACGTCTCACCCGTGCCTACTTTGACAACACCGGGCTCTTGTTTCCGTATATACACGAACAAGAGTTTCTCGACACTTATGAGCGATTCCGAGCAAGCGGTTTCCGAGGTAATGTTCGCCGTACCTGGCTCGGCCTGCTGAATATGATTCTTGCAATGGCGACTTGTACCTCTTGCTGGGAGGACTCGGGAAGTGAGAGTCACTTTGAGGAGTCTGATGTCTATTACCGCAGGGCCCAAGAACTTTGCCAAACACAGATGTTTAGGGGTACTACTCTTGAAACAGGTAGAGAGCCACCTTCAAATGCCCCGAATCTTGGGACTAACAAGCTTCAGTCCAATATCTCTTACTTACGAGCCAATATCTTCAGGGCACGCATAAGTCTGTTCACACATGGACCATTCATGGTCTTGCTGTCAAAGCTGCCATGTCCATTGGACTTCACTCAAGAGACATTGCGTCCAAGTTTACTCCTCTCCAACAAGAAATACGAAAACGCACATGGTATGGCTGCATTTTGCTTGATAGGTCAGTAGTTTCGTACCTGTGATCATGCTGTCCTCGCAGTACTGGCAATATTTGGCAGATAATATGCTGTTCAACATGTTCATACTGACAAGTTCTTTCAGAAGCCTCAGCTTGACCTTTGGGCGCCCATGTGCTATACCAGAAGAGTACATTCGCTTGGACCTTCCGAAGGCATTACCAACAACGATGTCAGCTTCTGATGAAGTCCATCAGATGAGCACTGCGTTCTACAACGCCTCTATGTGAGACGCCATTGCATCCCGACTTTTCAACAACTGATCTGACTTGTCTAGAACTCTCTACAGAATTATGGGCAGAATAATTGGCTCTCTTTATGGCAATAACCTTGGATGTGAAGACCAATCGTCAGATACAGCCACAATGACATCTATGATTCAGTTCGGCCAGGAACTATCAGACTGGCAAAACGGTTTGCCTCAGCATATGGCTTTACGGTCTGTTGATAATATGCCCCAGAATACCGATGAGGATGTCAACGATCCATTACGCGAAAGGTTCAGAATCATTCTGACACTCAGATACCTCAACGTTCAACTGCTCCTTCATCGCCCAATTTTCATTCGGTCTTTAGGTACTCTGCTTAAAGGCTCTAAAACGCCATATCGCAACGCGGGATCCATTAACAGTATGCATGCCAACTTCGACAGAGTCTTCGTTCAAGTGGCCGAAAACATCATAGACATTATCTACGCCATATTGACGAGGCCTGATCATGGACGCCATCTGATCGGAGCCTGGTGGTTCACTCTCTACTATGGTGAGTAACCAACCCCGAGGGTTTTCTATGGTGGTCTGACTCATGAAATAGCCTTCAGTGCAGCTTTGGCGATCTTTGGTAGTCTGTTGATATCGCTCGATGCCGAGGCTGGAAATGCTGGCCGCCTTGAAAGCGCTAAACGATATCTTGGCAAGACTTGTGAAGCTCTTTTGAAACTCAGCGACCATAACGCTCTTGTTTTACGCTGCGTCAAATTTGTCCAGCAGCTGCTCCGGATTGTGAATGCTTGGGGTTAGTACTCCTATCGACTGCTTATCATCCTTCGCATTCACTGACTTCTTCGCAGATACAAACACCACCAAAACGGCGGAACCTAACGGAGAATCTCTGGAATCGTACTTGACGGCGGAAGGAGGTGCTATTAATTTTGACATTGAGTCCGATTTGCTATCAACTATGCCAACATGGGAGACATCAACGCTCGGTTTTGGCGATGAGCTTGAGCTGGGTCATTTCTTTGCTAGCGATTCCCAACGGTGGTTTGAACAGACACAATGGTAATTCCGATATGTTGGTGTCACAAGAGTCCCTATGACGTAAAATGGTAGAACGCGTAGCGCGTCATATGATGGGCCTCTTTGGGACAATGATAACAGTTACCGCAATTGACTGTCAATGTCTCCGCAGTCGTGTCTGGTAGAAGGGTTAATGAGAATTGTTACCACAAGTATCCGTAGAATTATCGGATCTGAGACTCGGCAGTTGGTAGGTACTTGATGAACTCGGCGGTTGACGAGATGTGCGAGAACCGCTTAGTCAGCGGACTTCGCGTTTCCCCACGGGGAACTATCGGTACGAAATCGCAGCAATTTACGGATACGCCATAACTGGTATACAAGTAATTGAGGGCGTTAATAGAGGCAATGGTTATAGATTATAAACTTCTGGAAGAATATTCTATTCACAAGATCAACTACCAGACTTATTCTACTCTATTCTTCTTATCAATCATGTCTAAAGAAATCTCCCCTGGCGGCTATCACTGGATCTCCGATGCCATTAATAGCTTCGATCCAGAGACCGACTATGAAATTATGTGGCGACTCATGTCATGCTACAGATCCTCCGATTTCATGAACAACATGATATACGCCCTTACGTTTCCCAATTTCATCATCACAACCCACGGAGCCGAGACTGTCTGGCGCTCAGATGGTGGCAAGGTTGTCAAGCGTGGAGCTCAGCGTGTTGAAGACACCGAAAACTACAACATGACGTGGTGGCACTATGGGCCTAGCGACAAACGATGTCGAGATGCAGTGGACCATATCAACAACCTTCATGCATCTCTGGCTCGTCGCTACCCTGGCAACTTCTCGTATAACGAAGATTTTCTATACGTCACGACTTTCAGTGCCGTACTGATGCACCGTCTTCGCCTTCGGTTGGGACTATCAGGCTTCACTGAGAAAGAGAAGATTGCTGCTCACCACTTTTGGCGGGACATGACGCCACTCTTCATCAAAGAGGATGGCAAACCTGTTCACGGATACCCTGAAGACTTTGAGGGTTGCATCCAGTTTTGCGAAGACTACGAAAATGAGGCACGCGAATTTGATGTGAGAATGCAATACATTGGCTTGGCAATAATGAATCAGTTCGCTTTCCGGTACTTTCCCCACGGCCTTCGGTGGCTAGGAGTGTCCATAGTGAAAGCTCTTACGCTGCCAACAACTCTCAAGGCGATGCGGATCGAACCCATTAATCCTGTCTTTCAGTGGTTAATTGTCCTTGTGGTTGGAACCGCAATGAGCTTTGCAGAGACGTTTTTACCAGACCCACGTGAGTCGTTTTGGAAGAGAATTGAGACATTGGATGTAGAGCAGGCGAAGGCGAGAAAAGATGATATCAGGGGAAGTGATCAAGCGTATTGCAAGTATATCAGATCTGAGTGGAGTGGCCCTGGGTGCCCCTTTTCCATGAAAGCTGAATAGTCGAAAGAGGAGTCACAGGTAGGATAGTGAACTTTCATACTGAGACATAGATAAGGTTCAACAACTGAGATTTAATGCCTTTAATTACTAGATGATATTGCCTTACTAGACATCTACCATGGGTTCTTAGATGCCCAATAGATAATCTAGTGACTGTCTTAGGTGAATGTCCTTCTGCCCATCCAAAGACCGAGACTCTAGGAGCTCATGCTCTGTATTCCGAGGGGCTGAATTCAGCCTCTCTACATCGTTGCAGAGACACAAAGGAAAATCTCTACCCTCTGGCAACTTTCTCCGACTAACGCACATGTCTACTGTCCACACAAGTCCCAGATATGCCTCTGGATGTCTCACAAGGATATCAACCCAGTCCTTCATAGTTTCTTGACCTGACTGCAATGAAAGCTTGTCAAATGACTTGGCCAGCTTGGCAACGTGTTCTGCTGCTTCCTTCACCCACTGAGAGCCATAGTACTGAGCCAAGAAAGTGTCGGCTGCATCTACCACGACTTCGAGGTGTCTCTGCATGGGCTCCAGACCAAAAAGGGGCCATTCTTCGATATGACTCGAGGCCAACTCGCCATCATAAGACAGGCTTGTATTGATATGATGTAACGAAAGGGGAATCGCAAGGCAGCCCATCCTTCATCACGATCCAGTCAGCACACACACCGAAAGATGGCCAGAGGGAAGAGGTGAGCTGACTTACACTGTGATGGGAAGATACTTCGCCAAGTGAGATCTTATTAATGACCCAATACATTTTGATAGACCCAGAACAGAGTCTTCGATATCTCCACGAATCTCGGTACTTCTGTTGCCATATTGATAATCCACACGGTGAAAGCCGGGACTCCCTGTTCCTGAAATCTGTGCGAAGATTCTGCGATTGCAAAGAGCTATGCAAGACGTGCTAGATGATATCAGGCTATATACCATAGAGAATTGGGGTTCCAGAACGTACTGGTAGTAGATATACATGAGATTTGTATGTACTGCGACGGAGTTGGTGGCTTCGCCCTCCTCGGCCGTGTTGACTTGATGCACGGGAGAAAACTCGGCCATGGCTGTCTCGTACCACTCCTCAAGAAGATCACAAGACTTTCTGATGTTCTCTTCTTCCTGCGCCGAGAAGTCTGAACTTGACTCCAGCCGTGTCTCAAAAGGGTATGCAACCGGAATAAGCTCTGTCAACAACATCAATAGACTCAAGTTCTTGGAAAACAGGGCTATTAGTTGGCGTTTAGCCGTAGGTGAGAAAACATTTGATCGATGTATCTCGCTTTGCAAATCGCCGAAGCCCAACGGCAGGGAGTTCTCCATATCAAGCATATCAGGCGTGATCTGTAAACGGAAGCGACAAGTAAGAGACGATAGCCTGTCACAGATAATGCAGCACCACCAAAGTCTTGGAAGTATTCTGGACCGTGGCTCATTTGCTGTTGTTACAACGTCGCAGATTCCTGCATGACGGTGGGCGTTAATGAGCTTGGCATGATGGATCCCCAGGCTTAACCAAGTTCTGTATGGCACAGGCGAAGTTGTCGCAGGCGATTCAGGAACCCAATTCATGAGCATTAATGCGGCCTGAGCAAGTGGTAGATGAGCTCTCTCAGCCTCCATATCAAACACAAGCTTTGCACTGTTTACTATAACTGTGAGACTGTAGTTTAGATGTTGGATAACTCACATTTGCTTTTCGATATAGATCAGCCCTCGCGGAACAAATATCGTAATATCCAAGTTGGCGCAGAACAGGAAGAGGAACAAACTGTATGTGATAGTTAGTAAGTAACTCCACGAAGACAAATAAAGGAACTTTGAACGGAACATACAGTACTACTAGCAAACAGCATAGCCCGAAGAACGAGAAGAGACATGGTGGCTCTTGGTGAATCGTTTAAGGTTAAAGAGAACATTTCCCAGAACTCTCCCTCGTCAATCAGAGGGATAAATACGTGGACATATGTAAAGTACGTCTTCATAAACACGTCCAGGATCAGGGGATTCGGGACATGTAAGCACCCCTGAGCTTCCAGATAACTGACATCTTGATAAGGAATTGCGTGAAGGTTCCCAACTGTCAGAAACTGGAAGTAGGAGTATAAAACAAGTCCATCCTGTGCTAGCGGTGTCATTAGGTGATCCTGTATTCTGCTGAAAGATATTCCCTGTCTTTATCAGAAATCGGATTTAGCGTATAAACTCACAAATCTACTCACCGACAGGATCTGCATGAGAATGATTCTCAGTGGGCATGCAGGAGCTCCAGCTGTCGTAAGCCGCAGAATCGGGGATAGAGGCAAAGTCCAAAGAGTCCATCTGCCAATTTTGCCATGTTTCTCCAGCGCTCACTGGCTGTAACGGGCAATTTGAGCTGGTCAGTTGAGGCAGCGATATCTGGCTATCCAGACTGAGTGATCCAGCCGCGTTTGGTGTGAATTCGCTGCTTCGGGTGTCGGCTGCATTAATCGTCTTCCGTAATGCTCTTCTTTCGGAAGCATTCCGATTCCTACCAAAGACTTGTCAATGAATTGAAAACAAAAGCGGGAAAGAAGCGTACGACTCACCTAACAGCTGGCGCTTGAGATATCTGGCATTCTTTATCGTCCAAAGAGCAATTCGTGCATGGCTGGCCATGTACTGACACGTCGCATCGGACTTTTCTTGACCGACAAATGAGACACGCCTGCAACGAGCGCTTGTGAAGGGCTTTAGACCGGGTCATAGGTTTCGAGGCTGGAGCCAATGATACTGGAAATCCTTATATTGAAAGTTTGAGAGGGAAGCGGAAGGGTATGATGAGGTTACTGTAAGATTGCGGGGAAGGCCACTCAAAAACTGGTTAGTTACTTTTCGATACTGTACTCCGTACAGACGGACAGAATAGAAGTTCCGTAATCTCCGACGAATTATAGGGTCCCCACGACCCGAAACTCAAAATGTTTCTTAATAAACCATTCCCTTGTCGGCTCGGATACGAATTCGTTCTCCGGCAGTCTCGGGGGTACTGTGCGGTGTTTCATGCATAAGGTAAAAGAGTGCTCTATTTAAATTTACTCGGTCTCATACTCTATATAAAGCCTTAGCTAGTCTTTGTACCACTAAAAGATGCTCTTCAGAAACTCCAGTTGAACATCAACAGCCTCCTGAAACCTCTTGCCATAGTACAGATCGAAATGGCCAGCTCCCTTGACAACATTGAGTGTCTTGGGATGCAATGCTTTCTCAAAAGCCTCTAGCTGCAAATGCGCATATGTACACACGTCGTCATCCGCCACAATCATGAGTAGTGGTGTCGGCGAGATATGATGAATAACTCCCGTTGGCTCATGCATGATCGTGTTGACCATACTTTGAAGAGTCGAGCTGTTGTAACCCACGCTAACAGAGCAGGCTTAACCAGCACAGGAGGAAAGGTCTATCCATAACGGTGGAGTAGAATATAAGGAAGACGTAAGGACCATTCGGATCTTAACAAGTCAAACGTCAACTACCGTAGTGTCAATGTAGTCTTATAGCTATGCACCTTCGCTCTTCCAGAGCTCTTCAATGGCATCCTCGGCATCATACCCATAGGCCCAAATCTGAGTTACAGGATCGCTCCACTGATTTGTGCTCTCAACAAATGGCCGCCCCTCCACCTCAGCTCTCATTCCAAGGTCTCTAGCCTGTTGGAGAGGGCCATCTGGAAAGTGCCATAGCTTACCATTCACCAAGCTCGCAGATTGCATACCATAACTTCGACTCATTCTTTCCTTCTCAAAGACATGCAAAGCAGTTGCAAGTTGGTCTTTGTACTTGATTTTTGAGATGGCTGTAGCTAGAGCAGCTCCGTCTTCTACGGCCATGGCTGCACCTTGAGACATGTATGGCACCATGGCGTGGGCAGCGTCTCCAAGTATCAGTAGCTTCTGACTCCTCGAGATCCAAGTTTGGAGACGGCTACCGCTCATCAACGGCCATTTGAGTGTGTTCTTGATCATTTTGATCACCTTGAACAACCTAAAATGTTCAGCAAGAGCTGGTAGCTTCATAAAGGACATAACCCACTTTGGATCCCAGTCTTGGAACGAGTCTTGCATATCGCGGATTGCATTCTCAGCATTCCATGTGCTAGGTGATGAGTGGTCTACATGAGATAAGACCATGTTGAAAGAGTTGCCTCCAGCGATAGAGTACGTCATGACGTGGCGGTCTTCCCCGATCCTTACATCGTTAACGTTAGGTGACATGCTAGAGAGACCTCAAACGTACCAGATATTGATTCCAGGCTTCTCAAGTAACCAAGCTGTGTCCTCATCACGCTTCATCTCCTCTGTGCTGACTGTGGCACGATAGGCAGCAAACCCAGTCTTTTGAGGTGGTAGGTCTGGACCACCGAGAACAACTGATCGAGCTTGGGACTTGACGCCGTCTGCAGCAATGATCAAGTCGGCACTGTATTCACGACCATCAGTAGTCTTGGCCGATGGAATTGTCTCATCGTAGTCAGTGACCCTGCTGTCAGTCACGATCTTCACTCCAAGGTCCTCTGCACAGCGACAAAGGGCACGATGGAAGTCGGCGCGGTGAATTACAAAGTAAGGTGCTCCGTATCTGGTTTCAAAGTCTGGGGAAAGCTTTGTAAAGGCGATCGCGTCACCGTTCTCCCACCTTCGAAATGTCATACTTTCTGGCTTTACTGCATATTCTTTGAGATATGGGCCGAGACCCCACTTCAAAAGTAATCTGGACGAATTCGAAGGGATCTGGATTCCTGCACCAACCTGAGAGTATACATCACGTCAATCATCTGTTGGGTGTTTTGGTAGTCAAGACGTACCTCGCCCAAGGCAGCCGCCTGTTCTAAGACGGTCACCTCGTGACCTTGACGAGCGAGTGCAACAGCAGTGGCTAGGCCGCCAAGTCCTGCACCGACAATCAAGATTTGCAGCTTGACCTCAGAGCCGGCAAAGTGACCATTTCCGTTAGCATGTTGGGCAGTGTGATGAATTCTCTCCAGAAGACTAGTGGATCGTGAAGGGTAAGCCACTGCCTATTAGAGTAAGACATTAAACTCGTTTCAATAGAGGTGAAAGCTAATACGTACCGGCTGAGTAATCTTGTTCTTCGCCATCGTCATTCTTGTCATATGTGTGTTTTCGACTCGTTAAACTGCTCCTCGAATGATCTGCTTGCAAATAAACTGTCAGCAATGCACAGACTAATTATGCAGTTTTGTATTGTGTATGGTAGCGCGACGATTGGATCTTGCGGGGTCGCTTCCCGATGGTGCCCCGAAGTCAATGCCACTGCTGCGTCTGGCCATTTACCAACAACAAGACTTGTGCCTTGATAATTATTGATTGATAAGCAAATCACTCATGCAGAAGTATAATTACGATATAACAGGTAGGGTCGTCAAGGAATCAGATTCACGGCCTTTGAATTAGAACGCGATCGACAGCACCCTGCCATAACTGCCATCAACCCAACCTCGCTCACTGCCAGAAATCCACGAGAGATTCTGCTAAATCAAAATGCCTTCTGCATCTGTTACAGCACCCAATGACCAGGCTCTTGGTGCCGTCACTTCGGCCAAGTCACTGCAAACGGCTGATGAGCTTGTTGAGGCCCTACAAGCAACCAACACAGCTCCTCTCTGGGCCCAGATGCAACGTCTGAACCCTCCGGCTCCAAACCCTCAAACCATTCCCTACGTCTGGTCCTATGATAAGATCAAACCGTATCTTCTCAAGGCTGGACAGCTTATTACTGAGAAGCAAGCTGAGCGTCGTGTCCTGATGCTTGGGAACCCTGCGAGAGGTGAGCCGTAAATCTCATATTATCCCCTCGTTCACTACTGACCTTTTCGACTTAGCCGCACCATATACTACTGACACTCTGTATGCTGGACTCCAGCTGGTGCAGCCCAAGGAAACAGCACCTGCGCACAGACACACCGCCTTCGCATGCAGGTTCATCATCGAAGGCACTGGCGGCTTCACTGCAGTTCACGGCAAGAGAGTTCCCATGAAGCCTCGAGACGTAATTGTCACGCCCACTTGGAACTGGCATGATCACGGCAAGAAGGGTGCTGATGAAGAAGGCGGAGATGATCAGCCAGTTATCTGGCTCGATGGACTTGACCTCCCGAGCTTCATCCACTTCCCTGTCCATTTTGTCGAACATCACACAGCTGCACGATACCCGGCTGAAGATTACGAAGAGTCTGATATTGTCTACCCATGGAGTATGATGCAGCCCAGGCTCGATGCTAGTCCTGATGAATGGGTCTCTGAGCCGTACCTGAAGCCTAGTGGGGCCGAAAGTAAGTGCGGATATTGACTACTCTTGAGCTAAAGGCTAATCTCATCACACAGTTGGCCGAATAATCGGTGCTTCAGCTGAGAGACTTAATCCAGGAGCAAAGTCACCCGAGATTCAAGAGACAAGCTCTGCTGTGTACCATGTTATTGAAGGCTCTGGTTCGACTCAAGTCGGAGACAAGGTCCTGGAGTGGAAGCAGGGTGATACGTTTTGCATTCCGACTTGGCACAAGTATCAGCATCATGCAGATACCAAGAAAAAGGTTTATCTTTACAGATTTGACGATAAGCCGATGCTCAGGGCTTTAGGCTTCTACCGGGTGGCGGGAGTTGATGTTGAGACTTATGTCTCTGATTGAGAGGTTAAATAGTCTTCTTTTCAGAAATGTCAAGAAGGGGAACGGGATCGGAATTGGAATGTTATGGGCCTTTCACAAAACACTCATTGAATTAAACACCAGGTATCTCGAGATCACAATAAAGTTATATACTCAAGCCATGCTATGATGCTCCTCAATACGACTGTATATATTATCAACCTTTACACATGAAACCTTTAGTTAACAATAGACTACTGTGAGATTGGTTTGGAAACACGTTTTCCATTCAAAACCTCATTATCTCTATTGATGAAAGTCAACCTAAGCTACATATCTGATGTAACTAACTACTTGTCTCGACTGGGAATCCAACCCCTACCTTACCGTAGTTATAACTCACCTCTGTGATAGCTGGTTCAATTGTTTGATCATTAAATAACCACTATAGCCGCATCAGCAAGGACTCTAGTATGCCTTTGACAGTTGGGGATCCGATGTTTAACCCTATTGCTTGAAGAACGGGTGGCAACCCGATGTTCCCCCTAACCCCGGATACCGCTGAGTATCGCATTCAAGTCCGGAACTACCGATTAAGGTTATTTCTCATGCTCCTGTCAAGCACTGTCATTGCTAAATTACAAGTAATCTGATATTGCGCCATGTTATCACTTAACTTTCCGATATCGCTTTCCTCTTTTGTTGGTCGCCTCAAGCTCTTTCAGAGAAGATGACAGATTCAATCATTAACCAGCCTGCTCTTTACAATGGATCACAAGGTTATCGTGTTCCACTGCTTATTAACGATACTCCAATCTTGAGTGAATATGATACTTCACGACATCACTCATTTCAAGGAGGGTATTTCCAGGGCGCTGATATATCCAACTGCGCAGATGCTGTGTCGAGTTGCAGTAAAGCATTTCTGACTTGGTCGACAACTTCTCCAACCCACAGACGCAGTCTTCTCTTACGTCTCGTAGAGGTATTGAACCACTGTCACCATTATTAGTGCCATGGCTAACGAAACGAAAACGCAGGTACTGAAGAGCCACCAGGATGAAGTCCAAACCATCATGAAGTCCGAGATCTACTGCGATGATGAATGGGCATCCATCGGTATCAGTACCAGCATCGATTTAATAGAGCAGACTGCGTATCTGCTGACAGCGGGGAGCATGAGTGGCACCATCCCGTATACCAAACCCGAAGGATCATACGGTCTGGTGTTTACTCGTCCTTTGGGTGTAGTGCTGGGAATTGCTCCTTGGAACTCTCCCCTGTTCTTGGCCCTTCGAGCAATCATTGCCCCTTTGGCAACTGGAAACACTGTTATTCTCAAGGTGAGGATCCTGTTCCTGATGCCTGGTAATACCGAAGTTGGATACTAATCTCAACTAATGTCAGGGGTCTGAGCTTAGTCCTCGGACACATCACTTCGTCGCTGGGTTATTCGCAAAGGCTGGTTTTCCTCCAGGTGTCGTCAATTTTGTCCTCCACCGACCGGAAGACGCCCCTGAGATAGTTGGATATCTCATCCGAGACCCGGCTGTCAGAAAGGTCAACTTTACTGGCTCGACACAAGTGGGACGTAGTATTGCTCAGCAAGCTGGACAGGCTATCAAGCCGGTCTTGCTAGAGCTTGGTGGGAAGAACTGTTGCATTGTTCTGAAGGATGCAGACATCGGTCGTGCAGCAGGAGCAGCTCTTGCTGGAGCAACACTGAATGTGAGCTTACCTTCCGCTACTCCCGGTCACTGACTAATCAATATTGTGCGTCAAGGGTGGACAAATATGCATGTCTACAGATCTTGTCCTCGTGGAAAGGGATGTGGTAGACGAGTTTCGCGCAGAGCTTACAAAGCATCTGCGAAGCAGGAACGGGTCGGCATTTCGACTTGTGGGGCCTAAGAGCCAGTCGAGAGTTCAAGCTTTAATCTCGGATGCGGAAGCCAAGGGGTCTTCTGTAAAGTCTTCCGCGGGGCATCAGGTTGAGTCAAACCTAATACCAATCACAATCCTCGACCATATCCACAGCTCTATGGATTTCTTCCGGACAGAGACTTTCGGTCCCTGCCTTGGAATTGTCGCTGTTTCTAATGCAGACGAGGCGGTCAAAATTGTCAACGATAGTGATTATGGGTTGTCTGCTGCCATATGGACACGAAATCAGTATGCAGCATTGGAAATGGCGCGTCGTCTTCAAGTTGGAGCGGTACATATCAACTCTTCTACAGTTCATGACGAAGCGACCTTGCCTCATGGGGGAACTAAGCTGAGTGGATTTGGAAGGTTTGGTGCGGAATGGGGGTTGAAGGAATTTGTTGAGACGCAAACTGTTGTTATGCACGCATGAACAAATTACTTCGTTCTATCATTAGACTTGCATGTTATCCATTTGTACTCAAATATTATCGTCGCATGATAATAGAACTTTTTGTTGCTACCGTGTTTCTATCGTCCACATGTAGTGACCTTTGGCCGAGAGCTTATAACCACCACACAGAACTTAGTCCACATGTAAGATAGGCTGAAGGGTTTCTCCCGATTTGTACAGATCTGAGCTGGCCCGCAGCTCAAGCTTGGTCCCAATTGCCACTTCGCATTGGAACTCAACATCTCGCTTCAACAATACAATGGACCTGGAGCGAGATCAAGTCCTTGTGGGATCTAAGGTCTGTGTGGTGATTATTAGCTCTCAGCCACAGGTCTCAACTACAAATAACACAACTAGCTCACAGTTTAGACCGTGTGGGATCTATTCGGCCGTAGTCATATGATACTTTGAAGCTTTACGGGGCCTTGCAAAACGCGGCACTTGGTGGACATAGCGATGAGATTGTGCGGGGTAAACTCTGGGGGAAGACCTGGTTGGTTCCCGGGGATCGGGGCAACGACGGGAGAGGCCCGATAGGGTCCGCCAGAGCCCGAAACATCCTGGCATGAGGCTTGGTCTGGACCAGCTCCTGGCGCTAGCTAGTGACAAGCGAAGACATAAAGATTCGAGACTTGGAAGCCTTCGAGCAACTCCTTTTCCAGAACCAGTCTCCTCAACAGCCATTGACACCACTTTCAGGCCAACCGCTACAAGGACTGTATACTCGACGATGTCTATCTCTCCTTTCGTATGGGCACCTCCAGTCACAGAGTACTATTTTGTCCACGAATGCTAATGGAATTTTACTCACAGAATTGGCCACTCTGGTGGCGCATCGCTGTTCTACTAAATGTCAGCTTTTACAACCTTCTCGGGAATACCTGGGCCTCTGGTCTTTCTCCCGTCTTTGGGTTAATCATTCAGGAGCTGCACTGCTCGCAGACTCAAGCTTCCGACTTGGCAACGTATGCTTTGCTGGCTCTGGGACTCTCTGTGCGTCGCTTACTGTCCCATCCTGATCCTTCTGTTGATTCGCTAACCTCTCAGAATCTGTTCGCTCTTCCTTTATCCCTACTCATCGGGAAGCGATTCACAGTCCTCGGTTCGCTCGTCATCTTTATCGCTTGTAACATCTGGTCCGGAGAAGCCACCGACTATGCATCCCTTCGAAATTCACGCATCATTGGTGGACTAGCTGGTGGTCTCGTCGAAGCCCTCGGTCCCATCATCGTGGCCGAGACATTCCCCAGCCACCAGCTCGGAAGAGCCATGGTGGTCTATGTTGGCCTCCTCGCTGCCGGCTCTGCAATTGGTCCACTTGTCGCTGGGGCAGTTGGAGTTGGCTTGGGTAGCTGGAGATGGTATCTCAGGATCCTCTCCATAGTTCTTGGGCTAAACCTCATTTGCTCTATCTTGATGCTTCCTGAGACAACCCACGATCTTAACGAACTGAATATGACTCAGACCAGGCCTACGAGCTCGGCAAACGCGGAGCCGAAGCCAACGTCCACTTCGATCGAGGACATCTATATCTCATCTCCGGCAGAAACAACAATCGACGAGACTCTTCCACCTCACTTTGGCAAGGAATGGATGTCGAGATCGTTCAGCAACGAGTATATGCCCATGAAGTGGAAGAGCATGGGTCAGTCATTCGTCCAGCCGCTGCAGCTGCTTATGGCACCTCAAGTTCTCGTCACCGTTTACGTCTTTGGCATAACAATTGGCTGGACTGTCATAATCTCCATCATCATCTCTATTACTTATGCTAGTCCTCCCCTACTGTGGAATTCGAAATCGATCGGTCTACTCAACGTCTCTGCTCTTCTCGGTATTCTTATTGGCCTTCCCATCGGTGGCTACTTCGCAGACCTTCTTTTCATTCGCTCTGCAAGAGGAGGTGCTCGGGAGCCTGATCCCAGAAGTAGATTACCAATTATGCTTATCGGAGCACTCGCCAGCCCTACTGGTTGTCTTGTCCTGGGGCACGGATTACAGCACCCTCATCACTGGATCGTTGTCTGCGTCGGATGGTGTCTACTTGCCTTTGGTCTGACAGGCTCGGCAAATGTTCTTCTTACTTATTCAGTCAGCACTATGCCTTCAAGAGCAGGGGACATCGGTGTCTTGGTAAATGTAATGAAGAACTGCTTAGGCTTTGGCGTATCCTATGCCTCTCTTACTTGGATGAGAGCGATGGGGACATTGAAGCAATTCGCCATCATGGGTGCTCTTCTCTGGTTTGGATACATTCTGGTGTTTCCGGTATGGGTCTGGAGCAAGTCTCTTGTACGCAGGAGCGCAATTTATACCAGGTAAAAGCTTTCAGGGAATTCACCCCAGCATCTGTAAGCCACTTAATTGGTTTTTGGTAGAAGTGAACCAGCTGTCAATATTATTTCTGTTGTACTTTCAACTACGCATTTTGTCATGACATTGAGATTGTGGTGTCGGACACTTGCACAAATGCTAGTCTTCTAAAATTATAATTTCTCGGGCTAAGTCTCCCTTCATTACCAAATGAGATTATAGAAACTAATTGTACCAACGAAAGTTGCAGAAAACTCCGACAGTCAAGAGAGTGCCTTGTGAAAAGCCTGACAAGATGCCAAGTCGAGTTTTTACCCAACATCGTACCAAGCCGCAGTGAGGAATAGTTCCGCTTTAACCAATTATACGCCTCGGCCTCGAAGCGAATCTTTGGGCTAACCAAATTCAACCGCCAAGGGTATCAGATCGACGCACAGCCTCAAATTGTTCTATATATATATACTGAAGCCGGAGCGCGTTAACATCATTGATTTTCCCATCCGATGCTTGTGCACACGCTTTCACATAACAAAATAGCTTTGCCATAACCATGCCGTTTTCAACTGTTTACGAAGACCCTTGGACAAGGACCCATATTAATTTGAGCCACGTTGCCGTTGTGAGCCAACATGCTGTTATTTGGTAAAATCGATCTCAAACTCATTCTCTCTCGATAGCAACATCTCGAACTGATCGAAACCTTTCTAAAGCTCCTTCAACACCTCGGCGATGCAGATGGTAGCATAAGTGACGAAACATTGGCATATTCAGAATGGCGCTATGCTATGTATCTTCGTTTCATCGACGTAAGGGGCTTTTGCCCAAATGACCACCCACCTCCATGGTAGGTTCTGTGTCTCTGCCGTGTGACCGCGTGACTGATAGCAATAGGGATGTCGCACTTATTATGTATCTGCACATGTTGTCACCCTCGCGCTTCCATCATTATGTATACGATAACCGTAACCGCAACCTGAACGGCATCTTTGGCTTAGAGCATCGGCATTTCCCTATGACCAAATTGCTGACAGGTGAATGGTATCCCAGACGAACGAGGAAGGCCTGGGGTGAGTTTAGTATAATGAGCGGCTCTGGCTCCGACTGTCAGGGTTGCAACCTACCATTCCAACTATGGCCCTCTGCACCATGGAAACCGAAAAGGCTATCCTCCATTCTAGGAGGAAAGGCTCATCGGCCACCAAGTTCAGATCGAAAATGGATAACGCCGACTGATAAAAAGCTCAAAGAGATCCCCCAAGACCAGCAAGGAAAAGTCATTCTGATGCACCAATGGGATAGCTGTCGTACAAGTGTACCAGAACAAGGTTACAAGGTCTGGGACCTCCAGTCATACGCGGCGATACGAACATGCAGGGTAGAAGAAAGGTGCCGGAGTCAGAGTCAACATGAACAGTTCAACGAAGTCTGCTTGCTTAAACCGTGGCCATCTTTACAGGATCTTCGAAAAGACCTTGAGCAACAAGTGTCTTCCTGGCAGGTCATACTTGACGTAAAGAATTCGGTACCTGGCTTTGTCGACAGTTTGAAGAATTCAGTGGTTGACTACGAAGACTTTCTCGGCCTTCTGGGTAGTATACTTCCAAAGAGTGAGAGAGATGGCTCATACAAGTCAAAGCTCGACCCAAAGACAGCAAAAATATCTCGCCAGCCAAGCTCACAACCCTCTCGGATAATCCCGCCAACACTCGAGATTGATCTTTTATGGCAAACTCACCGCTTGTTCCCAGGGAGCTACTGGATATGGTCTGCTGAAAAGGCAGACTGGGTCCTTGATAGAGAACCAACAGCAAATTCACGGGCCGCAGCTACACTGCTTCAACATACAAGAGAGCTGTGGAGATCAAGGTACACCTCAGACCTGGGCAGGGGTGTTTCAGTGAAGGAGACATTGGCGGAGTACGTCCCTCACACAGTGAAACATGCACCTGCCAACGTGCAGCGGACCGATCTCAAGACTTTGGTGTGTGGTCGTAACGCATGGAAGCAAAGAAGGGTAATCAGAAGGGGACGAGGGGACGATATATCTGGTGGTGGAGGCGCTGGTGATTATGGAGGGTCCGGGGGATGTGATGGAGGCGGCGGTGGTGATGGTGGTGGAGGTGGCGAATAGGGAATGATAGAACAAGGAGTCTTCGAAGACTGCTCAAGAGACTATTAGGAATAAAATTCAGCGGAAGGACTTAAGTGATTGGTGAAAGGGCCATGGAATAGTGAGCTTCCGATCAGCGCAAAGAGAGCTTTGCCGTTATATACCAAACTCCTCTCGCCGGCTCACCACTGGATTCCGAACCTATTCAGGACATCCATTCTCAAAATCACAAATTACCCAGACTTGCTTACCCTCATACTCTTCCGGCAACAAACAATGGGCCACAACCTTTCCTCCCGTGAGGTGGTACCAGGTCAATGTGACATATATGGCACAAGTGGATAAGCAGGGACATCTTCAAAATGAAACTCATCCATCGCTGGCCTGCACCTCGTTGCAAGAACCCAAGTGACTACAGCTTTTTAATATTTACAACTAAAGCCAAGAGCATAACTGCTATATTAATTTGGGAAATTACTTTTAAATTAAAGATATAAGTAGCAAGTCTAAATAACTGAGGCATTAATGGCTTTTTCAAGGTGTTGCATCGTAAATGCAGGCCCTGTGATGAGACAAAATCCGGCATGCGCTAGATTACGGAGGAGAAGACTCATTGAGATTCGGATTGTTTGTGTTGTCCCTTGGTGGTTGTTGCTTTCCTTCCAAGAGTTGCCTTCTTTCGAGAGTGAGTGGAAAGAACCTGGACCCGTACCAAGAGGTTTCACACCCACTGATCCCACCACGTTCCGGCTATCGGTGGAGAGCTCAATCACGTCGTTGCCTATGCTTCGAATGCTTCCCTGTTGCACAAGGTTTGCGACTTCGTCCGCATTACAAAGCACCGCCGCGTCGCTACTGTAAAAGGTGGCCTTGCATAGTCGACCGAGTTCGAGTATTCCAGGCCCAAGAAGCCAACGCAAGTGGAGGAGAAGCTGCTCCCGAGATCTTCGCTGCATGGCAATTCCAAATACTCGTATTATAGAAGGTTCTGTCGCGTTCGTGGCGCTCAGTAGCAGATCGTATCCATGTTTCAAGGTTGATATAGTAACCTGAAGACTGAACATCTCTGGGTTGCCTAACATGGGTGCTGGAAAAGGCCGAAGATGACAGTACCTAACATAGCTCTAAATAGTAAACCACGGATTAGCCAATAAGAAGTCAGAGACGACATGGTGTCCTTCTTACAGGAAAAAGAAAAGCCACCACCACGGAAGCAGCTGGCCAAAAAGTCCGGGGAAAACGCTTCCACCAGCAGCAGCGATAGGGGCCATAGCTCCAAATAACCCTACCGAGATGTTGCGGGCCTTTCCGGGGGGAAACGTGGTAGTCAGGAGAGCTAAGTTCTGTGTGGTGATTATAAGCTCTCAGCCACAGGTCTCAACCGCAAATAACACATCTAGCTCACTATTTAGACATTATACCACAATGCCTGACCAATTGCTACAGCATAAATGCTGATGTCAGGACAGCGATGGCGTTGGGAAGAATGAATGCGGCACCGACGCCGCTCAGGGCTCGCATAGCGCTCAGGGAAGCAAGGCTGCGCATGAAACCAGATATGAGGTGGAACACGACCCAAAAAGCGCCCGCAATTGCTACAGTGGTCTTATGGCCATAAGCGGCTCCTATACGACCACCCATGAGGACGAAAGTTCCCTGTGTCAGTCTTGATTCATTGTGGTGTCAACTGTTTGGGCAATAGACTCTTGAAGCCGAAGGGGCAACTCACGGATACGAAGCCACCAACCATATGGCATGCTCAGGGGATGCCCCCAGCTCATTAGTGATCTTGAGGCTGACATTCATGCCAGCACCGAAGGGGACCATCTACCATTTACCATGTGAGAAGATATCGTCGAAGAAGGGTCGAGGTCTAATACTTGGATGAATTGGCAGAGGATAATGCAGGCCGCGCTCCAAACATTTCGTAGCCCAGGATTCTTCTCGGAGAGATTAGGACTTCCCGGGTTTTGGGCGGTCGCGTCAGTGGCCATTGCTAAAATTGCTGATGTCTGCGTTTTTCGAAGCTCGAGTTGATGTCTAACCGCTTGATAGCCGGCTGTCACTAGCTAAGGGCTTCTTTACTGTTGTCTGTTTTATAATACTGTTATAGTCAAGGTAAAATGGATCCTGGTGGGGTTGACTAAGTTTCCCAGGTCTCGGCCGATTATAAAATCGTTATTATTAACCTCCCATCCTAGTAGGTACTAGTATACTAACGACAATTGTCATGCCCATATTAGTTAAGTGACTTGGATTAGTATTCCCCGTAGAGATGATAATAGCGGAAATTGAGGGGGCAATGTTGTTAGTAATTTAATAATAATAATAACATTACCAAGGTCTCAAGATTCAGCAGGATATTTAGGAATACCTAGAATAGATGTCGACTAGTTACGCGGTTAATCATATGGATATTATAAACGCAGTCGTTCCGATTTTCTCTTCAACTTGGTCGCGTGGTGTGACTAAAGTGTCCAACGCTAGGTATTGCCGGTCATGACTCTTGTCTTGAACACACAAAACGCTCTGCTGTTTTGCAGGTCTAATAAGATCAGTTACCATGGATTTGCGACGTCGCACAGGCGGCCCGGAGGCCGGTAAGCGAGATTCTTCCGAGAATCGCTCAGGACACTCATACTAAGCAGTTGGAGAAGGCAGTGAGCGACTCGCATTCTTGCATGGTGCTACTGTTGATCGGTGTATTGGACAGTTTGTCTAGACTCTACATGCTTGCACTCTATTATTGACAGGGAAAGTACGCAATACTCCATGAGATAAGCTCGATCCAAAGAGTCTTTGAGAGGTGCTATCCAATCCCGAAATAAGGCTCATCCTCTATATCTAGAGCACGTTCAAGATGAAGGGGTTTTGCTTGTCCGTAAGATCACGGAAATAATAGTCATCTTCGTTGAGCAGATGCCTGTGCTCTTCCAGGAACGCCCGACGCTTACGGTTCTCGTAGTGCATGTATGCGATGTTAGAGATGCCAGCAAACAAGCTGACAGCCAAAGAGACGATGTTGGCCCTGAGACCTTGCCTGTAGGGAGGAGTCGTGTATAGCTGCGGACCAACGATGCCTAAAGCGTATCAGCAAAGACCTTTGCAGCCAGGTTGCTACTACATACATCCACAACAGTAACAAGTGAACATGATAGCTTGAGCTGTTACTTTCTTGGTGTGGCCGGCGATATTTCCCGAGATAGTGCCCATCCCCAGCAGGAAGCTACACGGTATAAAAGCCATCATGGCCCAGAATCTAAGTCGATTTGTCAGTTGATGCAACACATGAAGCATTCGCTGAGGGCTGAGGGCAACGTCACATACCCAGCCATCAAGCGCCAGCGTTGGTCCACGTCGAACCCGTATAGCATGGAAGCACCGACAATGGCCAAGGCGTTGGCCAAACTAGCAAATGCTAGCCTGGAATTTCGGACGCGTGAGGCGAGAGTGCAGAATACAATGAGGCCGATAATCTCGATGACACCGGTGGGAACCTGCAGGAGGGCGGTTTGCAGAGGTGTGAAGCCGAAACCTCTGATAACGAGACTTTGGAACTAGTCAATGGGTCGATGTTAGTCAGGTGCCCCTTATACATTCATGTTGAGGGAGTTCTGATGCAGCGCAACGTACCAGACCGATGCCGTTAAGAATGTTTCCCGATCCTGTGGAAAGGCCAGCCAACCAGACCTTAGGATCCCGAAAAGCTTCGATGGCCTGATCCATCTTGAACTTCTTCGACTCCACGCCGGTCTTCGCGTCCTCCATTCTGCGAAGGGCTACAATACGCTCGCGTTCTTCAAGAAACCAGGCGCTAGCGGGATTAGAGGGCAGAGCGAACCAGAGAACCACAGCCCATACGACCGAGACGGCACCGCAGATGATGAAAGGAAACCTCCAAAGCCCAATCTTGGAGTCGATATGGCCTATACCATACGCAAACAAAGAGCCGACGATGATGGCAATGGGGCTCATTCCATACCACGCCATAAGGCGGATAGGCTGCTCGTCGCGCGTGTACCACATGTTGGTGATGATGAAGAAGGCTGCAAGCTGAATAGATTCCGCAGCACCGAGTAAGAAGCGCAATGCAGCAAAACCTCCAAAGTTCGACGAGGCGGCCATCAGGAACGTTAAAACACCCCATCCCATCACCTGCGAAGCAAAGTATTTGCCGAGGGGAAATCTCTGGAGAAGGAGTAGAGAAGGATACTGCCAGAACAAGAACCCGAAGAAGAAGATGGAGCTGGCCCAAGAATAATCGGTTCCCTGCATATTGAGGCTCTCACTCAAGCCATAATTGGCAGAGTAGTTAATGGTGGACTTGTCGAGATACTGTAGGAACCCGGTAACCATCATCATCCTGGGGAGTTGTCAGCAGTTGCCGAGCCTCTCTTAGTTAGATAAGGACTAGATGTGGTTACTCACGGTAGAAGATAGAGGTCGATCTTTCTGCGAACCCGCTTCTTCTCCTCGTCGGAGATCTCTTCATCCTTGTTCTGCAGATAGTACTGACGACCTATATCGTCCGAGGGATCCACGCCTTTGAGATCTATGCAGGATGTCAGCTAATTTCAGGTACACAGTTTAGTTGCTTCAATACCTTCGATAGCAACTCCGGGGGTGTCGCTGTTCACTTCGATAGGTGGAGGCGAAGCGATCACGTTCTCGTCCGCCTGCTTCTCCTGGGCAGATTTGGGTGCCATCGCTTGAATCACACTTCAAGCTTGGAGACGCAAATTAATGATTTGAAAGTAGCTGCTATCTCGATGTTGAGTGTGGTTATTTTCGGAGAACCATGTCTCAGAACCAGAGAGTTTTTATAGACACGACTCTGATAAGAAGCCACCGTCTTCTACTGCCCCTTCATGATGTCGCAATCTGTCGATAAACGCTCCCATCATGGTAGATTTCGCGACCATGCCTGTCAGAGCTCAACCGAGTGGATATATTGACCTAAGGTGTGTAATGCCCAAGTTCTGTTCTTGTAATACAGGGCTACGGGGTGTTTCGTCTTTTCTATCGGCCATCACGCAACTGACTCTGTCCGACTTCGGTGGTACTTTCGTCGTACAGTACTTCCTGGATATTTACCACACACCCGAGAAATGAAGAGTTTGTTCAGTAATCTAAGCTCGAAAGCCGAAATCTAGCGCCTTGGCCATTATGTCATGCGACCCGACCTTGTTAGGTTTGTTTACTAATCACTTTTTAATTATCGACCACTTCGTGTATCGCATCGATACAAGGCGACCTTCTGCTGAGGCTGAAAGTTGGAAGAGGCATTCGTGTTTCGACCTTCGCTTTGGCTAATGTACGTTTAGGTCTCATTGCCATTTAAGGCGGTATGGTGCAATGATAACCATGGTGCATCGCCGCATTTCGGAGTGACACTTTATGGCTCTAGAGGCCCAATTACCAATCTGAGCGTCTCAGGGAATATGCCTAGATTACAAACGAAGGGCCCGTGAAAGGCGTATAATATCTCATGATGCGGCCACTGTCTTTTGTCGCCGCCGAGACCTGCAGCGTTTTGCGTCTTTTTCAAATAGGACTCATCGCGACTTTTCAACCCCAATCATCTCGGACTTTAAGTAACAATGGTAGCTCGAGATGACCTCGTTGCCCTCGTCGCCAAGGCGAATGCCCGCGGCCCAACAACTGGCTTCACGGATGTCGATGATGATGCCGAACAGCTCCCCACCGGCTTCGACACTGAGAATGCCAAAGTATTTACCCCCCTCAAGATCGGCGACTTGACGCTGCAGCACCGAGTCGTCCACGCGGCGCTGGGACGGTCTCGCAGTGCCCATTCTGCCGAAAGCCCGTTGGCTGTCAAGTACTTTGAGCAGCGTACCACCCAAGGAGCCCTCATGATCTCTCAAGCCACAGGTATCTCGCTCAAATCCAAGGCCTGGCCCTGGTCAGCGACTCTCGAGACGAAAGAACACCAGGCTGCCGTCAATGATATCATTCAAGCGGTTCACAAGAAAGGCGGATACTGGTTCCAACAGCTCACACACGTGGGTCGCTGCACATCGCCAGGCCTCGTTAAGCACGCCTATAAAGAAGCTGGTCTGGACCCCCCTTCCTACGGTTTCCTTTCGTTATCTTCCTCGGCTGTTGCTGAGACCGGGGTGAATACTCACTCCGGAGAACCATTCGGGGTGCCGCATGCGTTGACAGTTGAAGAGATCCAGGGAATCGTGGCCGATTTCAAGCGCGCTGCCGCCCTTGCAGTCGAAGCTGGAGCCGATGGAGTCGAGGTGTGTGATAAATCTCGTTCAGCCACAAGATGAAGGCCAGCAACCGACGGCTTTGCTAACAGTGCTTGCCAGATTCTTTCAGGAAATGGCTTCCTCTTGGACCAGTTCTTGCACGACAACATCAACCAACGCGATGACCAATATGGAGGATCCGTCGAGAATAGGAGTCGCTTTACTCTGGAAGTGGTCGATGCTATTGCAGAAGTAGTAGGCTACCAGCGTCTGGGAGTCAGAGTGAGCCCCTTTTCTAAGTACGTGCGCCCCCTGATCCTCGTCCTCACCCTTCTTCTGCTAATCTATGGCCACCAGTTTCCACGAGACAGACGGTTCACAACCCCTGGAGCAATTGCTCCATCTCAGCCGTGAGCTCGCTCGGCGGGGTGTAGCATACTTGCATGTCGGCGAAGGCCGTGTATCGCGCAACCTCGGCATTGCCGAGAACCTCTCACGCCTCGTGGCCAAAGGAATTGCCCCAGAGGATGTCTCTCTTCGACCGTTCCGGCGTCTCCTGAGGGACACCACCCCTTCCAACCCACATCATACACCTACTGTCCTCGTCGGCAACGGAGGCTACACTGCCGCATCTGGCCTTCTAACAGTGCAAGACGACCTGGCCGACGCAATCTCATACGGCCGGCGCTTCATCTCCAACCCCGACCTCGTCCAACGTCTTCGTCTGGGACAACCACTCAGTCCCTACGATCGGGACACTTTTTACACCCATGGCGCTGAAGGATACACCTCCTACAGCAACTTTGAGGAGCACAAGAGAAATTCATCTCAGCCTTGCCACAGTAATATTCCTGCTGCAGAGGAAGCCGAGGCAACCAGGGAAGATGACACCAACGGCGCGGCAAACAACAGCAGCGAGGCTTCTGCTAAGCGGGTTGCTATCATCGGCGCTGGAATCAGTGGTACTGTCACGGCGGCTGCTTTCCAACGACTTGGTGGCTTCGAACTCCAGATCTTCGAGCACAAGAGCGTCCCGGGTGGTGTCTGGGTATATGATCCTGTATCCACGACCGTTCCCCAGTTTCCCGCTACGGAGCCCTCAGACATCGACCCGCCTCTGCCGCGCCCTAACAGCCCTTTCCCGCTGGATCTTCCCCGTTCGACGCGTCAGCGCTTCCTCTCGTCTCCCATTTATGAGTCCCTTGAAGCCAACATTCCTTACAAGGTGATGGGAGGCGCGACAGATTTCAACCTCCCACCCCCGGCAAACAACGACCACTACCTGAGCGTCGCTGAAGTCACAGAATTTGTAGGCAAGGCTACTCAGAAGTACAGCTCCATCACTCGATACAGCACCATGGTGGAAGATGTTCAAAACCTCCCGCAGGGCGGCGTGAGGCTACTTTTACTTTGGGAGAATGCTGAAGGAACGGACACTTGGTATGAAGAGGATTTCGACCATGTCATTGTCGCCACGGGCCACAACAGCGTCCCTCGAGTCCCCAAGATTCCCGGCCTCGGGGCCTGGAGGGGAGGCCTGCAACATTCTTCGACATGGCGGTCGGGAGAGGAGTTCAAGGAGAAGAACATCCTGGTGATCGGTACCAGCGAGAGCGCCATCGATCTCGTTCTTGAGTCTCTGCCTCATGTCAAGGGCGATATTCATGTGAGTCAGAGGACGCCGCACCCCCGGTATCCCAACGTGTTTGATCGGCCTTGCGTCAAGGTCGTGACCACGATCGACCATTTCACCGAAGACGCGATTCATCTGCATGACGGGTCTGTCTTGCGAGGCATCGACGTGGTAGTCTTTGCGACGGGATACTTCTACACCTACCCCTTCCTCTCGAATGTCCGCCCGCCCGTAGGTCCCGGTGGCCACCGCGTGCCTGGCCTATATCAGCACATATTCGACGTGCATAACCCCAACACCATCGCGTTCGTCGGCGTGGTCAACGCGTCCTTGACGTGGCTGACCTGGGAGAAGTCCGCCTTTTTGGTCGCCCTGTTCTGGTCTGGAAAGATCAAACCCCAAGCAGAGATGTTCAAGAGGCATGGGAGGCAGACAGACTCGCTGAAAAGGGGGAGGTTATGTTCCATATCCTGGACCTGCCTTATGAACGCGTTCTCTTCTTCGATGAGCTGAACGAACTAGCTGCCGAATACCTACAGCAGGAGTCAGCCGATGAGACACTTCTGCGGGGATTCCCATTTGAATTCATCCTGGCTTTGATTGCCAGTCGGCCAACGAAGCTGAGGAAGTACGGCTTGTTGAAGGATGTTGGTGGTCGAGGCGTCATTGGCCCTGCGATCCCGGTGCCTATCGAGCATGCAAACATCCGCAGCGCTACTGACAAAGTGGCGGCGGTGATGGCAGATGAGATTGGTCTTCCTGGCATTAATGACACCGCCAATAGGGTAACCACAGCCGCATAGTGAGACTCCAAGTCACACGATTTTGATACTTTTGTAGACCTACTTACATTGCCTGGTTTAAGAAATCCTGTCCTTAAAATTTCATGAAACGCTGACTAATTCGTAATTATCGCTTTCTTGACTTTGTTTGAAAGTCAACTACTCTTCTCTGATTCTCTACTCGTTCAATACATATATCAACTTCGCTTACCCTTTGGAAATAAGCAGTATGGTTGTAGTTCCTTGCAGTATGAAAACACTGGTAGGCATACGCATGGGCTATAATAACGATCTCGTTATACGAGCGGCAAGTGTAACACTGAAAGAGAGAAGAAGGCTTGTTCTAGTGGCTAGAGAAACGTCGTTGACGAGCATTTACCTGGAGAACATGCTTGAGGTGACCAAGGCTGGCGCCGTGGTATTCCCGCCTGTGATGGCATTTCATATGAGGCCGAGTTCGATTGATGACATGGTGCAGCAAAGTGTCATGAGAATGATTGATCTGCTGGACTTGAAAGCTGTTGACGGGGACATGCAGGATGGAGCACCTTGGAAAGGGTTTGACTGGGCAGCAAAGGGAAAGCAAAAGACTAGTCCATAATCACAGGTCATTCCTGGACTTTAATACGAGACTTTAATAATATCATAATGAGAGCTAGAAAAATATACTAAGCTACAGTTTTGTAGAACGCTGTGGATATACAGCAAAGTCCTTTGCGTTATAACCCTTCGGCCATATGCCATTCTTACCAGGCGCCAGAATTCCCTTCGGATCCAGTGCATCCTTGATCGTAGTATTAAGATGCATCTGCGCATTATTATTGAAGTTGTAAGTCTGAGCAATCTGATCCATCAGTGCCAAATGAGTGCGATACTCTCCCCAGCCCTTCTTCGCAGCGTCGTCGATCAACTGACTAATGAGGGCGTGCGCTCGACGGCAAGACTCTGGATCAAGACGGTCAAAGACAAGACACACGATGTGATGCATCTCCCTCATTCCAACGACAAAGGTTCCAATGAAGTCGAAACCGGCTTCTTCGCAGCGCTTGCGGGTCAGAGCATATTGGGCGACCGCGTCGTCGCCTGTGACTTTGGCGATGGGGGAGAAGAATAGGTGAGCTCCATTTGGCAACCAGTTACTGGTAAAATGTCATTAGTATCTTGACAATGTTATCAATCGAGATGCAGAACTTACACCCATTCTAGCTCCGTCATCGTGGGAATTCCTTGCAAGGTAAGATCTCGAGTTTGCAAGACAACGTTGTCAGGCATATCCTCTGGAAAGTAGAATTTAGTCCCGGGGATGGCAGAGAAAGCACCCTTGACAACTTCCCACATGACCTTCCGGATGGGTTCAGGACCGTAAAGTGCTCCGTAAAAGTTCCAGCGTCCTAGGTTGAGCTTCTTTGCAATCTCGTCCAGTTCCTTGTCGTTGAGAGGCTTTTTCGAAGATGTATACTTATCACGAGATCCCTATGGCTATTGTTAACTCGGCGCATAATGAGCAAGTCGGTTTCATACCATAACAGCTGCATCCAAAAGTACATGTCTGACAGTCGGAACATTCTGCAGCACCATTGATGTTCGAAGCGGTCGAATGATCTCAATGGCCTGGTGAAGATCTTCGTCTTTGGGAATAGTGATCAAGTATGACTGATATCCTCCGGGGTTCACCATGAGCCAAACACCCATCTTGACAACAATACCGAGAGACGATTGAGTAAAGATGCCGTCGTTATAGGGACCGAAACCGTAATTGAACAGCTGCCACGCCGAGTTTGGCTCTTGTTCGTGTGGTGGAGCATTTGGATCGGCGTCTGGGTTTGGAAGAGCACCCATTCCCGTGCGGACTAATGTGCCGTCAGGAAGTACAACTTTGGAGAGTCAGTTACAAATATCCCCTGCAATGAGATAGCTGTGTCAGGGTTCTTACCTTCCATGCCGCAATGCATCATAAAGTGATCACCTAGAGGCTGTCAGTACTGTGACATGAGTTGGTATCATGGAAAAGATGACTTACCATACGGAGTATAGCCTACTCCTCTCTCTGTAGTATTTCCAAGTACTGATCCGCCGCCGAGATCGGGGACATCAATCCACAGTTTGTCACGGAGGTTGTTGTCCACCAAGTACTGGTGAAGATCTGTATATGTAACTCCAGGTTCGACCAGAGCATATGCACCATCAACATCAACCTTCAAGATCTTGTTCATATGTTTACCAAGATCGAGACCAATTGACCCCGGTACACGGGGAGCAGCACCGCCATATCCAACATTTCGGCCGATGGAGAATGGCCAAAGGGGAATCTCGAACTTATTGCACAACCTGACTATCGCTTGAACCTCGGCCACATCGCGGGGAGTGATGACAGCTGAAGAAACAAAATGCTGTTTGGAGGTTATGTCGAACATGTCGTGCATCTTGCTGGGGTCGCGATAGTCCTGCTTGTCTAGTTGCTCAGGCTTGGAAATGACGACAACATTCTCAGCAGTTGTGGTTTCAATTACTTCTGATATGAATTGATTGAAAACAGATGGTTTGATGCCAGGAGGCAAAACAAGGGGAGTAACAGTAGGCATTTTGGGGGTGATAGACTGGCTCGAGAGTAAGTACACTCATGTGCTACTCGGGTTGGGCTTAAATAGACATTCTCACTGACTAGCAGCACATTCGGCATTCGTGAGCCTTAGTCTGTGGCTAGCCAGTGGTGGGGATTTTCCCGTTCAGCCGAAGTTGGGTTACACAAACTCGAGGTGGAGGTGGGGAATTGTCCGAGACGTGCATATGCCCGCGTCCTGAAGCCGTACCTTGAAGAGTCTTTTGATATGAACAGGCAAAGATCGGCTCAACAAAGGGGAACAATGCGCGCAACGTGTTGAACTTTCCTTGGCTGATCCATTGAATTTGGAGCTTGATTGGCTTTGAATCATCTCAGGGGTATGTCAGATCATTACGGAAAGTGTACTCTCATTAACATAATGAATGTACTGCAAAGAATGCAAAGAAATGTTGCGTTTGGATGAATTTGGCTCGTATTGCACTATCTACTGTATCCTCTAATAATACTTGTACTCCACTTGTATGGTCACCGCGGAACTGCATATCAGCCAAGAACAGAACACTATGATGTGAATTGAATGACCAGTTTTCCCGACGTCTAACGAGATTAGTCAACCGAGAATTATAACAACGAAAGGGGTGACTTACCTTGGAGAACCGATTGACCAAATCGTCCAGCTCATCGAAGCCCACTGACTCCACTATAGGCTTTACCACGCCCCTCCGTACGAACTCGAGAGCTTCCAGTGTTTCCGTTCGTGTTCCCACCAACGTTCCCAACAGATTGATGCCACGGTCAATGAGAGTAAGTGGATGCAGGTTCATGGCTTGATCTGGTGGGGGAATACCAACGCAGACCAGAGTGCCAAATACTGCAACTAGATCAATAGCGTTTTGATAAGCTCGACCTGACCCTGCGGTGACGATAACGGCCTTGGCTCCAGCTTCATTGGGAGTAAGCTTCCTCAGTTCCGCCGGTGTATCAGGCGATGCTCCATCAAAGTATGCATCCGCTCCCATCTTGATACAAGACTCTCTTGCAGGTCCAATATCAACAGCAGCAACACGGAATCCCATGGCTTTCGCATACTGAACCCCCAAACCACCAACACCACCACCAGCTCCGACTATAGCAACCCATTCTCCTGGTGTCGCTCCACAAGCCTTGAGTGCTTTGTATGCAGTAACGCCGCCGCACAATGTCGGTGCAACCAGCTCATCCGGGAGTTCATCCGAGTCCGGAATTGTGAGGACATAACGACTTGGTACAATGCAGTGTTCAGCAAATGTTCCATCCCACTTTCGTCCTGAATTCTGCTGCTCTAAACAGCGAACCTCGCCGCCGGGCTCACGACAGCAGTTACATCGACCACAGACGTCTCTTACCCAAGCAATGCCAACTCGGTCTCCAATCTTGACAGAACTAGGATCTATTCCAGAGCCAACTTGCACAATGCGGCCCACGCCCTCGTGGCCAAGAACCTCACGGCATGGACCGAGGTAACCACCTGCAAGGGCCATATCAGTGCCGCAGACACCGGTAGCAGATAGTTTGACGAGAACTTCCCATGGCTGGAGTTTGGGGATGGGAACTGAGTTGATCTTGAACTGGAAGCCTTTATCCGAGCGCTTCATAGCATGTCAGCGATTGGCAAAGCAGAGATGATTGAGGTCCCGATTCAACATACAACCACGGTAGCTACCCGATGGTAGGGTTCGTCAACCATTGTCCCCCATATGTTCGGCACCACTGGATTAGAGCTATTTTAATCGTGCTGAGACTGAATGTGGTCGAAGAAGATTGTCTCTAGCTCGAGTTGGATATCGAGAATGCTAAGTGACTGAAGTTTCAAGTGGCAGGCATACCAGTAATAAAAGTGAGATATGTTTAATCTAAATCCCGGATGCCGCGACCAAATGCCGAAATATCATTATCTAGAAACCGAATGGCTGTGCTTTTGCGGGGTTTCCATACCTGGATCTGGACTAGATCGTGGAGATGAGGCGGGATGCCGATCTCAGTTGCGGGGGTGGCAGATTTCCCGACTCCACGTGTTCGTCATCACGAAGCATGCTTTTCTTGCAAGGAAGAACGAATAAGTCATCCTGTCTACTCAGGCTCATCTATGCTATCGACTGTGGATTTTGTGACCCATGACTCCCCTCCCCTGGCATTCGCTAGGTTGCATCGCTCATTTGCTCTAATTTGAACTGCCTCCCAAGCTCGCTCACCCGACCTTATGACCTCGGTCAACACCATGACGGATAAGCAGCCGCAACATTGTTGTTCTATCTGCTTTGCTGAGTTCACAAAGTCCGGTATGCCGTTCGAGACCTAGACCCTTGACTGGATGCAACGCGTACTAACAATGTTGCATCAAGACCACCTTAATCGACATTACCTGTCGCGTAAGTCTATTACGACCTTGTTGTTGGAGGGTATGTATACTAAAGCAGCAAGCACCCAGACACAGATGAAAGGTCTTATCAATGCCAATACTGCATCCGTGGTTTCAACCGTCGGTCAGTCTATACTTTACTGTTCCTTTTTGGGTTTCAAAAGCTGAGACATAGTCATTAGAGACGCACTCCTTCGTCATTGGAGAACCTGTGACAGACGTCTCAAATCAGGCTTGCCTCCTCCAATTCTGGATCAGAAGAAGCGAGGGAGACGACAGAACGCTTGTGAAAGATGTGCAAAGTTGAAAAGGAAATGCAGCGGATCCCAACCTTGCAAAGTCTGCGCCGATCAGAACCAAAATTGTAATTATGGTCAAACGTCACCGAATAAGGATGACTTCGTTGGCCCGCTGAGGCTCAGAAAAGACCAGATCCTCCTCCACAATCGCGCGGATTTATCATTACAGGACGTGGAGGTTCAGAATCCAACATTTTTGTCACAATATGACAGGACTTCGGACTCGACGCTGGCCACCTCATTTTATCCTATCCAACTTCTACAACCTTCACTGGTTTCTAAATCCGGTGGCAACACAATGGTTATGCCACAATCTGACTTATATCTACCACAACCAGAGTGGCCTGTCCCGTGTCATCCCCCATCACTGTCGCTGATGACACCAAAGCCGGCTCTTCCTCGTATGGGCCTCCGCTTTCTGGCCAGACATACTTCCTCACATGGTCTGTTGAATTCATTCAACTGCGACAATAGCGTTGTAAGGGGTCAGGTTCTTCCAAGTCTCCTACAGAACGGTAGCTGGCCTCCCTTTGAAGCAGGTTCCATTGCTAGTACCCTGGTCGCATCACCTTGGGTAAGAATGGATCAACGTAAATTGACACAACAAGGATTGACAGAACAACACCCCCTGGCAAGCACGTGTGAACAAATTGTCACAGGCGTCCGGGGAGTTGCATCTCAAGCGGCTAATATGAACTGGTCTGTGTCCAGACAACTGTCTTGTACACGATTCTTTTCTCCAGGAAATGTTGAGTTATTCTTGACCATGTTCTTCCAAATCTGGCATCCAAACTGGCCCGTCTTCCATAGACCAACCTTTGACCCCACGCTCAAGTCTCCCAAGTTGATAGCGGCTCTTTCACTAATTGGTGCATCTTTGAGTCCCGAAAGGAAGCAATATGATCAAGCCATGGTCTGGTTGGAGATAGTCGAGAACTGGATCTTCCAGGACCCATATTTCAGCGAAGACATAATTCCTCAAACAGATGATTATAGCCAGGCTTTGCAAGTCCGCCAGCGGCTTGACATGGTGCAAGCTGCTTATGCTATCGTTCTCCTAATGAATTGGGAGGGTGATACAAAAACGAGGCTCAGAGCACGAAGGACACGGTTTCCTGACATCGTCTATGTTGCTCGCAGCCTTTCTCCCATTGCGATACCTGGAACAAGTGAGAAAGAACCTTTTGCTCCACGCATCCTCTACGACCATTGGACAGCGTTCGCATTACGAGAGGAGTGTATCCGCACCCTTCTGTATACATTCCTTCTCGATTCCGCATTCGTAATGTTCTACGATATGTGTCCCCGGATGGTGATTAACGAGTTACAATTTAGTCTTGCGGCTAGGGATGAACACTTTAATGCCCCTGATGCCGAGGCTTGGTTTATGTGCACCCAAGCTGCAGCACACAAGTCAGTGGCATGCAGCCAGGTCACGATGTCCCAATCTATTAGCATGATTATGAGTGAGGATTTCGGTGCTACTCAGTGGGAAGTCTTTGAGCAAATGAGTCCATTGAATCTCTTTGCCATCGCTAGTGGTAAGTTACATGAGAAGATAAAACAGCAGGCTCTTATTAATTCATCTTAGCCTTCCATAATCTTATCTATCACCACCAGAACGGACCAGACCAAGGATCAAGATCGTTGCCCATTACACGAGGGTTAAGGAATTGGTTTCTAATTTGGTCTCACTGTAACTTCTTCTCAACCACCGACGATTATCTCTCTTTTGTAGGAAGAAAATCTCAAAGCAAACTTGGGTTCTTTCTACATGCAGATGAGTATTGGTGTCTCGCTAATCTGTTCTGCCGCCAATTGGAGCGTGGTATCAATCCCCACCAAGCATTTGGAGACACTCATTCACAGATATCTCAAGGAATGTCTGATATGGGTAAGATACACAGTTTGATCCTTCGCTTCCAAGATGTAGATCTTGGCGAGATAGTTCTTTCATGAACCCGTCACTTATTCTTCTTCTCCAATCTCTTTCGTTCGTCGGTGTTATGAAGCCAATCCAACCAAGGCATTCCTCCAAAATGAACATCAAAACGCTCATGATGACGATCATGACGATAGGCTGCGCCTCCAAAGAAGTCGAAGCCGCTATGAACAGTCGCCGTCTCGATGAGCTGCCAAGCCACAAACGCCCACATGGTCAAGATATGAGTTCTGAGCAATACGGGCGGAAGGACAATGGGAATCGTGTTGGCTACAATATGCTCGATAGGATGGGCATACTGTGACGCGAAGGCGACTGGTGCTGTGAACTTGTGATGGATTTTATGGATGCGACGGTACAGGTACGGTATGTGAAATAGTCGATGGGAGTAGTAGAAGAGAATCTCTCGGGCAACTAAACAGATAGCAAAGTCGCTCGCAAAGCTCCTCGCAGATGGAAATGACGCAGTGATCTGGAATGTTGATGGCATATTTTGCTGGGTCGCCAGAAACGCCAGGGATAATTGCAATCCAATGACTATCAGCTGGTTCCTCAAAGATATCAGGACAGAGTCCAGGATCTCAGAGCCTTTGGGCTGTTTTGGTGGAGGCTGTATCTTGTGTTTCGCCGCAAAAGTTGGGGCGAGGTGATCAAGGAGAACAAAGAGGGCTGAAGGAATCCACCAGAAAAGGATCTGGATGAGGCAGCTGCCTGCGAACTCGATCGTAAAGGGATCATAGCTAGCGACGACCTTTGCCCAGAGTTGAGACATCTTGACTTTAACTTTGTAGTTGGATGATGGTCGAGCTGAAGGATCATGAGATCGAAAGAGGTAGATATACTTTGTTCAACGACTAACTCGATCGAGGAGGAGCAAATCAGAGGCGCCCCGATACCCCGCAGTCTTTAAAGCCTAGTACTCATGAGGAAGTCGTTCCAAGAGCCTCTCTCTTCACTTTCCCTTTTTGAGCCTAACCTCTACAGTTTCACGCGGAGCCTCGGTTGGCTTTAGTGGCGTCATGTTCAAGGTGGCGATCCACATGAATTATCCTGACCTTGTCCGAGGCTCTGTTTAATAACTGGAGAACTATTGGTAATAACGTGAATATTCATTGGTAGAATCTCTGTAATCTCAGATTGGCAGGCGGCTATGTGATAGTCATGACATGCTGCTCGGGGCCCGCGGGTCTTATATCTCAGCAACCACTCCGACGGAGTCACAAGTGCATGACTTTCGAACATGTAGACAGCGTTATATTCCCGAAAACCAGCCAATATTATGTACTGTTTCTCAAGGGCGCCTGCAATGTTTAAACAGCTCTCTAACACCAGACTTATGATACCCACTCAGCCTTCGACCTCCCTCTTCGTCCGGTCGGAACTTTCCAGCCAATACTCGACTTCTCAAACTTGAACGCAGGTGCCAGCACTTTGAAGTCCTCATCCAGTCCATATTCCTTGCCGCTCATGTCCCAAAAGTACTCAGGGTGCTTGAACATTTCTGGGCGAATTTTCTGCAACGAATGATGCGTCTTGCCAACGAGTGCACCCATATCGTCGTGATGGCGAGGATTGAACTGCAGGTCCCGGCTTCTTAGAGTCTTCTGTTGGTCCTCGGAGTACAAGCCGAGACGATAATACCAGATATTATACTGCGTAAGGCTGATGTCGATGTCAAAGGTGGCGTCTTCTTTAGTGCGGGCTAATAATGCCTGGATGGCAGCCGCGGCCCCAACTAATCCGGTCTGGTAGTCAGAGTTTGCTGAGGCAAGGTCAGAAATAGAAGCTTGTGATAGAACAGTGGGGTAAGCTTACGGAGCAGTGGAACAACAGCCTCATCAAGGCCAAGGAACTTACCCTGCAGATACGACAGACCGACCAAGCAGTCGCTGATCTGCTGCCATCCAGAACGGTAAGCAAGCGGCCCCTCGAAACCATAACAGTTCTCTCTCATATAGATCAGACTTGGGCTCAGCTCACGCAAAGACTTGGAGTCAAAGCCTAGCTTCGCCAGGGCGCCAGGACGGAATCCATCAACAAGAATATCAGCCCCTTTGAGAAGCTCAGAAAAGGTTTGTCGTCCCTCCTCTGTCTTAAGATCAATATTAACGTCTCTCTTGCCAGTCTGAAGATCTGGCATTGTTGTCGCGTACTCGGGTAACCTGCTGCAGGAGACGCGGATAACATCGGCACCAAGAACACTGAGGATCTTGGATACCGCTGGAGCTGCGATGACACGGGACAAGTCGATGACTCTGATACCAGCGAGTGGACTATAGCTTTGGCGGTCTTTGGCTTCGGGCCAAGGCTTTTTCGGTGCTGGCACGCGAGTTGATGTCCACAATGGTTCTTTCGACATGATCTTGCCGTGCTCGCTTGCAAAGAACTCATCAGGCGTATAGCATACTACACCAGCCTGCTTGTACTTCTCATTGGCGACCTTCTCAATCTCTTTAGAATCCCATTGTGCAACCTTTTTCGCGTAGGTCTCGAAAGCTTCTTCAGTGCTGAGATCACTATCCTCAACACCCAGCATCTCCATCGTAGGCAAAGCATTCATAGATCCATGCAGATGATACCATCTTCCGTCCTTAGTACGATAAACGTTCGTCGCATATCGCCTGACGGGTTTGGCCATCTGATGGATGTCCATCTTGGCAAGCTCTGCTAGCATTTTCTCGTTCTGCATAAAGTGCTTGCCGCCAATGGTGGGTAGTAACACCGATTCAAGGAACAGGGTTGCAAGGTCCGTGTTAATCTCAACATCTTGGTAATTGATGCCATAGCGCTCTGCTACGACAACGTTTGCGGCTGTGGCTACGAGGGCGTTCAGGGCTGCGCTCGACTCCGTGATCTTAAGAGGTGTAAGAACGAAAGGTTGGTCGTCTTCTCCAACGAACTTGACTCTCTCGGCGGCTTTGATGAAAGAGTCCGGAAGTTGTAGCTTGGGATCCCGAAGGAGAACTTCTTTTAGGATCCGAGTGGCTTCGGTTGAGATGGCGTAGTTGGACATGGTGCTGAGGGAGCAAAGCTGATTCTAGAACAGGTTGCAATCGTGTTTGATATCACACCGGGTTTGCAAACAAACTCAAGGTTGCTGCAAGTCAAAGGAACAGTTCTCAATGTGATATCGAATGTTTCAATGAGGACTATAAGTAATCCCCTCGGCTAACTGAAACCAACGATCGCTTCCGCTGTCCTTCATGTAGATGATGTCTTTACAACGCCTAGTGGGTCTCTCCGGAGTTCCGGGGCCTGATGCACTCTCGGAGTCTTGTGTCGGAGTTCTGAGAGCCGGGCTTCGGGACACGGCTTCTGTTGCACAGAGACAGTGATGTCACCGCAATCCAAGAGTTTGGTGACTGTCTCACTCTGATACGGCGTACTGTTTGTCGGTTGTCTCGGATATGAGACTTATGAATCGCAACACCCGAAGTTGCGGGGTGGTATAAAGATGGCTTGTACTCAACCCCTCAGCCTTGAAGGAGGGCTTGGTGGCTGTTGAACTCAATACGGTACATCGAAACTCCTCGCAAGCAGTTCATAGGCCCAAATTCATTATGACTTCCAACAATGGATGGCGCGCTGGGGAATTCGGCGTCAGGCCTGTACGAGTGGCTAACTGTTCCGGATACCACGGTACGAGAAGTCTTTCACAGCCTAGATATGACTAAATATTAACCTCATAGGCGATCCGGCCATTGAGATGTACAAGCAGGCTACCTTGGGCGATGTCGACTTTATCACTGGTGACTACCTCGCTGGTAAGCCTTGAACCCTCAAAACTTGCATGGCCTGTGTTGTTTACAAGAATCAGAAGTCAACATGGCCAATAATGCGGAGGCATACGCGAAAGGGCAACACCCAGGCTACGAAGGCACTGCGTTGAAAGGCCTTGAACTTTCAATTGATGCCATCGCAGAGAAGCGGATCAAAGTTGCCATCAATGGTGGAGCACTCAATCCTGAAGGTCTCGCTGTGAAAGTGGCAGCATTAGTAAGACTTTCCCATTACTCTTGTCCGAGTTGTGTTTTGCTAACCTTCTACCAGGTTGCCGAGAAAGGTTATGATCTGAGGGTAGCATATGTTTCTGGTGATAACGTGCTCCCTAAGCTCAGCAAACACATGCCGCAAGACAAAAATAACGCGTTGCCTCATCTCGATTCTCTGAATGATCACGTTACTCTCACTACTGAGACTTACATATTCGCCAAGAATGACGAGGAACCTCGAGAAATAGTGTCTGCTAATGCTTATCTCGGGGCACACGCCATTTATGAAGCATTTCAACACGGTGCCGACATCATCATATGCGGCCGAGCTTCTGATGCCAGCCCCGTCATCGCCTGCGCCTGGTACTGGTGGTCTTGGAACAGCACCAACTATGATGAACTTGCCGGTGCCTTAGTAGCAGGGCACTTGATTGAGTGTTCAGCCTATGTCACGGGCGGTAACTTTGCAGGCTTCGACGCTTTCGATATTGAGAACTTTGTTGACCCCGGTTTCCCGATTGCTGAGATTGCACAGGATGGCTCTTGTGTCATCACGAAGCATGGGGGTACAGGCGGTATGGTCACTGTTGACACGTGCAAGTCTCAACTCGTGTATGAGTTGCAAGGTAACGCGTACATCAACAGTGATGTGAAGGCCTACCTGGACGATATTGAGATGGAGCAGATTGGTGAAGATAGGTATGTAAACTCTGGCACCTCGTTAGCCTCACTGACCAAGAACAAAGGGTTCGCGTTCACGGAGTTCGTGGTGCGCCACCGCCAGATACCACTAAACTCGCAGTCTTCTACAACGGAGGCTACGAAATGCAGGCCTTGTTCAATGCGACGGGCCACAGCTTTGAGCAAAAGTTTGCCCTTCTCGAAAAGCAAGTTCGTTTCCATCTTGGCGAAGAGAAACTCAGTCATCTGGACTTTCTCGAGTTTCAGAGAATTGGCGTCCCAGCTGTGAACCCTACCAACCAAAACAGCGGTACTGTGTATCTCCGCATTTTCGCTCAGTCAACCAAGGCAGAAGCTCTTCAGGCAATTATGATGGCTATTGGGAATATCTCATTGAAGCATTACTCGGGTCAGTCCATACGGCGAGTGGAAATAATATTATAGTCACTAACTTGTATGTAGGGTTCCACAGCTCCTTGGACTTCCGTTCTGCTATGCCTCGTCCATATTTAGCATACTACCCAGCTCTATGGCAACAATCCGCACTCGAAGAAAAGTTCCATTTTGTCAATGCAACCGGTACAACGGAATCTTTCAAAACCACACCTCCTCCTAAGTTTGAGGGGCTGGAAAAAAGAGCATCTTACGACACTACATCACCTATGCCTCTCGATGGTGGACTCCTCGAAGTGCGCTTGGGTAGTATCGCCCTCGGCCGCTCTGGAGACAAGGGCGCCAATTTGAACTTTGGCCTATTCGTTGACACGCAGGCCAAGTGGGACTGGCTGCGCTCATACATGTCTCGAGCCAAGGTACAAGAGCTTCTAGGAGAAGACTGGCAGCCAGAGTTCTCTATTGAGCGTGTTGAGTTTCCCAAGATCTTTGCTGTCCATTTTGTAGTATATGGTATTCTTGGTCGTGGAGTCAGTAGCTCAAAGCGTTTAGATGGGTTTGGAAAGGGTTTTATCGACTATTTTAGAGACAAGGTTGTTGAAGCACCTGTCTCTATCTTGCAGCGCAGCCATATCTAGAACAACTTACCAATCCACACAATTTCCTTTCACCTTTTTTTAATGTTACTAGGATATTGTGCTGTGCATGTATTGCGGCATATTCCGTTCCAAATGTTCCTTGCCCCATTAGCTCTTTTAGTCACAATTAAGAGGGGTTTTCTCATTTACTTCATCTCCTCTTTGGTATATCATATCCTTTGTTCAGTTTTGTGGACCCAGCCGGAGTTCTGGTACGCTATGGCACGGAAGCCTCGGAGTTTTGCACACTAATAAAAAGTAGCCGAGGCACAGAACAAGCACTATCATAATTAAAGTTTACAGTGGTCATGGGTCGTAAAATAGGTATTCCGTCCCCTACATGAACCGGAATTCTCGTCTGTTGACTTTCAAACTCCGAAAAATGAACAACCGCGGCGATCGTCGACGTCGCCTCGCAAAGGTATCCATCATTCGCTACAGCATGGATAGAATGTTATTATTGACCAATACCATTGTGCCAGGCATGCGATCATTGTCGGAAAGGCAAGGTCCGATGCGACGGATCCCGGCCAGTTTGTGGACGTTGTCGGGATTGTGGAAATGAATGTCACTATGCAGATGTTGACAAGCCCGATCCACGTCAACGCCGATCTAGAATCCCATCTCGAAACTCGACAGGTCTTTCAATTGGGAAAGATACTTTTGACGGAGTCAATGCTGCCTCGGCGTTGCTGTCAGACTCTGCAGTCGTCCAAACAGTCGCTCTTCCTCAGTTACATCTTCAAGCCCATGGTGAGCTTCACAGCTTCACAGAGTCAAGTCCTGCTCAGACCTTGGCAGCAACGGATACAAGCCCTCGGGATACGATAGTTGGTGGCAATGGAGATATACGCTACTTTGGTAGGTTTGCATGATCAGCCATACGTCCAAAAGCTTAATCAATGTGTCAATAGGCCCGCCATCGGGCATATCCCTTGTGTCGACGGCCACTCCACGGAAATCAGGACAGCATACGCCAGAATCGTGGTCCAAATGGACTCATCCATCTATCGAGCCCTTATTCACAAAACGGGTCATGAAGCCTCTTCCATCTTGGACTGAGGCATTCTCGCTTGTCAGCGAATTCTTCACTCATGAACATCAAGTCTTCCCTTGCTTCAATGCACCGGCATTCATGTGCCTTCTGGGACAACAGTATTCAGGTGCATGTACTGAGAGTCCAACGTGGTGGGTCTCGCTCAATTCTGTTCTCGCAATTGCACAGCGTCGTCGGGCAGAGGCAGCTCAATCAGCAGAAGCAGATGATCTGGCCTGGGCCTATGCATCAAATGCACTTGCCGGGACATGGGATGTCCTCATGCGCAGTACACAATTGTCTTCTGTCCAAGCTCTCCTAGCTATTGCATGGTTCTTCATTGGAACACCAAACCCGCAGCCGAGCTTCATGCTGGTTGGTTGTGCCGTGCGTCTTGCACACTCAATAGGCATACATGTCGATTCCCAGGATCCATCCTTAAGTCCAGGCGAAGCATACATGAGAAAGAAGGTCTTTTGGATCGCGTTGTGTCTAGACCGGGAACTCTGTCTCCGGACTGGAAGACCCCCTTGTCACGACCTCAATGCTGCCTACGTTGACCCACCAATGGGTTCCTTGGATGAAACAGAAGTCATCAAGACTGTTGAGGGGCTTGAGTTGAACCTCTTCAAAGGGCAGATGCAGCTGGCTGTGATCCAAAGCGCCATTTACCAAGATCTTCACTCAAGCAAATCGCCACCGAGTGGCATTGCAAACTCAGTGGCGGGCTTGCTGCAGAAGCTGGAGAACTGGCGTGCTGAGTTTGCACCATCTCTCACCCATGATTTTGCTGGGAGGTGTGAGCATCACGGCTTGATGCGTTTGTACTTTTCCTACTACAATGCCGTCATCGTGGTAAACCGCGCGCACAGTCTAACTTATTGGGTGTCACCGAATCATCCCGAAATGTCAGCCCTGCCTTCAGAGATGAGAGATTCCATAGAGAATTGTCTCAACGCATCCCGATGCATCATTGGATTAACCAAGCTTATACCAGGCACATGCAAGAGCTTTCACTGGTAAGTTTCATCAGGGTCGCAGCTCTGTATAATCACTAATTGAACCAAAGGGATGTCATTCCAATACCTATGAGCGCTGCTGTTATTCTCTGCATTAAGACACTTCGGAATCCTATGAATGAGATTGCGGGGAATGACATGCATTCAGTTGGTGACGTTCTGCAGATTTTCAAAACTCTAGATGAGGCATACGGGAATACTTACCTTACTCAAGTCCAAAAGGTTTGCCAAGAGCTATACAGAAAGGCTCAGTACGCCGTGCAATCTTCGAATGAACAATCGGTTGAGTCTATACATGTAGAAATTCCGGCATTTCGAGCTTCCTCGAATGCCAATCGAGAAGAGAGCCACCAGACGCACCAAGATGCTAATAATAACACGTTTGAGTTCAATCTGGATGTCTTGGAGCAGACGATGCCTTATCCGGTTCCTATGCTTTGGGACTTAGATACATCACTATGGACTTCTCTTATGTAGGCCTAGTTCAAAAGGTATTTACTGCCAATAGTAGAATTACTGTTGTGAATGAACAGATCTTGAGTGATAGATGGTCAAGGAGCCACCCGGTTTAAGTGCGCAAAATGCTGAAACACGAGGTGACTGAATTAGATGGCGAATCAACTCCTAGCCGTTTAAGGAATAACCCAGCAGCCGAAGATTTAGTTACCGAGACTGTGATGTATTAAATTCCATTATTTGAAATGCATTAGGCTTGCTTTTTAACAATTTGCATGGTGGTACCGGGTAAGTCTGTCGGCAAAACTAACAGAATTCGCCCACGTAAGAGACCCACCTACAGTAAGCGAGGTGCAATGGTTGGCTGTAGTTTAACGGAAGAGGCTAGGTTAATCCAAATTTAGCTAATGGCGAATGGGTTCAATCGTACAGGCCCCATATAGCTGACCTGATTTGCAAGTTTTCTGACCTTTCGTTCAAACGCCATAGCCATGGACTTGGATAACAAAAAAGAGGCAATGCTGGATTGCAGATCGAAGATGGGAACTGCCAATTATGAAAGAGAATGAATCTACCTAATACCTTGATACTTTATGGTAGTCTTGTGTCAAACGTTAAATGGCATCAGTATGTGACATTTAATACAAGAAGTACCTTCTTCGCCTCTTCTAACAGCTAATAATAAAAGTATAACTTTCATGTCGACACTCAACATCATGACGAAGAGCTGCTGTAAGTATTCTCTGCTGTATTTCCGGTTAACGCGGCCGGAAGTTGCGTGCCGCAACTAGTCTCGGCACAAAATCCCGGATCTAGCGTTAAACTAGACCTTGGCGGCGGAGCAAAAACTACATCCTGTCGCATAGCTTTGTTTCCAAGGTACCATGTAGCCACTTAAATCAGGAATTTTGCGCACAGGTACGTAAGCCTAGGCAATATTACCTCCACTAACCAGGGAATAAGACCAAAGATGTGTAAGAACGGGAAGTATAGCTTGGAGGAGTGTGCAACCTTGATTGAATGACGACGTTGGTGCAATTGTGCTTGATAAATAGTTCTGACGAGACCATGACAACCAGTGAGTGGCTCTGCCATTTAGTTTGCATGTTAAAAAGTATCAATCGTGAAAATGGTTTCGCAACACGTCTATGACCTGTGCCAAGCAAGAGAAACGGTGAGCTCAGTCTTGGCAACTGATCCGAGCCAGACACCAGGAAATATTATTAAGAAACTATACGGTCATCACGAGCACGGACTGCACCACAAAATCTCAGCCAAAGAGGACACAGACAAAAACGAAGATGCCATCGAAGCAGCCCTCCAATGTGGTCGTTGGGGCCCGTCGACTCCAAGTCCCTTATTCCTCCAAGCATTCGCCGACTCTCTACAATGCCTGAACGAAGACCCAATGGCAGGGGTCGTTTCGCCTCCATTGATGGGTTCCCATGGAACTATGCCCCTGACAGTCATTGCTCCCCTTGCGGATGTCATGCGCCACTGCTCAAATCTCATCGTGCGGGCTGAGAAGGAAGTCTTCTTCATCACATGTTCATGGGCACCCTCAGTAGCGCAAGCTCTAATTAAGGATTCCCTGATCGAACTCTCGAAGCGAGCTGGAAAGAAAGGGAGACGAGTGGTTGCTAAGATTATGTATGACAAGCCAGGACCATGTAACGCTATAAACCCACATCAGTTTGTCAAACCAAAGTCGTACACCTCAAAGACGATCGATTTGCCTTCGCCTGAAGAAATTCCCAACGTCGACCTCGAGGTAGTCAGCCTGCACCGCATATTACTAGGTACCATCCACAACCCCTCTTTCGGCATAACCCCTCTTTCGGCAAGCAAAATAAAAAAAGCTTCACCAAAACTCATCAACTTCACTTACACAAATATTGGCCAAAATAAATAGCTACTTGGAGGACAATGCCTTTGCTGATTATAGAAATGATTGGAGTTAACGATTGTAGCCCTCTAAGGCTGTGCGGGGTACGCGATGTATGCATACCGTGATATGGAAATAGTGTTAATTCGATCATCAAGTTCTTCACCGCTCTTTTCTGTGTTTTTTGGCCTTTATCTGCGACAACATATGAAAATGCCTAGGTCAAGACTTCGATGGAAATACACAGAGGAAGATATGGCAGAGGCCATATTGGATGTTACTGATAATGGTTTTTCACCTCCTCAAGCCGCTCAGAGACGGGGAGTGCCTCGGAGCACTCTAATCGACAGACTTAACGGCCGCGGGGCCGTGAAAGAGCAGGTCCACCCTTATCGACGCTTGTCCAAGAGCCAAGAGGATAGGCTCGCTTTCTGGATACTCCGTCAGGAGTCTTTGGGCTATGCTCCGTCCCACAGTCAGATCCGCGCTTGCGTCATGGGCCTGCTGAGACAGCAGGGCGAACATCCCGACTTAGGACGCAACTGGGTGAACAAGTTTATCAATCGCCGTGCAGACCTAAAGACCAAGATGGGCAGACGTCAAGAAGCCAAGAGGTTCGACTCTTTCACACCTAGAGCGGTTCATTGGTACTTTGATATCAGGGAGGGCCAATATGGTTGGATCAAGCCTGAAAACACCGTCAACGTTGATGAGGGGGGTATTATGACTGGTTTCGGCAAGCATTCACCTCTATTCCCTGTCAATGCTTGAGTTTTGGCCGACTAACCCTCTGGGTTCAGGTCTAGATAGCCTGGTCGTTGGAAGCGCGGACCCGAAGCGCAAGGCGTTTCTCAAGGGACCACAAACTCGGAATTGGACTTCATTCATCGAAGCTATCACCGCTGACGGCCGCGCTTTAGTTCCTGGCATAATATTCAAGGGGAAACAACTCCAGAAACAGTGGTTTCTTGATGAGTTCAAGCAGATAGCAGACTGGTATTATATAACATCGCCCAACGGGTGGACTGATGACCACATAGGCATTGAATGGCTTGAAAGAGTTTATCTGCCCCAGACTACGCCTGCCGACGACTCTGATGCGAGACTGATCATTTTAGATGGTCATGGAAGCCATGCAACAGTATGTTCACTATTTTCCCCACCTCAAGATCAGTGCTGAGTGATGGAAGGATGAATGGATGGCCACGTGCTTTTTGAACAACGTTTATTGCTGCTATCTACCAGCACACTGCTCTCATGGACTCCAGCCACTGGACAATGGAGTATTTAATGCGTCGAAGGCTGCATATCGACGAGAGTTGGAAAAGTTCGCTTCGTTGACTGATTCCGCTCCAATGGACAAGGTCAATTTCATCAGGGCCTACGCCAAGGCTCGCCGAGTTGGAATGACCAAGAAGAACATACTGTCTGGCTGGAGGGTCACTGGGAACTGGCCAATTTCACGTGCGAAAGCGTTACGGCACCCTGAAATCCAACAAGATGGGCCAAACGGCAACCCAAGAGTGACTCCTGAACCCAGGCCTTATCTTGGCTCGGACGATACGCCACAGACGAGCCGTCAAATTCGTGACCTTGGGTTGAACAAAACACCAAAGACGCGGAGACGGTATAACGTGATAGCCAAGGGCTTTGAAGCTCAACAGCAGACAGTAGCGGCGCATACGCAGAGGATTGCCAGCCTAGAGGAAGAATTGGCTCGGCTGAAAAGAGGGAAGAAGAGGAAGGCGGTGCCGAATCCTAACAAACGTTTTATGACTCTTGGAGAGACTCTAGCTAGTAAAGAGTGCATACCAGAAGGGGCGACTCGTTATATGCCTGTTGGGGTGGAATTTGTCTCTTCAAGCGAGCAAGAGTCAGAATCGGAGGCTGGTTCTGTCATCGAAGTCAGAGAGGAAAACATACCCCACCAACCACCCAGGCGGTCGCGGCGGGTGGCGAAAAAAACCAGAGTACAATAGATAAACCCTATTTATGATTTATGAAACGAAAAATTTCACGGATTTCTATCAATTCGGTCAAGTTCTGTGTAAGTGAAGTTGTTGATTTTTGGTGGTGGCTTTTTTATTTTGCTTGCCGAAAGAGGGGTTATGCCGAAAGAGGGGTTGTGGATGGTACTCTGCACGCCAAGTTCTGCGTCGTGGATCGCAGGATCGCTGCCGTTATGAGTAACAACACGGAAGACAACGATAACCTGGAGATGATGGTCCATGTTGAGGGACCTATAGTCGATAGCATATACGACACTGCTCTAATAACCTGGCAAAATGCTCTTTACCCAGAGCTTCCATTTCTCCAAGCACCGGCAACTGAGGGCGGATTGCATGCCTCTGCCGATGATTCCACGTCGACGGAAATCGAAGCATCACATCTACGAGACTTCACCACCATGCAAGCTGATAATGAGAAACCACTACCGGAGCACTTCCCAGACCGCCCTCACTACGATGATGATATAGAAGGAGAGGTCAGGCGCATGCAGTCATGCTACGCCCTGAAAGAGGGTGAATCGCGTCTTCAAGCAGCAAATCGCCAGCTCAACCTTGCAGTCGAGCACCCAATCGCGCCTACGGGGCCTGAGATTGATACAGGAGACGAAATGACTCCATACATCTCGACGATTGGTGATGGAAAGCCAGTTCCTATGGCTCTCGTATCTCGACCGCCATACGGAGCTATCGACTCAAAAAGCGTCCATGTGCCCCAGAACGAAGCATGGTTGTCGTTGATCAGGAATGCAAAACACAACATCTTCATCCAGACGCCAGATCTCAATGCTGCCCCGTTGATTCCAGCCCTCACAGAAGCACTGAAGAGAGGGGTAGAAGTCACATACTATGTGTGTTTTGGCTACAACGATCCAGGAGAAATGATCCCCGGGCAAGGCGGAACAAACGACCAAATCGCACAAAATCTCGTCTCATCCCTTACCAAAGATAGCCCTGAGCGCAAACTCTTACACATATACAACTACGTCGGAAAGGACCAAGACCATCCCATACATCACTCCTTCAAAGCTCGATCCTGCCATATTAAGCTTCTGATCGTGGATGGCAGTGTCGGAATTCAAGGAAGTGGTAATCAAGATACTCAGTCGTGGTTTCACAGTCAAGAGATTAATCTTATGGTTGATAGTGCGGAGATATGTCAGAAATGGAGGGAATGTATTGATAGGAACCAGAACACGAAAAGGTTTGGCAAAGTTGCTGAAGATGGCATTTGGAGGGATGCTGATGGGAAGCCTGGAAAAGGGTACATGGGCAATCCAGGGACTGTTATGGGTTTGGTTAAAGGTGTTTATGGTATGATCATGAAGATGAAAGGTGCAGGGGGCTTTTAGTAAATATGTAATGAGAATACAATATTAAATAAAAAAGGAAAACCTATTGAAATATGCCGTCACGCAGACTTAACAATTTACAGGATTGAAATGTACATTAAGCTATAGCAAATGTGTGGTAGACCCGATTGAAGGAACTGCACTTTTTCCCATCAGAAGCGACCAAAAAGCTGACATAAGGCCGCATGTAAACTCTTGCCCCTGTCTACAAACACCAATCACTGGGTCTTGTGCTTCGTATCGATGATCGACGATCATTCGACCCCGCAGCTTACAAGAGACGTCATATCTTCTCTCGCTCTTGATCTTACTCTTGCAACCAAATCGAAAATGTCGGCCTCAACGAACATTCAGTCACTTGCCTTCGAAGTTCTTGAGAATATTCTTTTCTTTGTGCGCAATGACAAGAATGGCCAAGATTCAATCAAAGAGTGCCGCTTAGTTTCACGATGCTTCCACGATGCTGCGTCGCCCTTGTTCCTCACCGAAGTTTCTGTCTGCCTTACCTCGAAATCATTCGCTCGTCTAGAAGATATTTGTTATCACTCCATTTTCAGCAAGTCAGTACAAAAGGTCATCGTCGTCACCTCTTACTACGAAACCGAATTAGCCTGCAACAGGCCACTATTTATGCTCGAAGCCAAGGCCAGACTTCTTCGACATGTAGAGACCATGGAACGCTCGAGGTCATACCGGAATAAGTACCCTCACACGCAAGCGCAATCCCGGTGGCTGTCAAATATGGCTTGGAGAACAGAGCCTGAATTCGAACAACTTTTCAGTGACCAGGTTGACGAAGCATCACCAACGCCTAACCAAAGGCTATTTCTCAAGCTTTATGATCTTTATAAAGAATTATACAACGACCAACAGCAGCTTCGAAAAGATGAAAACCACATTACCCGCTTATGTGCCGCTTTGAGTTCCTTGTCCAACCTGGTATCCTTGGAGCTTAACGACGTCAAGAATTGGGGAGGCTTGGAACATCTGGACGCTGCTGACTTTGCCCATACTGGATACGACCATGCAATACTGCAGCATTTTAGCCCTGCTTTACGTAAGTCAAGATGGTGTGGCTCTTTCAAGACAACTCACACTGCAACACCACCTGTTGAGATGCTCGGAGCGTTGTGTTCTCAGCTTGCAAAAAAAGGCCTGAGGCCCAAGATGATTCGTCTCCGCTTGGTTCCTCCGCCCAGCATGCAAGCCTGGCAACTATCACCATCGCAACAGACAGGAGTTAAGGATCTGGTTGCTCAGACCACGAAATTAGCACTATATGTGGATTTCGGTACCCGCGACTTTGAACTTGAGGATAATCCGAGGCACGAGATGCTTGCACTTTGCTCTATCACCCAGTCATTCATGAGCGCACCTCATCTAGAGATTATGCATGTTGAGTTTATTGGTTATCCTCCTCTTGATAGAAGACCGACTGTTTCTTTGGATGATATTCTGCCAGTTAACCTTTCATGGCCACGGCTTCAGACTTTGAGTCTGCATAATCAACCCTTCACAGTAATGGAGCTAAAGTCCCTGGTTTCTCGACACTCTGAGACCCTGCGCAACTTGGACTTGCAAGATTGTTGGTTGATTGAAGGGAGCTGGGCTAATATTAAGGAAATCATTCGAGATCAACAAGCTCTAGAGAAGAGTAGTGTAAAATACCCAAAAGGTGGAAATCAGGGTTAGTTCAGGGACAGAATGCTAAGCATAGGCTTTAATATGTGACTGTATTAGTAATTACTTTAGTAAGGCTACTATTGTTATCGGTGAAGAACTAATTAGGGCCCACGACCGTTGGAGATGTAAAGAGTATTAAAACTACTGTACGCGTTAGTTTGATGCAGTCATGAGCGCGGGAGGCTGTTTGGCATTAGGCCATCGGCTTTGCTAATCTCTTTAGCCACGAAAACCCCCCAGGAAGGCGAGTTCGACAAGAACTAAAAGGATTGACGTGGTATCCTCTAATGTCTTGGCGGGATCCTGGCCCTGTTGTTGTATTTTCACCCCCGAAGTCTTTGTCACAAACGGTGATGCACTAATTGAAATCATGGCATACTCCATTTGATGCCGTGCTTGTATCTTTATTGAGGGTGCAAGGTTGCCTCGTATAATCTGTGGTCTAAGGTTGAGTAGATAGCCCAACTAATAGTTGATAAATTTGCTAAGCTATATATGCTAATTTAAATAGAGTAGAACCCCTTCTTATTCCAGAACGCAATGTATCGCTTAATTATATCCGGACTTAGTAAAACATATTGAATACCGCTACCTGCAAGAGCCTCGATAGCATTTATCGAATCGTAGATCGGAGAGTGCTGGCTCACCTCAAGTCTCGTGAAGTTGCCCAAGACCTTCTCTTCTAGCAGAGGCATGACAGGTGCAAGGGGATCATCGGGAAGCATCTTTTCCGACAACTGTGCAATCCAGTCAGGATAGCTTGTGAGCTCCACTCTGTAGCCAGCTTGACAGATGAGAGAGCAAGTCTTGTTAACAGATACCGACTCTTTAAACTGTGGCGCCAGGAGGCAATATGACTTCCCGATGTTTTTCGTTGAACGTGAAATATGTAACATAGCCTTGACAACATAGTCAACTGTAACATACGCCGGATCAAGATCGAGTTTGAGCCATGCGCCAAGTTTGATGCAGCTGGAGATGAGTCGTGAAACAAGGTCATTGGGATTGCTCGCTCCCGTGACAGAATGGCCAATGATGAAGCCGGGTCGATAAATAATAATTGGGAAGCCGCGATCTCTCATGCGTCGTACCATTCCCTCAGCCGTCCACTGGCTCTGAGAGTAGCCGACATCGTACCTCACGCCTTGAATATGGGGACCCAGAGGCTCATCTTCCAAGACTCTCTTGGTTCCCAGAAAGTATCCTGTCTGACCCCATGTATCGATGCTAGACACGTAGTGAAATGTCTTCCGCCGCCCTCGCGCAGCAAGACGTAGCATGTTGCGAGTTCCAAGGATGTTGGTATTGTAGTGTTCATGATATGAGTCACAGAAATTGATCTTGGCAGCGAGATGAAAGATGGCGCTGGACCAATTGGCGAGCCACTCAAACTTGGTTGATCCAAGACCGAGATCTTGACTCGTGATATCCCCTGGGAGTACCATGATCTTGGTAGTCAAAGCGAAGTCATCAGGCCACAGATTGTATTTCTGCATGTTGGCTTGAAGGCGACGAGCAGCTTCAGCTACTGTTTGACCACGAACTAGGCAAGCAACCTGTTTGACATTTGGGTGACGCAGAAGCTCGTCGAGCAGAAAAGCACCCACGAAGCCAGTCACACCAGTCAAGAAGATTTTGCCTTCGTCTTGGTCTTCCCAGTTGAGTGTCTCCTCGACGTCATCCACCGTGTTGACGTCCTTGATCCATTTATCCGCATCGTTAGGTGCAGTGATGGACTGTGTATCACTTTTGAGGAAATGAAGCAAACTTGAAAAGCGTGAGTGGCAGTACAAATCATGCATGGAGATGAGGCGCCCAAGCTGCTTCTTAATACGAGCGATAAGAGCAGCGTTTTGGAGTGAGGTGGCGCCAAGGGCCATGAAGTCGTCATCGTCTCTGATCGGTGACACGCCTAGAATGTGCTCCCACATACCCTTTAGCGTAGCCTTTGTTGGTGAAACTGTATGATTCCCTTCCGTGAGAATCGAACTGGGGATTGTTGGTCTCGCTTTGGAGGAGCTCTCCAAAAAGGCACGACGATCAACCTTGCCTCTGGAGTCCAGGACAAGATTGTCAACGATTTCAAACCTGTCAGGGACCATGTAATGCGGGAGTAGGCGCCGGGCAAAGGATATCAGATCTTGCGATTTTGTAGTAGTTTTGTCATAGGGCACGACAAATGCGATCAGAACCGCAACACCACCCGAATCTGTTGCTGGCTGATTCACGACAACGACAGATTGAACAAGTTCGCTTTCGAGGAGACTTCTCTCAATCTCTTCCAATTCTACTCGGAAACCTCCGTGCTTCAACTGATTGTCTTTGCGCCCAAAGAAATCTAAGCCGCCGCCGTCTTCTCTCCATTCTGCCATGTCGCCAGTCCGGTAAAACCGAATGTGCGAGTCGCCCCGGCCTTTCAGCATGTCCCCGTCAACACCATTGGCTGCCGGGGTATTGAGCTCGATGAAAAGTGACTCATCACGAGTTTGTTGACTCAGATAACCTTCTGTTTGTTGGGGGCCAGCGATGCAGATCTCGCCTCGCTGCTTGGTATCGCGAATGACCTGTTGAGATTGATCCATGAGGACAATCTTCATCTGACCAACAGAATGCCCGATACCAACCCGGTCACGCAGTGTTTCCTTCATATCAACTTCGCGCATTGTCGCAAGAGTTGTACACTCAGTCGGACCATACGTGTTCCAAAGATGCTGTGGCGGGTTGTGCTCAAGAACAGCACGCATGGCCGTCTTATTGGCAACATCACCTGCAGTGAGCAGATGCCGAAGACAATGAAAGGAATCAGGCGATGACGTGGCGACGATATGAAAAAGAGCGGCAGGCATTATCATGATAGAAATCTTTTGACGTTCGAGATAGCTCTTCAGCGCAGTAGAATCGACCACTATCACCTTTGGGATAATGACGATAGTGGCACCGCTGAGAAGAGTGACCCAGACTTCGAAGAGACTCAGGTCAAAACCAGGGTCGTTGAAAGCAGCCACCCGATCTGTGAGGTTCAGTGGTGTCATTGGGGTACTAGTTGCCAGGTGCATTATGGCCGAGCTGCTGATCTGGACGCCCTTGGGTTTACCAGTTGAACCAGAGGTGAAAAGTATGTGCGTACGACGAAATTCATTCCATGGGGAACCAGAGTCAGTCGCGCCATTGGAAGATCCCGAGGCCGACCCATCACTGAGATGGAGCAGAGTGATACTCTCGGAAGAGAAGGTTGAGTTCTCGTCAGCAATAACGTACTGAACGTTGGCATCATTCAACATGCTTGCAGTGCGATGAAATGGTGCTGTAGACGAGATTGGAACACAAGTTCCACCAGCAAAGAGAATGGCCAACTGTGCGATAATTTGTCGATGATCAATGTCGAACATGATCCCGACAGGATCACCTTGCTTGAAGCCGCGTTCCTGAAGGAAGCGTGCAAATGTTTTGGCGGAATCGATGAGTTCGCCATAAGAGATAGAGCGAACACCATCAATGATAGCAATGGCTTCTGGAGCTGTAGCACGCCAAGAAAGAATTTTATTCTCCATTGTTATGTTTTTGATGAATGGTAATTGCAGTGTTGGAAGATATAATGGCAAATACTGAGTCAGTCTTTATTATTGGTATACAATTCATAGATTTCGCGTCTTGAATACCTTCTTATCCTTCGCTACTACGCATGAAAAAGACCGTGCTAGATACGCAGCGTGGTCTTGTTGGGTTAGAGAGTTTCTTGTAACGGTTGTTGGTTGTAGACAAACACAAGCCTGCAGAACAATGGCATCCCATTTTTGGCTAATGCAGCGCTAAGAACGGTTTGGCAACCTCGAGATCTCCGCAAGTGGGCGACTACGACTGCGATTTGACGACATACGCCATAACTGAATCCTGAAATACAGGCTGGTCATGTCTTCTAATGAAGGTTGGGTCGTCATATATGATATCTCGAAACAAACATCACGCCCGGACTGACGGACTTGATGGATTCGTGGAAGATCCTGCAAGACATTCTATTGTTCTCAACCGGGTCACTTCCTATTAGCTATGTGTAATCCATGCCATGCCATGGTACGATGTTGGCTGAGCAATGTCCTCTTGCACCTCTAGTGTACTTGGCAAGCATCATGTTTGCCATATTTTGGCCGTCAGAGAGATTGAGGAGGGCCATGCTTGCCAACACTTCACCGCTACATGTTGCAGTCGAAATATCTGTGGGGGTTTGAAAGGAGCTAAACAATTGGGGTAAGTCAAAAGAGAGCAGCATGTGGTATTCGGTGCTTGTTTAAAGCGCATTGCTTCGCTTTAAGCTGCCAACATCCGCTCACCTTGACAATCATAACTTGTATTTTTACTTCCTCGTTCCAAGCCGATAGAAGGAAATACATCATGCCAAAACCAGACGCACTTGAACATAACCTGCAACTCATCCTTGAGGATCGGCAAAGGAAAGGCTGGCAGCTTGAGCCACCAGCCCCAGGCAGTTTGAACGACATGGTTGATTTTGGCTCAAATGACACCTTGTCCTTGTCCTCTTCTGGACTCTTGGGAAAGGAATTTCTCAGTGAGCTTGGAAAGTACCCCAATTTTATGCTCGGTGGAAGGGCGTCCCGTTGGGGTGAAGGCTCAACAGATTACCTTTTCCAACTAGAAGAGCATATTGCTCGATTCCATAAAGCAGAGAGTGCTTTATTCTTCAACACTGGATTTGAAGCAAATGTTGCTATCTTTTCAACACTCCCCCAGCCGCATGATGTCGTGCTGTATGACAGCCTCGTCCATGCAAGTACCCGTGAAGGATTGTACAGGGGACGTGCAACTGCTCTTTCCTTTGCCCACAACGATCTGTCAAGTCTGCGCCAACGTTTGCAGACCATCAAGCATCAGTATGAAAGAGTTAGAACGGGTCTAGCTCTTGTATTTGTTGCACTGGAGTCTTTCTATAGTATGGACGGCGATGTGGCGCCCCTAGAGGCGATTGTCAGGGATGTAAAAGAGCAGCTTCCCATTGGAAATGCCGTCTTTGTGATCGACGAGGCACATTCGACGGGCTTGGTGGGCCCCCAGGGGTCAGGCCTTGTGTCTTGCTTGGGTCTGGAGAAAGAGTTCTCTATTCGAGTTCATACCTTTGGTAAAGCACATGGTGCTTCTGGTGGTAAGCTCCAAGTCCAGTTTCAACTCTGATTGATTATTAAATACTTACTCAAAGTCATAGCTGTTGTTTTGACGAGCCGAGAGTGCAAGCAAGTTCTACTCAGTTGCGTTCGTGGACTCATCTTCTCCACGGCAGCTACCTTCACCACGTTGGTGGCAGTCAAGGCTGGGTATAGCATTCTGGCAGGTATTGAAGGCGAAAGAGTACGTCACAGAGTCGCTAATTTATCTCATGCATATCTGCTAATCTGGGTACCTTAGAGACGAGATCTCGTGCAGTTCAACATCAATCTATTCTACGATGCTGTCAGCAGGCATGCAGCATGGCCAAGCTGCCAGCACCTCGGTATTATTACTATTCCAATGAAGCCAGCATCCGATACTCTCAAGTCACCCATTGTCCCCATCATCGCTCCTCGCGGCGAAGCAGCAGCTCTAGGACAGTTTTTAAACAATGAAAAGTTTCGCGTTCTTGTTGTTCACTTCCCCGTCGTGCCCAAGGACAAGGAACGAGTTAGGATCAATCTGCATGCAGATCACACACCTGAACAGATTCTGTCACTAGTCAATCTGATCCTTGAGTGGACTCAGTCACGCCGAAAGGTTGGCACGCATCTCTCTCATCTCTAATTAATTGTATTCTACATTATATCAACTTTAGAAATTGGAGAAGCCTCTCAGATCTCTTTTTAGCTTCTAATTAGCTTTAATTTAAATTATATTAAGAATTTATTAAATTCTTAATACATAGTGTATTAATTTCCTTAGCGGCGTTTAAATCACGTGATTGGAATACGTGGTAAAGTTTACCAGGATATATTTTATTCCAACAAAATGCAACCTGTAATATAAAGCCTTACTTATTTTCCAGAGGAAACAATGCAGAGCACTACAAAGTCAGCCCGTATAAGCAAGCCAAAGGTCAGAACGGGATGCATTACTTGCAAGTATGTATAATTAAACAAGTGGATCTTTTATAGTTATGCTTGCTGATTAAAGTCTTAGGATTAGGAGAGTTAAATGCGACGAACTACAGCCAGCATGTCATCGGTAAACTCCTATTCAATAATATTCTGAATTCTCCGAGTTAAGACTGACTACCCAGATGTACAAGTACCGGGAGAAAATGTGATGGATATGCATCAGCCCCAACGCATGTTGGCCTAACAGTACCCCCCAGTCTCAGTCGCCTGACTTCGAAAGAGGCTAGAGCGCAGAAGTTCTTCTATCATAAGACCGTCCCGCAATTATCAGGATTCTTCGGCCGTCCATTCTGGGACACTGTACTACAGTTCAGCCTAACAGAAGCCTCAATACGGAATACCAGCGTCGCATTGGCAACACTTCACGAACAACATAGCACCACCATGTCACGAACCACCACTCAAAGGGACAATTTGAAATTCGCCATCCATTCGTATAACCGGGCCATCAAAATGATACTAAAGAACGCATCAGATCCAACATCGATACACTTGGTTGCCGTCGCAAGCATTGTATTCACCTGCTTTGAATGCCTCTGGGGTGACTCCAAGTCTGCCGCTGCCCATGTCGCAAGCGGCATTGGGCTGTTGAAAATGCTCCGCGAGAAGTCTGGCCAGCCTTCTGGCTCATGGGGCCAGCATTACCGGAACTTCGAGCTTGCCTTTGTGGAAACCCATGTTGCGCCCGTCTTATGCACGCTGGGTCTTTGCGTCGCCGAGTTCGGGTATACCGCCGACCTATATCTCAATGTGGTAGATGTTAACGGATGTCCTGTCTTTGATCAGCCTTTCCGAGAGCTGCCACAGGCTAGAGTCGGGATAATTGACATTATCACTGCTGCCATGAAGACTCACCAGGACGGTTCCCCAAACCCTCAACTTGGTAAGGCTGCACAACTTAGAGCCGCGCTCGAGCTGTGGAAAATGCGATTTGAAGATTTGGTTCTGCGACAAGAACATCTATGGGACCATGAAAAGCTCAGTGCCGCCAACCTTGTCCGCGTAATGTGGCAGGCCACGGCGGTAGGCCTTTCAGTTGGCCCATCAGCCGATGAGACAGCGTGGGATGCGCATAAAGCGGCATATGAGGAAATCATCCGGCTTGTGGAGTCGCTGGTCGTACGCCCCGGAGATGTGCAAGGATTGCCGCGCTTTCAATTTGAGATGGGCCTCATATCTCCATTGCATCTTGTGGCGTGGAAGTGTCGATGGCCGTCTCTTCGCCGAAAGGGCTTGGCATTGCTTCGCGCCAGTTCAAGACGGGAATGTCTCTACGATTCTCAGCTCTACTACGCTGTGTTCTCACGCATCATGGAGATTGAGGAAGGCTGTCTGAGCCAACAACTAGGCCTGCGGTCTGTCGACTACGATTTGCCGCCTGAGCAGGCTCGCATCCATCACTTTGTCTGCGAAGCTCTTTCTTCGGCAGAGGATAGCATCTACTCTCTAAGGTTATTCTCAAGGCCGAACTGGCCTACGACTGAATGGCGTCTTCAAACCGAGCATATATGTCTCAACTCGTTTTTGGGTCAGGAAGATGGCGTTTCTTTGCCAGCCGCTCCGACGATGGCAAGGCCACCAGTCGTGAACCTGTTCAGAACAGGACCCATTTTAACAATTTCGGAAACCAATGAATTTCAGACTACAATCTAGTAGGCTGGGACTATCCCTGAAGATCAATTTATCATTTGTTAGAATTCAGCACATCCTCAACCTTGACACCACGCTTGGACAAACGGCAATTGGCCTAAAGAGGCGCCTGCAACCTCATTTACATACTCACTTCTCCCATGAACAGGAGCGTCATACGAATTCACAACAGATACGTCTTTATTATGCCAGATTGACACTGAAGTGGAAGTCTCCTTGTGAGGTCTCAGCGTGAAGTCGTGGCCCCACTGGAAAGCTCAATTTTGCTGGCTCCGATTGGCTTGTTCGCACAATTGAAGCTCGTAAAAGTTGGCTCCACCCAAGTCGAAACCACAACATCTCCTACGCATGGACTCAACCCGCAACGAGCTGCCAAAGACAAATGCCGGCAGTCCTATTTCGATACCAACACATCAACTTGGTTTTCTCACATTATTATGCTAAATCCCTTCGCAAGGCCACTAAATAAGCTTCGATGCACGGCCCGGATGCATCACCTAATTGTAGTCGCGTGACGGTGAATGTGAGACACTGACCATCAGGTGAGAAGGTCACCAACCATATTCAATCGCCATAACCACTCGAGAGTCAGCGATCTTCGTCATAAAAACTAATAGAAACCGTGTTAGCGTCAGTTCCTCGAGCTAATGCCTGCCTCGATGAGACCTGGGCGTCCAGGTCGGTGTTCACGAGGGGAGGAGCCGTCCATAGATCAGTTGAGGTCTGGTTTAAGATGGCCATGTGAGACCCAAAGGCTTCCATTTGGATAATAGGGAATATCGCTAGAGAAACTCAAATGGCTTGTGAGTATTAGCGGTGTAAATCCATGGAATGGATAAAACAAATCCAGTGCTGTCAGTTATATGGGGAGTGCACTGTAGCTCTTTACTTATTACTTACTATTGGTTTTATTTAATTGGGATAGAAGTTCGTTTTAAGTTTTAATCGTGATCCAGTACCTAGCTAAGTGCGAGGTAAAAGATGTAAGCTCTAAATCAGAAACTCGCTTATTGCAGCTATGTACACTGGACTTCCCCACAGTGACCATCCGGAGGTTGGGATTTAGAGTTTCAATAGCTTAAACTTACTCCAAGGCCTTACGATGGCGCTCTTATAGCCTCGTTGGGGCCCCGGATTACGAGTATCTCAAAAGAGACGCCCGCTACGAGTTATTGTGCCAGTCGACTCATGGACAATTTACAGCTTGTTTACCTTAGAAACCGTACCAAAGACTTACCAATTCTCAATGAAGGTATCACTCGTTCTCTACGTCCTGGCGTGTGCCTTCTCGGCCATGGCCTCCAACATTCGCCGTAAGCACTCTAACAACGCCGACAACAACGCGGAGGACTTCCATCCCCACGAGGACATCCCCCACATTTCCAAGTACGAACACAACAAGTACTACGATGAAGAAACCGATGAAGTATCGTATCAAGGCAAGCCTATGACCTGCGTCCCCCGCAAAAAACTCGAGGCCCTTCTCAACCAGTACATCTCGACCTTCTCAGGTATCGAAGACGGCGGCAGGATGGCCAAGAAGACCTTTGATGAGGACCTCAAGATCTACTCCCAGACCCGATGGTGGATAACCACTGCCGTAGGCGGTGATCTTGACAAGAATATCAAGAAGTGGGCCAAGGCATGTTGCCTGTTCTCTCAGACCTTATGCCCAGTCCGGGGACATATTCTAATACTTCCTCACAGGCCGATAGTTTCCCTCCAATCTTTGAAAATCGCGCCCAGTTTATTAAGGCACTTATCCGCAAGAATAATCCTAACCAATGGAAGAAGGGATTAGTCACCTACGGTTGCAATACCTTCACCTTCTACTGGAAGGGCGACTTCTCGATCCCTGAGTACCCAACCGTAGGCCGCACCTATGGCATCCACATAGTGTTCGTGAACCCTAAGACCAGCAGGGTCAATAAGGTGTACGCAGAGTATAACTCACTAAACCATATGTATAACCTTGGCGCTCACATCACTTGGGCTAAGGATCCCGTGTGCTGCGATTGCCCTCCCTTTGTTACTAGCTGCAAGTGTCCTATTTAGTAGGCGCTGGAATGATAAAGCCTGGATTTTCCCTGTCAAATGTGGAACCCGATATCCAGCCTTTCCAATATTCAGACCTCTAGACTTAACTTGGCAGAGGGGACTGCATTTGGGGGTCTCTTTCTGCTAAACAATTAGCAGATCGGATGAATGGAGAGTTGACTCCTAACAATACTTAGCTATAGACAATACAAGAGGGGACTCCAAGTTTTGACTTATTTCAGACTTTAATAAGGTACTTGCCAAGGCAAAACCAACCTCTATTAAGGGTAGATGCAGTCCTTATTATATAAGGATATTAAGCCTACTTATTATTATATTTATTAGTTAAGCTATTAATATTTAATTTATATAAGAGAGTTATTTTATATTAGTAAATTATAAATTAGGTAGTGCTTTTTTTATTTAATTAGATAATATTTTTTAATAAATAGGATTATAAATATTTATATCCCTAGTTTAAATTACTGCTTTTTTACTAATTTTACTTTATTTATTTTTATATATAAGGTCAATTAGTTATATGCCTTGTTATATATATTTAATTAATTAAACTAGTTATAACTTTAGGTTAATTTAACTATTACTAACTAATTTATATAAATTAGTAATTTAAAAGCTGCTCTTTAGTAATATTAGCTGCCCTTATAGATATATTAAGGAGCTACTCTTTATATATAACTAAGTTTAGGCTTATAAAGGTAATAAAGAAAGCTATTTTAGTTAATTAAAGCAAATAGCCTTCCTTTAAGGCTATTTCTAAGGCTTTAAGACCTTATAACTTATTATTAACTTAATTTAAAATAGTTAAATTAATATCATACCTTTCTTTTATATAATTAATTAACTAAATTAGGCTATAATTAAAAATAGCTCTTTTAATAAGGTTAAATTTACCTTTTAATAAGAAGGTTTTTATAATAATAATTATTATTATATAAATTATATAAAGTTCTTTTTTATTAGCTACCTTTAAAGTAGGCCTAATAGCTAGATTAAAAATATAATTAATTATCCAATAAGTATAATTATACAATTATAGGCTATTTTATATAATAAGTATTAAGGTAATATAATTACTATTTTATTACTAAAAAGGGTTAAAAAAGTAAGTTAAGTTAGATAATATACCTTAGAAGTATAATAAATAAATTAGGTATAGTATATTATAAAGGTTAATTAAGGTATAATCCTTTAGGTAAGTTAACGGAAAATGGTTAATTTAGCTACTAAGAGGTAACTAGTAGGGATGATCCCCATTCATGTGGCTTCTGGCCCGCCACGCATGAGAACAAGGCGCCACATGCATGTTAGGTAGTGACCATTATGCAATGCGATTCGAATCCTCTTCATGTACCCGAGAATCGAATTGGGAAGATGATCACGACAACAAAGATGAAGAATCTGTGCGTTAGCCATGACATCATCCAACTAAAATATAAGGGTCTTATTATATTAATAAGAAGATAATGAAAACAGATCTCTTTCAATAAAATTAAAAAGAAATGTTTATTATTTTTAAAAATTAAAGTATAAATTTATAAAGGTTTAAATACTTATTTTTGCTATTATTTATTATAATATATTTATAATACTTATTTTTAACTCTTTTTATATATAATTACATATTTTATTTTTATTTTTAAAATAATTTTAAAATAAAAGATATATTAGATATAACGTTATTATAATTTGCTTATTTTATTACTAATTATTAAAGGCTCCCTTAATATATAAGGAACTTTACTAGCCCTGTTTTTATATAGAATTAAGACTCTGTTAACCCTCTTTTATATAACCCTCTACTATGCGTGCTATAGTTACTGTTGTTGCTGCACTGTGCATGCGTTAAAACAGCCCTGGCATGGTAGCTTCAAGTGCTGGAGCGGGGATGTGGTAACGCGCGTGATAATCTTTGGCTCCTTGGCTACAATTAACTAAAATAAGGCTTTAACCTTATTTTAATCTAGTGTCTTGCAGATAATAGAACTCTAAATATATATCCACAGGAATAAAGCTTCTTATCCTCCTATTACTCCAGCCAGGATATCAGCACAGGTGACAAGATATTGATGTCTTGGACCAGAGAAATACTACCTAGCATGTATTAACCGAGAGCTTAGCAACCAAGCCCAAAAAAAACACTGTAGGCACTTTAGGCCTTGCAGCATACTTATACTCAATCCTCTCGCTCTAGCCGAGATGTGAAGAACCTGATACTATATCTAGATCCCTAACTCTGTATAAATCCATATCTTTCCTTTTGTTGGTTATTGTAGCCTCCTGAAAAGTAGGCACTGATTTGTCGTTCGAGGCTGGCGTCTCTGGGTTTGCATATCTCCTCAGGCTGCTAAGATAGGTAACGCTTTTGCTATCCTTGCTATAGAAACTGAAGCGATATGTTGCGCAGCTTGGACCGCCCCCTCAGTACCTTCTCCTACTTGAGTTATTATCGACTTTCTTAGCGTCGCGTTTGCGATGGTGTCGGGTCTGACTGATGAAGTACTTGTTAGTCACGATAGCGAGCTTAGTCTGTTCGGATAGTTGAAAGTTTTGTGGGACCTCAAGGTGTTTGTTCGGCGTGCCATTTTGATGTCGGCGATCAGTTTCGTAGGCGCGCTTCTCTAGTGTCGAGTGTAAGGGTCGGGGGAATGGAAGACGGAAGGGCGTACAAAAGGATTGGATATGGTATCTATCATATTGGACAGCAGGAAGGGAATTTATCTGGCCACCGAATTGAAAATCATTGCAAGAAATATGACGATGAGTGAAGTTGTCATTCCCCATGTGCGAGTTCACCTACGATAGGTGGCAGGCATCACAAGTTTGGCTGAAACAGCGCCTTGGAGTTCATCAACGGACACAGTCTTACATCTCAGACAGCGAGCAAGGCGAGATCAGATCTTTCCGCCCTAATTCATTGCGGTAGCTTGAAACTTCATCAACCACATCTTCAAGTTCAAAGCTCCCATGAAAACACTGACCCCTCACCTTGTGTCGCCCCGGAATATGAGGTGACGCGTCCTCTTTGCTTTTTCCACGATGCGACTGGTGTTCCTTTGTTGCAACCTGTTTGGCTCTCGCCCTATATTTCTGGAAGCTTTGTGCAAAACCTCCTGCCTTCCTCTGCCCCCACCCACATCATCCAGAACCCGTGCATTACAAAGCCAGACCACACCGCTAATGGCTCGCTCCCATTTTTGTCTAAGCTCTTTATAGAGCGCTGTACCACTTTTGCAATGTTAACCCACCCGCCTCGCTCTTTGCACTTTGCGGCTGTTGAAGCCCCAAATCCTATCTTTCTACATTCCTTTCCAAAAGCTTGAAAGAAAGCTTTGCTAAAGTTTGCAGCATACTCGTCATCCATGGCCCACAGAGTTGACACAGTAGACGCCGCACCTGAGTAGAGTAGCGCCGGAATAAGCCCGAACGGCTCGTCACCAGAGGTAATGAAGGCAGCGGCGCCGGAGCAGACGAGGAGATTGAGATGGGTGCCTAACTGCAATGTATCTTGTAGAGAGAAGGCTTCTCGAGCGGTCAATGCATAGGAGTCTCCGTCGAAGGATACTTCATCTTTTGCGGGGTTTTTCGACAGATATTGCAGAGCAGGACGAGGAAAGGTGATGCAGTGCTTCAACGGGTCTGCACTCTCCCACTCGCAGTGAGACTGCAAATGAACCATGCGAGTTTTGCGCAAATTATCCAAGAATTTGGCTTTGGTTGCATTGGCAGAATGAAGTGCGGGCATGTTGCTGTACTGCTTGCTCAGGGATAAGATCATCTCATGGCCAGCCTTGTGGGTCGGCTGTAGCTCCCCTTGTTGGTAACTAGCACCATTCATAAAAAAGGGATTGATACCAATCCCTGACTCGACGACAGCTTTGCTAGCCCAAAAGCAGGGCCGGAGGAGTGAGTGACTGTGTATGTAGACCACGGGGTTGCGGTGGATGAGTGATATGTCAGTTGCTTGCCCATCAACAACCTGTTTGACATTCAAGGCATGTAAAGGTATTCGATGGAGGACGTCTGTTGGACAGAGAACCAATAAGTCTCCCGGCTTAGTCCTTCTTTGCAAAGGCTCGACAAGGCTCGAGATTTTCCGGATACACTCTGTTCGAGCCGCTTCATCCTGAAGAGCAGGTCGGGATGAAATGGATTCGTCCAATGGTTCCTTCTTGTCGATGAATTTCGTAATCCAGTCGAAGACTTCCTCTGGTGTCGTGGTCAATTGATCCACCGTTGGAACTGATCCAGCTCTTCTGGTAAACAATAGAAGACAAGGTCTCATGCCTTCATGGAATCCTGGAAGATAAAACCAGTCGACAAACACAACAGCGGTGTCCGTACCTTCAGATATCTCCTCTAGGTCGTCAGACGAGAGGTGTTTGCCCTCTCGTGAGTCGAGGAGACGCTTCAGCGGATCGTGCTTCTTCATCTTCTTGACATGTTGATCAAGTTCAAGTCGAAGATGATACCTCTCGCAGGGTTTCGTTTTTGTGATTTTGGAGCGCATCTCACACAAGCGGAAATACAGACCGGAAAGAAGGTTCGACTTCTCCAGACTACTGACCATAGAAGAAGGGTCTGCCCTACTCAACCCTATAGTGCTCGCAAGGGATTGCCCTTTAGCCTTTTGGACCCACTCCCACATCATTGATCGTTCACATTCATCGATATTTGAGCTTCTTTCCATGATAAGGCTAAGTGCTACCTGCGCAGTCAGTGATGGATCATTGGATTTGGCTATGCGTTGACGGCCGATAAAACCTTTGAGTCCGGCTGACCACGAGGCTTCCAGCTCCTCCCGGTCAAAGTACTCATCAGCTTTTTCGAGAAAGCCGAGGCCAGTGTCCCTGAGCTCCGTGAGCAATGGGTCATCTTCGCGTTTCCGGATTGCCTTATGGAGCTTTACGAGGTACACCCGGGCCATGCTGCGCTGGCAGAGCGCGACGTCGTCCGACATGTTCTCCCGCAAATATCCATCGAGCGATAGAGCGTAATACCGTTCCGCCTTTTCGACGTATTCCCATTGTCCGTCCATGAGTGCCTCCTGCGATGAAAGGCACAAGTTCAGGCAGGTGTCTGCAACTTGATTTTGATATGCGAGACGATGTGAAGCGAAGTAACGCCTGACTGGTTTGTGTAGCCCTTCCATCATGTTGAGGGCCCGCTCGCATTCAGCCACAACCCAGTCATGGAAATTTCCATGCTCTAGACTCCAAATCCTTATATCCTGCAGCATAAGAAGTAGACTCTGCCGGCCTGTCACAGTTGATTGGGATGATGTTTTAAGCCACCTGGTGAAAGCAACCACACAATTTCCCCAGGTTTCTGCAGTCACCGGGCCTAACCCATTAGGTGTGGTCTGTTGGCTGACACCTTGCTTGACAGGTTTTGCTGGGGTATAACCCGGCGAAGCCGTTTCCTGAGTGTTCGGCGGTTGGAAATACAGCATCGTGAACAGTGCTTCATATGTTTGCAGACCAAGACTTCGTATGGCGGCCATAATACCCTCGTCGATAATAGATTGCCTTTCTTCCTCGCGGACCCCAAATATGTCCATTGCATGGGTAAGGGACAACATACCCTCCTGCATGTCTTGTATCATCCACTGTGACAACAAGGTCATCGCTGTCCCACACTGCTTAACGCGGTCCATATGCGTGTCCTCCCAAACAACCCAGAAGTTCTCTTCTTGCAGGCTGCCAATCTTAGGCTCTTCCCATGATCCAGGGTCGTTATTCTCGCCTTCATTTGCCGAACAGGCCGACTGAGATTCTGTCGGCCTGACTCCAATCAATGGTCCTCGTAAGGCTGGCACCAGATGTTTTAGGCTCTCCAGGGCCTGCTCTGACCGAGCAACTTCCTCTGGTTCTCTGAGCATCATAAGGAAGAGTAGCCGCCACTGATGCAGGTTTCGTAAAACACCAGGTAGGGAGAAGGAGGGATATGCCTCCAAAAATCCGTCGATCCACTCGACTGCTTTTCGTAGATGAACAGAATTCCTCCCTGCCTCCGAGAGAACCTTGTGTTTTCCAAGTAGTAAGTCGGGAAGATCTCCCAAAACAGTTTCTTCATAGACCTCTTCTCTCTTATGGAGGTCTAGAAATGATTGGTACATTTCCGAGCTATCCTCAAGAAGCGCAATTTCCCGCGCTGCGCCCGCAGCAATGTACATGCACCAGGATGTTCTGTAATGCCCGCAAGCTTCCGCGTCCTTGAGCAGCATTAGACTCTGCCTATAACGACTGCGGTGGTCGCTGTCATCCAGGAGCTCGATTTGGGCATATCTGAGGCTGATATGAGGGGCCAACGTCTGTTTGTGAGGGAATTGCGTCATCTCGCACCACTTATCCAAAAGACGCTCCATTCCGGCGAGCTCCTCTTTCGCTTTAGAATAGTCCTCAAGTTCTTGGTGTGTCATTGCGAGCATAAAAGAAAGCTCCAGCTCAATCCACAGAAGCTGAGGGCCATTCAAATTGTGACAAGAATGCAGACCAGAGATGAAGGATGATATAGCCGCAATGCGCTCGCTGTATGGGATGCGGAGTCTCTCCACTTTCAATAAGGCAAGCGCCTCGAAGGCCATAGCTTTCTGCAGAAGTGAGACCCTTAGTTCCGTCAGGCCTTGCCATGGAACGTTTCGTGTGTCCGAGATGGGAATAAGAGACGCGTCAAACTCGTTGTTGTTGGCGTATATGCTGACAAGGTAGGAAGTTTGGGAATATTTCCTGACAATGCTCGCCTGAAGTGCATTAGATTCGGTTCTTATAGTGGCTTGGGGAACCAGAGCTATTCTACCAACCTGGACATCAGTGTAACTATCAATCGGCGTGTCTGCCAGCCATTTGCGAACGCGCAGGATCTCGCCTTTGGCGAGCTCAACTGTTCCCTTGTACCTGATCGCGGCTAGGGCATGGAAGATCCTCATCAAGCGATATGGAGCATCCTCCATTTCATGCACAGTCCCTTCGTTGGCAACATCTGGAAGAACCTCCTCCAGCGTTTCCCAAATCTCCTTGTAGCGCCCTTGTCGATAGGCCAGCTCGGCGCGCTCGACTGAAACGACAGGGACGACCTTCACACTTGAAAGCCTGCTCTCGAACATAGAGCGTGCAGCCGCATATTGCCCAGTGATTGTACAGTATATTGCATGCTCAAGGTCGTTCACATGCTCGACCGAGAGAGAGGTGTATAGGGAAGTGTGGACACCATAGAACCTGGTCATACTGGATGATTACTTTTTTGTTGTGCTGTAACAAAGCTGAAGTACGGTGATGGAGCATTCCATCACAAGTGTCTGAGCATTTGAGCAATTACCTAAGAAGGATTGTGGGGTATTTAATCAACACCGCCTAAGTGGCTGAGATATGTTACATGTCTCCTCTCAACTGATCGAGTTATGGAGAATCCAGAAGACAGATCTCCAAGTCCAGTAGCCAATCAGATTTAGGGAGTTTGATGCTTGGAGTATTGTCAGCTCGCCGCGCTGAGACAGGGGGGTTAGCGCAGTCACTTTTCGGGCTTGCGATGTACCTCTGTCACGTTGTGTATTTTACATAATGGTGTGTGCGATCGTAATAGCAGTGATATACACGAGCGTGCGTCACTCGCAGGATGGGCAAAGAACTTGATCCAACGTGTATTCTTGAGAGGCTTCAGCGGAAGAAAGGCTAGATGTTTTAGGGCTGCTTTTCCGGGCTCCCTGGCAAAGGCCCTGGCGTCTAGGAGAAGGCCAGGGGGAGTATGTCAAAAGAGAGCTGTTACAACCACATCTTTCCAATCATCAATGCGTGGCATCGCCTCCATCCGGATAAGGGACATTTCTTTGTGCATAATAATGCTCCTGCTAATACAGTGGGGTGCAAAAGATATTTGCATCCCCCTTGCTCAGGGATATCTTTTCTAGTCAGATTAAGCTGTAGTTAAAGGTGCCACTTTGAGCTTATATTTTTAATATACTAATATTATTTAAAACAGCTATATTACTTTATATGTTAGCCTTCTGTAGTAATTATAATATTAATATGATTTAGTATTATTTTTATAAAGAATTTATAAGATCTGTTTTTTAAAGCTAACTTAAGCCTTTATTAAAGCTAAGACTAAGGTATATTATATAGTAATTATATCTTTTATATAAATTAGTTCTAGGTATAACTCATAGATCTTAGCCTTTATTAATATTTATAAATTCTTTATAGGGTTTAAATAAAGTAAAAATAATAACTAAGCTAGTAAATTAACCTTTAGAACTTTTAATAAGAACTTAATAGATTAGGCTATATATATAAAAGCATTATTATTTATAAAGATATTATATAACTAAAGGAATTATAGTAAAATAATGCTATATAACTTATTAGTGCCTATAGTATTAATATTACTAATAAGAGGTATTAATAGTATATAAAATTATAACTAAAGGCAGCTTAAAATATTTGCTATATAGCTCTTTATCTCTTAGCTTCCTTAATATTCTATATATATAAGGGCTTATAAAGGCTATAATGTTTAAATCACTTTTAAAGGAAGTTAAAAGCCAGAGGCTATCCTGTATAGTTAAAAGCTAAATAAAAAGATAATAAGGCCTTATAAGGCAATATAAAGGTTTAAATAAGTTATATACATTAACTATAATAGACTATATATTTATTACTTAATTTAACTTTTTATTAATTAGTATTTTAATATTATATAGCTAAATTAAGCCTTTTATATATTTATAGTAGTATTAAAACTATACTTTAATAATATTATTAATAAAATTATATAAATCTCTAATTAGTATATAATAATTAATTATAATAATATTATATACTTTATAATTAATTAAAGCATTAGTTTTTAGATTTTAAAAACTTATAATATAGCTTTTTCTAGCTCTAATTAATATACTATAATTTATATATATAATGCTATAAAGATAGTAATAATTCCTTGCCTCAAGGTATTATTATAGTATTATTATACGGAAGAAAGTAATATGTAAAAGCAGTGTTAAAAACGCAGTCTAAATTAGACTAGGTTAGATAGCCCTACTGCAGGGCGATGTAAATACTTTTTGCACCCCACTGTACAGCTCCTAAGAGAGCAGCAGAGCTAGCTGCTCAAGGTATCTGGGTTATCTCATAGCCGCCTTTTTCTGGTGATTTAAACCCAATCCGGAAGGTCTGGAATAAGATAAAGAACTATATGGAAGAGCACTTTCCGGAGCATGTATCTTAGGATAGCTTAAGCGCTGCAGTTAAAGAGGCTTAGGAAAGAGGGGTTTCTAAGGACTTCCTTAAGGAGCTATTATTAAGAACGTCTCAAAAGATGTCACGATGTTATAATACAGATAAATGCATAGAAATACTCCTTTAGCTACTTAGGTACATCACAAGCCCAAAAAGTGACTGTGCTGACCGCCTGTCTCGGCGTGGCGAGCTAACAAAACTTTAAGCGTCAACGTTCATACCGTAACTTAATTATATTTGCCTGAACTCCGAACCTTAGTCTAATGCAAGCGGGCCTCAAAGACTTGTCCCGCGCCGACGCCTAACGACTTGACAGCCCTACGTGGCCGATCCTCCCGCTTTAACCCCCCACCCTCACGATCTACTATAGTAGAACAAGACAGGGCCTACGCCCTGGTTGTTGCCGAGTTATCCGTCCCGGGATAATCTGCAAATGAGAACCATGCCAGTATGAAGCAAAAGTGGACTGATTCTAAAGATGACGAGGTCGAGAACCATCTGAACCCAGGGCAAAACATGGGGTAACGCCGGGGCCTGAACGCAGAAATGCAGCCGGTGGCCGTCAATCCTAGTTGAGGAACCCTCCAACTTGTGGTTGGAATCTTTAGGCTCTGGATTGCTCGGATAATTTAACATGTCCTGTGGCGCCTCTCGATAACCCTGCAATCAGGCTAGCAGCAATTGCCCTTGACCGTAGCGGCGGATGCGTTATTTCCGACGGAAAGTGCGCCGCTTGAATTAGCGAGCTTTGCATCCGACAAGAACAGAGCCTTGAGGCTCATGGAAAGAGAACATGGAATACTTGCGCTGGAGATTTGGAGGCTGCTGAAAGTTTTTCAAGGCCGAGCTCTGTTGGCTGGGGCTTGGGCTTCAGGTGTTCTGTTCGATTGTGGCTTGCCAAGGTCAGAGCGCGAAGTGATCCGAGCGTTGCCAAGGGGGCGTCGAAGGAAGAGCCCTTCGTTCAAGGCACAGGACCAATTAATGCTGTTGTGGGCGTCTGACCCGTGCTTCCCAAGGAGAGGAAGTATAGACCGCCTTGAATTTTCTCGTCTTGAGTAAGCCGGTGCTCACAGATGCACCCTAAAATTTCATTTCCTCTACCTACGACCTGTCGAGAATGTCGGAATTCTCGCGACGAAGCAACCGAGAGGAGAGTAGCTCTACGAGCAACAGCGCCGAACAAGTCGATGAACTACCTAAACTTGACGGTATCGATTTTAGATCCTCTTGGTCTGTCCCCGTCTCAGTCGACATATCTGGGAAGAGGTTGCTCGGTCATGTCAACAACCCCGTCATCGAGGACGCCGCCATCCCTCGCGAGATAATCGCCGACGAGCTACGAAGCACTCGATTCCTTGCCACGTTGGAACGCCCCATTCGCATTGGAACGCATGATAAGCTCCCAGCATATCATCTCTGCCTCTCACTCTCTTTCCAGAACATGCAGCTAAGCTCGGGCGGGCGGATAAGGCAGGCGAGCATTGCAATCACGTTCGAAGATGCGCCTCTCAACACTTCCATGGAAGACTTCAGTGACGATAGTGACTCGGACGATATATACCCGCCGGCAATCCTAGAGATCCACCCAAAACTCTATGAGGGCCCTGTCTCGATAGTGAATGTGGAAGTGTCCACCGAACTATCGCTATCCGCAAGTGGTCTGGCCTCGGTGAGCCCCGGTGGTAAGGCGAGCCAGAAAAAGTCGTGGGAGCAGGAGGGGCGCCTTTTGGTACATGGATCAACGTTAGGCAGTCCTGTCAAGCACAAGGTCGTTTGGAGAGTCAGCGAGAACCCAATCTCAAAACTCGGGATTCCCAAGGAGATGCGACTGCCTTTCATTGTGAGGCCACAGAATGGGCGAAGGTTTTTGGCGAAGCTGGTGCTTCACGCTTCTTACGGCATATGGAGAGGTCCATTGGCGAGTATGGTGCCTATCGTTGGGAAAAGTGACGACCCTATCTACTTTGATCCGACAACATTGGAAAGAATGGCGAGACAGAGGGAATGTAGTCGGTTTGATGGCAAAATTGTTGCGGAAGAAGTTGGAGATCTTGCTCAATGCGACCTCAGCAAGCACTCGTCCTTCCCATTGGAGGAACAACCATAAACTCTAGATAAGCTTTTTATAAAAATTGCCATTTCTACGGATATATTTCTCAGGAGGTAGATAGTATAGTAATTTGCTAAGAATCTTACTAGTTATAAAATATATATATATTTGGGGTTTAGAGGGTAGGGGTTTAGGTTTACTAATTATATTTTATTTTATTAACTTATATATAATAATTAAAATATTATAAGAAATATAGTTTAATTTAAAATACTATCTTAGTATTAAATTTATTACTAACTTTTATATATAAGGTTAGTAGGTTATATGCCTTATTATATAATTTTATTAATTTAAATTAGTAATAACTTTAATTCCTTTAACATTTACTAACTAATCTTCTATAAAATAAACTTAATATAATTTTATCTTAATTTCTATATCTTATAAACTTACCTTGTATTTATTTATATTAAAACCCTATATATTAACCCTTTATCCTTATACTCATATAGTTTAAGACTATAACTAGCCTGTTATTAGTTTATTATAAGTATAACATATATAACATATAAGGCCGTTCTAATTATATTTATAAGCTATGCCTTATATATAGTTAAGCTTAGGCTTATAAATATAATAAAAAAAGCTGCCTATTTTGCCTTTATAAGGTAGTTATATTATAAAGCTATTTTTAGCTTTTTTAGCCTAGCTAGCTTGCAATTAACCTAATTATAAAATAGTCTATTAATTTAGTAGTAATATATATAAGTAATTAATAAAATTAAGCTGTAATTAAAAGCAGCTAACTTAATAAGGTCTAAGATATTCCCTTTTAAGAGGTTTTTTTTAAAATAATAGCTAATATTATATATGTCTTATAAAGTTCCTTATTATACCTATAAACTATTATATAGCATTAAGACAATATAAATATTATAATATTAATAAGAGTAATTAAAAGCTAAGTTAAATAATATATTAATAAGTTTATAACTTAATTCTTTAATAATTAGGCTTTAGCCCACTTTTAAGTAAATGTATAATAAATAATATAAGTATACCTTAAGGTAAATTAAAAAAATAAGGTTATAAAGCAAGCTGCTAAAAGGTAAATTTCTAACTAGTATTTATATTACTTAATTAAGGTAATAACTATATTATTAAAATAGCTAAATTATATATTAATTTTTAATTATTAATATACTAGTTTATATAGAGGCTATAATATTTAAATTACTATTAAAATAAGTTAAAAACTAAATAAAAACATAATTTCTTTTTTAAATTTACTTATTAACTTTAAAAAAAATATTTAATTATTTTTATAATTTTAATTAATTTAAATATTAATAAGTATTTATAACTTATTAAAAGATATAAAATAGTAAATATTATTATAATTTAGCTATATTAATTATAACTTAAACTTAATTATATATATATTAGCTAATAAATTTAATTTAATATTTAATACTTTAAACTTATTTTTTTAATATATTTAAAAGGTTTTTTATAAATCTTTATAATATATATATATATTTTTAAAGTTTATAAGTTAGCCTTAAAAGGTATATTTAAGTATATTTAGAATTTAATATAATTTAAATATTTATTACCTCTATAGCTAGTAAAGCTTTATTAAGTTAAATTATTATAATTAGCTGCCTTAATTATAGCCTAAACCTAGCTATATATATACCAGCTAAAAAGCCCTGCTTATTAGCTAGCCCCAACCTTCTTCCTATAACCCACCTAAAAGGATACCACGCTTCAATCATCTATCACGCAGTAAGTCATCCGGCCTGACTTTCCCTCTTCTAACCGCAACCGCTACTAGCATCATAGCTGCACCGTCACGATGCCTATCCAAAGAAGCCTGCAGCCACCCGATAAGGCCTTTTATACTAAAATACCTAACCTAATCCCTTATTTTATAGCAGCTCTTAAAGACTATAAATATAAGGATAAGCTTTATGCTATAGTAATAGAGATTAAAAAAACTTAAGATAAGGAGGATAATATTACCTTTATTAAGTAAGTTACTTTAGGCTATAAAGGTCTTTTTATTTATATATTATTATTATAAAAAGCTAATAATTTCTAAAGGCTACCTTAAAGAGGAGATTAAGCTATTATAGAAGCTAGAATAATTCCTTATAGCAGGAAGGCCTATAAAGGCAAGTAATAAGGGATTTATTAAGGACCTTAGATTAGGGACTATTAAGAACCTGTATAGATATTGGCTTAATAATGTAAAGAAACAGTCTGTAGAGTTAATAAAGGCTGTAAAGCTAATTGACGGCTGGTGAAGATGAGGGGGACGGCGTACCACGATGTAGATAGAAGCGGTGTTATAATCCTCGCGGTTACATTACGTAGAACCCACAAATTTCCCCCAATTAATTAACAACTTACACTTTCTCCTTATTTCTATTATAAGCCGCTTAATAAGACTTATAATTAGACTTATAACTTATATATAAGTATTAACTTACTATAGTAAGTTACTATAAGTATATAAAATATATTTATTAATACTTTTATAAATTCTAGCTTACTAGCTATTAATATAAGTTCTTTATATTAATTAAGCCTAATATATATTAAATTTACTATTAAGAGATAAAATACTTTAATAATACTTAATATATACCTTATATAATCTATTAATAATAAACCTAATATAGCTTAATTTAATATAATTAGACTTAATTATTATATATTAATAGCTCTTATTTAAATTATATTATATAAATACTAAGTAATATAAATGCAATAGCTATACTAATTACCCCTATTTAATAAAATACTACTACTAATATTACCTTAACTCTAGTTAATAATAATCTACTTACTAACTAGGATATAAGAGAAAATAATAATAACTTATCTAAAAATAGTAATAACTCTAATATTATCTAGCTTTAATAGTAAATTACTAATATAACTATTAAAATAGTAAAGCTTTACTAAATATTTATTAAAGTAATAAACCTTTAAGCCTAGCAGGCTAATAATAACTAGAATAGACTTTAAGAAATATATAACCTTACTAATACTATTATTTATAATAAGGATACTAAAGAAATCCTTAAGCCTAATCTGCTTAAGATATTTAATAAAACTCTAAATAAACTCTCTATATTCCTTACTTAGTATTAAGCCTTTATATCCTACTATCTAACTTAGTTTATAAAAGAAGTAAATAAAACTAAATATATATTAAGATGCCTTAAGGGTATTGCTATATAATAATTCTAACTACTTCTTAAAGATTAGACTATTAAAGGAGACCTAAAAGCCCTTAAACCCTAAACCTATATATTATATACTAATTACCTAGCTTTTAAAAAAGCCCTATAATAAGTATTTAAAACTATTAATAAAAAAAGATAAGCTAAAAAAAAATTAAAATACTTAAATAAACTTAATTTATATTTAAACTTAAAGTAGAATTCCTCTAGTTAGTATTTAAATTATCTTAAGATTAAGATATACTTATATTATTCTTTTTTAATATATTTAAAAAACCAGTATAAGCTAAGCTATATAAAGAAGATAGACCTAAAACCTTAGTAAACTATATTAACTAAGCAGTTAGAATTAATAATTAGTAATTTGCCTAAAAAACCTAAAACTCTTAATATAATAAATAATAAGATAATAAACCTTATTATAATACTAACTAAGGATAGAAATATAATAATAATATATCTTATAATACTAAAGCAAGATTAATAAAGATTAAAATAGTTAAATAAAATAAATTTAAACTTACTTACTAAAACTATAATAAGAAAGGATATAAAGACTTAAAATGTAAAAACTTTATTAAAACTAATTAAAAATATAGGCTAATACTTAAAAAAAAGAAATATATTAATATTATAAGAAAGAATAATAAACCCTAAATAGTAATTAAAATAGTTAATATAACTAGAAAAAATAAATATAATATATTTAATATTAATTTTACTATAATTCTAAAACTATTAAAAGTATATAATCTATTCCTTAATAAGGAAGAAACTTTTAAAAAGTATTATCCTAACTTAATATTAAAGAAATAACTTATCTTAAGATATAAAATACTAACTATAATAAGAAAAAGGGAAACTAAAAAAGAAACCCTTAAGTAAAAAAAACTTAAATATACTAAAGATATAAAAGATTCTAAATACTAAAAAAATAAAATAAATAATAAAAGGGTTATTAAAATAAGTAAAATATTTAATAAAAAGAAAACTTAAAATTAAAAATTAAATAATAAGAACTAGTACTTATATAGAAAAAATAAAATAATAAATATAATAAAGTTATAATAATAGTTAAAAAAGGAAAAGAAGTTAACCCTAACCTAGATAATAAACTAAGTATTAAAGAATTTAATTAAGGTATTAATTAAGTATTAATAAGAACCTTTAAGAAATTAAAAGTACCTCTTAAGATTTAAGATAAAATAATTATATATAACCCCTATCTAATAGTAAATAATATTTTTATTAGAATTACTTCAAGATAACTTAATAAATATTATAAAGACCTAGGCTATATTAAAGTAATTAAAATATAAAAAGAACTTAATATTAAGAAAATTAAATAAAAAGAGAAATAAATAGTTTAGAATACTAAAATTATACCTTAATATAATAAAGTTAAAAACTATTTTTAAAATAATAAATATTAAAAATATATAGAACTTATTAAAAAAAGAGTAATTATAAAATAAAATAATAATATTTATATCTAAGCCTATATAAAGAAGGTAGTAAAAGATCTTATAACCCTAAAAGAATATATTTAATTAGAAAAAGAATTATAAAGGTATTTATATTACTTAAACTATAAGTAGATATTATAGATATTATATATATAATATTACTGCCTATAGCACTAATAAGATAAGGTAGTAAATAATTACTTTTTAGTTTAAATTAAGGAATATTAAAAATAAAAACAATACTTAATTATTAATATAATAAAATATTAAGTTATATAAAGATATAGAGGATCTTATATAGCTAGGTTAAAAGCTTATATAAAGATATATAAGA